CAGAACACACACAGTCCTAAATGTTAGAGCCAATTTAAAGGTGTAGAAGTAGCATGTGGTACTATGCATTTTAGACTATACTTCTTCTGAATATACTACTACTATACTACTCTAACACCTCTTTTCCTATATTGAGCTGCAGGTCCTTCCTTGCATCGTTTATTCTTTTATCATCAGATTGGGCATTGCTTTCCTTTTGGTGTTGAGGTTTTTCTCAAAAGGCAAAGTAGGGGTTGAGCAGTTCCGCCTTCTCTCTGTCACCCAATACTGTATAATTTTTCCATCTTCTCCACACAGAAGACCAACTATTTGCTTATTATTCTTATTCTGAACACAGCCAATGAATTTTTAAAAAATTATTTTTAACCTCTCTTGCAAGTTTGAGCTCATTCTGAGCTTAAGAAAACTTGACCTTATCCCTGCCAACTGTTGGCTACTCGAGTATATTCTTCCTTCATGGTTTCCCGATTCTTACATTTCTTATATATGCTCTTCTTAAATCTCAGCTCACCTGCAAGCCCCTTATGCAGCCACACTAGTTTCTTTAGGTGCCTCCCACTTTTCTTTCTTGCTGGAATTGTCTGCATTTGTATCTTCAATAGTTCACCTTTAAGAAACTCCCATCCATCTTGGACTCTTCTCTTTGAGTATTTGTTGGACCTTATACTCTTGGCAGAGTTTGAGTTCCAACAGATATTGAGGTAGTTGAAGTCTCTTACCACTACTATATTTCTTCTTTTTTGAATATTTGGTAATCTGCTGTAGGAAGGCATCATCCAAATCTTCAGTCTAGCTTGGAGGTCTATAGCTTACAACCTCAGTGTCACTGTTGTTTCCCTCTCCTACAATTTTTACTCATATCCTCTCAATCTGTATTCCATTTTCCAAATGGATGTCTTCACAAGTGTACACATCCTTTACATATAATGCTGCTACTCCTCCCCTCTTGTCTCCTTTATTCCTTTTGAATAGGTCATTCACCTCAATTTCTACATTCCAGTCATGATTCTCATCCTACCAAGTTTCAGTAATGCCTATTAGCTCATGTTTGCCATCCTGTACTGAGAGCTCATATTTATCTTGCTTGTTTCTCTGTTAGTATAGAGAAAACTACAGTCTACGGTCTGAATAATTTGTATCTTTCCCTCCTGTTAGGAGTTCAAAGCAGCATTCAAGGGTTTTTCTCCATTTTTATTCTCACAAGGTCTCTGTGAGGAAGGTTAGTAGGCTGAGAGACAGAATTTGGCTCCAAGTCACTCAGGAAGCTTTAGAGTTAAGTACCACAATTTTTGAAAGTTGCTTTGAGTTGCTTTTAAAAGTAATTAATAAGTTCAATAAATAATAATAGTTCACAGAGAAGGATGCATCAAAATATTTATTGAATTCTCAGCTTGTGGATAATTTCGTAGCAAGGATAATTTCCTAGCAAAGGTTGCTAATAACTCTTTTTTTAAGAAAAAGGGGGGGGTAGGTAGAATCATAATTTTAAAAAGCTAGTCCCTTCCCCCCCTTTATCCCAAACTCACAGCCAAGTGATACAGGAGATGGCCAAGAGAAATTCTACAAGACATTTGCTTGCCAACTGTTGCAGGTGGTGCCCCTCAGCCATGGAAATTGCCATGTTTTCCCAGCAAACCCAGCTCCCATGCTTCTCTAGGCTGCAAACCACAGCCACCTTTTGCTAATGAAAACCATTCCCCAGAAGGAAGGAGGTGACAGGAACAGTAGCTTCCTCTCCCTCCCTCTGCAAATGGAGCTGGCAAACGGAGTGAAGGTCACTGCCATGGCCGTCTGTAATGCAGGAGGATCACTGCTGCCTGCCAAACAATAGCTGCTTCTCTCAAGGAGAATATTTTTAGCACCAATAAAAATGACAGTGTGGTGAGCTGGGCAACAAGCAGGCAGGTGCTAGGTGAGGCCAGGCTGAGCATTTCAGCGACCTGGGAAATCCAGGGAATCAGGGCTTTTTCCAGAACTGTCCTACCCAGAGTTTTCTACTTATGTGCCATCTAAGCCAGTATGAGACAGCCCCAAACTAAAAAGGAAAAACCCTCACCCTGCTGTCCCAAGCCTACTTCCCAGCACAAAATAATTTAGGCCACTCTCAGAGGAATCCCATATTGATCCTTCTAGTTCAGTATTATCTAACTCACCAGGGTTTCTGACAACAGCCTTTCCTAGCCCTACCTGAAGATACCAGGGATTGAAACGGGAGCCTTCAGCATCCAAAACATACAGGTCTATATTACTTATTATTGTTATCACCACCAACATTTCTAGGTTAGATTACTGCAACACGATATATGTAAGGCCGCCTCTAAAATTCAGGTGGTGCAGAATTTAGTGGCCAGGTTGCTCACTTGGACAAGACAATTTGAGCATATTACACCAATCCTGACCTGACTACACTGGCTGCCAATTAGTTTCTGGGCCCAATTCAAAGTGCTGGTTTTGATCTATATAGTTCTAAATGGTGCTGGACTGCAATACTTCAAGGACTGCCTCTCCCAATATGAACCAAACCAGACTCTGTGACCATCATCTGAGGCCCTTCATGAGAGGTCTGGAGGGTGGTAACACAAGAACGGGCCTTTTCTGCAGTGGCTCCTCATTTGTGGAAAACTCTCCCCATGGAGGCTCACCTGATGCCTTCATTACATATCTTTAGCTGCCAGGCAAAAACATTTCTCTTCAACCACACATTCTGCTGATTAACATTCTATGGCTTTTAAAATGTGTTTGTGGGAGGGGGTTATCAGTTTGTTTTTGTTTTATTCTGTATTCTGTATTCTCATTTTGTATTTTTCTGTTGTGAACCACCCTGGGATCTTCAGCTGAAGGGCGGTATACAAATGTAATAAATCATCATCATCATCTATCCACTATATAGTATAAAACCAACATATAAGTGTCATGAATTCCCCCAAATAACTGTAATTTGCAAAGGTGTTGAGGATGTTAGAAATCCTTAGTATCTCTCACAAAATTATAGTTCACAGAGTCCTCTGGGAATGATCATTCAATCATTTTAACAGCACAGTTGTAATTGTGTGTATTCAGAAGGAAGTCCTATTGAAATCAATGGAGCTTATTTCCAAGCAAGTGGTGTTAAGATTGCAGCTGAAGTCTAAGAATTAAAAGTCATATGTACATATATATGTATATGCCACTAACATTCCTTCCACACTCTTTCTAGCCCCTACAACAAGCATGGCAGTGCCAAAGTGACTTCCCAGATCAGTTCTCCCAATTCCTCCCTCCACAATCCCCAGGAGACTTTCAAGACACTGACGTGCACCCCTTGTCTAGCCCTCTTAACCCTAATCCAGGGGAGGGAACCTCCTCCTCCTCCCTCCGTTGTGCTAACAGCAGCTTTGACCCAGTGCTTACTGACGTCAGTGGGAGGGTGCTCTTCTGCAGATGTCCACACTCCCTGCTCTATCACTCACTTAGCCTGCCCAGCTACAGCAGTGACGGACACACTGGGGAGCCGCCTGTTTGTTTATCTTCCTCTTCAGCATTGCTTATTTTGATGGCACATCCTTCTGGTCCAGCCCAGGTTGACCCATGAGCCCTCCACATCCTGTTTGCTGGAGCTAACTGCGCAGAGACGGACAAAGGTGCAGCACAAAAGTCAGGACCATGGTACACAAAAATATTCTGGGGAAATATTCTTGGGGACAGGCTATATTTGAATCAACAGTTACTTGCAAATGAGCAGCTAAGACAAATGTGGTTCCGGACCAAGGTCCAGGCTTGCTGTGCAGCTTGAGGAATTATAGGTACAATAGCTCTTTGCTGCCCAGACTTGTGTCTACCGATAAGCAGGCTGCAGCACAAAATGCCCAGAAAAAAAGCCTCCTACAGAGCAGCATAAGAAAAGTAGAATAGGAAACAGCAGCTGCCCTTACCTGGCATGAAAACCCTTAAGGACTGCACAGAAGTAGAGGTCTTCAGACAGTATTCATGCACTGAAGAAAGATTAGCATGCATTGCTGAGTACTGCCTACCCTTCCTCCATCAACACATTCTCCAATAGCCCAACAACTCATCTAAGTCTCAAAAGGAACTCCTAAAACCCTGTCTGCAAATAGCCTCAAGACATATTATTAGAATCTTTGTCAAAATAAAAAAATTAAAGCCACCTAGAATAGCCTCCTTTTTCTCTTCTGGACTCTTACTAGGGCCAGGAAAGAACAGGTGCTCCCTCTTTCTTTTTCATTACCTTCCATAAAAAGGAAAACACATTTATTCTTATCCATCCCTCTTCTGAAGGGAAACTGCCCTTCCAGTCTCTTGACATCTTTCATTCTATGCTCAGCACCCTCTTCAACTTGTCTTCAATTTCTCAATGCACCAGGCCCTCACCAGCTGGTCTCACCTACCAAATTGGGCACTGAACCACCAATCCTTGTTTTCTCAGCTCAGCTTTCCACTCAGTTGTATACACTATGGGTGTGATTGTGCAATGGGGTTTCCACTTCTCTACAACTGAGTCCCTTCCTCAAAAAAAAAGGAAAAAAAGATGGCCCAGAAGGATCAGAAGAACCCCTGTAACAGCATGTGGGGGGAGGAGAGGGAGAAATTGCTCTTTTTGGCAAGCCAAAAAGTTTCCCTGATGGAATGATAGCCTTAGTGTGACACTAAATTCCTCCCTTCGTATAGTAGCCCTTCATAAGCTATTAAGTTTTATACAGGGCAGACACATTGAAATTAATGGACCTAACTTAGTCATATTCATTAATTTCAGTGGGTCTACTCCAAGGAAAACTTAGCTGAAAACCACCCCAATTTTACTTTTGGAAGTGTCCCAGACAATTGTGTCAAAAACTTAAGTCGATAATTTAAAGAGGTCTGCAACTTCATCTTCTGAATTTGAACAAAGGAAACTGCTTTATACTAAAAAAAGTCAGGCCATTGGTTCATTTAGCTCAGCATTGTTTACAACACTGACTGGAAATGGCTCTCCAGAGTCTCAGGCAGGGAGAGATCTTCCCCACCCCTACTTGGGAGATTCCAGTGATGGAACCTGGGACCTTTTGCATGGAAAGCAGGCATTCTACCACTGAAATATTGGAAGTAGGCTACCCTGATGTCCACTAACTAGCATCATACATTCACAGGAGTATAGCTGTCAGCTACACCCTAGACAGGCCTGCACAATGTATGACCCACCAAACCAAATGCTGTCCAGAAGGAAGACAGGAAAACCAGAAGATACAAAGGTCCTGGTAGGATGCCATACATGGCTGGTGGCCTACTTTTAGTCTGGTGGGTGACTAGCTGCACAGGCCTGATTTAAAGGAAGTGGCAATATTATCATAGAATAATGAAGTTGAATGGGATCTTAGAGATCATCCAATCCAGCCTTCTGCTTGGTGTTGGATTCTTACAGCATCTGACAGATGGCAGTCCAGTTTGTGTCTTAAATATCTCCAGGGAAGGAAAGCCCATCATCTCCAGAGGCAATCTGGAAATTTTCCCTAATATTTAGCCAAAATCTGCTTCCCTGCAATATCCACCCACTGGTTCTAGTGCTGCACTCTGGAATCCTGTCCCTATTATCATAAAACAATTACTGTATTTTTCGCCCTATAGGACGCACTTTTTCCCCTCCAAAAATGAAGGAGAAATGTGTGTGCGTCCTATGGGGCGAATACAGGCTTTCGCTGAAGCCTGGAGAGCGAGAGGGGTCGGTGTGCACCGACCCCTCTCACTCTCCAGGCTTCGCGCAGCTCTTCGTAAGCCGTGGGAGCCTGGCGCTGGGCTCCCACGGCTTGCGGAGAGTTGCCTGCATGCCGAAGCCTGGGCACGCTAAGCCCCCCCCCCCAAATTAGGTGCGCCTTATGGGCCGGTGCGTCCTATGGGGCGAAAAATACGGTACTACTGAAACATACACACACCAGTCATTTGACCGACCTTGGATAGACAGTGTGGAAAAAATGGAAGGACTGTTCAGAGCTTGCCAATTGGCAACTTTCACAGAAAGCCAAAGACCATGTTTATTGCTCTTCACATCATGGTTTGGCTGATAAATGTCTTCTGTAGGATTTGACTTTTGCCCTTATTACTCCTTTATTCATTCTAAAATCAAGATGTCTCAGTCCCTAGGTAACTCTCATGGGCTGTTGCGTTTCCCCTGGAAGCTCCAACCAATTACACATAAGAGCCCTACTACTGATTACATAGTCTTGCAACTGACCCTCTTTAAGCTTGCCTTAAATTCCAATTCACACTTGAACATATAAACAAATCCCAACTTTAGGCTTTGTGATCCCACATTTGCTTAGCATGACCCTTAAAACAGTCCTTGCAATACAGGCTCTTTCTCAAGGCCACTTTGCACATAGTTCTTTTGACACAGAGATTAACCTTGACCAGTGTGAACAGCACAGCAGTTTGAGCCCTGGCACGTGCCAATATAACCAACACACAGAGAGAGAACCCAACTTTCCATCTCTTTCAAGTGCATGCCAACAGACCTTACTCTGTAACCCTCCACTCCTCAGCCTTCAGGGAATAAGAAACTTTCAGTCACGGCACGTGGCATTGGAAAGAGAGCATGAAATCACTGCAGCCGTTAAGAGTAGGAGCGTGGGAAAATTCCACAAGCCACTTCCTATGACATGAATTACAAGCTTGTACATTGTTAAGAGCGGTGAAACTCTGGGGGCTCTGATACATAATCAGCAAGCTCCTATGCTGAAACCCCGACAGACAGGTGTGCATATTGCTTAGGCGTAACCTCTCCTTGAGCTCAAACCAGCAGCCATGTTCTGGAGCAAATAAGTAAAAAAGGGCTGCTAAGGGACCTGCTCCAAACAGAACAAGCTCATAAACACTAACATCAATACCCTGGTGGTTGGGTATCAGCAGATAATGATACACACAAAATGTAGACAATCCACATGGGCCAAGATGGCCTAAGAGCAAGAGCCAACCACTTCAGACACCACTAAATGCATAGCACTCTATAAATGTTGGCATTAGCATAGGACTTCATTTGCTGCTTATTTTAACTAGTAGATGGAAGAGGCAGAAAACCAACCAAGATGGAGATAAGATGGCAAGGGGGAGGAGAGTAGTTACTGCCCAGAAGAAAAATGGCAAAATGGGAAGAATGGGGTTGGAAAGGGGTACACTCCATAAGGAATGTTCAGGATTCTCAACTCTGACTGCTGGAAAACAGTCTTACCACCTGCTTTATCAAGAACAGCAGAAAAGCTAATAAGGGTAAATGGGATTGCTTGCATAGGGGAAATGGGAAGCTTCAGTGCTAGCACTGGTGGGAAGGGCGTAAAAAAATTACTTGACAAATGTACAGATGCCATCACTTTGTCCAAATGTAGAGTACAAACTAAGTGCCATAGTTTGCCCCCAGAGATTATTGGGAATGGTAACTGGTGAGGTTAAAGGGATTTCCAATAGAGATCCCTAGCTTCATCTCATAAAATTACAGTCCCTGGGATTCCCTGAGACACAGTATGTCTAATAAATCAGTTTTACATTTGCAGGAGAGATATGCCCTAAATAAATTCTCACTTAGATTCCATATTAATCCAAGCTCTGTGACACAATCACACATTATGCTAACTGCAGCTTAACCTAGCACAACACAACAATGGCTCATTTACTCTGGCGCTTCACAACATGACTGTACAACAGATTGGAAAGACAACATTACACAAACCTATGCTAAACTAATCATACCTGCCTACAGTTAACCAAAACCAAAGCACACCTACATGGCACAGTCATGCTCATGCATGTATAGCTGCAGTTCATGATGCCTATTAGTATAACTTTGCAGGGAGAAGAAGAACCAACCAGAGGCAAGGGGAGAAGGAAACCAGTGAAGAATTGGAGAATCAAAATATCCCACTGGCAGACCACCACAACCAGAAGCTCTGAGTACATGTCACTACTGCCTACAATACTACCATTTACCAAATTAATTAGGAGAAGCAATTTATCCTATACAATAACTTAATGAAAACATGAAGATTCTTGTACCTTAGTCTCAAATGTCTGTAGGAAAGATTCTTCATTGAAAGGTTCTGTCTTTAAACGTTCTGCAAGAGAAGTACCCACAATAGAAGAGTGAGTGGTGCTCCAATCTGGCCAGGTATACAAGCTCTCTTTATTCTTCAGATGCTACATTACCTTGGAAATAGCTATATATCACCTATTGAAAGATAACTCAAGCAATCTTATCCCATTCCCACCTGAGAACACACAAAGATTAGTCAACACCCTTTTCCTGTGTCAAGCCCACAGCTAGGCACTGAGTGATTCAACTGGTATATACCTGGGTACAACTGCATCTAACTATGTCAACATGATGTAATATGTATGGCCTGGTGCATAGTGTTAAACCCAAGAGACTGAAGTTCAAACCCCAGTTCAAACAAAGGCTCCACAAGGGAGTCTGGAAAACTTTCTCTCAGCCCACTCCTCTGCTAATAGGGACAACCTACCTCACAGGGTTGGTGTGAAGAAAAATGAAAAGGGTGAATAAGAGGACCATGCTACATAGGTAATGACTAGTAAACCTCCAAGAAGAGAGCGCTTTACACCTCGCTCCCAGGAAGGGGCCTGAGGTCAGTGGTCTATCTAGGGCAACTGAGGACAAATGTAACACATCTGTGTTACATCCTATTTCCTAGCTCTGAGAACACAGAGCTCTCCCCTGTGGGGACAGAACATATCTCCGGTTCTCTGTGCCTCAGGAAATCCCTGGCCCAACTCAGCCTGTCATTTTAGACTAATATAGAAGTGGGGTATGTCAAGTCACATGTATGGAGTTCAGTCTTTGTAAAAGATCCAACTGTGCAAAATACCACCTCTAGCTAAATAAATGCAAGAAAGCACAGCTGCGTGCATGTGTACATGCACATATGTAGGAACCATGTCAGACCCCTTGTTCTTTGAGCCAATGATGTAAGATCTTGCACTACCTGATAATTAAAAAAGGAAATTGGAATCTAAGACCAACTTTCCCTGTCCAAAATGAGGTTCAAGCAGATACCCAGAGATGGCAACTTGGCCAGGAAGGTGTAACCCTGGTAATGTATGAGCTGCAGAGAGCCTTATTCTTGTCCTAGGTTTCCAAGGTAACTTGCCATTTCTTCTCCCTTATAGCACTGGATGGTCTCAGATTGAAGCAGTGGTTTTTGATGGACTAAAATGTTGTCTGCTGTTAGCTGTGCTGCCAAAACTTGCAGATGCTGTTACTGGTGGCTGTTTTGTATATTTTTTATGATTTGTGTGTGGCTTTGTGTAAATGTGTTTTATTATAATGTGTTTTTCCTATGCTTGGTATTCTACTCATTTTTCTGTAATGCAAGGATTACTGCTAGCGCAATGGGACTTCCCCCTTCCCCTCCTGTTTTCCCCAGATCTGATACAGAGGGTTGGGAACCCCAAGAACAGATTTTGAGGCACACAGGGGGAAGGGAGGGAAGTTCTATTGTGCAAGCAGAAATTCTTGCCCAGACAGAACTACTTCTTAGCACAGTTGAATAAAACCCCATGCTCTTATATATGTTGTACATCACTTGAATACCTTTTTGTGTAATGCGTTCAATTAATAAGAATAAGAATAATTGTGAAGGCCCATTTCACAAGTGGCAGATATCTGCAAGCTGTATAAATAATCAGTGAGAACAGTGGTTGGCATCTGCTCAAAGAGACTGTGCAAAGAAAAGAACAAGCCATACCAAATTAGAAGTTCCGATCCACTTTCCCCAGCAATTACCAAGTGGGGTGGGGAAAAGGGGACACTTAAGATGATATGACAATCAATCACACTACATGGTTGTACAGAGGAAGAGCAGGGCAACACAAGGCTTCCTCTGCTGTCCCAGAGTACATACTAAACCTTGAACACACATCACTGGCACAACCCAATCCCTGTCTGGCTAATCTGAATCTTTCCATTCTCTGGGGTTTAACAGCCAGCAATGGAATCCCTCCCTACCCCCAAAAGTATCTGAAACAGAACACCTGTAGGCTTATCTGCAACTTTGCAGGGGGTAAGAAGAACCAAGCCTTATGAGGAATGGTTGAAGGAGCTGCGTATGTTTATCTTGGAAAAGAGGAGACTGAGAAGAGATATGATAGCTATCTTCAAATATCTTAAGGACTGCTACATAGAAGATGGAGCAAGATTGTTTTCTCCTGCTCTGGAGGGTAGGACATGAACCAATGGCTTCAAGTTACAAGAAAGGATATTCCAACTAAACATCAAGAACTGATGGTAAGAGCTGTTTGATAGTGGAACAGACTCCCTTGGGAGGTTGTAGACTCTCCTTCATTGGAGGTTTTTTAAGCAAAGGTTGGATGCTTTAGTTGAGATTCCTGCATTATAGGGGGTTGGACTAGATGACCCTTTGTGGTCCCTTCCGATCTTTGATTCGGGGAGCCCCCATTTGCTCCAAATGCTTGCAGAGCTTCTACAGAGCAGTAAGAACAGCCTGACTCCACTCAAGCTCCTTTACAAGCTGGCACTGGCCCCAGCCTCCTGGGTTGCAGCCAGATGCTCAAAGGAAAGGAAAGAGCCCTTTGGCTAGCCCCCAAGCATTTCAGCTACTGGTCAGTGTCCAGCTCTTTCCACCTTCAGGGCACTGACCCCAAAGCTTCTGGTTAATAGTCTGGAGCAGCTGTGTGTGAAATCCAGGTCAGGATGGCTAATGGCCAAAGACTGCATGCTCGGTGCCAGCCATGAGGAAGGAAGGAAGGAAGGAAGGAAGGAAGAAAGCTTGTGTCCCAAAGTGGAGCAGAGTGCAGGCAGCACCCTCCCTCCTTACCTCGACTGAGAGTAGCCCCACTCTCCCGGTAGTCTTCGATCTCGGCATCCTTTCGGAGCAACAAAGATGCCAGCTCCTGCACTTGACTCTGCAACACCAAGCTCATCGCCATCAGGGGCTGCACAAGGTGGTGGAACACCTGTCATAGGGCACAGAAAAGAAGGGCAAGGGTCAACAAGCAGCAATGAGAGTAAAGGGCCTGGTGCCAGCCATGGTCATTTAAACCAAGCACAGGGATGACAAAAGTGCCAATGAAGCCACACACTATCTTCCGCTCCATCCCCTTCAGAGAGGGACACTATAAGAACCAGCAAATGTATATTTGCAAATGAGAAGGAAAAGCTCTGCCATATGCCATAAACTCTATTTGGGACACTGCCATGATCTATAATGGTCCTCAGACTACAGTAGCAGAGTTCTCTGCCTTTTTTGTTGTTTGCCACAAGAGGGCTCTGCAACAAGGTTTTCAACCTGGTCATTTAAAAATAAAAGCTCATGCTGGACTTTGAGTGAGAAACGTGCAATTCAGACCTAGAGCTCATCCAGTCTTGCCTGTGCCCTGTCACTTCCCCCTGAGTGAATCTGATGTTTACTGCTGAATCAGAGCAAACGTCTTTCAAGTTTTCTCTAGATGATGTTTACTCTGATTTACTGCAAAAGAATGGATTTTCCGGGAGAAAGCAGTAGGACAAGGGCAAAACTGTTTGGATCCATGACTAGAAAGCTTGGGACAAGCAGAAAACTACCTGAACCCATGCTTTCTAGGCATGGGGCAAGCGCAAGTCTGTATGAGCCCCTAGTCTCTGCTGTTCCAGCACCTCCCAGAAAGCTGCATGAGAAAAAGCAAGGCACATGAAACATATATTTCACACTGCAGCTGAAAAGAGAGATGTTAAAATCAAGGTGCAGAATAAATATTTACCCTCAAAGCATTATGGCATCAAGGTCTGAAATACTCTATGGATTCTTGAGCTGTACTTGCCATCATGGAATATGGACTTTGGAACAATATGCTTGCTCCCTAAAAAGTCCTAATTAGCTCTGTTTTAATCGGAATAAAAGAAAATCCGCCCACCTTGGGAAACAAGAACAACCTCAACTGTCAGCCAAAATACTGGTTGCATACACCATCCGAGACAGTGGCGTAGCGTGGGTTGTCAGCACTCGGGGCAGGGCAAGTAATTTGCGCCCCCTAACCCATGGATTTTAGTAGGGGCAGAGAGCTGCGAGTGCGCCGCCCCCCAGATGTTGCGCCCGGTGCGGCCGGCCCCCCCCTGCACCCCCCACGCTACGCCACTGATCCGAGACATAAAGTAAGTGGTGAAAAAGCTAAATTAGATGTGGAAGAGCTATGGCATGCAGCTGGGCAGCCCTGGATCACTCAGTTCTCAACTGATTCTAACATTTAGGGACCAATGCCTGCCAGACAGGGAAGAAAGAAGAGATATGCCACATAGGGGAACTCAATCAACCTGCCCAGGCAGCTTTCCCCAGGCAGAGCTGTTACATTTCACAGCATAAAAGTGCAAAAAACAAATACTTGAGTTAGTAACCCAGTAGCATAACTCAGTAGAATATCTAAAAGTGCAAGGTCCATCAAACACTTGACAGCTGACAAGAGATGCAGAATGATGCATAAGCAATAGATAAAATAGCTATTAACTCCCAAGTGCTAGTGCTCTTCTGAAATAGCACCAGCCTAGAAAGCTACATTATCTCAAAAAGGTGTTTAGGTTCTATACAGCTGTCTGTTATTTTACTTTTTAAAAAAGTATGTCTCTCATGCTCTCTGAGATGCAAGTAATAACAAATCTCAAGTGAAATAACACAACTAAATTCTGTATCTCTAGGCCAGTCAGAAGAGAATGTTACCTGGGTATGCAGTGCCCCCTGGTGCACACATGGCAAAACTGTAACCAGTCAGCTAATATGAGAGCAGAGCATTTAGGCATTTATCTGAGCAAAGCTGGTCCTAAGACGACATCTGCTTCCACATCCTAAGTAGTATTATGTAAACAGACAGACAAAACATACAGAGCAGGAAGGCAGCACTCGGCAACTGAGCAGAGGATGGCATAGAATAAGATGCCATCCAGAGACACTAAAGCAAACATTAAAAAAACAGAATGCAATTTTCTAGTTTCCAGGCAGCCTAAAAAACAGTAGTCTAATATTTTCAAACCTGGGGCCCACTTTCAGCCAAATATTCATTATGGACTCATTTGTTAATGTTTTACCATTTAAATGCTTGGTGGTAGTGTCACCAGCATAACACCTTAAGTGAGGCATGGGTAGCCAACATGGTGTCCTCCAGATATTTACTGGCCTACAATTCCCATCATCTCTGGCCATTGGCCATGCTGACCTGGGCTGATGGGAGTTGAGCCCAACAACATCTGGAGGGCACCACATTGGCTACCCCTGCATTAAGGTGTTCAAGAAATTGGCTCCAATTCTCACATTGTATTAGGTCTCACACTCTACTACAAGGATCTGCTTTTTGGCAGGTGATGGCTGATGCAAGTACAGTGATACCTCAGGTTAAGAACTTAATTCGTTCTGGAGGTCCATTCTTAACCTGAAACTGTTCTTAACCTTAATCTGTAACCTGAAGCATCTGTAACCTGAAGTGTCTGTAACCCGAGGTACCACTGTACACAATCCTACACTTTAATAACAAGCAGATCCCGAGCATTTGCCAATTAACTGATAAGCAGGGCTGAAACCAAAACCATGACTATGAAGGGGAAGCTATATCCTCAGAACATCTCAGCTAATAGCTAAGAATTATTCCATTAATCCATTTGCTGGTCTGTGCCTAGAATCCTCTTAGATCTAGGCAAACATATCTGAGTTTCTTATTGTCTCTCAAATATCTTTATCCCTTCCCTGGAAGATCCAGAAACCAAGAAGTACTCCACTGAAGCACTGACCTTCCTTCTCAATCCAAGAGCCAACTCACCATCTTAACAGGTGCTGCTGAACAACGGAAATCCCAGTAGAAGGGTAGCCCTGAGAGCTCACTCTTCACACGAAGAGTCAGTGTGCTGGAGCTGAGCTGGCAGGAGAAGATGGTGGAACTGCTCTTTTCTCCTTCCAGAAGGGGACATATCAGACTGCGCAGGCGGCTCAGGAAGGAGGATACATGAGCTGTCAAACGCTTATTTAGCTCCTGGATGAGATTTCAAAAAATACAATGAGACTGTATTATTCAATAAAGTTATTTTTTTTAAAAAAGAGATGGGGGCAAAATTACTAATGCCCACAGAAGACTGGGCAGGAGTTTCCCCACTATCTCCTCCCTCTTCCCCACCCCCACCCTGCCAGTGGATAACATTGAAAGGTGTGTGCACACACCTGCTGTCCAGAAGATCCCAGAAACCACGCTAAAGGCATTTCTGCAAAATATGTGTGCATCTGAGGCTTATTTGTTTCCTGTTTATTTCTATTGTGCTCCATCTCTAGAGATATGAACATTTTTTTAAAAATACATAATAAAAACGGAAGACCTAATATTGCAAAAAATGCTTTTGTACAGACTACACATCTTTCCTAATAGTTTTGTCAGGAACCTAGGAAGCTGCCTTCTATTGAGTTAGACCATTGGGTCCAGTTACTCAGTATTGTGTACACTGACTGGAAGCAGTCCTCCAGGTTTTCAGACAGGTAATATTCCCATCTCTACAGGGAGCCATTGGGGATTGAACCTGGCAGCTTCTGCATGCTTTGCCACTGAGCTGCAGCACTTTCCCTTGTTGCAAGGATATTGCATCTTTTAAGCATTCAATGTACAATAACCTGTACCTGAGAAAACTCTACTCTACTCATTGGCAACTTGGAATATGGAAGTATGAGTGCTAACAGACACCTACTAGATATGGGTTGTGGTGAAGTCATTAAGAGTATTGAACTAGAATCCAGAAGATTAAGGTTCAAATTAACACTCAGTCATAAAGCTCATTGGATAACCTTGGGCCAGTCACTCTCTTTCAGCCCAACCTACATAATAAGGTTGTTTTGTAGATAAAATGGGAATAGAAAGAACCATAAACAGCACTTTGAGCTCCTTGGAGATAAGGTGGAATATAAATGCAATGTTAGATGAAAAATAAAATTTCCGAGAAGTGATGCTTCCACACAAAATCCCCAGTCACACTCTGGGCTCATCTGCACTTCCTTTTGTCCCATGATTTCACCTACAGTATTAGTCCTGTGATTTCCAGTCATGGGTCCAAGAGGTTCTTTTTTTGTCCTGCCACTTTCCCCAGGAATGAAAGTTAACTCACATAAAATCCAATTGATGTTTGTTCCAATTCAGAAGTAAACAGCAGGTTCTCCCACGGAAAGCGGTGGGACAAATAAAAAGAACCTCTCAGGCCCACGACTAGAAATCACGAGACAAACAGAAGTGTGGATGAGCCCTCTATGCCACTTTGAGATTCTTTTTAGTTTTAGTGAAGGCTTCTACTGATTTGGAGGCTGTGCCTACTGATAGGATAGCAGTCGCAGTGTAAGAATGCAGAACATTTACAAAACAAGGCTAGTGACAAACAAGAATGTATTGTCTGTGCAGAATTGCCTTGTTAAGGTTTCTTTTAAGCCTGAGCTGATAGAATAGCTGCTGAGGTGGATATACCATGTGCACATTTCACAACCCTAATTCTTTACTTACCTTTGATCTCTGTTGTATCACCTCAGTATCTACCTTTTCGTACCACATACTGCTGAGGTCAGAAAGGAGCAAGGCATAGCCAGCATCTCCAAACCAAACCTTAATCATCAGTTTTGTGGACTCATCAAAGCAGACTGAAGTCCAGGGCTGCAGGAGGAGTCTGTTTTCTGGGTCCTCAGTGCTCTCCATCCTATAATAATAATGAAATACACTTTTATACACTTAATCACATTATTCCTTATTTCTATATGGTAAACAAATTGAAGCCCTCCTGTGATGCCTAATCCTCATTTTTTAAGAAAGAAAAAAATGAGGGACATCTGAGTCATGGAACTCCCACATAAGATCAAGTTTGGCCCTTCATCAGCTGGCATATGTAACATTCCTAGTGTGGCAGAGGAACCTCAATCATAAGAACAGACTGCTAGATCAGGCCAAAGCCATCTAGTCCAGCATCCTGTCCTCATAGTGGCCAACCAGATGCATGGGAACCTCCAAGCAAAGCCTGAACACAACAGCATTCCCCAACCTGTGATTTCAAAATACAAGTATTCAGAGGCATACTGCTTCCAACAGTGCAGCACTGGCAGGAGAACGTGCTGGATGGCTGGAAAAAGAGTATGTGAACCAGGAGTGATTTGCTATGAAAAGAATTCCAGGTGTGTACCCACCTACACCACAGCAGCCAAATATGGAAGAGTTTCTTTTCCTCTCTTTCTCTCTCTCTTTCTTCTCAGGTGGATTGTAAGCTACTTCTCCCTTCTTATAATGCCACTGGGAAAGCAGAAAAGGCATTTTGTTTATCTGTTGTTGACATTTTGCACAAAAGATTAACAAGAGGAGATAACAGAATAGAAGAACCAACACTTTCTTTAACTAACTTAGGCAAACGGGGCAGTGATGCGCCTGGGTCCTCTACTGCCCAAGGTGAGGAGGGGTACTAGGTGAAGAATGTGGCAGCCTTTCTGCTTACAGTTACTCTCCTGAGATGAGGGGGATTAAAGTGTTGCTGGATGGTGTTGGAAAAGTTGAGGATGGGGAAAAGGAAGTACTTTTTCACACAGTTCATAGATGAATTATAGAATTTGCTACCACAAGATGTAGTGATAGTCACCAGTCGTTTTAAAGGGGATCAGACAAATTAGTGAAGGATAAGACTATCCATTGCTTGCAACCATTATGGCTATATACTACTTCCACGGTCACAGGCAGTAAGCCTCTGAATACTGGTTGCTGGGAATCACAAGTGGAAGGAATGCTGTTGCACTCAAATCCTGTTTGCAGGCTTCCCATACTGTTTCAGTGGCTTTCTGTTCTTCTTTTTTGTTCATATAGGTGATGGAATTATACCAAACTGGCATACATCTATCCAGTTTTGACCTTTAACCTGCTTCAGTTTGTAAGCCAGGTTTTCGACAAAGTTCCATTTACCAAACTTTTCCAAGCCAATTGTACATCATGGCTCCCTTCAGGCTTCACAAACACCCGGCCACTGTTTAAAAAGCTGCCATCAACAAATGTCCTTTAAGTTCTTGACTTTTTGGTCTAATTATATCCAATATATATATTCAGTAAGGCAAGCTTTGGGGCGATATCTATGGTCTGTCTTGTCATTCCCTCTATTTCCTTAAAAACTATAAACCAATATTCTTTTGCCAGCAGGGCTTTTCTTACGTGGGAGAAAACAGAGGGAGAGTGAAGTCAGTGCTTTGCTGCCCTTTCGCTCCCCTCTTCCTGCATCTAGTTCTTCAGGAGTGACTCATCAATTAGCCCCAAATAATTGTATAAGGTTGTAGTTATGATGACTGTACTTGTCTTGAGAGGGCAGAGGGGTGCCTCAAAACCTCTTTCTTACTTCTGCATAAATCTGAAGAGGCTCAAGCTGCAAGCATCCTGTTATTAAACATTTTAAAGCATAAAAGAAAAAAAGGAGAGTGTTTGTTGATTTACTAATGGGCTTGTTGCTTAATACCCTATGAATACAAAAAGAGAAGGCATTGTCCCATTTGGTATCCTCCTTCCAGAGCCTCAAAATTCTGGGGTCTTCCTCGGAATTTTCCGCGGGTAAGGATTCCAACCTGAATCAGGGGAGCAATAATTGAATCAGGGCTACGAAGTACCTTAACATACTGTGACTGGAAGCTGTGGAGGCGAGAAATGTTCTGAGGAAAGCCCAGCGCTACACCTTGGAACCAACCCTGACTAAATCCCACTGAACTGAAAATCGGGGTCGGTTCTCCCGCAAAGGCAAAATAGGGGCGAGAAAAATAGCAGCGGCAGCTGCCGCGTAAATGGATAACGGAGGGAGGAAGAGAGAGAGAGAGAGAGAGAGAGAGAGAGAGAGAGAGAGAGAGAGAGAGAGAGAGAAGCAGGGAGAAGTCTACTGGCAGGACCGTCATACAATGAAAAGGCGGGACCCAAAGGCATTGAGCAACAACAGCCCTGCTGCTCCGACTCCACTCCCACAACCAGTTTTGCTCGGCCCGGGAAAGAAAGGGCCGCCTTTGGCGCTTCGAAATTCTAAGCTCCTTTCCAAGCCCAACCCTCGTCCCACATAACTATAAACACATAAACGCGACATAGCCTCGCAGACCAGAACAGCACATGTAAACTACAATTCCCAGCGTGCCATTCTCGTCTCTAAAGGCATGCCGGATGATGTAGTCATGGAGGTGCTTGCCTGCTGCCGGCCGGAATTAGGCCAAGACGGGAATTCCCGTCTTTCATCCCTCAAGTAACCTGGCAGCTGTGGAAAACAGGCTGAAGAAAAACCTTATTATATTTTCTGTCTCCATTTAGTTCCCGCCTTACCGTGACCTTCGGCTCCCACAGCAAGGAAACTGAGGCCGCGACGAGGAAGGGGGAGGAGATTCAGACGGCGCCGGAAACACTCCTGTGGCTGCTGTTCCTCAGAAGCCGTTTCCCACCTATTTAATTTACGTTAAATCCGTCAGCGACCGTTGAAAGCGGGGGAGTTTCCCTCGTGTGGGTGCGCGCGCGACATCCGCTCCTGAAGTATCGCAGTAAAAACAGCGAAGCTTCAAGAGCCAAATATCCGTGGCAATATAAAACGCAGTGCTGTTTATCATGTGAATATAAATAACACAATTGACAGACTTTCAGTGAACATGGCGTTTCAAAAGAGTGTCCAAACGAAAACGAAAAGCTCCCTGCCTCAGGGTGCTTACAATCTGACCTTGCGATCCTAACAGTGTCTACCTATTTATTCTATCTTAATTGTGTCTGTCTATTTATTTATTTCGTAAAAATCACAACGCTTGATTGTAAAAAAATACAAAACAAAACAAAATAGTTTACATATTGACTCAGTCCTATTGAATTCAGTAGGGCTTGCAGGTAAAAGTGAGGCTAGAACTGCAGCCTACATTGCTGTTTGAGGGGTGTGAAACCTATGAGCAACTGAAGCCTGGCTATCCCTGCCTGGCAGGGTTAAGTTAGTAAAAGGCGAGCTGAGGCTTAGAGTCCACTTCCTCCTCTTGTGACAACCATGAGTTTGGTCCTTGAGGGAGAACTGCTCCCTCAAGAACAGGTTGAACACCGCTCCCCATCAATAGATTGCTTTTCAATAAGATGGTCCCAAAATGACATACAGCAAAACAAAAACAACAGTCAACTACGTTATCTGAAAAACAACAATAAGACTAACAGGTGATTCTTAAAACACCTAGCAAAATTTAAGTTTTCATTGCCCTTCTAAATGATGTTGCCGATGTGGTTGCTTTACATAGTAGGAGATTGGTATTTCATATGATGCCTCTGTTAGGGTTGCCATGTGTCCTCTTTTTGCAGGATACATCCTCTTTTTCCAGGGTAAAATTTGAGACAAATTGCATTTATTTGATTTGAATGGCTATCATAGCATCCTCTCTTTTGCTCTTCAAAATATGCCCACCCTGTTATCTTCTATGGTGTTGCATATATCTTAGGGTCAACCCTTTACTCCAGTTATGCTAGCTGAGTGGCTTTTGGAAGCAGTTTAAATGCCACTCTCTGCTAGTGGAGCAGGAGCTATGTCAACAGAATGATGGTTATGTCCAGTGCTGTTTTTCTAGAAAAAGAGGTGTTGGAACTCACCATGAACCTTGTTCTCTTGTAATGGCAATGGTGCCCACCTGAGAGGTACCGGAACTGGGTTCTGGTGAATTCCAGCTGACTAAAAGCCCTGGTTATGTCAGTGGAGCATAGGGCTGCCAATACATCCGGAATTTCCCAGACATTGCCGGGATTCATCCTTCTAAGATGGCGTCCAGGCAGAATTTTCGAAAAGTGCTTGAAATGTCTGGGGAAACCCAGGCGTATGGCAGTCCATATCGGAAGCTGTTATTTTTTTCAGCAATTTTCTATAAATACCTAAAAAAACACCATTTTGGGTGGAGATTTTGCAAAAAATGCTCAACTTTTGTGTCTGTGACACAGAAAGCCTGCTGTGTAGTACTGCTCTGCCCTCTAATTCTTTGCTTGCATTTATTAACTTCAGGTGGCATAGTATTCAAGCCTTTGATGTTTCGGCTAAAGGTGTTTTCTTACCAAGCCAGTGTTTTATCTGCCTTTGCTACCTTACCACAGATCAAGGAAGCCTGGTGGTAGACCACATGATTTTCTGGTTTGGGAAAATAGGTTATCTTCTGAGCACCATCCCCATTCCCAGTTATAGAATGTGCTGCTAAAATTAACTTTGTGAACAGGAAAGGAGTGCAATTTTTTTTATTCATATCCAATTGAGACTGAAAAAAGTGCAAAGTGGGGTAGGATCCCTCTCTAAGGATTTCATTATGCTGACAATTTCCTCAGAAATCCAACTACTCAATTAATGTGGGGCAGCTGTTAGAGTTCAGCTTCATCTTTACCAAACCTGGGTTTGGTAATTAAACCACATGTCACAAAATGCCAATGAGCTGCCAGTTACCTCATTCAAGGGAAACAAAACCCAATTATACACGGTGGCCCTCACTGCCCAGAGAACTGGGGTGCACGTAATATTTTCTAAAGGTGTGACTAGTGAGAATCTTTACATGCATACTTCCTCAGGTTGCTTATGTATAGCAGAGGGCCGACCCAGCCATTGAGGGGGAGGAGGAGTGCTGAGGCTGCCATCTTAGGCAGCAGAAGCTCCCAAGGCAGTGCCCCGCTTGCCCCACTGTCTCCACCCCCAGCCATTGGCATAGCCGAGGGAGGGCAGGGGGCAGCTGCCCGCCCAATCAAGTAAGACAATAACTGACCAATTATGTTAGTTCTGCCCCCCTTAAAAAGTCCTGCCTCCCTCAACAAAAATCCTGGCTAAGCTCATGCCGTCAGCGGAGAAGCAGCACCAGCACTGGTGCCAATTTCTAGCAATATCTCAACGATTTTTGAAACTGCGCATGATGTTGCAGAGCTGCTTCTGCAACGGTGGCAGAGGTGACAGGACAGGTGGCAGGGTGGGGCTGTACTTCCTGTTTCACCTTAAGTGGCAAAACAGATCATGCCACCCCTGGCAGTGCATCTCTATGCTTCTGGAAGAGGGAGACACCAAAGGTCTTATCTCCTTGTCACAGAAAGCGGGTCATGGTCAGCTAAAGAATGGTAGCCTCCTTGAGGGATTCATGACAGCTCCCGCCCTCCCTCCTATGAAAGGAGGAGAGTCCCACTTTATTAAACTAAGAAATATACAGTACCCAACAGGAAACTGTAGCCCTGGGTTATAAAGTGTGTTAGGCAAGTTATTCACTTGGAATTGAGTTGGTGATACATTTAAAAACAAAAGGGCAGAAGTACAGAAAATATGTCTATCCTCTACTCTAGCTTCCCTGGGGCATGCTACAGTAATGCAGGCCTAGTTCTTGCATGCTGCTATGGGATAGTTTCATTCCCACACGCAGTGACATTAAATGGGAAGTCTTAATGCAAGTTGTCACGAAGATATAGAAGAGAAATCCCAAAGGTGATGCTGCAGAAACCATTTTAGACTTGTAGAAGCATGCATGGTCTCCAGATTTGTTTCCATATTTGTCTGAAACCAGACTCCTCTGATGGATTTTCAAGTACCTGTCCTTGAATAATGTTTCTGTTTAGAGATCAGCATAGAGAGGTCATCTCATTAGCTGTTGGTCTGCCATATTTATGATTCTCCAAATTCCTTTGTGGAATGTTAGGCTCTTGGCACTGTCTCCAGCTCCAGTTCTGACTCCAGCACCACTGTTTCTGGTTTCAGCAGCAGATCTGTGGTTTGCTCTTCTGAATGCCGCAATTCTTCCAGGGGGTAAGTGTTCACAATCTCCACTTTGTTGTCCCCCAAGGGACAGAGGAAACAGAAAGGAAAGCCCTTACGCCATGAAGGTGTTGGATACTTTTGTAGGACTAGAGGCAGCTGATTTCTTTGTGCAGAGCCGTTTCTGCATTGCTGCAGGGAATTCTCTCTGGCCTCTGGTTTCCTTGCTGATGAGTAGTTGAGCAGCCCACGCTCTTGGAGGGTGCCTTGATAATAACAATGAAAGGGCAACTTAGAAGAACTATGCACTGTGGAATATGGATTGCAGCCATTTATTATCTCTATCCAACTGGTATAACCACCATAATTCTTTATTCATTATGTACATACCACCTCTCAGTCCCCAAAAGGGTCTCCCCAACACAGTTTGCAAAATTATGTAATTTATTTAAAGTAGATTGTTTTAAACTATCAAACCAGACAGCAGTAAAACAAGGCAATAATACCAAAACATGAGCGGAAGGAATTAAAATATATCAAAGGTCTAATGGAACAAATGCGGCATATTTCCCAGTCTAACCATTCTTATTCATGGCTGTTATTTTTTCCCCATTTGTAAATTTAATGAAAATGAAAGGAATAAAAACATAAAAGAAAATAAATAAATAATCTAAACTCTAGTGGGTGAGAGTTCCATAGTTGGGGGCATCACAATCAAGAAGGCCTTGTTCCCCACTTTAGATAAGCATACTTTATCTGGTGAGGGAATGAAGCAATGTAATGCCCCCATATATCACTAGGATGTTGTAAGAAAACAACTTTAAGACTGAAATGTTTTAGGTTGGTATGTTCCTGTGCCAAAATGCTTACAGTCACCGTAGTAACAACTGCTACTACAAATCAGGCCATGTTTAAAGAATTCCCACCATAACAGCTGCCATCCCTTAAGGTTTCCCAGGTCTAAGTGGTATCTAAGGTCAGCATGACAGCAAACATGGACACTACCAATTCTTATCTGCAGTGATTATTCTATAATAATACCATACAACTAATTAAAAGACCCACTGCAGACTCTTATCTGGAGTTGAGCACTGAGAGAGGGATAACAGTAAAACTATCAAAACAAAGTAACTGGTGACTTCCTCCTTACCGGAAACTGTGTTCTCTAAGAAAAAGGATAGGAATCCAGTTATAAAGGCAGGAACCATCAACAGAGAAAGGAGGAAGAGGTCTACAGGGACACAACCTGCAGAGAGAACATCACAGTTATCTTAGAAATGCCATAATGTGGTACCTTGCATTCAACATCTCTAAGTCGATCCAACAGAACCTCAGATAGTTATTCATTGTAACTAGAATGGGTCAGAAATAATTTTCTGTGGCAAAAAAGGCTTCCACCCAAATGCTGAAAGTGTGGGATAACCATCATGCTTAAGTCTAATTAATGCACGAAGAGATTAAATAGAGTAAGATGTCCTGCCAGGCTTAGCTCACCTTGCGAGGAAATGAGTAATCGAGCATATTGTTCACCCCCAGTCTACTAGAGAAGCTCAACATGTGAGGAGGAAAATAGGGACACTTGGAGAGTCTGACATAGTCCTTCCTCTTTATGATTCTAAGTACTTCCTACATATCATGCAAATAAAAATATTTGGCTTAAAATGAAATAATGTGCAGTGTAACATTGATGTACAACTAATAAGATTATTATTATTATTATTATTATCATTTCATTAATCAGTTTTAGATAATCAATAAATAGGATATGCAAAGAACCAAAAGGGCACACTCCACAAAGTGCAAAAATGTCCAGATAGCTTTGGAAATTTAAATGTTTGTGAAAACTTTTAAAATGCCCCCCCCCCCCCGATCTAGCTGCTTTTTGCAAGACAGGGACACAACTTGAGGGTCCTGTTATGGTTCTGAATTTCCTGCAGAAGGCAGTCTCAAGCTTTTCTTCTCACCACAGCTCTGATCATGCCAGCCCCTGCTCCCCTCTTGGCACCTGTAGCTGTAGCCAGGGACCCTGGTGCCGCGAAGAGCCACTTCGGAACCAGCAGACCCATGAACATAGTGAAGCCCACAATGAAGATGTTCCTGCCCGAGTCAATGTCTGTGTACTGGAAGTAAGAGACACCGGTGCCCACAGCCATGCTGTATGTCACACACAGCACTCCTCCTGAGGATAACAAGGGAGAAAGAAGCATAACAAAGTAGCTGAACTGACTTTGGAAAAGGGAAAGGGCAAAGAATGGAGAGGGACTTAAATATGAGTAACCATAAGAATAGAGCAGGAGCCTTGAATTTGCCCATAAACAGCATCACCTGGTATCTCCCCCACTCTGGTAAGATGCAGGGTTTTTTAATTGAAATTATAGCTATTATTTCTAAATTTGTACACACACACACATCATCATCAACAACAACAACATCATCATCATCTTATGAAAATTGCTGTCCTTTTTGGCAATGCATAACTGGTAACCTAGCCAGGAAGTGCACCCACACTATAATAATATAATAATAATTTATTATTTATACCCCGCCCATCTGGCTGGGTTTCCCCAGCCACTCTGGGCGGCTTCCAAAAGAATATTAAAATACTGTGATACATCAAACATTAAAAGCTTCCCTAAACAGGTCTGCCTTCAGATGTCTTCTAAAAGTCTGGTGGGAGGGCGTTCCACAGGGAGGGCGCCACTACCGAGAAGGGCCTCTGCCTGGTTCCCTGTAACTTGGCTTCTCACAGTGAGGGAACCTCCAGAAGGCGCTCGGTGCTGGACCTCAGTGTCCGGGTAGAACGATGGGGGTGGAGACACTCCTTCAGGTATACTGGACCGAGGCCGTTTAGGGCTTTAAAGGTCAGCACCAACACTTTGAATTGTGCTCGGAAACGTACTGGGAGCCAATGTAGGTCTTTCAAGGCTGGCTCTAGGTTATAGAATTTGTTGGCTGGCAATGGCACCCTTTAGGATTATAAAATATCATTTACAAGGATAACCTTGACTGAGAACTTAAACTCATTTAAAATTACGTCACCATGGAAAGAGCATAGGACCCTCATTTACGTCTAGGGTAGCCAATGCCTTACATAGTAGTGGAAGATAATGGTTGTTCCAACATACATTATAAAGTAGGCAACAGTGAGAGATGCCCCAAACAGGGAGGGGGTGGGCTGGCTAGGTGGCACGGAGATATAAGGAAAGGAAAGGAAGCGTTTATTACCATGAATTGCCAGAGGGATGGTGGTAAGAATTCCCATGAGCCGAGGAGACAGTCCCAACAGTACACATGCCAACGCACTGATCCACACTGCACGGCATGAGGGAGCCTGAATGTAGGAAACAGGGCATGAGACTGGAACCTTGAAAACCCATGACCTCAGGTCTCTCCAGGCATGGAACCCCACAGAGCATTCTGCATTCTACAGGATGATTAGTGGGCAGGGTGGGGGACTGTAGTGGATGGAAGAAAACAGGAGGAAAACCTATAGATGAGAAAAGACTATTCTTCATACTGCAGTCTCTGTGGGAAGACATTCACATGGTAACATTTCCCCCTCCTATTATCTCACAGCCTGTCCTGGGTCCTCTAAGATGCTATCCTATCCCCAGGGTTGAAGTAAGAGTCAATCGTCCATCCAGTTGGCTTCTGTATGTGCAGTGGAGGCTGGTCCATTAGGACACTTGGGGCACTGCCCTACCAAACTCAATCTGCCCTTAGCCAACCCTCATCCGCCTCCTTTCTTACAACCAGCCTAGGGGGTGGCACCATCTGCCCCCTCCCCCTCCCTAGTCTGTGCCTCTTGCAGAACTCAACAGGGAGCAAGATGGAGACAAAACAATAATTACCGTATTTTTCTGTCTATAAGACGCCCCCATGTATAAGACGACCCCTATTTTTTGACCCCAGAATTAAGAAATAAGTATTTTAAACATTCTGTCTATAAGATGACCCCCCCCCCCAATTTTAAACTTAAAAAATTTGGGGGAAAATATAGTCTTATACACGGGAAAATATGGTAGTTGTCACTTCCCATCATTGGTTCTGGTTCCACTTACTGTAGGTCTCCCTGTCTTACTTCACCACGCATTCTGTAGGGCAGAGCTTTCCAAACTTTTCATGTTGGTGACACACTTTTTAGACATGCATCATTTTGTGACACAGTAATTCAGTTTTTCTAGGAAACCAGTGGGCAGCCCACTCCCTTTCCAGCCCCGGGAGGAGCGCAGGGAGAGTTCGCACAACACACGTACACACAGCAGCCAATACTAATGTGTTGCGACACACAGTTTGGAAATCTGTGCCGTAGTGTGTGGTACAAATGGAATTTCTCCAGATAATTAATATTGCACGTGTATAACGTTGTTCAGGGTTTTATAAGTTAACAACAAGGCTTGAACAACAAGACCTTTAGAAGGACTGCTGCCACTACCAGCCAGAGAAAACAATACTGGGGTAGAAGGACCAATTGCCTCTGACTCAGCATCAGACAGCTTCAGATGTTAATGGGGAAAGGCAAGACTTAAGGCAATCTCTGAAACAGGAGCTCATGTACCAATTGTTGGAGGAGAGTGATCCATGGGACATCTCAGTGCCTACTCTGAACCTGCATAAAGGAATCCATGATCTCGACCCATGCTCTTACCTGGGTCAGTCTGCCGGCACAAGCATTGGGCATGCTGGATGCAGTTCCAGATACACTGCCCAGCACAGCTGCCAGGAGGGTGCCAAGGCCCTCAGTACAGAGCCCTCTGTTGCACAAATGCTGTGGTGGGGGTGGATCCCATAAGGACTTGCTGCACAGCAGATAGCAGCCCACAGAATTCACGCTTGCGGTAACACCCATAGCAGCACCAATGCCAATGGCACGGGTACTAAGTACTGGCCAGCCCTGTGCACCTACGGGACAAAGAGATAGAAAAGACGAGAAGTGAAGTCCAGTCATTAAGCCAATGAAAGGGCAAAGTATGGTTAAGCCATTTATTACCTGGGTAAGGCAGCTTGAGCCATGGGGACTGCAGGGTGCTATTGGTGAGGGTTAAGTGGGGTGTGGAAGGATGCAACACATCCCAAGAGGTTGGAACAGGTCTCAGTATCCCACAGACAAGCCAGATCCCAGAGAAGGGCAGCAGAATCTATAGGAATGCAAGACTGAAAGTGAGAATTTGCCTACCTGCCCCTCTTGCTGTGCCTGGATCCATCTGCATAATGCCAAAGGACACAGGATTAAGCTGTGCCATATTTCTCAGCTCAGGGCTTTGGAAATATTGGAGATTTGGGGAGTGGGAGATAACAGGGGAAGGGGAAGAGGAAAGTGGAGAAGGGAGCCAAGTTTGGCTGTACCATTAGTTCATTAATTCATACCGAAAAAAAGTGCAGAGCTGGGCTGCCCGATTTTATAGTGAGCCTTCTTGCTTGGCTCCACTGGCAAATGGGCAGTCGGCAGGAAGCCAGGTGCTGGGATAGCAAAACGCACAGCAACACAAGCCTAAAAAGAGATCATGAGTGATATTCAGCAAAGCACTGCCCTAGGAATATAGGTTGCTTGGTCCTAACACAGAGAATATGTAAATCCCAAGAGCTGCCATGAGAACAGCTCGGCTCCAAGAGGTTTCTCAGTTGAGTAGCTACTCCTTTCCCCAATACTACCCAATGTTCTATTTCCATTCCCTAATGCAGGCATCCCCAAACTCGGCCCTCCAGCTGTTTTGGGACTACAACTCCCATCATCCCTAGCTAACAGGGACTATGACCGGGGAGCCCAGGGTTAGAATCCCTATTCACCCATGAAGTTCACTGGGTGACCTTGGACCAGCCACCATCTTTTAGCCTAACCTACCTCTGCTGCCCAGGAGGACTCCCCTGTGTGAGTGCCTGAGGGCCCTGCTCTTGCCATTTACCATCTGGCCTGGAGCGGGGCCTGAAGCCTCAAAAGGACTGCTCTGCTGCCCAGGAGGACTCCCCTGTGTGAGTGCCTGAGGGCCCTGCTCCTTCCTGCCACTTACCACCTGGCCCAGGGCGGGGCCTGACAGGCCTCACAAGGACTGCTCCTGCCACCTACTATCTGGCCCAGGGTGGGGCCTCACAAGGACGGTTGTTGCCACTGATGCTCCTACTGCCCAGGAGGACCCAGAGGGGTGCAGAGTTCTTTTTAACATGTTTTAAAATCTCCCTTTCCCTTTAGATTTTTTATATATGGGGGTGGGATGGATGTTTGGGTGGGCTTGGGAATTTGTTAGATTTTGATGAATTTGTAATTTTTGCAGTTTTTATTTGTATTGTTTTATTGTTTTCTGGGTTGTTTTTGTCTTTTGTCTTTATTGTTTTAAGGTTTTATTGTTTTAGGCTGCGAAAGAATAACATTAATTGCCATCAATGGAGGCTACTATGAGGCTTGGGATTGCTACCGTGGAGGGGCGAGGGAGGTATGGCGGTGGGGGCAGATGTTATAGGCGAAGGGGATCGAGATATGGATATGCTCGTACCCCTTCCAATCTGCACCTCATCCCGAGGGACGAGGGTAGGGTGAGCAAGGATTACTCACCTCCGTCACTGGTGCTGTGCAATGCCAGGTCTATAGGCAACAAAACCGCCACCCTGCGAGATTTCTTTATCTCGCAGGGGGTCGACCTGGCTTGTGTGACGGAGACCTGGGTGCGCGAAGGGGCAACAGTTACCTTACGAGAGATGGCGCCCCCGGGTTTCTCTGTCCTCCACCAGTCGCGGACTGTGGGCCGGGGGGGAGGGGTGGCATTATTAATCCGGGAAGATTGTCCTTTCAGGGCTCTACCATCGCCATCGATCCCCGGCATTGAATGTGTTGACCTAGTGTGGGGCTCCGAGGAGAGCTTGGCTGTCTGGCTGGTGTACCGGCCACCTAGCGCACCAGCAGCCACCCTGTCAGGCCTATTGGAGGCGGTGGCCGGCTGGGCCTTGGAGTTCCCTAACCTATTGGTATTGGGGGACTTCAACATCCATGCTGATGCCACTCCCTCCTCACAGGCTCTGGACCTGGTGTCTTCCATGGCGACACTAGGGCTCTCCCAGTTTGTTTCGGGCCCCACACATCAAGCAGGCCACACGCTGGATTTGATCTTTGGCGTAGGTATAGATGTGATCATGTCTCCTTCGATGAAGGTATAGATGTGATCATGTCTCCTTCGATGAAGGTGCCATGGTCTGATCACTACGCTCTGAAAGCCAGGATTGACTTTCCACCCCCACCCTGCTTAGGTGGCGAGCCGATTTGGGCTCGTCCGCAGAGGCTGACGGACCCTGATAGATTCCGCCAAGCCTTGCGGGACCTTGCTCCCCCTGGCGATTCATTGACTGAGCTTGTTGAGGGCTGGAATATCCAGCTCCTGGCAGCCATCGATGAGATCGCACCTAAGTGCCCTCTGCGACCCTGCAGAAACCGGGCTCCCTGGTTTACCGAGGAGCTCCGGAAAATGAAGCGGGACCTCAGACGGCTAGAGCGAGTATGGCGGGGTGCCCATGATGGAGCATCAAGAACATCTTATAGGGCTTTTATGAAAACCTACGAGATAGCGGTGAAGGCTGCTAAGTCTTACTTCTCGGCCTCCATTGCATCCGCTAGCTCTCGCCCGGCGCAATTATTTAGTATAATCAGGTCTTTAACGTCCCTTGAGGGACAGCCAAATTTAAATAACAATTTGACACACAGCTGTGAGGCATTTGCGAGCTTTTTTTGCAGAGAAGGTCTTGTTGCTCCGCCATGACCTCCCTGCCAATTTGGATACAATAAAGGAACTGGAGGCCCCTCGACTGTCCTCGGGTCCAGTATTGGACCACTTCAACCGGATATCCCCAGCCGATGTGGACAGACTCCTCCGAGCTGGAAAGCTGTCCTCTCGACCCGTGCCCGTCTTGGCTGATTAGAGCGTGTCCAGACGAGGTGCGGGCCCTCCTGGGGGATATCATCAATTTGTCCCTTGGCATGGGGACATTCCCAGGGGAACTGAAGGAGGCAGTGGTGCGCCCGCTCTTAAAGAAAACATCATTAGATCCTTTAGATCTATCCAATTACCGCCCGGTTTCGAATCTTCCGTTCCTGGGTAAGGTGATTGAAAGAGCGGTTGCTGAACAGCTTGGTGGGTTTCTGGATGAAACATCGGCTCTGGATCCATTCCAGTCCGGCTTCCGCGCTGGTCATGGGACCGAGACGGCTCTGGTTGCCCTAACAGATGATCTTCGTAGACAGCTGGATCAAGGTGGGTCGGGGCTGCTGATTCTTCTAGATCTGTCAGCAGCTTTCGACATGGTCGATCACGAACTTCTGGACCACCGCCTTGCCGACGTGGGGATCCAGGGCACAGTCCTTCAATGGCTGCGCTCGTTTCTCTCTGGTCGGGGACAGAGGGTGGCGCTTGGGGGGGAATTGTCATCGCGCCACTCCTTGGTGTGTGGAGTACCTCAGGGTGCGATACTCTCCCCAATGCTTTTCAACATCTTTATGCGCCCCCTTGCCCAGCTTGTCCGGAGTTTTGGGCTGGGTTGCCATCAGTATGCTGATGACACCCAACTCTATCTGTTGATGGATGGCCATCCTGACTCGGCCCCAGACACACTGACCAGATGTTTGGAAGCTGTGGCTGGATGGTTACGTGGGAGCCGGTTGAAGCTAAATCCTTCGAAGACAGAGGTCCTGTGGTTGGGACGGGACGATATGGGATTGGGGGGGCAACTCCCATCTCTTGCCAGCACCGTCCGTTAAGAGTTTGGGTGTAATCTTCGACACCTCCCTTTCCATGGAGGCGCAGATTGCAGCTACAACAAAGGCGGCATTTTTCCATCTCCGCCAAGCTAAGCAGTTGGCTCCTTACCTCTCTCACCCTGACCTAGACACTGTGATCCACGCGACGGTCACCTCCAGACTCGCTCTACGTGGGGCTGCCCTTGAGACTGACCCAGAAACTCCAGCGGGTGCAGAATGCTGCAGCGAGACTCCTTACAGGGTCTTCGCTGCAAGATCACATTCACCCGGTGCTATACCAGCTGCACTGGCTCCCGGTGGAGTACAGGATCAGGTTTAAGGTGCTGGTTTTAACCTTTAAAGCCCTATACGGCCCAGGACCCTCGTACCTACGGGACCACCTCTCCTGGTATGCCCCACAGAGAAACTTACGGTCTTCAAATAAAAACATCTTGAAGGTCCCAGGCCACAGAGAAGTTAGGCTGGCCTCAACTAGAGCCAGGGCTTTTTCGGCCGTGGCTCCAATCTGGTGGAACACTCTGTCACAAGAGACCAGGGCCCTGCGGGACTTGACATCTTTCCGCAGGGCCTGCAAGACAGAGCTGTTCCACCAGGCCTTTGGCCAGGGCACAGCCTGACTCCCTCCCTCGGCAATCTTCGTGGAGCTCTGGCCCAATGGTTGCCAGTGGCTTGAATTAATTAATTTTATAATGAATGATTTTAGAGTGTTGTTTGTGCTGTACTTTTGTACTGTTTTATTGTTGTTAGCCGCCCTGAGCCCGGCTTCGGCTGGGGAGGGCGGGATATAAATAATTTTTTTTATTATTATTACCTCACAGGGTTTTTGTGAGGAGAAAATAACCATGTACACCACCTTGAGTAGCTTGGAGAAAAAGGTGGTATATAAATGTAATAAATAAATAAAATAAATATTGTTGGGAAAATTCTGGGAATGAACAGTGTTTTCTGGGATTCTCATCCCAGCACTAATGTTAGAGCAGAAACAAATATTAAACAAATTACTCCAGAATCTCAAACATTCTACACAGCTCGAGTCACATCTGCACCAGACATTTAAAGCACATTGCTTCCCCCAGGGACTCCTGGGAACTGTAGTCTGTTAAAGGTGTTGGGAGCAGTATATCTGTGCAGGGTAAAATGCACTTCACAGGATTCTTATGGTGCTTTGTGGAATGGATGTGACCTTATCCCATAAGGAGGACCTCAAGTTTTGAAACCCTATACTTTTTATCATTGGGGAATGGCTCCTGAATGGGGTGGGGAGTGAAAGCCACCTTTCCCCCACCCCCTTCAGCTGACATGTCTCTGGTTTGAACCTTAGGTTTTGTGGGATTTAAGACTTTTGGCTTAGATTTGAATTTGAATCTGGCAGTTTTAGTGTGAGAAAGTTGGTGACTGTCTGAATTTCAATTCCAGCCCAATATGCCTCATTCATTCCCTTCACAACCTCCTTTTGAGAGGGCATGAAGCACAGTTACTGGAGCTGGCTGGTCTTTTGAAGAGAGCTAGCAGTCAGCAATCTGAACTTACAGCAGGGCGACTCCCCAGTTTTCAGAGCAGAGAAGAGCAGCAGGTCTGTATGCTGAAAGTCCAATGACAGAAAGGCTTGGGGCCAGAACCATGGGTCCGCAGCGATGGGTAATCCACCCACAGGCACCTGACATCCCCAATGCCACCTGCACCAGAGCGGAAATCAGCACTGCACCTGAAACCTGGAAGGGGAAAAACAGGCAGAACAGGGTCAAGTTACAAAACAGGGATGTGGAATTTTAGGACTGGGGGCCAGTTGTGGGCCTCCAAGCATCTCTATCTGATGCTCGGGACTCTTGCCACACCACATACCACCCCTCTCCTCAGGTGACACCCCTCATTGGCCCTGCTTTACCCTTTCCTGGAGTGTTCTTGTCGGGCTGAAAAGTGGTTAGAGTGATCGACTAGGCCCAGCACCAGGGTTCGAATTCCCACTCAGTCATTAAGCTTACTGGGTGACCTTGGGCCATTTACAGTCTAACTTACCTCACAGGGGATAAAAGGGGGAGGGAAAAAATGTACATTCCCTTAAGTTCCTTGGAGGAAAGTGTGCGGGCAGGTGTTAAATGTAAAAATAAACAAATTCTCATAATGCCTCTTGCTTGCCTTGATGGACAAGAGAGGGTTGTGTGAGAGTGTGTAGAAACCAGCTGCCTTACAAAGGTAAAATTTGCATTTGTTCCTCTATCCACTTTTGCATCTGACTTCACTGACCACTAGCATGTGACCACCCCACCCATAAGGGCATGTGTCCCCCAGGTTGAAACAGGTCTCCCAGCCCTGTTACTATAGGCCTCCATTACATGCTTCCTCGGGGATATTTTTTTTCATGCAGACAAGGTGGTGTGAGAGGCACAGGCAGAGCTGGTGAGACAGCTATGGTAGGATTGGGAGACACCCTAAAGCAATTGAAAGCAGAGTCCAGCAGCATGGTGGTGAATTACTTTCCATCCTTCATAGTGGCAACAGAACATGCCATGTGCTGCCATGACTTTGGTACACCCACCAAGCTGGTATCTTATGTCCAAAGGGATCCAAGAGACCCTGTCTTCCTGGTGTCTAACCCCAACCCCACCACCACTGATGCCAGCCTCTCCGTATTGGGTTTAACCAATCAAAGCTGCCAACCTCATGGAGTAACTGGTCCCAGTTTCTTGAGTTTTCACAATCTGGCCCAGCACATATGTCAGGGGCCTCAGTGCCTGAAAGGGAAGCAGGGACAGATAAATGAGTTGGGAATACAGTGAAATGAAGAACACAATGAGGAGAAGAGGAAGATCCCAGAATTCAAATTAGTTTTAAGCAGATTTCATATTTTTAAAAACTGATCTGCAGAAGTCATTGCTTCTGAATGGAATGCTGATGTGAGGGATAAGCAAGGATTCTCAAGGAATATGTAGTGGAGGAAAACAAGGATAAAGGGCTGAAACCAGTCACTGGCGTCAAACACTGACAATTGCATCCCTTTGACTACATACAAGGGGATGAGACTGAAAGGTGTTTTTCCCATTTAGAAAGACAGACAACTGAGGGAGAACATGGCAAAGAATTGTAAAAGAACTGGAGAGGATGTGTAGAGAAATTTCTTTCACACAATACTGGTCACCAACAGACAAAAGGAAGTACTTCATGTAATATACAAGGTTCATGGCTAAATGATGTGGTGGTGGCCACACTGACATGGGGAGAGGCTTCTAAATCTGTGGAAGCATGGACTTGTCAATGACCGCTAGCCATGACAGTGAAATTAAATCTATAAGATCTGAGGCAGTACACCTTTAATTGTCAAAAGCTAATGACAAAAAAGCAACAGAGAATAGCTTGTGAGCTTTTCAAGAAGCATGTGATCGACTACTGTTGGACAGAAGGCTGGACTTGAAAGCAATTGTTCTGATCCAGAAAGGCAAATTACACACCTAAGTCTGCCCAATCGAACAAGAGATGGTTGTGCTTATTTTTGGAACATAGGATTCAGCACTAAGACGTGAGTATTCACTGTGCAACAAAACAGCAGCCACTGATGGCTGGTTACCATTCTTGCTGGATCCAAAACTCCTCAAAAGAGATGGCATTTGGAAACCTTGCCATCCTTGCCCTGTGATTGCAGTGTCCTGTGCTGGTGGCTGAGTATTTGGAAGAGGACTGGGTACTTTTGCCTATAACTCACTATTTCCATTTGACTGGAGAATGGGAGCCACATGTTGGGTCTGTATCATGGCTGGGATAAGGAACTCAAAAGATGGAGCCTGAACCAGCGGCAACCTGCAGGGAAGACAAAGGGGAGATCCTGCTACAAGGAATGGACAAAGCCCAAGGGAAGGAGCTGCTAACTAGAAGCTGTGTAGAACTAGGCATTTTCCAGAATACTAGTCCCTGCTTAGACTTCTAGTAATAGAAGGCCACACCCAACTCCCCAACCAAGAAGGCAGCAAGGCTGTGGGATTCCAATAGGTCAAGGGTTGCCTAGAGCCAGCTTACCTGGTTCCCAATCCACACTGAAAGGCTGTGGCTATGCCACAGGCAAAAAGGTTGCATGCTAGAAGTTCATTCCAACATGGAGTACCATTCAGCATCTTGCCGGGGAGGGTGGCGATGAAGAAAAAGTGAAAGATGCAGAGAAAAGATACCTGGACCAGGAGATGCTAGGAAGGAACAACAAGTTGGTCTGAGCCATGGCCTTGTGAGCACCTTCACCCTTCCCTAGAAGATGGCACAACACACTTAAGCCCAATAGTGTGTCTCAGTCACTCCCAAAGCTTCAGATGCTGGCTTTGCTGCCACTCATACATTGCCACTTTCTTTAATGAGACCCACATCAAAGTACAGTCGCTAACACCAATTTCTGCCTCATCGGCAGTTCCAACCTTCACCTAGTATCTGCAGGTCAGGATTTAATGAAAAACTGCCCAAACCCTGGAATCACATTCCTGCATATATTGCATCAGAGATGACCACTGGTTCATCACTGCTCTTTTTTTCACAAGATGCTCCTCACTTTTTGCAATTCTCCAGAGTTGCAATGTTTGTCTGCATTGCAGCAAACACAACACAGAGCCTTGTGACACCCTTTTTGCGGAATATGTTTCCTCTTGGGTGTTGTGCTACACCCGCCCACTCCCAAGCAACCCAACTCACCTGCAAGGCCAACAAGCAGATCAGGGGCCAGGGAGGAAATTTTGGCCCTTTACGAGCATGGGGAAGGATGCTTTTAGAAGCCCTGTTGACTTTGTTCATGATGTCTGTCTTTTTCCTTTGTGCTGGAAAGTGACCTAGCAACTGAGTATATCACCAATTCCTCCCCTTCTTTTATTTACACCCTTCACTAGCCATATGCATCTGAACTTCCACCTTTGGCCCTTCCAGGCCACAGTTGCTCAGCCTGTTAGCTATTAACTTGGCTTGCCCAGTAACTCACCACTAGTGCTGAGAGGTAAAAGGCATGACTGAGCAGGGGTTAAACTACAGCAAGCTGGTTTTATGTGGACCACGCCTGACCTATTGGACAGTATCAGCAAGGGATAGTGCTGTGGTTGGCCATCTATAACCAAGGGGCAGTGTGCATATAATAAACATGCCTAGGCACTTGCTTATTTGCATAAAAGGGACCTATTACATGTTATTATTTCTCACAGAGACCATACTTAAAACAATTAAGAGAAAGAACTATCTGGGTGGGAAAGAGCTTAGACTAGTCAGTTTAAAGCTGGCCTGGGGACATTCTTGGGGCATCATGTGAAGGCACTGAATATTACCACCTTGCAGGTATGTTTTGTAAGCATTTGAACTTGTTTACTTAATAAAATCCTAAAAGAAAAACAAAAGATTACTTTGCTGAAACCAAGTAGGTCTGGTCAGTGTATGGATGAATGACCATCTGGGAACTGCAAGTACACTCTACTGGGTTCCACAACAGATGAAAGTTAGAATATAAATGTAAGGGAATTGTATGGTCTTTTTAGCACAATTCTTCTTCTCTCAATGCTGGTGGCAAGAATCAGTGCTTCATCCCTCTTACAATTCAAAAGCCATTTTGGACAGCTGCAAATGCCAGGATTGCTACTGTGTGTGTTTGTGTATACACACACAAGCTACGGAAACCGCTGCCCGAGTGTACCTGCATAATACCTAGCACATGCATTTCTTGCTCACACTTTACATTTTTAGATGGACAATGGAAGCATCTTAGGCATACACCTAACACTGTAATGTTTGAAGTGGCTCCAACACTCCCACTCCAAGAAGGCTTCGGTTCTCTTTGTATTATTGTTACATTTTAATCTTGGGGTTTTTTTTCAAAGAGCTCACAGTGACATACAAGGTTCTCCCCACGCACCTCTACCATTTTATCCTCAGAACAATCGTGAGGTGGGTTAGGCTGAGGGATTAGGTCACGGCTACCCCCCCACCTCCTATTTGCAGTCCTGGCTCAACCGCAAGAGCACTTCACCCCTTTCCCCAAGCATTTCATACACTGTAAAACTTTTGCAAGTTGTGCTCACTGTGACTCTGCTTTTTTTCTGTTTCCAAAGAAAGGGAAGCTAGTAGGGAACTGGCAGCACTTGGCTTGGGGTTTAGTACAAAAAAGAAAAGGCAAGACAGTTGCACATCAACAGCTATATTTATTAGAAGAGATCCCATCTACAAGAAATAGTGAAAAAACTACAGCAAAAATGTGCTGGTAGGAATAGGGCGTAAGAAGTGGTCGCCATCCCTCCACCCCCTCCCAGCCCAAGAAATGCAGGGGGCAGTCAAGCACTCACAAGCAGAGATCCCAAAACACTGACCTGACCTGATGGATCATGAGCCTCCCCCTGCAAATCGGTGCCCTTTTCTTCTCAGACTTATGGCTAAGAAAACTCCAGGCTAGTCCTGCATGGCTCTTAGAAAGCACACTGTCTTCATAAAGGAAAGCAAGGTAGGCAGGCACAGGCCAAAGTAATGTTAATTGTGTGGCAATCACTTGGTGGCCTGAATGTGTAGAATTGCTGGTATTTTTCACCATGATAGGGAGTCACCACAGATGATTACTTCCAAGTGCCCCTGGCAAATTCCCACACAATAAGAGCCAAGCTAGAGGGCCATTCATGGTGCCCTATACTAGCTCTCCCAAGGTGTGTGAATTCACCCCAAGTTTTACTCAATATAGCCAGACAAAAATAGAGTCAGGCCTTTCAGGCAGGTAAATGGCTCAGCTGTAGCAGAAGACTGGTTTCAACAGGCCCAGGCCTCGCTGATTCAGTCCTTTATCCTACCCAGCCTTACACAGCTAAGATGGGATGCATCATTCCAGAAGACTCATTGTGGCCCCTAGGCAAAGTGACCGTTTTGGAGGGCAGAGAAGTCCTGCAGTCAGAAAGGGAAGTTGACATCCAGTGGGGCACAGACTGATAGGTACCTCCTTTCCCACTCTTTCCTGCCTTGTGCCCTACACTTTCCAGACACCCAAAGCATTTCCCATCAAGGTGCACCCACCCCAGCCCCAAGCCCAAACTACATCCCCTCCCCTGCAGCCCTAGCTAGGGAACATGAAAGCCTTGATCCTCCCAAGCTCCAAGGCAGCCTGTGAGGGGCACTGCTTCAATGCCAGAGGTTCAGGCCAGTCTTTGCAGTTAGAGGACACAGGAAGAGGCCAACCCCAGCATGAGCAGCTGGTGCAGTGGGCAGAAAGTCCAAAGGGGGGCAACTGTGGAGCAGGGTGGGTGCAAACTGTGAGGTTGGCTGCCACGCAGGTGGTGGATTGACTGCAGTGTGGACAACGCAAGGGACTGGTGGGGGCTGGTGGCGGATAAGGTAACACATTAAGGACGCTGCCCCACAGGTAGAGTGCTGTAGCCATTACACCATTGCTTCCTGGCTGTTGCTGCTGCCGCTGTTGCTGCTTCTCTCCTTGAATGGTTCTGTTCTCTGCTCCTGTGCACGGAGAGCTGTTAGGTAGCACTAAGCCATGATCCAGATGCTGGGCTGAAGAGGGGAGAGGCAGGTATGCAGCTAGAGCATCCCTGGTGCTGGCAAAATCAGTAGGACTGGCCCTTTTCACATGTATAGTGTGATGAACCACTGCAGTAGAAGCAAGGACAGCAGCAACACCTGTCAGGTACATCACACCTAGAATGCAAGCCAGCTGTGAAAAGAGATGACAAATGTCAGTATGCAGCATGCCTTCTGCCCCACCTGGAAGAATCCACCTGAGATCACGTATAGATGAACTCAAGGAGATTCCTGTGAGAGCCATTCAAAGGCCCACCCAGCCCAGTGTCCCACTTTCCCACAGCAGCAACCAGATATACACTGGTAAGAACACTGCCCTGAACACTCTCCTTTTCAAAGGCAGAGGTTTGGTTTACCTAGCACATGTGTGGATAGGAGGGTACAAGTTGGCAGAGGAATGTTTTCATCCAGATTCCATCATTGGGTGAGACCAAATTGGCTGAGCCTTTTTAAAATAAAAAAATAGTGGCACCCTGGGTTGTGGAATCTCAACCCTGGGAGGACTGGCACACCTGTTTGCTTTTTCTATTCAATGAATACGTTAAAAACTTTGATTCACTGATGTGTTAGGCTGGATGAATAAATGCTGCTAGCTCTGTTGCTTATCTTTGGGATTTTTATATCCGCTGTTTTTAGCCATGCTATGGTTGGTTTAGCTGCTTTGTATGTCTCCGGCAGATTTTTTGTTCGACTGAGCTACTTAAAGGGCGTATATTGAAAAGCAGCCTAGAATAGAAAGGGTAAATTTGTTATTTATTAATTATCAGCCAACAGTATAACACTGCACAGAGGCATATCCGGTCCTATCTAGTAAGTCTCTGTCTGTCCTCTCTCTCACACACACATGCACAAACCCCATGCCTTGGCATCGAGAGTCTATTCATTTCCAGCATCACTGCACCCACATAGGATAGCTGCTCTCTGTTCCCCAACCCCCATCCCATTCAGTAAGCTGGGCCTAGCTTGCCCTGCCTTACCTTTGCCACCTGCTGGTAGAAATGCCCCAGTGCCTGCTGCCACAGTGTTTGCTCCATTAAGACACACAGGTCAGTGTAAGTGAACCAGCCACGCCAGATGCCCTGCCTCTCAGCCACACTGCAGGAAAGGAAATAAGGAAATAAAGTTCATGTCTCAAGACCTTGTATCCTGGCAGCATTCTGCACCATGAACAGGAAGCGTTTAAGAACTCACACAGATGCCCATTACTGCTATTCCCTATGCTGCAAAGCCACATAAAGAAGACAGCAAGCAGGATGATATGTTGGATAGCACTGCAGCAGGGGTAGCTAAATGCGTTGCATTCCAGAAGCTGCTCAATTCCAAGCTACCATGAGCCCCTGCCAGTGATCAGGGACTATGGGACCATTCCTGCCCTGGGGAACATTGTTAACATTAATGAAGCCAATCCAGGTATTTGAGAGGCATGTGGAAAGGTACTCTGAGGCCATGTTCAGCCTATTCCTAATGGACAGCAGCAACTGCATATACCCAGAAAGAACAGAGAACCCAAAAGACTCCTTCTATGCCATCCTGAAAAAGCAAAAGTACTTACCATCCCTCCAGCCAGCTGAGCATTTCAAAAAGCTCCTTGGGATCTGTATAGAGGCTCCAATCCTATAGAAAGTAACAGGAATTCTTAAACCAGGGAGCTAGAATTCTCTTCCTATGCACTCACTTTCAAGGTAACAAATCTTACTTGAATGATGCATGGAATACGCAGTTACCCTATTGGGAAGGCAGATCCCTCTACAAGAAGATTAGGAGTGGGAAGGGTCAGAGACGCCATTATCACCACGCTATCCATATCTAATAGAAGAAGCTTCCCAAGCTTCCCAAGAGAAGTTGTTGGGGTAAGTTCACCCCTATGAATATTTTTTCACTCAGGCCCCCTGCCCCAGTTTGGCAACATTTCTACAACAGTGACAATACTCAATGCTCACCCTAGTCAAGTGACAGAAATATTCAGGCACCAGGTTAAAACCAGAATTTTCTACACAAATTGTTTTAGTGGATGGTTTTGATCTGGTGTAACTGCATTTTTAAATAGTAATGTACTGATTGTTTCATCACTGCTCTCTCTTATTGATTGTACTAGTAAATTTAGATATTTTTTGGACATTTTAAAGAGTTTTATGACTTAATTGTTTAATGAATTTATTGTTGTGAACGATACTGTAGGCTGTGAAGAAAAGCAGTATATTAATTATAACCAACATGCTCTCACACCCTTCTGAACACAGTGACTGGTCTACATTCTGCTGAACTTCAGCTGAAAATTCCCCAGCAGCCCTCCCTTCCTGACATGGTAGATGTAGCAGACTTACAATGGCACTGAGGAAATTCATCTCCAGTGTGTTCATGGTCTGTACGTCTACTTTGCCTGCGGCACCCCATTCATCATTGAAGACCTCCTCCTCTTCTCCTTCATCATATAAGTATTTGCTGGCAACCATCTGAAAGCAACAGGAGAGATGCTAAGAGAGTGGCACAAGGTGAAGTTTCAATGGAGGTGGGACAGATACCCCCGCTTTCCTACTGGAATCAGTTGCCCCATTTAAGGATGGAGGAAAACCCCATCCTCAACTTACCAAGATTCCCAGGTACAGTGGTGCCCCGCAAGACGAATGCCTCGCAAGACGGAAAACCCGCTAGACGAAAGGGTTTTCCGTTTTTGAGTTGCTTCGCAGGACGAATTTCCCTATGGGCTTGCTTCGCAAGACGAAAATGTCTTGCGAGTCTTGAGATTTTTTTTTTGCTTTCCCCCCCCCTTTATCTAAGCCGCTAAACCTTTAATAGCCTTTTAGCAGCTAATCCGCTAAGCCGATAAGCCTTTAATAGCCGCTAAACCGCTAATAGCGCTAATCCGTTAAGCCGCTAATAGGGTTGCTTCGCAAGACGAAAAAACCGCTAGACGAAGACACTCGTGGAACAGATTAATTTCGTCTTGCGAGGCACCACTGTAATAAGGAGAGAGGGATCTGTACAGACCATAGTCTGTACAGCCAGTGTGAAGAGTTCAACACCCTCAGTTTTTAACAGGTTAGACAGACAAGGAGCCAGCCATTCAAAAAAGGCAAATATCTGGTTTGGTGGGAGGGGGCCTATGGCACGAAAACCTCTGACTTGTAATCAAAAAGAAAAAGACAGAAGTCAAGTTACGGAGGATCAGGGAAGTTACATTGAAGTTTATGGCCCATGGCAAAGAGAAGACAACAGTTTCCATTTACACAGGACCAGCTTATTCAAAGCACTTTGTATAAAATTCCTCATGGATCCTTATAAACCATTCAGATCATGATAATATCAAATGGGAACCAGCGCCTCAGAGATTAGCAGCTTGCTTAAAAGCCACCCAATAAGTTCAGGGCCATGGCAAAAAATTCAAATAGTATTTCATGAGCAGCATTCTTAGCAACTACATCACAGCGCCTTCATGATGGGGATCCACAGGCTCCTGTAGTTGTATTGTAAGGAACGGAAGACAGGCAAATGTTCTGAAGTGCTGGAGGTTCAAAATGGATATGGCAGCTGCATTGCCAGGAAAGATAGGAACCCTTTTTCCAGCATTAAAAGTGTATGCTCCTTGTGGCAGAGATCTTTGGGCCAAACAATCTCTTACTACTTAACCATTGCTTTCCCTGCTCTAAACCAACCCAGGCACCCACCATAGAGATCAAGAAGAGGTCAGAGGAGGAGATCTGCTGTAGATATTCAGGATTGCGATGCCGAAGCCTCTCAATGTAAACCAGGGCCAACATCAGGGAGCAGGGGGAGATGCAAGCCTCCCTAGGATGAAAGGTTAAAAGAGACAACCGCTCAAGCACTCCATCATAAGTTCATCTGTAAAGCAGATCACCTATACCCCAGAAACCTTTGGAGCTTGAAAATCCCACCTTAAAGAAATCAGGACTCTGCCCATTCTTGGGGCCACTCTAATTGTACAAACAAACCATGCCTAAACACCCATGTGTCATATGTACTGCAAGTTAGATACTGCACATTCCCAACATCTTTATCTGCAGTCAAACTCCATACAGATTCACAAAAGATGAAACACAGCGAAGGAGGCTTGGAAGTATTAATGAGAATGGATCAACTAAGTGCCATCAAGGTGCTGCAGGCATAGAAAATTCATGTTTGCCTTTGCAAGGGCTTTGCAAGGACACAGATCCTCTCTGCAACCAGGGAAAAACCTCTTAGGCTTATATCCACCCCAGCTCATTTTTCTATGAGCTCCCACTGAAGAGGCCACAGGCTGCTTTCTAATTGTCCTCAGTTAGAATTCAATTTCTTTTGTGAAGAAATTAGTACTTCATCAAAAACTCCTCCGCAACCACTCTAGGCAACAGCCTCAAACTTCTTCCCACCTATTGCTGTTCCCATAAAGGGAGGGCGTTTGCTAACTTAAGGCTTCCCTCCACCCCTCCCAACTGTTTTTTTAATAGAAAAGCTGATTTTGTACAAAGTTATTATTATGTTTATATAACTTTATATTTCAATAATGCATATGCTGCCTTGTATGAGAATGATCCTCAAAGCAGCAGGGATGAAATTGCACAAATTTAAACATTGTTTAAACTCCCCCCCCCAGTCCACAGAACAGGAAACAACTCTGTATGGGCAACAAAGAAACAGAAAATCATTTCTGAGCCGTACCGGGAGACATGTGATACATATTTTTTCTGGAGCCTGCGAATCGGGCTGGGAGCAGCCTTCTGGAGCAATTCAACAGCAATATCTAGGAAGGAGAAAACAGCAGGGTTCAACTCAGTGCACAGAACCCCTTGTCCCCAAGTCATTGTCACACTCTAAAGTTTAGCACCATCTCTTTTTCAGCAGACAATACCTGCTTCCCTCTGTAGCCAACCTGGCAAAGAAAGGTGCTTGCAAATGGAAAACATGGGGGGGGGGAATTGGAGTCTTACGGGGAGGGGTTCAATTTCATCTCCAAAGATGCAACATCCATTTGGAAAATCATTTTTTAAAGCAAGGTTATGTCAACAAGAATATGACAGCTGGATAGAAAGACTAGACACCTTGCCCTGGTTTCTCCCAGATCTGAACACACCTATCTGGAACTGTATAAGTATACAGTTGTCTTATTTGTCCTTGATGTTATTTGTCTCTGATAGCATTGTTTATGGCCCATGTGTCTTTTCTTGCAACTTGACAAGATCAACCATATATGCATTCATTCCAGCAATTCAAGGCCAACTTTAGACTTCCGCCTCTGAAATACTTGTCTCTTAGCAACCACAAGGAATCTACTGAGTCAGTCACTCAGAAGTTCCTGCTGTATATTAGTATCCATTATTCCCATCCTACCCATACATACACAAACAAATAATAAAATCGCAAGTCACAGTTGCAAGATAGCTTGAGGGCGGGGGGAAAACCTCTGGTAGCTCATACTAGAGATTAAAATGGGAAGAAATCATTCTTCCCATAAAATGGGAAGAAATCATACCACTCTGGATATCTTACTAGAAGAACAGAGTATAAGTGAACGCTCATCAAATGGAGGACGGGATATTTTAAAAAGTACAAGAGGCCTACAGCAATTATAGAGGTGTTTAGGAACCAGAGGCCTATGGCAACCTGTTGCTCTTCAATTGTTGCTGGACTACAAGTTTCAGTATCCCTGATCATTGTCCATGCTGGCCACCACTCCCCGCCTTTCAGGGCACCTTTAAATAAAGGGCTTGTTCCTAGCTATGAAGTATTCACACATATTTGTTCTCTCTCACACAGCAGTTCTCTGGCACATGACTCAACATTCCACCACTTCAATGATCTGGAGTGTTTAATTGGACAACAATGCAGACAAATGAACAAAGCAGGAAATGAAGTAATTAACCATATTAGAGCCAAGCAGAATTATGGCAGAAGAACACATTATAGCAACCAAACTTGGTGGTGGGAAAGTGAGCGGTGCTGTTCCAGATTATGTGAAAGAGAAAAAGAGGGAAGCAAGGGGAGAAGAGAGATCTCAGCTCCAAAAAACTTCTACCACAATCAATCAAAATGCCAAAAAGCGCAGATAGGAAAACTATACGGTCAAATTCTTAAGTATTTCCCCCAGCTTGTATCCAATTCAATTGAATGTCGTTTGTACCGAGGATGGTAAGGAGGTGGTGGTGTGGAGTAGAAAGTAAGGGAGATTTTCACCCTTATCCCCTCCCTTTAAGACCCCTTTGAAAGCCAAACTCACCGGCAACTGGGCTTGAGAGGTTATCAAGGGCACTTTCTTTATCCCAGCCATAGTAAAGTCGCTTGCGTACCCGATCACTCAGCTGCTGGTGCCTGGGAAGAAACTGAGAGAAAACTGGCAAATGAGAGTGTGGTGCTGTGAACCTTCACCTTTCTCCCCAACCCAAGTGACACACAACACCTCAGTCTCATAATTCAATGCATAAGGGTATAATTAGCATCTGTAGGAGAAAACACTGTAATTATAAATATCTACCAACAAGCTTCCATTTTAGGCAGGGCAACCTAGCCATACACGCTAACCACTGAGCTAAAGCAAAAAGGAATACTGTAAGAACCAGTTTAAAATCTCCAGGAAAGGAGATTCCAAAAACCCCATCCTGTTTATTCCACCAGATGCCCCCCTCTCTTTATATTCCTACAAATCTGCACTGTTACCCCCAGATTGCTTTACCCTCAACAACTATGCTCAACGGTTATCCTTCAATACAGTATTTGTTTATTTATTCAAGTTATAGGCTAGCCAAACTCATTCCAAAAACAGAAGAAAAAGACCCTTACCAAAGTTAAATGTCCAACCTTCATACCACCCTATCCTGCTTAAATAGCAAGAAGCTGAAAACCCCAGTTTTCCCAGTTAAAATTGCCTAGCCCCCTCAATCTTCCCTTATATTTTGTTTTAAATAAAAGAACTTCTGAAATTATTTGAATGCTTTTCACATCCTTCCTTAAAGTTGTGGCCAAACTGTATAGTACCAAGTGACATTTACATCTTTAAGTCAAAAAGAACACTCACTTTATAGAGTCAGAAACTCAGCAATATGGTTGGGACTTACTGGGGAAGCACCAGCAGTACCTTTGTTAAAAGGGCCACACTAAAGTGGCACGGTCCACATGTTCAGAAGAATTACAGGCCTGCTTAATGTGGAAAGGGATTTTTTTAAATTATTATTAAAAAGGAGGCTGGAAGTACACCTAAGGATGGACAAGACAAGCTTGGATGGTCTGGAGAGAAGTATCCCCTGACTCTGAGGCCATAGATCATGTACATGGGAGAAAACAACAAGGAGGAAGAAGACAGCAAAGGTTTTTCTGGACTACCACACATCCTCTTTTATTCCTGTAACAGGCTGCTCCCTCCAGACTTCTATGCTCCCAGGTCTGTGCTTGAATAGCTTCTCTCAGCTCTGGGAATTTTTGTTCTTACAAGTTATTGTGGAGGATTTGCATCAACCAATACCAATTGTTATGTGCAGCGCTTTTTTTCTAAAGAAAAGTTTAGGGGTACTCTCTTTTTGACTCAAGAAAACCACAATTTTATAGTTCAAATTGGGAAAAATAAATACAATAAATGGAAAAAAGTCCCCCCCCCCCCAGGAATAAAGCACTGGTTATGTGGAAGCAGAGCACAGTAGGGGGGAAAGAGAATCCCATTATGGTTGCATGACTGAATGAGTGCCTGCTCTTTTCCTTTCCTTCTCCCCTTTTCTCAGTGTTCCCCAGCCAAATGCAAGTTCGGTGATAAAACCTATCAACTTGCTTTCCTTTATATTTTATGTCAACAACCAATCAACAGGCCTGAAAACACCAAACCCTATGCAGCCACACACAAAAGTACTATTTCTAACACTCTTCACCAGTTCTTTTTTGTGCTGTTGTCTCATGCCTTTTCTTTATAGCCCTCCTTAATGACATTCTTCCTTTTGTCTCCTGGTTCTGTTTACAGGATTTCCAAACACTCCTTAATTACCCCTTGATTTCTCATGCATCCCCAAACCTGCAACCCCAGAGTAAATAGAGGGAGGAAACCACAGGTCCTGAAGTCCCTTTTACAGCACTTGAGTGCTGCAAAAACCTTAATAAGTTTTGAAGTACAGTAACAATCAGAATGGATTTTCCTTCAGGCTTTTAACCAAGTTAAGCAAGTCTGCATCTAACACTGCCAGGGAAGCCTGGCCCAAGCTTACTTTGAAGAAATATTAGATAAAGTTGAGCAAATAAAGAATTAGCATGTTGTCATTTACAATATCAGTATGGCCCCTTTGGCATACCAACGTACACCCTTCTAGGTGATCAGTCTGGACAGATTCTATAGTTCCCATACTCCTGTCATTAGCAAACATAGATTGCACCACTAAGTAACAAGGGATGGGGAATCTGTGGCCCTCCAGCTGCTGTTGGGACTACAACTACCACAATTTCTGAATGTTAGCATACTGGCTGAAGCTGATGGGAGTTGGAGTCCCAACAACATCTGGAGGTAAACAATGTGCTGAAAGTCAGGAAAAGACGGACCGACCCCTTAAGATTGCCTACGCATATGCCATATCGACACTGAAGTAATAAATCCCAAGTTCCCACCGAACCTGGGAGTAAACTGGGATGACAGCCGCGCTTACAGAGGTGCAGCAAAGCCCAATTATGGTGCCTTGAAGCTCAAGGCAACGGAGGGAAGGAATGGCCACAGAATGGCACCCGGTGGGCGTGGCCACCCAAAGAGCAAAATACAGAAGTCCTTCGCACCCGCCAAAGGAAAATGACAGACACCTCCCTGGCGGAAGGGGAGGGGGTCCCAGTCAGCTGGCGAAGGCCGGCGTGTGCGGGGAGGAGAGGAGCGCGGTTCAGTCTGGTGACAGCAGCTCACCGTGAACTCCTGGAAGCCGCTCAGGGAGAAAGCGCCCTCCTCGTCCAACAGGAGCCCGTTCAGATCCATCCTGCCGCGCGTGAAAAGGGGCGTCAAGCGAGGTTGATCTCCTTGCTGCTGCCCCCGTTGGTAGGTAGGCAGGTGCCCGGGTGGGAGCTGCCCAGAGAGCAAGACGCCTCCTCCGCGGATAGCACCGCAAAAGGAAGAAGAAAGGGCTCCGCGCAGCCTTCCTCTTCCTGGGGCGGGAGAGAAGAGAGGGAGGGAGGGAGGGAAGGAGGCGGGCTTTTCTGCGGCCTCCGCTTCTAATAAGCCGAGCGCGAGGGAAGGCGAAAGGGTTGCTTTTAGGATGAGTCACCGCGCGTGTGGCGCCTTCATCATCCCTCCGTCCGGTCCTGCCAACTCAGGTCGCAAGCAGCCGAGATGGACGTCTCTGGCGGCAAAAGAAGCGGGACTTGGCTTTTTTCTTTGCAGGGTTGGGATCCGCCTGCTGCAACCCAGCAACCCCTCAAACAGAACTGGAGAGATGGAAGTTTGACGGAAAATAGAAGTACTGGTTGTGCATAGGTATATATGCGACACTCGATTTCTCATCGTTGATATACTGGCCGCGAATAAGTGAACTGACTCCGTTTCAAAGCTTTGCGTCAGTCACATTGGTAATCAAGGGATGAACACATCTATACGAATTAGTCCTTTGAGCGAGCATGTCAAGAGGATGGATCCTGGCACATCACGATGTTATTTTTTCCTACACCTGTAAGAGAGTATATCTTGTTTTTTAGGCAAACAAGCCTACCCAGACATGTAACTTTATTTTGGACATTTATGTTAAAACTGCTGTTTTTATCTGTATTGTGCTAAATGTTATGTCTGTTTCCTTTTAAAGTTTGCTTTTATCAGTACTTTAATATATATTTTATATTGTTTTATGTAATCTGCTTAGAGGTTTTTGTTGAAAAAGCAGGATATAAATCTTGTTAAATTGGACCCCATGTGTACCAGTTTGATTATTTGCACTACAAATCATAAATTGCAATGGTGGGAGGAATGGAAGATAACCCTTTTGTCCATTGTGATCATTCTGACAGTGCATAGAACATACTGTGGCACGTTTGTGTTCCGCCATCCTTCTGTCTCCAAAACAGAATCTCCTCATGGTTACCAAGTACTCCCTTTCAGTGGAAGTAAATGATATTTTGTACTGAGGCATTGCAATAGATATAGAGATGTCTCACTTTCTCTTTACATCCATCAGACAACAACATATTATGCTAAAAATGATTCTGGCCTTGTACAGGTGAACTAATATCTACTACCACCAAGCCATTGGGTGTCTGAAATGCCATAAACTCCGATATGACCAGAGCCACATGTGTACATTACGTTTCTGAAGGCAGTTAATAGCACACTGCACAAACAGAAGTGTTGAGAGGGGGATCCCAGGATTCGCTCTTGGTTCCACTTCCCAAAGCACAAGGTTGAAGTTGGTTACTATTCCCAATTTCTTATTTCTAGTCCCTACAAAAATTCAAAACAGCAGCATGAACAGCCTCAATAAAGAATTGAAGTTTATACAATGCCTCTATAATACAAGTAACCACAGCCTGGCAGGCAACCTGGCAATGAGAATATTACACCCGTAACTATCACGCCAGCAGTAGAGGAATTCGCATTTTATTTTTCCAAAAGAGTCTGTTTCTCATTTCTTCTACTGCTCTGTTAGGCTGTGTTCACAAAACAGTCCTTCAGTTTATTCGATGTACTTCAAGTCACCAGCATTGTTTGTGCTCATTCACATAAAGGAGTAATTAAAAATGACTATTACTCATACTTAAATCTAAGCACAACCACGAGGTCTCCTGATTAGGCATTTGGTTTGTGATGTTGAATGTTGTCTGTTAACTCTGTTCTATCCTGTTTCCCCTTTGTTTAAACCAATTCATGAACCAAGAACTTATACATTCACTGCTAATAATGAACCATATGTTGTAGATATTACTCTACATTTATTATGCTATTTTTGTGATATACAAATGACATGAGAAAACTTGGTATACTTATTTGTATAACATTCTTGTTTATAAAACGCAGTAAAAAGTTATTAAAAAAAGAAAATAAAGAATGAGTAATTTAACACGTAAGCTTTTTAGTTCTCCAGAAATTGTTCATCAGACTAGATGGTAAACAAAGCAGGGGAAAGGGGGGGAGGGAGTTAGGTAAAGCCACGAGTGCATTATTCCATCTTAAGCCTTTTGCAAGATACCTTGTGGCTTTGCTACCAGTCTACAATTTCTCCCACCCACCCTGCTGTTTACCATTTTGCCTGATGAAGACTTCTGGAGAACTCAAAAGCTTGCATGCCATTTTGTGACATTTTTGTTGCCCTAATTAATATGTTGTGCTAATATGGGTTCTGGAATGTTGCAGTATTGTGAGGCATGTATTTTATTTTATTTTTAGTGAGGAATGTTTCGTCTTAGCTCCACCTCTACGCTGCAAGCTGTCAGAAGCCACTGTCACTGCCATAGTCCCCTCCTGCAATATAAGGACAATGGATTGTGTTACTATTGGCAGAGCAATTCTTAAAACGTTTTAAACCCTTTAAACACACACACAGACATTTTTTTCCACACGAAATAACCTGAGTTAAAAAAGAATACGACCCGTCCCTTCTTTGCTGGTTTTTATTTTCTTTTTAGAAGGGAGCGGCGGGCATACTCCGCCGCCCACTCGTAGCTATCATTTCTCCATGGTTTTCCAATAGACGGCCTTTTCCTTTTCGCCCTGGAAGCGGAAGGTTGAAACAGCCTCAAAATAAATCCCAGGATTTCTATTTCTGCAGGAAGCCGAATAGCAGTCGCTCTCAACTTTTCCTATCTCTATTCTTGAATAGTAGGGACTGAGCGGCTTGCGCATGCGTGTCGCATGAAAACATCCCGCTTCACGTTCCGAGGCCGATGCACGTGATCGCTGAGTCGCTCTGCCTCGGCGTCTGTATGGCTGCTGCGGCTGCTTCCGGCCGCGGCTGTCAGGAGGACTCCTCGCTCCTCCCCCGCCCCCTTCCTGATCGGTGGCTGAAGAGATGGCGAGCGGCGGCGGCGGCGGCAGCTCGGATGTCCCGGCGGCAGAGGCAGGGGAGCCGGTGCCGGTGCCCGGTGGCTGCGCGGCCGGAGGCGAGGAGGAAGAGGAGGAGGAGCAGGAGGTCTTGGCTCTGGCCGTCCACCTGAGGCGGCGCCTGAGGGGCTGGGAGGCGACGGTGGCCGCCGTGCAGCGGCTGCTGGTCTGGGAGAGGCCGCCGCAGAGCCTGGCCGGGGCCGCCGCGCTCGGAGCTGCTCTGTGGTGAGAGGAGGCGGAGGCCACTCGGGGGGGGGGGCGCAGGATGGGGCCCCGGGAGGTAGCGCGCGCGCGGGGGTTGGTGTTGTTCACGTGCGTGGCAGCGGCGGCGGTTAGGAACCGCGCGAAGGGGGCTGAAAGTAGAGCCGGCAGGTAGATGGGGTCGTGGATACTCCTGACGTGGTTTCAGCTGGGCGGCCGGTTCTCTCTTGGCGAGAGGAAGAGGCCAGGCTGCAAGAGAGCCCCGGGCTTAGGGTCACCTATCCTGCTGCAAATTTAATACCACATAGAGCTGTTTTCCTACGCGTGCTTACTTGGGAGTAGACCCCTATTGAAATCCGTTGGACTTACCTCTGAGTAAACGTGAATAACCTTGTGCTACTCATAACCTTCCAGTTGTCTGCAGGGAAGCTTTCTAAGGGAAAGGAGTTGCCAGTCTGATGTGAGGTGGGCAGCTTTAGGGTAGCGTTTTCTGATGCTGGTCAAGGGAAGGATTGCTCAGGAATAGCCGTTCTGTTTCATTCTGAGTGTCTGCCATGCACTATTCTGGAATAAGTTGATAGCCCCATGTGATTATGTTTAACTTATGTATGTAACCCTTCCCTTCTCCAAAGATCTTAGGTTTTCATATTTAGGGTTTCTCTGGCTATTCTCATAGCAATCCTGTAGGGTTAGTTGAGCTTAGTAATAATCAGTTGCCCAAGTCAGTTAGCTGGAGCTTGGACCAAGGTCTCCCCAAATCAATCAAAACACACATACAATTTGTGCAAAGATTTTGGTTGGGACATTTGGAAATAGGTTTCTTGAGGTTGGGGAATTGTGGGAAAAGGTACTGGGGAGGCTAGTATGAGGAATGGAGGAAAGTGGAATAGGTAAGAAATTTGCAGTTGTGGAAGGGAATTTAGGGCTGTGAAGTTGAGTGGTAGTTGCAAGGGAGAGATCTGGTAAAATGTAGTTATGCAGTGGTGATGGAAAGGCCTTGCAACAGGTAAAACTACACAGTGCATGTGTAAAAGATCAAAGTTGATATGAGCAATAAAGCATTTGAGAATGGAGGATATTTGGTTGTGAATTCCCTCAATGGCCAAGGATTATCCTATTTTAAAGGAGGCACAGGTGTACAGGGACATCCCCTACAAGTTGGAGTCATTCTGAAAAGAGCAGCACTTCTCCCAGAAGTAAGAGCAGTGTGAAGGAACACTGAGATGAATTGCTAATTGATAGTAGGTGGAATGTGCATTAAGATTGTATGACTGTCTGGATCACTACTGCAGCCCCAAAGTAATTCAGATGGGCCTTTAAATGTCATCTGACTTTTGGATTCTTGGCCCTATCTTCTGAAAGTTAAAAAAGAACTGCTAGATACCTTTAAAACCAGCAGATCTCTGGACACCATACTTTTGCCCAATTTTGGTATCACTCTCTAGCAATCTAGAAGCTTCTGTCTGGAAACAGCAACAAATCATAAAAGCAATGTAAATCCTTCTTTTGTGGTCCTTCATTAGTATGAGAAAAGTGGCAATTCTAAATATTCTTTCCTGGGACCAATTTTCTGTGCACTATGAAGGGAGGCAGATGACTTTAAAATAATGGACCCTGAAAGCTTAGTCAAAGAAACTCATAACATCTTTGCTTCTTCGTGTAGATCTGCAAAAAATGTGAGATGACATGAGTGATTTAAAAGATAGGAAAGCATGGGAAACTTTCATTTGCTCCTACTTGGCACTACCATTACATTTTGGAGCAGTTTTCAATATCCTTTATAAACAAATCCAGAATGGTGCTTCAAGTTATAATTATTGTTGGGAGTGGAAGGATGTTGGGTCCAGACGTCTAGTGAAAAAATGATTGTACCCTCCTGTAGCAAGCTTTTGCTTATCTAATTGTTAAAATTCATCCCAGATGTCTGGGGGTAAAAAAGTAAGTTCAACACCCTTCCCCCTGGATTACTTGCTTATTTCAGCAATAAGAATCTACTTTACAGGGAGTCAGTACTGGGCTCAGCAGGTCAATGGTCTACTACTTTCACTGGCAGAGAAATTCTAGAGTCGCAAGTCAAAAACTTTCCCAGCCCTAGTCCCTGAGACTCTTAACTGACGATAGCCGGGACTTAACATTGGACTTTCTACATGCCACACGTGTACTCTGCCTATGAGCTATAGAGAAGAGTATAGAACAAGCTGCATGCATGAGTTAATAGTGGGGTTCCCTCCTTGAAATTTGTCTGTCTGAGACTACTGCTGGTCTTGTATGGATGAAATTCTGTTGCCCCTGGCCACAGTGCAGTCATGGATTGATTAAGTCCCTGGTGGACCCAAGAAGGCTTCGCTTTGAGGCATATTTTGTGGTGTCTTCTACACTTGATCTAACAAGGATTGCAGTCACAAGCTTAGGATGTGGGACTTAACATTGGTTGGGTTTAGCGTCATGTAGACTTCCCTCTTCACTCTCAAAGTATAAACAGACCTCTCCCTGACGCACGGGTGGTGCCAAGTGCGCCTCCAGGACTTGGCTTGTGATAAACACGGACTGCTACTAGCAGCTGCAGATAATTGGAGACTCGCCCAGGAGTGTTTCTACTTAGAATTTGTGCACTCACTGTGTACAACCCACATGGTTCATACTATCCCCAGCTTGGGCCTGGTAGCTTAGTAGTAACCCCTGGCAATGTGCCAGGCTGGGAGTAAGCCCTACAAGCTGTGCTCTTGTTAAGCCTGCAGTGGATGAGAACTGTAGTGCTAGCACATTCCTTGTTTCTGCCTATCCTGCCTCTGCGCACACAGCAACATTGAACAAGCCCGTGTGGTGGAATCCAGCATACAGCTGGGGGGGGGAAACATCCTGTTTACTCTTGCAGACAATGAGCTGACTGTCAGCAGAGCAGATTCACAGGCTGGAGTCAAGCAGGGGTTGGTAGTACACTTCCAGAGACTGCAGTTTGTGGAGATGTTAATTTAAACTAGAAATGTTTTTTGTTATAATACTTAATAACAATTTAAGAGAAGGGAGAAAGATCCTGCCAGAAAATATTTTCTCATTAAAAGAAGAAAAATTCTCAAACAGTAATACATACAGGGCTAGAAAGAGAAGAAAACATAACATAAAAGAAGCCAGCAGCATATTTTTTAGGTACCCGCCATGCTCGGGCTAATATATTTCAAATTACTAGGTGCCACCAACATCATTTTTCTAGTTGACTGGATGCCTGTAATTTTTAAACCTTTAATTACACAGAGTACAGGTCTCTAAACTGTACACTCATGGTCCGATGCATAGAAATCCAGTGCCTATAATAGATTTCAGTTGGAAGCTGTATACAAGACTTTCAAGGATGTGAACTTCTGTCAGTGATAGCTCAAATAGGTAGAAAATAAAAAGGAACAGGGGTGCGCATCCCATTCCCACAATAAGCTTTGGGTGAACAGAAGAGTATATTTTGTCAGAGTGCATTAATTCATTTCTTGCCCAACACTTTTGTTCAGTGTGTTTATGTCAATAATAGGCAAAATGTGTAAAAAAAATTAGGAACTTGGTGTTTCCACCTCAAATTGTGGTTTGGGCCACCCCAAATCATAGATCCACACATGCAGGAGAATGTTATCTAGAGATGACAGACTCATAGACTCATATCCAATGCAAGTTTTTTAAACACAGGACACTGTCAAATGTGTTGGTCTAAGCCATTGCCAATGATAGCCAAACACGCATAGAAAAGAATAAAGAACTGGGGAAGGGATGCAATAAACTTTGGTATATCACAAATCATACACCCACATCTGCAGGATGGTACCCTCTATCGGACAGCATAGAATCACGTCAGGCCCAGTGCTTTTTGGAGTGGCAAGGTGCTATCAGTTGCATGGGTCTACACCAATAATTGTCAAAATATGTACAACTCTACTGCTGGATGTGTGAGTATATGGTTTGGTGGTTCCTAAGTTCCATCTTATTTTTTTACACATTTTGGTTGTCGTTGGCATAGTTTCACACCACACAGTTTCTTGTGTCCAAGCACTGTGTTGCTAGACCAAATGCAATTTGGGTATAACCATTGTGGTGGTCCAAAGCAAGTTTGGGTTGCACAAACCCAGTTCCTTATTCTTTTCTACATTTGTTGGCTATTAATTATTTGTTATATTAGAATAATATAATTTCTAAAATTGGCTATCATTGGACTACCTAAAAATTTATAATCTGACATAAATTTTATGGATGTCATTCTTCATGAGATAGGTGCTGCAGCAGAGTGACAGACAGTCATTTTGGAAAATAGCTTTTGCAGACATGTGCCAATGTGCACATGATGTTTACTGATGTTTCCTCTTTCTGAACTATCTTCTACAGTGGTGCCACGCAAGACGAATGCCTCGCAAGACGGAAAACCCGCTAGACGAAAGGGTTTTCCGTTTTTCGATGCGCTTCGCAGGACGAATTTCCCTATGGGCTTGCTTCGCAAGACGAAAATGTCTTGCGAGTCTTGAGATTTTTTCGCTTCCCCCTTTTTCTAAGCCGCTAAGCCGCTAATAGCCTTTTAGCAGCTAAGCCGCTGCCGCTAAGCCTTTAATAGCCGCTAAACCGCTAATAGCGCTAATCCGCTAATAGGGTTGCTTCGCAAGACGAAGAAACCGCTAGACGAAGAGACTCGCGGAACGGATTAATTTCGTCTTGCGAGGCACCACTGTATGTCATCCAAGTGGAAATTGCTTTCAGTAATGACTTTCCTCCTGAAATTTATTACAGTGGTACCTCGGGCTACATGCACTTCAGGTTACATACGCTACAGGTTACAGACTCTGCTAATCCAGAAATATTACCTTGGGTTAAGAACTTGGCTTCAGTCTGAGAACAGAAATCGTGCAGCGGTGATGCAGCAGCAGCAGGAGGCCCCATTAGCTAAAGTGGTGCTTCAGGTTAAGAACAGTTTCAGGTTAAGAACAGACCTCCAGAACGAATTAAGTTCTTAACCCGAGGTACCACTGTATAGGACACTGGTCTATAGTGTTGGACTTGGACCTTGAAAACTTTGAAATGTACTCTAGCATTTGGCACAATATGGCCTAGATCAGACATAAGCAAACTCGGCCCTCCAGATGTTTTGAGACTAGAATTCCCATCATTCCTGATCACTGGTCCTGTTAGCTAGGAATGATGGGAGTTGTAGTCCCAAAACTGAAGGGCTGAGTTTGCCTGTGCCCGGCCTAGATCAAGGGCCACTGATGAGTGCCAAGGCACCTGCAAAGGCTTTAACTGATGCCCCAGATACTGAGCTTTCATAAGTAAGTAAGTAAGTAAGTCTGTAGTCCTCCTAGAAAGGAAGTTATGGGGTAAAATGTGCAGGTACTTTCTCAGCAATTTCTGTGAAATGAGTGAGTGTGAGATGGCCACTTTTAACTTATGTCTTTGTCCCTGTAACTTTCCAGGCTGTTTTCCTCCACTTCGTTGCGTCCTCTATTCCTCCTCAGCATGGGCTTTATTGGTGTTCTCCTGTTGGAGAGATGGAAGCCCCAATTCCTTTTGGATTTCTCAGGTAAGTGAAGTAGTGAAGGTTGTGCAAGTAAAGGAAGTGGTGTAGTTCTGGAGCAGGGATAGTCTTGGTTGATTTTGCACTCTTGCAAGTTCAGTTCATTGCTTCCTGTCCTGCTGTGATTTCCTGCTGATCAAGCCTTGAACTAACAGTTCCCCCCTTTTTGCTGTACTACACTGAATAAAAAGTAGCAAGTAATTGGAGTTCTTTGGACTAAAGGCACTTGGTTAATATTTGCTGGCGTTTTTCCCCCCATCTCTTTGCTTCTGCTCATGTTGAGAATGCACATTAGAGCACCTTTCTGTTTGTTGAGGGCAGTCATGTGAGAAATGCTGTTTGGCTGAAGGATTAAATGTAGCAATTTGTTTTGTACAGTTAGATCTTAAGGAGTGTGGATGTAACTGCCTGCAAGTCTTAACAAATTTTGGATTAAATAGGTGGTATCATAAGTGCCTGAGTGAGAACCAGGCAACTATGTGGTGTTGGCCTACAGTGTCTAATGTCTTTCCTTCACTGTCCTCAAGAAAGATACCCTTGATGAGCTCAGCATGTGGAGCACCAGTGGCTAGCCTTTTGTTGGCCCAAGGTCTGTATTTGTTCTTGACCAACCTTCCAGGGGTCCCATGAGAGCAGTGAGTGTAACCAGAAGTGAGTCACCCCACTCTCTCTTTTGCACAGAGAGAAACAGCTTCCCTTCTCAATTGGAAGGGCAGATTACCAAAGGGGGCCGTGGTTTAAATCTCTCCACTCATTGAATGATTCCTCGGGGGGGCGGGGGGTAAATTGTATCCCCATCTTCATCTCAGTGCTGCATCTACTTTGATTTCTTCTTCTTGCCACTGCCAAATTGGTGTAGTTTTTGTAAGCCATAAAAATTTGCTTGGGGGCGAGATCAGGTCCCCACAATGTGGGGTTAGCCACTCTTATGGTAGAGGCTGTGTCTTTCCACATGGTGGAATCTCTAATCAACTCTTTTTAGGACACTTTTTAGGACACATATGAGCAACAACTTGCAGAGTCTGGTTTTCATTAATTAGTATGTATGAAAGAAGCTGATCACAAGATGTTAGAGCGAGTCTATTGTCTGGATTTAATATTGAATTGACTTAATCAGCCCTGCTGTGCCCAGACATCAAACCCTAAACAAAATACTGGCAGGGAGTGGTGTAGAAAAACAGAGACCTAGGTGCCCTGTTCAAGCAGGACTTGCAAAAACATTGCAGCCCAGAAAATTGGATCACACACTCCTCTTGTGCAGTAAGGTGTATCATGCCAGTTTCACATTGTGATTTTTGGAAGGTTTCCCATGTCACAGAATGATGCAAAGCACCAATAATATCACTCTTAGCAACGGATTTCTGCTTTAATCTTCCTGTGCTGGAGGAATTTCCTGTAGAGTAGCAGGATCAGCATCATTTTATTTTTATGTTAAATATTACTTGAGTTAAGTTAAGGCTGTTTTGTTCCAGATAACTGCTGGCAAAGAGTAGAGTTGCTGTGGGGTTACATAAGACAAAATAGTAGGCCAGCCATGGTGAGCTGAGGGTTATTTTCTTCCTACTTTTGTTAAATGACCTGGTGAGCAGAACTACTATCCAACTTTGTTTATGTAAGTTCAACTGACAAGCCACCTATCCAAGAAGCATCTAATGTTGACCCTCATAACTGACACAGTCATCCTGCTTAGATCCCAGGCGGATTCTGTTGTGATCCTTATGAATTGTATTGGAGCTGTATCATTAAATAGGAATGCAGCTTTCTCCCTGTTTGAAGGACCAAGAAGAGGAGTTCTGAACATGATGAACACATATGCAGAATACAGCCAAATTCATAGAGAGACTGTACTGAGAAATTCACTGTGGATTCAAGGTTAATAACTTGCTGTTGCAGTGGACTGAGATTTCTGTGTGATCTTTCAGGCCCATAGGACTGCTACACAAGGTGAAGCAATTGTTAAGTGAGCAGCACAATGCCCCTGCCAGAGCTAACAAAGTCAAAGGCTGCATTAGCTTCCTTGTTGGTGCATTAGGAGGTACAAAACGGCCTGGTGTAAACAGTTGCGTTCCTGCTGCCCTAGTACATGATGCCTGGATCCTGCACTCTGGCAAGCAATAGTACTGAAATAACAGGAAAGCACAGTAGCCCATGTATTTGGAGCTGCTGTAAACAAACATTACAGCCAGGCTTCTGTGTTAACAATAGTAGCTTTTCACACTCCTGAAATGGGCCCAAGATTTTTCATGTGGGCAGTGGCTGCTGCAATGCCTGAGTACCCACCAGAATCTCTGCTGCCCGAGGAAGATGGTGATTGGCTCCCTCTGTTAGGGCTGATTGCCTGGAATCTGGGTCACAGACTTAACAAGATTGCTTTCCGCCGCTCCACTGCTCTATTCACCAGCCTGTCAGCTCTGTGTATGTGGCCCAGGGGAAAGCCCTGAGCTAGCCCCAAGCGCTGTAGCTTGTACAGACTGTGTGCAGCTGACTGCACATTATAAATAACAGCATAGCACGTCAGCTACACTAGATAGTCATATCTGATGAGCTTTGAATTCTAGCTTCAAATCTCTAATGCAAAAGAGCTTATTCACACACCTTCTCTACAACTAGGCTCAAACAAAGGTCACATTTTAAGGTGCTCCGTGGGTGGCTTTGTAAAGCCAGGGTTTCTTTTTTACTCACATAATATATTTGATTGAAATTTGGAAGAAAATACAAAGATTGATATCAGGTATCTTTTTATCAAGACTAAAAAAACTATCCTAAATAAAAACACAAATCAGAAAGAAAAGGGGAAAAACAAGATGAAGAAAAAAAGAAGAAAAAGGGGGGGTGAGAAAATGAGAACTTCTGATTCTTCATCTGTCAGCTATATGTAGAAAATTATTCAACACATCCACTCCAAGATAAACACCCAACAAATCTGCTTTCAAGAAACCAAAGCCAAGGTTTCTTCATACTGTGTTCCAAGGCAATCCAACTTCTACATCAAGAAAATTCCAATCCTGTGCCCAAACTCAGTTATTCGAGTAAATGTGTGGTTTATGTAGCACAGGCTTCCTCAACCTCAGCCCTCCAGATGTTTTGAGACTACAATTCTCATAATCCCTGACCACTGGTCCTGCTAGCTAGGGATCAAGGGAGTTGTAGGCCAAAAACATCTGGAGGGCCGAGGCTGAGGAAGCCTGATGTAGCATATACCTTCTCAGTTTTGATTACATCTGAATCAGTTCAGGAAGTTTGTTCAAAGTGCTGACCTCTTTGATGAGTGTGGGGTGTACAGCAGAGGAAAAGCCAAATGCATGTATAGAAGTGTGATTTGAGGTGACATTGGAATGAGGACACAGATACTTTTGCACCCTGGAACTTTATGTGATCCCCGTCTCTTTCCAAAGTGTATATTTAAACACAAGAGTCAGAGAAACGCTTGTGGAAATAATGCAAGAAGCTACCTGAGATTCTCACATATCACATTTGGTACCAACAACCCTGCCCAGACCACCTGTTTTTTGAGTTTGCTCAGACTTTGGCGATTGCTTACTGGCAAAATATGTTACTATTCAAACCTGTTGGCCAGAGCTATGAGAGAGAAAGTTCCTCAGCAGAGGTGGGCTGTGCTCTGTTTCAGAACTCCCCCTTCCCCAGTTGCAATTTTGTCAGTTGGAGTATGTCTTGGGACATCAAACAATGCAGATCTTCTGTAGTTGTGTGTGCGCAGCTACATAGAACATGATAGCTCTGTTGGTTAGAGCATGGTGCTGATAATACCAAGGTTGTAGGTTGGTGTTATCAACGCCCTGCTCTAACCAACAGAGCTATCATGCTCTAAGTGCTGAAGGCCAGGCTGTTGAAGGAAGTAACCTCTAGCATTTAAACTGTCACACTTCACTTACTGCTTAGCTGAATTATATTTTTCTTCTTTCTCCTACAGTGCAGCCATTGGAGGAACCTAGAGGAGACAGGTAGGTTTGCTCTGTATTGTCTTCATAGTGGAGATGGTTCTTGCCACCCTTCTGCCTTGCCTGCTCTCTTTTACTCAGTATTTTGACCTGTGTCATGACCTGAAAAGTCCTTCCCCAAATGGGTTTGTAGGGCTCCTTACTCATTTCCCTTCCTTAATGGGGTCAGGTTTGGTTCTGTTTTCGGTTTCTAGAAATTGGAAGAGTCGGATGGATGCCTTCTTCTCAGGATTTAATGGCATTTCAAGGCCAAGAGGAGGCGCTCAATTGTAGTCGTCACTTACTGGGTGGATGTCTGTCCTGAAAATACCACCTGAGGCTTAGGAGGTATGGGGTTCCAAGAAAGGAATGTAGGAAGGAATTAACAGCTGTGCTGTGGCAGTCATTTCATCAGCACAAGCTTTTCAGTTTCTCAGACAGAACAATCCCCCATCTCCCCCTGCCCCTGGTCTGGGAGGGTCTCCCAATCTTCCCCGTGCTGATTTCCCTGTGGGGAGAGAGTCCTATTCCACAGGCAGAGGTTCTTGTGCAAGTCCTTGTTAGCAGGACTAGTAAGTTGAATCCTTTCCCTTTTGGGTGGGCTTCACCTAACCAGCCCCATTGGTGAAAGCCCTGCTCAAGAACTTTGCTTGTGGCTTTCCCTCCTCTCTTTCCCTCACCCCACAAATTGGCTCTGGGGGAGCTGGAGGAACCAATGAGGGAAGAGGCAAGCTGGATTATTTACACATATGGGACAATTGAAAGAGGTCAACATTTGGCCATAACTTTGTTCCACAACAACTTTGATAGCTTTCTGTTAATACTGCCTGCAGGAAGTGATTCTCTGTTGCTTGTGGCAAGCATACCTGGAAGGTCTAAAGTACTGATACATTGTTTCCATCCCTGTAGTGACAGTGAGATGGCAAGAGCGCAGCCTCACCTGTTAAGTGTCCCAGAGCTCTGTCGTTTCCTGGCAGAGAGCTGGATTACCTTCAGATTGTACCTTCAGGAGCTGCTGCAATACAAGAGGCAAAACCCTGCTAAGGTAAGCTGGGAGTCATCAGGCCCTCTCAGGAAAAATCCTGGAACATGACTACTTTCCCCCATGGTGCCTTTGGGCCGTGGCTTGTTAATACATACATACATACATACATATTCAAATACATTTATTCAAATACAAATACGTATTCACAGTTGCTCCTAGCACTTAGGGATGCTTCACACTGGATTATTTTTCTACATGGATATTGCTTCAGTTTAAGAAAGGATGTGCATACACAACAATATGTGGTGTAAACGTTGTATTCCAAACAGCAATTTTACGGGAATCTAGTATTCTTCACAATACATGCGGAAACAAAAAATGGGAATAGGGTTTTAACCAAGTATGCCAATACAGACAAGGTACAGTGTGTTCCAGAAACTATCCTGAGAAAAATAGCTGAGGGCAGACATACCCTTAGCCTGCACATACGTGTTGATGTTTCTTTGTAGATGTCACTTCTTTGTTTCTTTTTCCTCCGCTGCCACCCAGTTATGTTTAGTAATCCAAAATGCATAATGTGATATATTTGTGTTGCAACTCTGTTCTTTCATTGCAGAGGTGCATTTCTATGTGATGGCCTCATTCCTGCATTGAAATGTGAGATTGTTGCTTGCAGCAGTTGCTCCATATAAGCAGTAAATGAGCAGTTCTGGCCCTGAGCAGAATTCAGATTTTCTTGCTGTAGTGTCTGGGATTTATGAGCATAATGGCAAGCAGCTCTTTCTATTGATTAATTAATGGCCTGTCCTTGGAGGAGAAAGCATTACCTTATATTATATAGTCAAGATCATTTAAAGGGAAGGCAGGTAGAGAGGGGAGTAATGTATGGGCCTTATTTTATCTCAGGATGAGGGAAGTCCTGAAATCTGTTCTGATGGGAAGTTCTGCTTCTGCACATGAGTCTGGCAAACCGCTCTAAGCTGAAGCATTCCTTCGTCACCCACCCTAGAATGTTTAGTTCACATTGAGTTCATGAAACATCGTACCCTGACCTGTTCTTAATGCATGGTTGACCACATCTACGGAATGCGATAGTTATGCTCTTTTAAGTTTTGCAATATCAATCACTAGTAATAGTTTAATAAGGAGGTTTTCATACCTGTCCAACCATGTGTTCCCTTTCCCAACCTTTAATCTATTGATGATTAATGCCTATATGCAACCCTTGCATTGTATTTGTGTTAACCAATCAGCAACAAGCACATATGTGGCAATGCTGTAATATTCAATAAAAGGGACTCCCCGAGACATGATCAAGAGATGCCTCTCATATGACACTTGTCATTCGTCTGTCGTTTATTTCAACCCAACACTGTTCCAGTCACCTTTTGCCAGTGGCAAATTTCTTCCATTTCCATTGACAGCCTTAATAGTGAATCAAACACATACTCCTTTCAGAGTGTTGGGATTGGCATAGAAAAAGTCAGGCTTTTTCCTCTTGTAGTCAGCTATTTGCCCATTTGTCAGTTACTTTCAGACATGCAGCTTGCTGTTGCAGGTAATTCTGGATCCCCACCCGGCTCTGTTATAACACTACCTGGCAGCAGCACCCGGGAGCAAAAGAGTAGCCAATCATTCTGGCATGGCAGATGCGCAAAGCATGCAAAATGGCTGTGTGGGTGAATACAAGCAGTTATTAATTAAAACAAGGCTCTCTGGGATTGGGGGCGTCTCTTGAGCCATTGCAAAGGTGGCTTATTGGCTGTCCTGAGAATGCTTCCACTGTGCTAAACCTTTCTTCTCTATCTTCTTTCGCCTTGTACTTCCAGTTTTGTGCCAGAGTCTGCTCAGGATGCTTGATCTTAGCAATAGTAGGACACTATGTTCCTGGAATCATGATTTCCTACATTGTCTGTGAGTATAACTGGGCTGTTTTATCCCTTAAAACTAGACATGTGACATAACTAAGCATATGCCCAGGATTTTCCTTTATCCAGCTCATTTAAAAGAAATTAAAAGCACATAATAGTTCCAACACCTTGTGGGGAACAGGGACATAGATTGAATTTAATGAGGCGCAGCTGGTGGAGGGCTGGACACTGAGTATCCTTTGGAAAATTGGCTGCCTCTTTGTCTCTGAGAGTATATGCTTCTAACACTTTCTGGACTGTCTCCAGTGCTCAGTATCTTGCTGTGGCCGCTGGTGGTGTACCATGAACTTATCCAGAGGATGTACACACGCTTGGAACCCATTCTGATGAAACTGGACTACAGCATGAAGGTGGATACCTTGCATCTTAAACACGAAAAGAAAAGTAAGACAACAGCTCCACAGTACCTGAAATGCATAGCTTTTGATGATGGGATGCAGGATATAAGTCCCAGGAAGTAAAAATTAGAAACTGGGATGGCTAGCTAGGAGCAATCCAGTGGGGTGAGGTCCAAAATCACTGGAGATGGCTGGATTTTAATGTGCAGTAGTGTCCAGTACAGTGGTACCTCGGGTTACAGACACTTCAGGTTACAGACTCCGCTAACCCAGAAATAGTACCTCGGGTTAAGAACTTTGCTTCAAGATGAGAACAGAAATTGTGTGGTGGCGGTGTGGCGGCAGCGGGAGGCCCCATTAGCTAAAGTGGTACCGCAGGTTAAGAACAGTTCAGGTTAAGAACAGACCTCCAGAACGAATTAAGTTCTTAACCCGAGGTACCACCATACTGTGAGGAAGCACAGTCTGTATGAAGCTTCTGATAAAATATTCCTCTGGTCCTCTTTTTATAGGACTAGTTCCACTGATGTCCCATTAAGCATTTTGTATATGTTTTCTAACAGAGCGTCAAGGAAAGAGTGAGCCCGAAGCTGGCAATGAGCCAATGGCAGAGACTGAAAGTGAGAGTGAGGCGGAGCTGTCTGGGTATTCTCCAGTGGTAAGAGCATGGGAAGGGATACATGTTGGTGTTGAGCTTCATTCCCAAGAATTCATTTCTTTCAAGTGATGTGAGTTTGCCTGCAGGGTTGGAAGGTCTGAGATCTTGTTCCCTTCATAAAGGCTACTGTATTCAATCTGACTTAGGAACTTGCAGGTTTTGGAGGGCCTTCTTCCCCCACCCTCACCCCTTTGGGCCTTGCCTTATCTTCTCAACACTGTTATCACCAACTGCTCTTTTTTGTCATTGTTACCCCCTATGTGCTTGCTGGGCAAAGAGCCAGTGAACAAGCAGGTATTGGCATCTCCTTCTCACTTTCCCAGTGGTCTTGGCCAGAGCAAAAGGCGGGTGTACAAGGAGATTGCAATGATGAAGAGGCAGAGAAGGTCCAGTGGTGGCTCGTCAGTGGTCCCACTCCTGAAGTGTGGCCCCTTAGCAGATCCATCCTGACCCTTGATGCCTGTCCTGGAAACTTGGCATGATACTTCAGATTCAGGGGGACAGAGATGAGTGGTCAGGTTGGCATTGTTGGGGGCATCTCTCTCCAAATTCTCCCTCCAACTTCTGACTCTCCAACCTTTCTTTTCAGAGCCAAAATTACTCTATCTCTCAGGGTTTAGATGGAAGAGTTAGTCTTGGAGGATAGCTCTTCCTCATTATTGCCGGCACTAATTAGATATATAACCAACCTGGTATGTTGGATCTGGGTTCAAATTCCTGTTTGGTCAGGGTGGGTCAAGTGGGTTAAATGTTTAAGACACAACAGCATGTCCAATTTTAAATCTGGAAAATAAGATGGCAGAATCCCAAGTCACTGATTCCTCTACAGTTAATCTTACAACTAATTTTTGTAATTGGAACAGCCATCTTTTTGATAATCCATGCATTGTTTCCATTCAGTAAAAGGTTAATATTTTTAGTGCATCCCTCTTTGAAATCCAAGTTAATATTGGCTCAGACTCTGATGGCAGAGATTCTAGGCTAACAGGTGGGACCTAGTGGCTCCACTGTAAGGTGGAGATTTTTAGCCACAAGAACAAAAAATGTCCTCACGCTCCTCCTTTTTGCAGGTGGATGTGAAGAAGACAGCTCTGGCATTGTCAATTACAGACTCTGAGCTCTCTGATGAGGAGGCCTCTATCCTGGAGAGTGGAGGCTTCACCGTCTCCAGAGCTACCACACCACAGCTGACCGACGTGTCTGAAGGTGCCATTTTCTTACTCCCCAAATCCAAATGCTGCATATTATTTGGGGCCACTGTGTGGTAGAGTACAAGTTGTGTGTTCCCTTCTAGAGTGTTCAGAGATGAAAACTAGGATATGAAGGGTAGTTGTAGGGCTTAGAATTGATGAGAATGATGAACTTTGGGCTGAAAAGGATCAAAATCAAATTGATTCCTGATTTCCAGACTTTGAGTGGCCCCTGAATACAGCTGTCTTCACCTGGAAACATGGATGTACTTGTTTACTATATTTTTACATGTTATCGTGCAGAGTCCAGTGTCTTTATTATTTCTTGATTGATGATAGACATCCCGGACTGTTCTGTAACTTGCAGGCCATTGGGAGAATGCGATTAGCTCCCTTACTATGGTTACTGGTGCCACACACAAACAGCCCCAAGTTCTTCTGCAGCATTGTTAAGTCTTCAGGGATTAGCTGTCCACTCTAGGCTCTCCTTGCCTGAGCTTTGATCCCCCTACACTCTTCTCCCCCACCTAAGATGAACAGCTGACATTACCAAGGCAACATATTTCACTGAGGATTGCAGTCCTTGAGGCTGTAAACCAAAAAGACCCACTTCTTCAACCAATCCATTTCCTTGTCATCCTAGCCTTGCCTTACATCAGGAGTGGTCAACCTTTTTAGACCAAGGGCAGCATTTCCTCTCTGCCAGTGATTGGTGGACTGAGCAGAAAATGTAAATTTTGCCTCTGTATAGTAGGCTACTTTCTAAGCACACTTGCACACCCATTTCTCTCCTCCATCCAGGCCAGCAAGAGGCAGTATCAGAATTCAGTGACACATCCTAGCCAGGCAAAAACACTCGAGGAAGGGTACAAACCAGGGCTGGTGGGAAGTGTGGCTTTGGCAGAGAAGGGTGTGGTGAAGTAGGAAGTGTAGCCTTAGCAAATCCTGAGGGCCAGATGGAGAGGCCTAGAAGGCTGCATCTGGCCCTGAACCTGAGCTTCCTTTCCCCTGAGCATAACTTTTATTCATTTGCAAGCCTCCTACCCCCAAACCACACACAACAGTGTAAATTGCAAACCATAAAGGACGGTATTTTAATGCAGAAACTAGCACACTTGTACTATATAGATGTTGTAGTAGCTAGTGGTAATGTGGTATCATTACTGCTAAATCTCTGTGTATGTGAAAATCCAAAGTATTGGGTCTTGTTCCATAATAGCTCATTTACACACTTAGAAGTAGCAGTTGCAGCCAATTCCACTGCAGTAGCATGCAGAGCTTTTCCTGAGGCTTTACCAATGAGGAAGAACCTGGTGGAGTAACTTCAGGGAGCCCCAGCCTGCAATGCTAAGTATGATTGTTGTTGTTTGTATAGTGCCTTAGAGTGCTTTGAAGCACATCAGCTTTGTTATCATGTTATCCTAGCTACCTTGTATGATAGGTCAGGGTTGTTGCCATGGTGCATGTTGGCACCAATGACGTGGGGAAATGTCATGTAACCCTGGAAACACAATTTAGGTAGCTAAGTTGGAGGTTGAGAGCCAGGACCTTCACGGTAGATTTATTTTAAATGCTACCTTTTCCATGCACAAGGTCAGCTAGACAGGCAGGGTTGAGCAGTTCAGTGTATGGATGAGTTGGTGGAGAGGTTTGGATTTGTTAAGCACTGAGAAGTGTTCTGGGACAAGCCAGGGACAGGCTCCATTTCAGCCGGGATGGAACCAGACTATATATGCTTAAAGTCTAAAAGGTGGCAGAGCAGCTATTCAGCTGTTTGCTGGGAGAAAGCCACTTGAAGCTGAGGATCATCTTGTTTGGGGCAAACCATCCAGGGGAATCCAGGAAATTTCAGGGTGGTTAGTTTAATGTCTCTTCTGGGAAAACTGGTAGCAAGCATAATTAAAGATTGGAATACCAAGCATATAGAAGGACAAGCTTTGCTGAGGCAGAATCAGTGTGGCTTCTGCAAGGGTAAGTCCTGTGTTTGAGAATGTCAGCAAGCACATAGAGAGAGAGAAAGAAGTGATCCAGTTGACATAGTGTACTTAAACTTTCAAAAAGCCATTGACTATGGAGTCCCTTGCCCAAGACACCTGATTAAGTTTAGCAGCTGTGAAATAAGAGGACATGCTGTTATAGATCAGGACTGGTTAAGAAACAGCAGAGAGTAGAAATTAATGAAGGGTTTTCCCAATGCAGTGGTGTCCAAACTTTTTTCAAAGAGGGCCAGATTTGATGTAGTGAAGGGCCATGAGGGCCGATCAAAGGGCCAACCAAAGTTTTTAAGCTTTTTTCAGGATTAAAGTTGTGGAGGTTTTTTTTAGGATTTTACCCCAGGAAATAAACAGCCACAGGGGCCGGATTAAACCTACCAGCAGGGCCGAATTAGGCCCCCAAAATGGACTTTGGACATGCCTGCAATAGAGGGATGTAGGAAGTGGGGTCCACCAAGGTTTGGTGTTGGTACTGGTGCTTTTTAAACTTGTTCATAAATGATCTAGAGTTGGGAGTGAACAATAAGGTAGCCAAGTTTGCTGCTCATACTAAATTGTTAGGGGTGGTTAAAACAGAAAGGAATTGCGATGGGCTTCAAAAGGAGAAGTAGACATTAAAATGGGAAATGCAATTAAATGTAAGCAATGTAAGATTATGCATGGTGTAAAGAAAGAGAGCTGTTTCTCATAATACAAAAATCTGAGGACATGTAATGAAGCTGCATGTTGGAAGATTCAGAACAGACAAGAGGAGGTTCACATAGCACATACCGTAGTTTAAACTATGGAATTAGTTCCAACAAGACGTAGTAATGGCCACCAATGTGGATGGATTTAAAAGACAAATTTCTGGATGATAAAGCTGTCAATGGCTGCTGGCCACAATGGCTTTGTTCACCGTCTACTAGTGTGTCTGAATTCCAGTTGCTGGGAGTTCCAAGCGGGAAGAGTGCTGTTTCACTCATGTCCTGCTTGTGGATTTCTCATAGGCATATGAGAACAGGATGCAGGACTAGATGGGGCTTAGGTCTGATTCAGCAAGGCTGTTCTCATGTTTTTATTGCCCCCATATTGTAGTGCAGGGGGCAGGAGTGAGAATGAGATAGTGGTGGTATATCTAAAGCACTTAATGAGTACATGGCAAAAGTGAGATTCAAACCAAGGAATTCACACTCTTCATAGCCACTATGATACACAGCTTTCATACATCAGCATTAACGTGCATGATACTGCATACATTTACCAGCTCAGATTTGTTCTGGTGAGATGATTGAACAAGAAAGAAAAGCAGTAGCAAGATCATAGTGGGGTTGGTGACTTTTAATCAGGGAGTACAGCTATAGAACAGCAGCAACTGACCTGTTAATGAAAGAATAGGAAAGAACATTTCTGTTCAAGGTCAGGATAAGATGATAAGGAGGCACACAAAGGCAAGTACCGTAAGTGTATTCAGAAAACAGACTGGCAGCTGAGCTTGGAATGGCAATTGATGATTGAGAACAGGGAATTCTGGGGTGTTTGGGGAGGCCATGTTCATATTCCCAATATGCTTTTCAGATCTGGACCAGCAGAGCCTTCCCAGTGAGCCAGAAGAGTCCTTCTCCAAGGACTTGGCAGAGTTTCCTTCTGTGGAAGAGTTTCATTCCAGAGACTTGGGACCACCCAGTGAGGATGACAACTTTGCAGTGCCTGCCCACGCTGCCCACCAACTGGACTCTGCTGAGAAAGACGGCGTGGCGGCAGCAGCCATGAGTTCAGACACATCCATCCTGTGCCTGGCCTCACCCCTGCACTTTGTAAATACGCACTTCAACGGGAACGGGCAGGCAGTGGCAGGAGGAGCCCTGGAGCCCCAACCTGTCACTGCCCAAGGCCTGGGGCTGCACATCGATTCACTGAGCCAAGAGATTGTCACCACCGCTATCAGTACAGTAGTGCAGAACACCCTGTCAGCCCTGCTCCGCTCCTCTGAGGACAACGAGGGGCCTTCTCTCTCTGAGTTCCTGCCCACTGAGCCCAAGGAGAGACTGAGCTTCCAGGCCCAGCTGTCTGAGAGTGTGGAGGTGGGGGCGGCCTCTCTGCCTGGGGAGGAGGAGGAGGAAGCTGATGATTTTGAGCTGCTTGATCAGAGGGAGCTGGAGCAGATGGATGCAGAGCTTGGCCTTTCTGGAGAGACAGAGGCTCAAGCGACACCGGCTCTCCCTCCTGAAGAAGAATCCTTGCCCAGCTCCTAGGTCCCACTGCTCCCCTGTATTTCTGCAGCTGCAAGGGAAGGACAAGTGAACACACAGCAGAGTTTGGTCTGTGCTGACTGGGGACGGCAAAACATCCACATTCACAGTGTTATGTCTGGAATAGTGAGTCCTCTTCCTAGTGTTGGCCTTCCAAGCAGGGTGTTGCGTCTTGCCCACGCTTCCTAGTGGTGATGCAATCTTTTTTGGTCTGCTGCTGCAATTTGTCTGTCTTTGTCTATTCGTTTTGTTTTTTTGCACGCCGCATCCTCAGCTAGATATCCCCGCTGCTCGCACCCACTGTTCATGCCCCCCCCCAGTAGGAAGGAAAGCAGTTTTATTGGATGGAGGGGGGTACCAGAGGGTCTACATTGTAAATATTTTTATGAAAACATTGGTTTGTTTAGTTGGGAAGAGGGAGAAGGGATTGGTGGTATGGAGAAAACGGGTTGAGGTGGGTTTCTTCCCTTGAGTTAGAAATTTCAGGGTGGAGGGGAAGTAGGGCTTCAAAGGAGACATCGTGTGGAGTATATTTGCTGTCAGGACAAGATGAGGGGGCACAATTGAGCTTTCTGCCCACCTTGTACAAGAATAGCAGCTGCTTTTGCACTTCCGAGCACTAGCCCTTTCCCTTAACTTTCACCCTACAACCCAATTTCCTTTATTCAGTTGTGTGAATATGACACCTGATTTGGGCTCCAGGAAGTGGGTAGTCTGGTCCTGTAGATTCTCAACTCCAAGGCCAGGCTGTCTGCAGGCTCTTTAATCTACTTGGGAAAACACAAAGCAATTTGCAGTGACTTGAAAGCTTCCTCTTCCACTGCTGCACTTTAAAAGCAAAATCCCCTTATATCTACTTCTTGTCACCTTTCTCTAAGGCCTGGCTGAGCCAGCTCTGCCCTATGATGCACCCTGGCCAGAGCACAATCTTCTGCTGCCCTCAGCCTTGCCTTAGGGAAAAGAGCAGAGCAGCTTGAAAAGGAATGATGTGTGTAGGACATTGGGAAGAACATTCTCCAACTCCAAGCTCTCTAGGCTTATCTCCACTCTACTCCCACTCTCAAATCACTTTTGAAACCTCAGGGGTTTCACTCTTTATAGTCTTTTGCTAATTGGAGTAGTGTGCCCATTTATGTTCTCAGGAGAAAGGAGGGACTAAATGGGAGTGGAGGATTGTTTGGGTTTTTTTCTCCAAAGGTGGTTACTGCCCCTGATACCTATTGCTGCTTGCACAGGTTTGCAGAATATTAATTCTAGGATCTGATGGCTGAGTCTTTCAAATATTGATTTTAAGTTGCAATGATAAAGTGGGTTTTTTATTATATGGAAACAGAGATGCCCCCTATTGGGTGTGTATCTTTGTTAAGATGCAGCAGTCTGTCTTCAGTAATAGCGTTCTCGGCTGAGTGGATACTGCTTGCTCCCAGTAATGGATCTCATTTTTTGCCTGTTTTCCAATGATTGCTGGAGAAGCTGGATGGGTTGGGGAGTGTCATGAATTGGCCAGTTTCTTGCTGTTGAAAATTTTCAAGCTGGGCACTTCCAGGCGATACCTGACGCTTTCACATTCTCACAAGTGACTGCCGCTTTGCAGATGCAGGCCCTGAAGCTGTGATAGCTTGCCCTGCAGGCCTCAGCATTTTAAACTGCACTTCTGAGAGTTTATGACCAAGGTGAAGGTGCTGCCTCTCAGCAGGAGGGGCCACCAATCAATTCCAAGCACATTTGCAAGACCCCAGTTCTTGCCTTTTGCACCCTTCAAGTTTCATCGCTTGCTGAGTCAGTCACTGGCCCACTCTTTGTATCAAGGTTGCCTGTCTCAGGTTCCTTCAGTCATAGGGCAATGATTTTCTTGAAATGCAAAATGATATTGTTCTCCAGAGTTGGTTTACTTTCTGACCTGTGTTGCCTGCCCCATCCCATCCCAGCCCCAGTCAAATGTTGAGGGGAGGATGCCTGTTAATACAGCTTCCTCCTAATGTCTGCACTTTGGAAATGGGCAGCCATGTAGCACTGAGTGTGGAGCTTGCTCGCCTTTGTGTTGTGTCCTGAGCACAAATTTTGCTACCCCTACCACCAGCCAGAAGCCCTAGCTTTCCCATTCTGGTGCAGGAGGCATGTTATATGTTTGTGTTTTTCTCTGAAGTTCTAAGCTGTCTTCCTCTCCTTTGGTGGCAACAGCGCCATACTGCTCCATGATAGGGGCCTTCTGAGGAAGGGCTGGGAGGCTGCTGATGTCACCCAGGAAAGGCAGAGGGCTTTGAACTGTGTAGCGGTGTTTATTCTATGGCTAAATATTTAAAACAAACTGTAGTCTTTTTAATAAAAAAAGGTTCAAAGATGTGAATTTTGGGTTAAAAGTTCTAACTCTTCATCTTATCCAATCACCCAGAAACCCCGCCTTTCTCAATTTCTCAGGTATCCCTGATGCACTGGGATCTGGCAGCCATTTTAAGCCTATGTCCAGGTGGTTATTACCCTAGTTATGGTCTTTCCTGATAGTATTCAGTATTCCATTGCACATGCATTGCAGCTCCACTAAGACTCCATTGTTCGCTCAAATTCGGGAAGTTATGTCCAGTAACTCCTGTAGGTGAGCAGCTGGCACAACCTTGAACAGAAGGCAAGATGGCAGTAATGCTACACAAGCCATCATATCCTTTAGTATCTTCTCAGTTCCAGTTCTCACAACCACCCAAAGTTGTAGTAAGCATGTGCCTTGTACTATGTCCGGATCCAGGTGGGAATACACACAATTGCATGCTGTACCATACAGTTTTGTTTGTTGTTGAAAACTAGTGCATTTGGAGTGAAGAATAGAACTTTGCTCTTCATGCTAATGGATATGACAGCTTGAGGTGGTTTCTTAATGCTGCTGTTCCCCTTTATTGCCTCTCATTTAACAGCTACCCTAAGGTAACTGAGAAGTCTGTAAAGCCTATTAACAGCAGGTGTCATTTGAGGTTGGACATCTGGGTAAAGTAAAGGAACAGAGATACAGCTATAACTCTCCTAACTCTTCTAACCTAAGTTCTTCCATGCAATGTGGAAACAGTTGTCAGTTCAGCTTACTTTTCTGCTAGATTCTCAAAGCAAGAAGATTAATCCAGTTTAGCTGCTTTTGATTCTATGGGCTCTACACCTAGTGTTCCCGGAGTTTAGCCCCCATGCACAGCAAAGATGGACTTTCCAAACAAATGGTGCTAAGCTTGCAAAATTAGTTTACTACAGGTGCATTGGGTTCTTCAGCATATATGGTTTTCAGCCCATGGACTGCATTCCCTTCAGGCAGGCTTCCAAAGACCACATGCTAGTGCTGGTGATTGTAAATTTTAACTTTGAACTGTAGGTTCTTTCTATCCTACATCCAGGCAAGCAAAGGGCATTATCACTATGCTAGGACACATTTCAGCCAGGCAAAAACACTCAAGCGGGACTGCTAAGGGCTGTGAAGAACAGTCCTAAGGATTAGATAGTGAGGCTTGGAGGATTGCATTTCGGGCCCGAGCCTGAGTTTTCTTATCTCAGACACACTGCATGATACAGTAGCTCTCACAAAAGCCTGCTTTTATTTGAGTGTAAGATTATGGCTCACATATCCACATTTATGCAGAAGTAAGCCCTACAATGTTCAGCAAAGCTTGTTTACAGCTGAATGTGTTTAGAATTGCAACCTTACTTTTTTTCATTTGTACATTCCCCCACTAATCCCCAACACAAATATGGAAGATAATCTTGCATGTTCAATTTTGTAACAAATGTTTCAAGCTAGGTAGATTATGTGGCAAAATGTTCATATATTTTCTGCATCTAAGTGTGTTTTTGGCATAGGGTGTAATTCAGTGTAGCACTCAGTGGTGTAGGTATGCATGAAATGAGATCCCCAATCCTCTAGCACAGATTTTAGGGGAAGAGGGAGCCCTGTTGCATGAATGGATGCCATTCTGCACCCACAACTTATTTTTTAAGACCTCTGGGTGGGATTCAACTCTCTTCCATCAATTGCCTCTAGGCTACATCCATATGGAGGAACATGTGAGAAAACAAACCAGGTTTTATTACAAAAGCACATTATTACATATATATAAAAAAGAGACCAACTGGGTCAGGGTCCTAGTCAAAGAAATACTAAAACAAATAATGGATGCAATCCGTTAGTTGATCCAGAGGCTCCAGGGGGGATACAATAACTCCTATCAAAAACTGAAAATGCTTCCGGCCTTCTGACCCACAACTTAACCTGCAAAAGTCAAAGCAAAAGAGGTACTACTTTATTCTGGCCAGCAATGCCTCTGTTCTCTTTTCTGCTTTTAAGTAGGGATGCTTGGTGACTTGTGGCTGTCCACTCTTCTTCAAAGGGAAAGGAAGAAATTCTCAGAAAAAAAGAAAAAACAAAGACCAGTATCCCAAGGCACTTAATGTAGAGTGCACTGAGCCAGGGTTTTTGCTACACATGAGCTACAAGGCTTTGTTTAGATAGGAGAACACAGCAGCTTGGCTTTTTCCATGGATGGTTCATAGCAAGAAAATGGTGCTTGGATGGTGTCCTTACTGAACAGCGGACTGTGGTAGCTCTGTTCAGATGATGTAAAACAGAGTTTTACTTCCAACTTCAGCTAGAAAGACTAGCGCGCTCTTGACATTTTGGCATATTGAAGGCCACTCCAAGACAGTAGCTGCAATGATATTTCAGCTCCATGGTTCTCCAAACCTCTGGTGTTTGGAAGGAAGAGCACATTGGAACCCTCTTGAATTCTTAGGCACTGTGTGCAGGCTGCAGGAGGTGGATCAATTTTTTACAATGCCTTGATGATGAGGGCCGTGGGCTGCTGTAAGCACTAGTCTGAGGTTTGTTACATGAAAGTGCTTCCAACTTTTCACTTGCTCCGAGTGACACCAGCACCTGGAAAGGAAATTGGGACAGATATATATTGTGCCCTGACATAGCCTATTGTGCTAAGCTATGTAGGGCATTACCACAATTACTTAGAGAAGGCCTGTGTTTTTAATCCTGCCTCTAACATCACTTCCGCATTATCAGGACACTGTGTTGGGACTTCCATCTACTGCAAGTAATGCACAGCTGATTGAGGAATATGTTATGTTGGGGATGGGACTGAAAACAAGGCCCCCTTTTGAGTAATTACATGGTAACTCCTTCAATGTGAATAACACAGCAATAGGATTCTATAGAGAGCCTCATAACTCCAGTATATCTTCAACGTCTGGTACTGAGAAAGATGTCATTCTGACAGAGCTGTTCAATAGTGGAACGAACAGACTCCCATGAGAGGTGTTGGACTCTCCTTCCTTGGAAGTTGTTAAACGGAGGTTGGATGGCCACTTGTCACATACAATCTAGTTGAGATTCCTGCATTGTAGGGGGTTGGGCTAGATGACCCTCAGGAACCCTTCCAACTTTATAATTCTATGATTCTTGGGGAACACAGTCATGTTTTCATAGAAAGGGGACTAGCAACTTAGGGTTGTATTCAGTGTACTGTCGGTGCAAGGCCTTTTGGCTGTGCAAAGTAACTCCCCTTCCTCCCTGCATACCCTCTAAGTCTGTTACGGGGCTTCCACAGCCATCCAAAGCAAATTTGGGGAAGGTTTGAGGTGCACAAGAATCAAGGAGAGTTCCATTGCACAAATGCCAATCCTTGCACTAACAGAGCAAGTACATTGGATACCACCCTTACACATAAAAAGTGATGATTGTAACTAGGTAAAGGAAGAATGAGATCTACTGGTGGGTGACCTAATATAAGCTCAGAGACACTTTGAACCAACAGAAAATTATCGTGGAAAAAACATCTATTCCTTGAGAATCCAGTGGTGGGATAGTTTGGAGCTCACTTATGTGCAACTGTTTTTGAAAGAATGGAAGAGATTGAGTTATATTGATAACTGCTTATTAAGACGGCAAAGCAAGTCAGGTATCACACTGACTGTTTGTAAAGTGCTTCTCTCATAGAAAGGAAGGGTCAAGAGAATATGGCAGCTAATAGCAGCAATGAACTCTCAAGCCCGCCCCGCCCCCCGCCAACAAGAACCTACCAATGTCATTTTTTTTTTGCCCCAATGTACAAACCTCAATTCTTGACCAGCAAGCAAAGCTTCATTATCCTCAACAACCATGGCAGGTAACCTTGCAATAAGGCTTCCGTTATGCATTGTCAGGAATTAACTGAAGCACAATAAATCTGACTGCTGGTTTATTAGGGCCTGCCCTCAGCTGGCCGAGTCTTTTCCCTCCACAGTTGCTGAACTAATACCTGGTGGATCCTGGGCTGCTGGCCAATAGATCGAAGAGCAATGAGTGCTGCCTCTTGCACAGCTGGTTGCGAATCATGGCAGGCCACATCCAATAGACGACCAGGTACCCTGCTCTGGATCAGCAAATCCTCCAGTTCCACCGACTGGCGGCCCAAGTTGCCCAGTGCTGAAGCCGCATTACAGCGGGTCTTGGCTTGCGGATCACTCAGGAGCTGAACAACCCAAGGGACTGCTTTGCTGAGGGCTGGAGTAAGAGGGCCAGCCTGGTAGGCTGCATTGCCAACAGCAAAGCTGGCTGAGCGTCGCACATGTTCGTCCTCATCCGAAAGGCGTTCCAGCAGATGTTCCAGCAGCCCAATCTGGTCCTGCAGAACCTGAGGAAACCCCTGTCTGTGGCGCAGCAAGTTCCCCAAAAGGCTGCAAGTTTTGGCACGAACCGGGCATTCTTGGTGACACAGCAGGTGGCTCAGTGGTTGGGAAGCAGAGTCTGAACCACATAGGAGTCTCTGTAGGAAAGGCAAGTGAGCTGGACTGGCCCGAGCTATGTGGGTGAGCAGAGAGAGCAAGTCTGCAGTAAGGGCTACTTGGTCTGATAGCAAAATGGCAGACAAGAAGGCAACAGCATGCTTTGAGGCAGCCACCCCCACCACCTGCTCAATGACTCCCTCGTCGCTCAGCACCAAGTGGCACAGGAGACTCAATGGCAACTCTGTCTCTGAGAAGGGAAGGTGGTGAATGCAGGCCTACAAAGAAAGCAAAAGCAGAATAGTGTCTCAAAGTGTGCATACCAGTATGAAGTTGGCACCAACAAAGTTGTGTTTGTGCAAAGACTTCTGCTTATGCTATGGAACTTACTTTCCTCACCCTAGCCACAAAATCTATTTGTAGTCTTTCCACAAACTGGACAACTTTGTTGGACATAACTCTGAACCTTTATTATTTTAAAAATGTTTCCCATAAAGGGTAAAAATTCCCTTATGTCTTTATGAGACTGGCATTTCCATCCCTTCCCCAGCCTACAACCCCCTTCAAAAAAGGCATTTGGTGCCTTGTTTTATGAAAAGCAGTTTTTTGAGTGCATCCACATAAGCACAACCACCATGAATCAGGATGAAAGGCATTGCTTTGTGTGGAGCAGGGCAACTGGTCTGGCTAAGGCAGAGTCTGCATCTAGTGCTTAGACAACCAACATGAGGAAAGGTTTACCTGGAGTAACCGTGCAGGGATTTCAGAGTCCCTTAGACCTGTTGTAATAAGCTCTAAAGTTTCAGGGTCCATGTCCAGAGCAAAGGGGAAACAAAACAGCTGGCAAATTTGGAGCACAACAGCTGATACCAGCTCTGGGTCACCATCCTCTTGCATCTGCCTGGAAGAGGGAAGAAAGCCATCAAAGTGAGGTGTTAACTTCCAGCTGTAAGTATATTTGGGCTGCAATAGTAAGCTCCAGAAACCCTGGAGAGCCTCTTATCTGTCAAGCGTAGACAATAAATGAAAATGAGGTAGACTAATAGTCTAACTTGGTATAAGGCAACATTCTATATTCCATCTGCCCTGCCCTGGCCTTCAGCCATTACATGCTGGTTTTAAGGGATGTCTTGAACAAAAAGTTAATTGCTCTGAGCCAAATCACTGTTTTTTATAAAAGAAGCAAATATGCTCTTTTATAGCTATGTTACACCAAGCGGGACACGGGTGGTGCTGTGGTTTAAACCACTGAGCCTAGGGCTTGCTGATCAGAAGGCCGGTGGTTCGAATCCCCGCAATGAGGTGAGCTCCCATTGCTCGGTCCCAGCTCCTGCCAACCTAGCAGTTCAAAAGCACATCAAAGTGCAAGTAGATACATAGGTACCACTCTGGCGGGAAGGTAAACAGCGTTTCCATGCGCTGCTCTGGTTTTGCCAGAAGCGGCTTAGTCATGCTGGCCACATGACCCAGAAAAACTGTTGGCTCCCTCGGCCACTAAAGTGAGATGAGCGCCGCAACCCCAGAGTCGTTCACAACTGAACTTAACTGTCAGGGGTCCTTTAACTTTTTTGTGTTATACCAAAGCAGAAATAGGCTTAATGTGCACACCTTATTTTGACTGTAATTTTTGGAATTAGGAATCAAATACATTGGCGAAGTTTGGAAAAGGGCAAGGAATAAGGTTTACATAGGGATGCTGTAATAAGAAGCTGAAACTGAGGAGAGTTTGGGAGATATGCAGAGCACAACTAGTGCCTCTTTCTAATCTAATCTAATCCAATGGCCTGCTCAATAAAAACCTTTACGGACAAGTATAATCCTAAAAACTTCATCTTTAATATAAAAACAAAGGTTGTTAGAAAGCCAGATTCAGCTGCATGTATCTGGAACATTCCTGAGATTGAACATAGGAACACAGAAGGTTGCATATCATCCACTTCTGCGTCTTGGGGCAGCTTTCTTGCTGAAAATGGAAGTTGGTAAGAAGGGGAGGAGCTAGACCAAAATCAGGGTTGGGGGAGACTGTATTGCTGTGCTGTGTTTGGGTAAATGACAAGTATGTTTCTATGCAGCAGCCCCCTGCCCTTGTCCCACTCTAGCAGCATTTAGTTTACTTCCTTCTATAGCTCAGCCCTGGATTTATCACTCACGTTTGTGCCAAGTAAGTCAGGAAGTCAGGTTCAAGCAGCTTGCTCAGGGTTGCCATCATGACCCCATTGGGCTGGCCCAGCTGGAGAAGGCACTGGTGAGGCTCTCGTGTGAAGATGAAGAGGGCTAAGCTGAGGAAGAGCAAGGTTCCTACAGCAGGGAAAGTACGAGTGAGTACCCCTTAGCCACCTATTCAATGTCCCCTTGCCTTTCCCAATCGGAGAGGTGACTGCCAGAACCAGGCCTGGCACCATGGAAAGACTGTGAGCATCCTTATATACAGCCTCACCAAGACGAACCTCCTCAGCTCTGTCTTCTGACACGCAAATAGCAAGAGGAGATGCCCAAGAGGCAATTTGGGGTGGTTCTTACTAAAGGAAAGCCACTTTGTACCTTGTGGTGAGATGAGGTTCCAGTATGGCTCTGGTGCCTGCTGGCCAGCTCTCGGGGTGTCTCCTTCCATCACTGGCTCCTGAGAAGTCAAGTGGAGCACCATGGCAAAGCGATGCCACACGATGCCCCAGAGTTCGGAGGTAGCAAACTCCCGCACTACTGCTGCATCTCCCTGACAGAAGAGGAACAAGCCCCAGAGCAGTGAGATGGGAGCCTAAACACCCTATTCTGCATTGCAGCTCAGGGATTTGGCTCATCGGAGACACCTTAATTCCGTGGATGCTCCCTCTGTAGCCTGACAGACCTAAACCCTTTCTGACTGGACCTCTCTTCCCACCTGTATCTAAAAAGCAGGAAGCTGGGCGTCCACTAAGAGGAATTGCTGCACATAACTCAGCTGATATGCCCAGAAAGGGCAGGGACTTAACTGCCCTCCCCATTTTGCTAGGGAATTTAAGGTCTTCATCACCACCAACTGCAACATATATTTTCAAAGATGGAACAGGGCCAGTCCTGCAGAATCCTAAGACTCTGCTTTTATTACATTTTAGCTATCATAATATATTTTAATTGGGTGGAAGCAAAATTCTAGTCCATAAGAGGGGGGAAACAATGTGGTAATATGCAGGTGGCTATAGGTGAGAATTTGGCTGGAGTTTCTTCATGCACACAAATATACATACACAGCAAATTGTATATAAGAATAGTGCAATGTCCTCATCAGTATTTTTTTAAACTTTCAAATTCTATAGAAAGAACTGAACCACCTAGCCAGAAAATATGCTTGGAAATTATCATATCTGTATAACTATGTTAGCAAACTGAGTTGTTTAGGTCCAGTTCTAGACTGTGCTGTCTTTCTCTATCTCAGTGTTACCCAACCTGGTGCCCTCCAGATGTTTGGAACCACCTCCCATCAGCCCCAGTTAAGTATAGATTAGAAAATGGTTGGGGTGATGGCAATTGTGGCCCAAAACATTGAGGATGCCAGGTTGGGGAAGGCTGCTCCGTCCTTTGACCCAAAGTGGCCCTTCCAGTTGTGGATAGGGCAACGTCCAAGGAAGTCCATGAACAGACAGGACAGCACCTGGATGAGAGCCAGTTCCCTACTGCCAAGAGCTGAGGGGCTACACATGGCCTTGGCAGAATTAAGCAAGCCATTTCTTACCCTACCCCATTCTGCTTCACCTAACAGTAAATACTTTCCCTAGTACCTCCTGGATCATTTGTGTACATCCTCTTGAGCAGCCTTTGCCAACTAGGTGCCCCCAGATGTTAGACCATAACTGTCTGTTGGACCACATGCTGGCTGGGGCTGATGGGAGCTACAATCTAGCAACATCTGGAGGTCACCAGGTTGGCCAATGCTGCTCTAGAGAATGCAAGGAAGCTGCTTGGTGGGGCATGAAGTCATACCTGGCTTAATAGCTGCAGCATCAAGAGCAGGAGCCCATCATAGAAGCCAGCTCCAATGGGAGGTGGCAGGCATAGCTGAAAGACACCAAGAGAAAGGACTAAACCTGAGACAGTGACCTCAAAGTCAACCACTATATGGCATGACAAGCATGATACAGCCAGTGGCCTATGTGTCCTGATTTGCCCCTGTCTGTCTGGAGCTGGTTTCTTACCTCCGCAGGTTCTGTGAATACAGTAGCTATAATGGCCATGGCTTCCTCTTCCCTGATCATCACAGCAGCGCCATTTTGAATGAAGTATGTCAGCAGCAATCCTGCAGCACTCTGCATAAGACAGAGAGACCCCTCTGTGTGCAGGAATGGCCAGAATGCCTTCTTTACTTGAACTGGATGCAAATCTAGTTATTAGACTCCCCACAGGAATGGCAATGCTGCTTTCTCCTTCATAGTCTACAGAAGTCCAACTCTGATACCTCTGGTATGACAGGGTAACAGGCAGACCATTTCTTTGCAGTCCAGAAGTATCTAGTACACATTTGTGGGAACAGTGGGATACCTCTTTTTCACAGCTTGTGAAGCTCTGTCTACAATACCTCCAACTGTGTGAGGGAAGATAACTGTTTGGTCCTTTCCTTGACCTTAGTGAGAATCCATCACTCGCCATTGGGTGCAATGTGGAAGAGTTTCTCGTGAGTACAAACCTACAGCTGGGGCTATTGACAATCAGATTACACATATGGAGTAAAAGAATCTATATAGACAGCTCTAAACTCTACCCTGGAGTAGAGATTACTCACTAGAACAGAGGTAGCTGTTGCATGGTTGAAAAGAGCCATGGCTTCCTTCAGCACTATTTCAGACCTAAACCACAATCAAAGAAATAGCAGCATTAGAAGGATGAAGCAACGGATGCCAAGGCCCTCATCTTCAAAGCTAGCAATACTTGCCAGGCACTTAAGTGTGTGCCTGGAAAAGGAACGGCAGCCGAAAACTAAGGCTGGGGCTGCACTGTGGCTCAAAAAATGTGGTTATGTTATGTAGCAGCTTCAGGGGAATCCTAAAAACCAGTAATTTCATTTTCTAAATATCAAAAAAAAACCTTCTTGGCAGCATTGTTGCTCACTGCTGGGTACTTTCTGCTTCAGACTAAGAAACCATCAGTTCAGCACGGCTTACAGTCACCAGAAGTCTAGTCCTTAACACAGGTGCCAGCTCTCTCCTTATGTATACTCTGTGTAAATAGCTGGGAGGCTATTGCTACTGGGCCTCACTTTGGGCAAGCTGCTCCTGAGTTTAGGACAGCTACAGCAAACATTAAAAGAGTGTAGTGGGAGGGATGTATCTGCTTACAGAGCACAGTGAAGCACCATTGTACATCTTCCTGCAAAACATCTCTTGGACTGGCACGTTTTGTGATGGGGCATATCCCTCAAAACCAGGGTTGTGTCAAGCGCCTCCCCATTTTAGCACTGACTCTCCTTACTTCTTGCCAATCCACTTCTTGCCAATCCACACAACTCAAGTTAAGTCTCTGCGAGCCCTTTCCCTTGTTCCCAAGCAGTCAAGGCAAGAATATGAACGGTGCCAAAGCAACAACACTTACTGAGGTGGGAGGATCTGTAGCTGGAGGAGCAGGAGGGAGAAGAGTCTCAGTGAGGCTTCAGCTGCCTGTACCTGTGCCACTTCAGTCAGTGGGACCTTTCAAAGAGACAAGGCTCAGTCCTGAAACACTGGCCCCATAAACCATCACCTTTCCATCCCATATCCACTCCTAAGAGAAGCTACCCAATGTTCCTCTCACAATGTTTTGCTCTAAAACCATGGTTATCTCAGTGCCCGTCCCCTGCCCATGCCAATCATGTTGGAACGCCTCTCCTGTTTCCACACCATCCTTTCCCTGATACAGTTTCCAGTTCCTTGCTCATTAACTCTCAAACCCCAGCATCTCTGATTAAATAAGGATCAGGGAGCAGGTTGACGAGAAAGACCCCCTGACTGAGACCAGGGAAAGACACTTCCAGTCAGAGTGGACAATATCAGATGGAAAAATAGTTTGACCTGGTAAGAGGCAGCTTCCTTTCTCTCCCTTCTTAGGGCTGAGACTTTGCATGTGCTCATGATGAGGCAGTTCTCTTTGCAGTTTCAGAATAAAAACATACCTTGCCTTGCAGGGCACAAATCAGGGAGCTCAGCCTTTCTGGAGTTGCTAAGCGATGGCACAGAGTCAGACTGACATGGCAACAGGCATACAGGACCTGGGTGATGGAAATGCAAAGCAATATCAGACCACTGAGACATCATCACTTTCTTCCCAAGTGAGGAGGGAAAAGGGAATGCATTAAGGCATGTTGCCTCCAAGGATAAGATGCCCTGGGCACCAATTCCCCGACTCCCAGAGAAGCAAAGGGAACATGGGGAGATGCGTTACCTTCATCCCATTGAGAGAAGAGGCAGAGCGCTCAATTCCTGAGAGAAGACTTGGAAGCAGGTCATTATCTTTCTCAATGAGCTTCTGGGCTACATGCTGAGAGATCTGCAATGGAAATCCCTTGCCTTCAGTGCTAACACCATTATCAGTTTCCACCACTTGAGGGAGCAATATAGCCAACTTCTCAGAAACATAAATGCCAATAAGACTCCCACCTGCTTTTTGGCCTTATGACATGTGCTGTGCCCTCCTGGGATGCCGCAGGATGCAGCTAGGGCTGCAGTAGAGGCAACTGCCAAGTGTTCACTCCACTCTTGCACTGCCTTTGCTTCTTTGGGGAACACTGTTGGGGGTTGGGGAGCAAACAGAATACACCAAGTAAGGTTAAATACACCAACTGGAAGTGGAACAGAAATGCCACTTACAGTGATATTATCGATTATTGTCTACTTTTATTTGTCACTTTTTTGCTCAAAGTGGACCCAAATGCATCCTCCATATAAAAGGGAGGTCTACTACATCCATCCTACCTTTAAACCATCAAATTAAGAGTGAAAAGCCTGGGTAAAAGAAACACTTTTGCCTAGTGCATAAAAATAGAGATGACACTAGGCTTGCCTCTCTGGGCAGGGCACTCCATAATTAGGCAGCCACCACTGAAAAGGCCTGTTTTCATAGAATCGTAGAGTTGGAAGGGACCCCAAGGTTCATCTAGTCCAACCCCCTGCAATACAGGAATCTCAACTAAAGCATCCATGACAGATGACCATCCAACCTCTGCTTAAAAGCTTCAAAGGAAGGAGAGTCCACAACCTCCCAAGAGAGACCACTCCACTGTTGAACAGCTCCTACTGTCGGAAAGTTCTTTCAGATGTTTAGTCTGGAATCAGGAGGCATTTTGCATTATCCCAAAATGCAGTCAGATGGGCACATTCTCCACAGCATTTGTTACCTTCCTGAGCTGGCTGCTTACAGCTAGCCTCATGGCAGAGCACATCCAGAAGGCGGTGATGCTCCTCAAACAAGCTGGTGTAAAAGGGAATGGAGATGGATGGGCAGGCACAATCCATGCTCTCACACAAGTGGGTGAAGCACTGTAAGGATAAGAAACAAGAGATGCTGTTGCAGTGAGGACAGTATAGGTCTGGGAGTTGTGGGGAGCCTAGAGCAAGAGTGGGGAAACTTTTTCAACCTGAGGCCCGCATTCCCTTCTGGGCAACCTTCCAGAAGCCCTATGCTATGCTGTATGTAGCCAAAGACAAAAGAGGGCACAGAAATGAATGTACTACAAATATGTTATATATTTTGGGATGTAGGAACAATAGCTGCTCCTCATCTTTGAAAAAGTCAAACTCTGGGTTGGAACCCATTTCTGTCCCAAGCCTTAAAACACACAGGTTCCAGGGGTAGGCAGGGAGAAGTGAACATTAAATTGAGAAGAAAACTGAATTAAATTTAATACAGTTTCCCTTAAATTAAATTTAATGAAATTAAATTGAGCATTAAACATTAAAAGGATGCTGAAGGGAGAGGGAGAGAGACTGAGGCAAGATGGAGATGAGTAGACCAGGAGATAGGAGGCTTCAAAGGGACCCTTACCATCAGGCTTTGTTCTCGCAGCCTGCTCTCTTGGTCTGCGGGCTGAACCAGCAGTGCAGGTAACAGGGCAAGGAAGCGACTGGCAGAACTGTGGAATGCCTGCAAACTAGAGAAATATCTGTGTTTATAGGTTCGGCATAGAAGCTTAGCCTTGAAACATGGCAGTGAGCTCAACACAGGCACTCAGATTCTCCCTTTCTTTGGCCAGTACTGTATAATTGTGTAATGCTCAGAACCTGTATGATGACAGGTAACTAGGGACATTATATGCCATTTCCAGTTCTCAGACTAAATAATGGCACAAGGCATCAGAGTGTGGAATGAAACTGCTTCTTTTTGGTATTTACTGTATTCATGCACACTGTGCTTTAATTTTGCCTACTCCCATACTGCCGACAACATAGCATAATTCACCTTCATATTTCATCTGCCATGAAAGTGTCTTACCTTTGCTTCTTTCCACTCTGCTGTCGGTTGAAATCACTGGCAAAGTAGGCTGACAGGACAGTGATTAAGTCTATCAGTAGGGTGATGTACCAGGGCTGCTGTAGGATAGAGAGAGAGGTATGTGTTCTTGGGGCTGGATTCCAACTGGTTGGGTGCCCCATAGAAAGAACCAGTAATCAAGAACTACCAGAATCATCTGCCAAGGTAAGAAGAAAGGGAGGAGGAGGAAACTAACAGAGTTCTGAGTAAAGTGGGTTGAATTCTGTGCCAAATTTAACCTTTGTACAGATGCACAGAATCTGTAGAGGAAAGACTGTTTTCCATTACAGTGTAAACTCCATGCAGCACAAAATTTGGGATCAAAGAATGAGGCTTTAAAATAATCTCACCAATAAATGTTTTTAGTTCCCAGAGTTATCCACATATATGTTAAACATGCTGGTATCAGCTGTGGTAAGGTCAGACACCCTGGAGGTTTCAAGCAATCAGGTGATAAAGTTACTCAGCCAAGCCCTCGGTTCCTAGCCTCTTGCCCGCCATTCATACCTCCTCTTCTTCCTAGCTGCTTATGATTCTTGTCAAAATATCCCAGATTCTGCAGAACACTCTAACAGTGCTTTTAACCTTGTGCAAGTTAAATACTTTTACATAATGAACCTTCTTTTTTAAAAAAAAAATCCAAATACTATATGCTTAGTTTGGATTATAGTCCAATAAGAAAAAGGTCCAAATAACAGCCTGCTATGCACCTAGATGCTTTAACTCTTCAAAATGCAAGTACCAGACATGGTGTCCTCCAGATAATGTGGTCATCATCCCTGACCATTGGCCATGCTGGGAGGGAGGGAGTTGTAGTCCAAAGCATCTGGAAGGCACCATGTTGGCTACCCCCCGTTTTGGCGAATGCCTCTTCTCTACCTGCTTGATGTTGATACTCTCTAGGATACTTCCCGCTAGCTCCACAAGGAAGTGGGATAATCCTGTGTCACTGCAGAAGGTGTACAACAGCTCTGTGTCACAGCGGGTACTTAACAAGTTGCCAATAACATGGAGGGCAGGGCGAAGATGGGAAGCTCCCTCCAGCATTCCCTCCAGCACCTGTATAAGGAAAAGGGGTAAATGTACATAGGACATACAACTCGTCCCCATACAGGGTAAGAGTCATGGCAGAAACAGAGACCTTCCCCACACCAATGCCTAAACTGCTCTAGAAACACCATACAAACTACTGATTCCACAGTCACTCTGTCTTCAACAGCATCACAGCACACTCTCGCCATCCCAAAATTCATCCATGAGATGTTGCTCCCAACTAAAGAGTTAATGACATGCCCAGCTTCCTTTCTAGGATCCACACATTTTTATAAGACCTCTATACCCTGTCAATTCTTAAGAGTCTCCATCTTTCCAAGCTGTCCCTAGTCTCTATGTATGTGGCTCATCATGTACTAGCTGAAAGGCCAAAACTACCAAAGGAATTCAACAAGGAAAGAGTGTTTCCACCAGTTTCTTTCCTCTTCTCTCTGTAGGAAATCTCGCTTAGCTTCTGAAGGACATACCCAGCATACAGCAAACATACCGTGTGTGTGTGTGTGTTTAGCCTTTCCCTACAACTCACCTGCCGACCAGAATCCTTGAGTCGGGCATGGATGCGCTGCACAAAAGCAGGGTCTCCCAGAAGGCTCAGTGGGGCACTCAGCTGCACATGGGCAGGATCTGTGGCATCTATCAAGTGCTGCCACTCCTCATCGCTATCCAACTCCTAAGAGGCAAGAGTGAGTCAGTGAGTACCGCCACCATCAGAAAGCCAAGAAAGTACTTCCTTGCAACTATTCAAATGACTGTGGTACCTGGCCATGCACTCACCTCAGTCTCCAGATCCACAGTGTCAATGCTCCGTCTGCCTCGTGCTTCTGCTCTGCCACTTTCTGGCCTCAGCTCTGGGAATTCCCGTTCATAATCCTGTGTGATCCGATTCTCTCTGTCCATGAAGAAGAGGGATGAGAGGCTGAAGGCAGGCTACACAGCAATGAAATGTTCTCACCCCAGCTTTGGTTTTCTCTTGTAAAGGACCCCTGGACGGTTAAGTCCAGTCAAAAGCGACTATGGAGTGTAGCACTCATCTCGCTTTCAGGCCGAGAGAGCCAGTGTTTGTCCGCAGACAGCTTTCCAGGTCATGTGGCCAGCATGACTAAATCGCTTCTGGTGCAACGGGACACCATGAAGAGTGCCAGAGAGCACAGAAATGCCATTTACCTTCCCACCGCAGTGATACCTATTTATCTACTCACAATGGTATGCTTTCAAACTGCTAGGTTGGCAGAAGCTGGGACATATATATGTCAGCTAATTCAGTTGTTTCCAGTGTTGTCTTGGTCATTTGGTATTACTTAGAGCAACAGTATCTCTATCTGAAAATCCTGCAAGCTGGAACTTACGTTTCTATGTATAACTTTGTCCAGAGCTGTTTTGCTGAGCCTATGACTTCTACAGCAGTAAAAGATTTGGACCTTACTCTGATTCTGTGTGGTGTTTGGTACTGCCAGCTTTAGATCCACACTTTCCTTGCACATGTATCATATACCACATTCCCAACAAAATAAAGGCATTTAAACTCCTTCTTCTCACCGAGGTGTGGGGGAAGATTCCTTTTGCTCCCACTCCATTCCCTTTCCTCCAAGGCTAGGGTGCCTCTGTTCTCCAGTGCCAGGACCTGCCCGATTCGCTTCCCTGGGATCTGTCTGAGCAAGGCAGGCTTTGCGTGTGTGGCTCTGGACCCCCTTGGGGATTTCTTCCTTAAACGAAGCCCTGGATTTCCCCATCTCCTGTAAGAAGTCAAGCAACACAGGATGATTCTAATGGACCGGACCCCACCATACCGTAAGTCGCCTTGCCAGCAATGGTACTACCTGCCTCTCACCTTTCTCCGAGCCTCCTGGGCCATCTTCTGCCGTGCTTTCCTCAAGATCTTTGACTGGCCACTGTGAGGGGCCAGCGAGTGTGTCTGCTGCTCTTTCAGGGCCTGCAGTTCAGGAGGCAGTTTGCTGGTGAAAGGGCTGGTAATGCCTTTATCCGCTGTGTCATCAATCACTGCAAAAGAGAAGGTTCATGTCGGTGCCTGGGCTTTCTTGAATCGGGCTCTGTAAGGAAAGGCAGATGCAGGAGCCAGATGGGGGGAAATTGCAAGTAAGCATGGCAGCTGGTACTCACCAGTGACCCGCCCTGCAATGAAGGGGTGATAGAGTAACTCTGGCCAGGACAGGCGCTGCCGAGGGTCTTTCATCAAGAGGCCTTGCAAGAAGCTCTACACAGTAATGAGAGATGGTCACTTGCACGTCCTCACACTACTTATAGTCTATAACCCCAGCTGCTAATTTTAACAAGGAAAACCTTGGAGCCAATGAAATTTCTTGGTCGCTGTGGGAAGAGTCTATTCAATCCATGCATACAAAAAGCACATTTTCCAGAATGTTCCCATTTTTTTCATTTTCAAGTTTCTAGCTCTGAAGATTACTGAAAAAAGTCTTGCAAACATGGCTGCATATTCTGCCTTAAGAAAGAAACCTGGTGGCCCCAATACTACCAAAACATGTTTGCACACAGAGCTACATTCCTTGGCATAGATGTAGCAATGTGGTGTTCTTCAGACATTGTGGACAACATTTCCCTAACCACTGGCCATCTGGCTGTGGCTGATGCAGTCAAAATTATTGGGGGGCATCCCTGCCTTAGCAAGTACACTCATCTCAGTCTAATCCCCACAGGGAGTGGGGTAGGATAAGGATTGGAGAATGCACTTAAAAGCTGCATTTCTACCTTTCAGACATACACACCAACAGTGTGAAAGAGGCCAAGTGGCATGAGTGAACAAAATCTAAGGCGTTCAAGCTTCTAAGGAGAGAACAAACTCAAACCACAGATACATACAGTGTAATGCCAGAGATACAGATAGCTGAATTTGAGTCATGGGAAACCCAAAAGTATAAGCTTCTAGAGCAAAATATATCTCTTATGGCCCTTAGCAGGGCAATCTACCTTACAGGGCTCTTGTGTGTGGATAAAATGAGACTAAAGAAGCAATGCATCTAAACCTGCCCTGAGATCACTGGATGGAGTGGGGAAGGCATTTAAGTACAGTTACCTTGAAGTTGGGGCTCATGTTTTTTGGCCACTTGATGGGGTCCTTGATGATCAAGCTCACCAACTGGAAGATGCTGTTGGTGTAGAAGGGTGGTGTCCCCACACACAGCTCATACAGAATGCATCCCACTGACCAGAGGTCAGCTGTGTGGTCGTAGGGTTTCTCTTCCACTAGCTCAGGCGCCATATACAGTGGCGTGCCTTTTATAGATGTCAGCACCATGGTGTGAATACTCATTGCACGGGCAAACCTTCCCAGGAAAGAAAGAAGACAACTGAGACCTTTCAGTAATGAGACCAGAGATTGGTTGGGGAGATCAGTTCTTAACGTACCTACCCAAAGTCACAGAGCTTGATCACTCCTCCTTTCCCAAGAAGGATGTTTTGGGGTTTCATGTCACGGTGCAAGATTCGGTGGGAATGCAGATAATAGAGTGCCGAGACCAACTGAGAGGCAATATCTTGCACCTGAAAGAAAATGACAACCCTGATACTTTGCAAAGCCCATTTAATCCTGTAGGGATGCTCCACATCTCCAGCACAAAACTTCCATTTCCTTTTGTTATCTTTGCTGATGCCCCTCAATTGTGAATCACAAGTCCTTCCCCAACACACAGAAATCTATTTGTATTATCCTAAGACAATTAGATCTATTTTTATCCTTGAGGGCAGCAGAGAGCAAGCATTTCCACTCTTCTATGTACCCTTCAGGTATTTGAAGACTGCAATCATGTCCATCTGCTGCTAGACTTCTCTTCTCCAGATTCAACGCTAGTTCAAAACACATATGTTCACTCAGGCATCACTTGAAGTGTGACTCCAGATATTCTTATTTATTTAGGATAAGGGCTGTAGCTCAGTGGCAGAGCTTTGCATACAGAAGGTCCCAGGTTCAATCCTCAGCATCTCTAGATAGGGCTGGCAATGTCCCTTATCTAGAACACTGGAGAGTCACTGCCAGTCAAAGCAGACATAACTGAGCTAGATGGACTAATGGTTTGACTCAAGGCAGCTTCCTATCTTCTTATTAATAATCATGGTGAATTTTATACTGAGTATGTAATGTTTTATGGTTTATTGTGTTTTTATATTGTACCATACCCCACTTTTGATATTCCAATTTGAGTAATATATAAATTGGTTTAAAAAATTAATAAACAAAAAGACATACAGTACCAACTTCCTTAAATCTTTCCTTGATTTAAGCTGTTCTAAAATCATCCCTGGTATCAAATTCAGAGGGATGGGTCTCTAGTTTCTCAGATCATCTTTTTAAAGATTAGGACTGTCTTGTAAGCACCTCAGTCACTATTCCAGGAAATGTAACAGGTTCATGTCAAAGTACACAGCTGGAGGGTTTATGGTCTAGCAGAGACTGACACCTACCCACACTCCAGCTACTCTCCCATTCCTGGAGTCATTCATCACACTGAATCCCCACTCACTCTTCTTGTCATAGTTACCTGCTCCTCAGGCAAGTTCCCATCATCCTCAAGGATCTGAAAAAGCTCCCCTTCAGCATAATCTGTCACTACCACAACCTGAAGGAGATAAACAAGACCAGAATGCCAATGAGAACATTTTCAAAGGTGGGACACTTGTGGGTAGGGAATGACAATATGACTAAGCTCTCTGTGCTGTTTGAAGCCAACAGGAAACCACCATCAAAAGAAGAGTGTGCAGCAGCTACCAACACATTCTTATTTGATGAAGGTCCCTATGGAGAGCTACAAACTCTAAGTGTGTTGGGACATTCTTTGGATATTGTCATTCTGCTGATAGGTCTTGGCAGGTTAATTGGCTGATGCAGCCTCATGAACCAATAGGCTTGATGTGGCAATCCAAACTTCCACAGACAAGATGTGTAATTTAGATAGCTGTTACCAAAATGGATAAATTTTAGTTCACTCCTCCTAGGTACTCATTGAGACATCTGGAAAACACCATATAACCTAAACTTCATCAAACAAAATGTAGCCATTTTCAGGCCTTTCTGCTTCTTGGGGGACTTTCCACAGAGCCAGGAAGACACCATTTTCTTCTTCACCTCCCACATTTAAAAAGGACTCCCAGCAAGTCCCTTACCTCTTTATCAGTTTCAAAACTGTCAAGCATCTGGACAATGTTGGGATGATGAAGCCCCCTCATGATCTCAATCTCTCGCTGCAAATTCTTCAGCTCTTTCTGCGAGCGACCCACTTTAGGGATAAACTTCAAGGCCACCACCTGCCAATAATTATTATTATTATTATTATTATTATTTTAAAAGGCTGGAAATGTGTCATACACTACTTTCCCCTCTGTCTGTCCCTGAAAAACTCATTGTGAAACAATGACCACTGCAGGCTCAGGAGCAGACTTCTAATATAGCAATCTTTGGAAACAACTCTCCCTAAATTAACTCTCTTGCCTGTTGATGAGGTCCATCCCCCTGTTCCCTTGTGCTCTTACCTGTGCACTGTATTTGCGACGCCCTTTGTACACTCTTCCAAAAGAGCCTTCGCCAATCATCTCCAAGACATGATACTTCTCCATGATGGGAATGTGGGGAAGGGTGGGTATTAATCTGAAAGGGCAGAGACAAGAGATTAAGCTAAACACGAACAGTAAATGAGAAATGTAAGCACAAAGGCAAAGCATGTCAATTCACAATACAGTGGTACCTCGGGTTGCATAAGCTTCAGGTTACAATCGCTTCAGGTTACAGACTCTGCTAACCCAGAAATATTACCTCAGGTTAAGAACTTTGCATCTGGATGAGAACAGAAATCGTGCTCCGGCAGCGCGGCAGCAGCGGAAGGCCCCATTAGCTAAAGTGGTGCTTAAGGTTAAGAACAGTTTCAGGTTAAGTACGGACCTCCGGAACGAATTAAGTACTTAACCTGAGGTACCACTGTAGCATTTTGCAAAATTATTATTATTATTATTTATTATATTTGTATACCTCCCTTCATCTGAAGATCCCAAGGCTGTTCACAACAGAAAAATGCAAAATAAGCACACAAATCATGCATGTGTGGTCAAAAGCAAGAATCAAAAAGAAAAAAGGGAGCAAAGCAGTCAGAAAAGGTTGGGGAAAGGGGAGTAGACTCTGGCAAAGCCAATATGACATGCATATCAGGCAATCAGCTCTAAAGAGGGGTCCCAGATCTCAGAATAGTTGTGCTTTTTGAATCTCCAGGCAAAAGCAGTTTTTTCATGCGATGCATGAGAAGAAAGCTCTCCAACCAAGGAGCTATTGGAGGAGATATCAAGTCCTTGCAATGCTGTAAAACCAATCGCTTAGCCACTAATAAAGCATGCAAGTTCCAGGTCATTAGGATATAACAGAGCCATCTATGAACATCCAAATATTTCAGGGACAGTCTCATAACAAAATTAATTTGAGCAAGCACCTTCACCGAAAAAGAAGCTAATGCAAGGCATGTTTTTAATGCTTCCCAAGAAAAAAGTTAAGGCACCCCTGCTCCAAAGTGCCCATCAGGAGTCCATCAACACACACAGTCTTTTTAGCCATCTTTTTGCCTGCACAACTCTCCGAATCCCTTCTGCTATACTGTATAAAGTCCTCACCCGGCCACGGCGTCTTGAGGAGCCTCCTAAGGCGACGATCCTACGCCCACTTACTTAGGAGTAAGCTCCACAAAAGTGAAATGGGGCAGAGAAATGCACAGAAGGTCGGGCTGTGCGCTGCAGCCCGACACCGGCTCCTTCGCCTCAGCCTCCTCCTTCCAGGTCAATCCAGGGGAAGGGCAGAAGCACCCACGTCCCACCCGGCTCGTCTGACAAAGCCTTTGCCGCGCTGAGGCCCGGCAGGGGCCGTTGGAACCCGGCGGCTCGAGAGTAGGGCGGGGCGGGGCGGGGCGGACGGAGGCTAGTTATCAGCGCAGGCCCCGCGCAACGGCGTCTCCCGGCTGTTGCCTAGCAACCCCCAGCACCGGAAGAGAACCCGGCAAGCATTCCAAAGCGGTTGAGTTTCCGGGCCTGTCAAGATGGCGGCGACCGGCGACGGCGAGGAGCAGGAGGAGTTGGCGGCGGATTGGTAAGGGAGCGGTTCGGCCTTCTGTGTCCTCCTTTCTCTCTAAGCTGAAGGCAGATGAGCAAATGGCTGGCATACCCCCCCCCCTCCTCCTCTGTTTTCTGTAGCCCAGGCCATCTCATCACGAAGGAATTTTTTTGTTTCTTCGTTCGTCTTGTTCTTATCTAATGTTCGACATGTACGATGTGGTTCGTCATCTTCCTGGGTCTCGTCACAACAGGGAGTGAGCTAGCACACGGTCCCCCCGCCCCCCGCGCGCTATTTCTGAGGGTAGGGGGCTGAGAGAGAAAGGCAGCGCCCAGTAGCCGAACAAGCAGCGATATGAATCTTATATCCAAGCCAAGTGCAAAATCCACTCCCTGGGCCAATCCTGTTCCTCCTCGCCCTTTGGTCTTCTAGCAGGGTTCGGTTTTTTTTTTTGGTTTTTTTTATAAACTCCTTATGAAAAACTGTAGATAGAGAAATAAATACCTTCTCTTTACCGCACAGTTACCTGGCTAGAAGCATATGCCAACTGAGATCTCTTCTCAGTCAGCTGCTGTTATGCCACTGGTTCCTTATGGATATTATGAAAAAATACTCCATGCAACAATCTCACTCTCGGTTAGTATTACAGCTGTGTTTCTGCCCTTTGCAGTATGGAGCTGTGTCATTTTTCAGCCACAGAATCAAAACAGAAAGAGAATGACAGCCTTTCTCAAGCATGGTAAACTACCCACTGTTGTGGGAATTGTGTGTAAGGTAAAATTCTGAGAAGTAGCAAGAGAGAAATGTTTTTGTGGTTTTCATTATCACTGGCAGCAGCAAAGGTCTGCTAGTTTAGACTTTGTGCCCCTTCACAAGTGCCTAGCCTCTTAAGCGTTTTAGTGGCATTTTTAAAATTCAGGTTATTATGTTGGATTGCCACAAGATGTCAGCATTTACAAATGGGTTACATGACCCCCAAAACCTAAGTTAATGTAGGAGTCTAATGTGGTGTGTGCGTTATTTGTTCTTCTTGAACACGGATTTGCCTGCCATGGTGATACTCTAAAGCAGTTTTGCCCTGGTGGGCTAGATCTTTATCTCTCCCACCCTAATGGGCCAATTTTGAGAAGTGTGTGGGACCACCTACCTGTCAATCATTTGGTGACATATTGATATCAGGTGATTGACAGATGGATTGTTCCAACCTACTGTCATTGTTGGCCCTGGGGGAGAATTGAACTCCATTTGCATCAGCTGATGCAAGAGAACTCTCTATCTGTTTCTGTCCTGCTCTGTACATACTGGGAAGTGCCAGTCCAGTCCCAGCAGGAAGAGGCTGATGTGCTTGATCTGAGCTGAATTGAACTTCCTGAGCATCAGCTAATGCATAGGAGTTCAATCCTGATTTCTATCTGCCCCACGCATAACATCATACATGATGGACAGGAGAAACCTGAGGAAATTAGCCTTATATATCATATGATTTATTTTTTTTCTTACTCAGGACTCTGCCTTCAGAAGTGGAAGTCTTAGAGTCCATCTACTTGGATGAGCTACATGTGTCTAAAGGAAACGGAAGGTAATTGCAACCCTAACCCTAACCCTTTGCTGGTTTTTTGTTTTAAAGTATTGGTCACTCCTGTGATCTTGCATATGTCATTGTGGAACTTGATTCCTGGTTTAGAAGACTGTACCCTGTTTTTGGATTAGACTACAGTGTCCTGCACAAACTTGGAATGAATTGCAACCCCTGATTCATGTTTGTTAATTTCTCAAAATATTAGTCACTTCTTTTTTCCCCTCCTTGTATTTGATACTACCATTCTGAAATAGTTATCTTTGTAAGAATATGGGGTGGGGAGAATGGAAGGTCTGCATTATGCCTGCTTCAATCTTCTTTCAGCCTGAGAAAGGAAGGAATAACAACCCACCTGCATTATCTCTCCTGTTCCATCTTCCTTTCATTTGACACCAGACCCTCACTTGAGCCTTTCTTCAACCCTAGGTCTGTGCCGTGGGAAATATCTATCACCCTTCATCCAGCAACTGCAGAGGACCAGGAGTCTCAGTACGTCTGCTTAACCTTGGTGCTATCCGTGCCTCTTCAGGTAAAGCCTTGTATGACCTGAGTGACTGTTTTGCTATATAGCACTTTAGCATGGCTGTACTACTCATTTTGACTTGGCTTTGTTTCTTATTAGTATCCAAATGAAGTGCCAAAGATAGCCATCCAGAATCCTCGAGGGCTGTCAGATGAGCAAATCCAAAAGTAAGTGTATTATGCAAACTCTTTCCAGTTCAGTGCAAGAAGTAAGGTTTTCTTTGTTTCAGTCTGTCACACTTTTAATGGAAAGTGTGGGGAGGTGGGAGCTTCTTTATATTGTGTTCCACCTGCCCAATGATCTTATGTGGAATATGTATTATGCAGCTGTTCTCATAATTTAGAGCTGTGCTGTGTAGGCTGTTGCTATGTTACTAACATTGGGAGCATGGGGAATGAGGTTACAAACAAGACTGGAAGTTCTAATCATGTATGCAACATGTTTGGGTACATATAAATTAATTATGGTGTTTGTGTGTAAAATTGGCATTGGGAGAATACATGTTAAAGGAGATCTTTCCCTTAAAAGTTATTGATAGGTGGACAAAATTAAGAGATTAGAGGCAACGCATCTTGGTACATTACTGTATCAGAAATGCAGCATCTTCATCCAAAACAAAGTCCCAGCTTCTGTGGCTCTTTACACGTGGCTTACTAGAACCTGCTTTCCCTTCCCCTAGAAGGGCTTCAAGCTGCTTTTTCAATTTCAGTCTGGTACCACTTCCTTCTAATTTGTACTGAAGTAGCTACTGTGTCAGATGAGATACTGGGTGAGAGGCTGGCGCCCATCCTGTGTTGGTGTTGAGATTACTATTGCAAGTGGCTGATTCAGCCACTCCAGTTCTTGCCACCTCACTTCCCTGGACATCTATTCTAGCCTTTCTCCTTACCCTGCCCCCTTTTTTGCCTCCATTTTAGGATTTCCCAGACACTACAATGTACTGCTGAGGCCCAGCTGGGTACAGCTATGTTATATGAGCTAATAGAGGTAAGAGAACAGAAAGGGGAGGCAGGCTGTCCAGACCTATGGCTTGGGCTGTTGCGCCTTTATTGTGTGAAATGACAAACTGACCCTCTCTGTCTTCACAGAAGGGAAAGGAAATTCTTACAGACAACAACATCCCTCATGGGCAGTGTGTGATTTGCCTGTATGGTTTTCAGGTAAGGGCATGCTGGATTGGCATATTGTTTTCATTTGTGGGGAGCCATAGGGAATAAAAGCACTAATATATGGAAGAATGAGGTGAAGCTGGGACTCACTCAAAAAGGAAGGAAGAGGGAATGGGAACTTGTTGGGATGTCTCTAGATCCCTCCCTAGTGCTGTGTTGCATTCTGTTCTGCAAAAGTGTGTGCATGTGTCCCCACAGTGGGAAGGGGAGTAACAGTGGGAATGGGGTGCAAAAAGCCCCTGTTAATGTGATTGTTTGAATCTGAGCCAGCATCCACATATATTACATATGAATTGAATTGAAATTGGATTGAATGGGAATTATTATTTCAATGTATGCTGAAAACACACAGTGTAGCTGATTTATATTAATAGGAATCTGTGCCTTCCCCTGTGCAGGAAAATGAAGCTTTCACTAAGACACCATGCTACCACTACTTTCACTCACGTTGCCTTGCCAGTTATACAGAGCATATGGAGGAAGAAATCCGTGCAGAGAGGAAAGAAAGAGTACAGCTTTTGGCACCTCCTCCCAAAGAGGTAATAGCTCCTTGCGTGCACCCCACAGCTGCTTCTAGAACTTCACCAACTTTTTCCTCCAGGAATGGCTTCTGAATCTGGATCAGTATTTCCAGTTCATTTTGGTTATTAGTTACGGCATTGAGAGCTGTGGACAAGATTTTCCCAGATAGATGTTGAAATGGTTTTCCATGGTTCAGTGCTGTGCATACTTTCGCATTTGCAAGTTATTTTGTCTACAGAGAACAAAATGTTAAGTGATGTGTAAAGTCTGGGAATCTAGTTAAAGACCAGAGGAGATGGTCAACATATCTTCCTTTGCTTCAAATACTAAAGAACTGGGGTTCTGTAGATAAAGGCAATCTTCACAGCTGCAGTACAAGTGACCAAAAAGTATACTCACATTATATCTTCTTGAACACCTGTATTGGTGTGTTTCCTGGTGGAAAAGATTGTGAATGGACTTCAACATACACAAAAAAGTTTTGCCAAGAAACAAAAGTTATCTTCCTCCACTCCCAAACAGTAGAATAGTTCTGAGGGCAGGGTTGCTAGTGGTGAACCTTCACTCAGATAATTTTTGCACTAGCTTTGATGCAAGTTGTGATTGCATTAGGAAGGCCCAGTAGCGGGCCAATTGGTGCCAAAGAAGGATAGAGTTTTTTTCATGTATGCTACAACAGCAGCAAGAATACTCATCGCAAAGCACTGGAAGACACAAGACCTACCTACCAGGGAAGAATGGCAGATGAAGCTGATGGACTATATGGAATTGGTGGAAATGACTGGTAGAATCCGAGACCAGGGAGAAGAGTCGGTGGAAGAAGATTGGAAAAAATTCAAAGCTTATTTACAGAAATATTCTAAAATTAATGAAAGTTAGAAAGATGCTGGAAAGAAGTTATATGACTTTAGTAGAAATATAAAGAATTAAGTATGAATAGATTGACATTGGGTAAAGATGTAAATTTAAGTTTAAAATTTCGTTAAATTAAATTATGGAACTAAATTTGTGAAAGAGGGAAAGGACTTGCTAGAATATTTAATTGAACTAGAATACAAAAAAGGAGGTGTGAGGAAGTCGAGGAAATAAGCTAATGAAAGATAAGGATATGAAAATATGGGGTTCTTTTGTATGTTTGTTTGTTCTCTTTTGGGTTCCTTTTTTAAATGCTTTTCTTTTCTTTTCTTCTTTTTGTATTGTTGATGTTTTGTATTGCTGTATTTGATTTTGTTTTTGAGGCTTTGCAACTGTTTATGGTTTATATTTTCTTTTGTTTTTCTTTTCTTTTTTGTAATGTTTAAACTTTAATAAATATTTTATTAAAAAAAAAAAAAGGAAGGCCCAGTAACATCTTATAAAAGAGAACGCTTTACTGATGGATGTTTATAGAATGGAATTAACTAAATTCCCAGGAGGCTTGGATGATGAGCTCAGAATCCAGGCTGCCCCATGACCCTTGTAGTCAAACTGCACAGCACTCTTCTGCCGATAACACTGTTGTTGAGTGCTAGAGCTCCCCAGGATGAGTAGCAGTTTATCAGGAAAATACTACTCTCTTAAGACACACTGGCGGAGTATGAGAACAGTAGCTGTATATCCCATGACTAGGTCTAACCAAGGCTGAATTTTGTTGTTATTACCTTCTGTACAGGAATTTGAAGTGCAGTGCCCTGTGTGCAGGGAGCCTCTGGTTTATGATCTTGCAACATTGCAAGCAGCACCACCTCCACAGCAGCCAATGGTAAGGAAACTTTAAAAACAGACCTTTCACATGGACTTGCTGCTTTTTAAAAGATGCACCAGGCAGGCACCCTCTTGCTTCACTAATCTCTCTCACTTATTGGATCTGTTGGGCAACCCCATTTCTCCAAATGAGCTCTGTTAAGTGTTATTTCCAAATAATCATATACCTGGTGCTCTGTATGCCTGCAGGTGGCTATGAGTTCTAACATTCTTGTCAATTTTTACTTCTACACCAGGGAGAGGAAATTATTTTCAGCCAGGGAGCTGTCTTCCTTTCTATTCAACCTTCCAGGGGCCACATAGGAATTTTATTGTTTGTATAGCAGGCTAGTTTCACACCCCTTCTTCATTTAGGCAAAAAGTATTAACAGAGTGAAACAACAGATATATTCAACCCGTGTCTTTTCTTCCCTGTTACACAATAGGTAGTACATTTAGTTGTGTTTAAAAATACCAGCTTAGGTTCTAACTAAGAATCCTCTGGGAGGAGCATGCTGTGAGTGGAGTTTTACTAATGAGATGCTCTTGCCTGTGTAAGGAGGTGGGAGGCTGCATTTTCCCCCCAGTCTTTCTCTCTGCCTGCCCCCCGGCAGCCCCTTTGCCCATCAGATCTGGAGGGTTGAGAGACCCAGAAGGCTCTGTTTGGGCCAGCCATCTAATTACATGCCTCTCTTTCCTCAGGAGGTGTACCAACCTGACACACAGACACTGCAGCACAGAGAACAACTGCGCCTGATCTATCAGAAGCAGCAGGAGAAAGGAGGCATCATTGACCCTGAAGCAGAAAGAAATCGCTACTTCATCAGCCTGCAAAAGGTTAGCACAGGCAGCAGGAGTACAAAGAGGATAACGGTCATAGGGAAAGAATGAAACAATGGAGGTAGCAATTTTTACTTGCTGAGACATCTTGTCTTGTAGCACAAGAGAGAGCTTTGATATTTGCATCCTAGTGCTGATGACTTTTGTTGCTGGCAATTTTGCAAGTTACTATAGGGAAAGATTTAAGCAGCAAAGCCTGGGGAAGACAGATGGGGTGACATCAATATATTAATTCCTGTGGGATCTTTGCCACTCAGACTGAGAATCAAGCCTGCTGTGTTTATGCATTTTCTGCCCTTCATTTTGGTTTCTATCCTTTTTAGCCCCCAGATACCACTGAACATGAACAAGTAGCCATCTCAGAAAATGTTCTGGATACTGACAAGGAACTGAGGCCATCAGCAGGCTCAGAACATACCCAAGAAACTGCAGAGGCTGCTGTTCCAGTGAGGAATGAACCTGAAAAACCAGAGAGACCTTCTGTCCCTTTGCATTTCCATAGCAAGAGAGAGAGGACTCGAGAGGAGAAACCATCTATACAAGGCCCTGGCTGGCAGCTGCGCTACAAGTCACTGGAGACACCAGCAGAAACTCATTGTCTTCTCACTGTTGAGGGAAAATCCAGAACCTTCAGTAGAAGACCCAACTGGAGAAAGGAGAGGGGACAGCGAAGCTGTGGGAGGTACAATCAAGACTTCTCAAAATCTTGCAGCAGAGACCAAGTGTCTTCACTGGTGGAGAAAAAAGAGCTGCGCACCAGAGGAATCTCACCAACCAAAGAGGGAATGTATTTGAGAGAGGAGAAAAATGTCGTGGGGAAATGGACGCAGGAGCAGAAAAGTCAAGCCCATGACAGCGAGGAAGTAAACTTGGAGGTTAGCCATAATGAGCTCAGGGGGTCGGCCAAGTGGCAGGGTCGCCGTGGGATGCAGGATTGTAGGCAGTGGGAAAAGACCAAGGGCAGAGAACATGGATCTTATATTAAAGTGCCAAGAGGCCGAGGACGCACCACATTGAACTCAAGGAGAGAGCTGCAGAGCCAAGAGACTGAGGATGGCTCCTAGCAGGCAGGAGTTGAGGCTTGAGGGGCTTTTTCTAGGGGTGAACACTGGTGATTTTGTTGTGCTGTCAACCATTGGCCTGGATTGTAAGGAAAAGCAGATCTGTCTTGAAATTCTCCTCTTGGCCATGGGCGGTTTATGTCTTGCAGAGTAGGGGTATATTGTCCTCAGAGATCAGAATTACTGTCTGTGGACTGTAGTAAATAACTGAATAATAAATGGTAGCCAGATGCTATTGCCCATGGGTAAACTGTAGGATCTTACAGTGAATCAGCGCTGTGTAGAGGACTGTTTGAAGCTGAATCACTGAACTAAAAGCCAAGTTTGAAAAATAACTATTAAGTAACCCTGTTCTAAAATAGGTGCTAAAAATAGAAGGACCATAAGGGAGTACAGGTCTCCTTGTTTACTGTCCAGAACTATGGAGAGGACTTGCCATTAATAGTGTCACTATTTTTAGACATGCCTTATTGATGGTATTGGCATATGTGAAAAGAGTGGACTTGAATCAACATTGACTTGGCGGCTGTTGACCACAGAGGGTTCTTTAAGCCCCCCAACTGTGGCTAGACTGAATGTTGGAGTCTCCCACTGCCTCATTGTAATTGGCTAATGTTCAGTAGTGATTGACCTTGAACTGCAAACATCAAACATGCCTATTCTAAAGGGCCTTTAAATTATAAGAAGTCCAACTCCTTACTCACCCAGTAGTTGGATTTGAAGCAACAAAGGCTTCAGCTCCAGGTACACCAAGGCTCTTGTCTTTGCCTGTTTTCACAAATGTGATATCCTGCAATGGTTTACTAACTGTAATCCTGTCCAGAGTTCACGTGACTTATGTTTTGGGTCTTATCATCTTTGATTCGAGCCAAATTTGGTTTCGTTGGGGTGAGAAGTCTCTCATGCTCAAATGGCTTTCCCCTCCTAACCTTATGGCTTTGTGTATGTGCATTCACCCACACACCATTCAAGAACAGCTCTACTCTCCATTTGGGAGGGTAATACCAATGTACCTACCTATTTTTAGGCTACACAGTCCCTGTCATCTCCCTCAGCAAAATGCAGCCTTGTCTTCATGGGTATTTCTGCTCAGAGGAGGAATCTCTAGCAATATGGAGTACATGTGGCCACTATGCAGACATTTCAAACAGACTTTCCTCCACTTGTATTTCTATTTTGTCACATATTTATGGCCTTCCTCCCCCCACAACAAATTTTACCCTAGGCTGTGTGAAAGTTCCCAAGCTGCTTAAATTCCTTATATGTCTGCAAAATGTCCCCCCCCCACCCCTCCCCAAGTGAAGCTTTGCCAGACTTCATAATTTTCCTTTTCTGCTTAGCCACAGTAACATTGTAGATGTGTGACAACTTTACAGAGCACAGTGGCCAAAATGACCTTACAATAGAAGTGTGACTGATTTTAAACCAGTTCATGCTAGAGGCTAAAGGATGTCATTACTTATTTGCATGCATGCACATATACCAGTTTGAGCAGTTCTGCCTATTAAAAGGATTGATGTGAGATTGATTTACCTCCCTGCACTGTGGTGAGGTGGAATTTGTGGTGATGTGATGCAAAACAGGAGTATTAAAAGCAATTTGAGTAAACCAATCTATGATTCTCTTTCGTGGATAAGGAACATAGCTGCTGTGCTGCATGTGATGAGACCATTCAACATTAGAAACCATCTAAAAAGAGGCAGGGAGGTAATAACCTATGACCCAAGTAGTTTAGCTAAAATGAGGAACCTTTTGATTATAAATTAAAAACAATCGGGTTCTAATCTTTCTGTTGGATTCACATTTTCTTTTTCTTTTCTTTTTTTTTGTAAACTATTCTTCTAAGGAGAAAGGCTGCTTCATTTTGCACCACTTGAAACTTCTGAACAATAATGAATGGTAGCCTACATAGAATATAAAACATGGGTAACACAGTATCTAGATCCTGATTGGCTTTTCTGGACAGGGTTATAATACCGACATAGGTCCAGGTCCAGGAATACCTAAAAGCTATACATCTTAGGGACTTGGGTCATAAAAACTGACCCAAAGGGGCTAATTGGTGAGCAAAGTGCATATAGCTCCTGTAGTGTGCATTAGGTAAAAAAAGAAAGAGAAGGTAAGAGCTGGATGACAAGCTACTTTATTAGAGTACACAAACTGTTCATTTGATCTTGGATGGATTATTTCAGATTACCTGTTAAACTGAGCAGTCTTCCTGATTTGCTTGAACCAAACATATGCAGATATACAATGTCTGACTCTGCCCTACTGAGCAGCCATCTTGATCTGAAGGGAGGTTATACAATGATGAACACTCATCCTGATGTATGGAGGTTATATGTATTTCCATCGTTTATACCACACTTTTTCATGCATTTCCCAAATTGCAAAAAGTCTGGTTTTTAAAAGTGGATTTTGTTGCAGCAAAGCACTTATTCTACTTAATTGTATAGACTTATTTTTCTGATATGCAACTGAATCCCTTCAAAATGTGTAATGGGAGGGTGCCATGTGAGAGGTATGGTAGAAGAGAGAGATGAACGTGCTCAAAACTGGAACAGGAGCCAAGCAAAAGACAAGTAGGAAGGGATGAGGCTGGGAAATAAAGGGACAAGAGGAGCAATGGAGTGAGGGTACCATGTTGTGGGACTGAAGGTGAACAAAATACTGTTTGCCCCATTTGCTCTCTAGGACTGCTGAGATCCTTAAAAAATAGCCATCACTATTAACAAGTGTTTGATTATAGGGCATACACAGCGTACTCATGGAGGAAACAGCTCCTTTTTTTTCATTCTGACATCCTTGGTGAATGGCTGTGCCTTCTTTGAGTAGGTCTCAAGGCTACTGGATCTGTGCTGTTGATCACATCCTCTGCTTGACACTTTCCCCTTCTATTGTTTTGCTGTCTCCTGATAGTTCTGCCTTCCTTTTTACCAACTGCTCTCGATCCTTTGAGGACTCTCGCCCTCATTTCATAAACCCACCCTATTTTCTTCCATCATGTCCACATCCAGCAATTTCTTTTATAAAATCTCTGAAGTGCAGGATCTGTTTCTTCCTGAACTTTCCTAGTCTTTCCCATGCTTTCGCCTATTTGTCTGTGATATATTAGAGTTACTGTCCCACCCACATGCATACAATAAGTTGATGACTGGGTTAAAACTAATACCTCAAGTATCTTCTCTCTCCACCCCCACCCCCCAATGTATGAAAGAACAATTCCCCCTTCCATGTTTTGCTGTTGTAACATTGGCAAGAAGAGCAAGTGCTGTTTCACACCTGGGTGTTGCTATAAATAGAAGTGGAACCATCCGCCTCAGTGGCACTGACAGTACGTCCTAACCCAGCTTGCATGGAGAACCTCATTGTAACCATTAATTCAGATCAAACAGACTTGGGAATTGTTAGAGATCTGGCAGTTATGTTCACAGTATACATAGCTTACTGCAAGGGTCCTTCTCTATTTAATATTAATGTTGCACACACACACACATATTTGTTGTTTGTTGTTGTTTAGTCGTCTCCGACTCTTCATGACCCCATGGACCAGAGCACGCCAGGCACTCCTGTCTTCCACTGCCTCCCACAGTTTGGTCAACTCATGCTGGTAGCTTCGAGAATACCGTCCAACCATCTCGTCCTCTGTCGTCCCCTTCTCCTTGTGCCCTCACTCTTTCCCAACATCAGAGGCTTTTCCAGGGAGTCTTTTCTTTTCATGAGGTGGCCAAAGTATTGGAGCCTCAGCTTCCGGATCTGTCCTTCCAGTGAGCACTCAAGGCTGATTTCCTTCAGAATGGATAGGTTTGATCTTCTTGCAGTCCATGGGACTCTCAAGAGTCTCCTCCAGCACCATAATTCAAAAGCATCAATTCTTCAGCGATCAGCCTTCTTTATAGTCCAGCTCTGACTTCCATCCATCACTACTGGGAAAACCATAGCTTTAACTATACGGACCTTTGTTGGTAAGGTGATGTCTCTGCTTTTTAAGATGCTGTCTAGGTTTGTCATCACTTTTCTCCCAAGAATCAGGCGTCTTTTAATGATCATCTGCAGTGATCATGGAGCCCAAGAAAGTAAAATCTCTCACTGCCTCCATCTTTCTTCCCCTTCTATTTGCCAGGAGGTGATGGGACCAGTGGCCATGATCTTAGTTTCTTAATGTGTGTGTGTGTGTTTAATTTTTATTTGATTTTACGATACAAAATTATAAAAAAGATTTAAATATATAACCATATACAGAGATTCTTCCAAATCTCAGGACTTCCCTCCACCCCTTCCCTGGAGTCCCATTTTAAACATTTAAAACTGCGTCTTCTGCCATACTCTTATTATATCAACCTATATTTTCCATGATAATTGTACACTACAAGTGTAATCAAAATCCTGCCCTTAATGCTGCATATATACTTGGGAGTGGGACTTCTCAGAAAACATGCAGGGGGTTATGCTGCATGTGTGGCTGTTAATTCAGCAAGAGCAAAGGGGCTCTTGTATCCCTATAAATATATCTCTTAACAGTCTGCAGTCACTTGGGAATCTGGTCAAGTGCTAAGGTGTGTACCTTACCATACGGTGCCTACATACGACTGCTTTTCCATGTGATTACAGGCACCATATGGTCAGCCTTAAAGTAGCCACCATGTAGTTCCTGGTAGTCTGAATCCATTCAAGAGAAAGATCTCTGTTGTTAAGGCTCCTCCCGATGTCCTTTTTATTCCACGTTCATGATGATTTCTGCTCATGATGCTATCGAAGTGATCATGTGTAACTTTTCATACCACAAATGTGTTTGGGGCTGGGGCCGAGAAAGGCATTGCCCCACTTTTATTGCACTGTAGCTCCTCCAGACAGCAATAATAAGGTAGCATTGGGAAGCATCACAGAACAACTGATAAGCAGAGTAAATAATTCCCCACCAATGCACTATTATTGTGGCATGAACATATTGAACACATTACTGAATACAACTACAATAAAACACCAGTCTGGAGGAGGGACCTTTGGCAAAAGCATCATCATTTGAAAAAAGACATACTTTCCAATTTATATTACATATCATGCATGTAATATTATTGAATTAAACAAATAAGTCACAACCAGATAAATGCATAAAATCTTTTCTTGTATATCTAGCATCACGACAGAAATCTAATCCAAGTTTCTTATCCCTGTTTAAAAATAGGATAATAACTGGCATTTGAACTTCATTTTTTTCCAGTTTAAGGAGGCAGGAGAGATTTAGCGTGGGGTGCCCAACTATAGCACACACAGCCATCAGCTTTAGTCATTTATTTGTTCAATCCTAATTGCACACAGAGGAGGTATTCATTTGCAAGCAAGATCAAAGATACATATGCAAGCAAGATGACAGATGATAAAATTTTGTCCCATCCCTGAGGCCATTCAAATCTGGATCATACTGTTCATCCTCCCATCAACTTCCCTGCTATAAAGTATGCACAACCCACAGTGCAAACATCACATACTCCAGTGAGGATGAAGGCAATTCTGCAACAGCTGCTCTGTGTGGCTTCCTTTGTAAGTATCTACTTCAATAGCTTCTGGCTGACCTGGGGTGGCAAGACCTAGCTACATCGTAGAGGATGAGGAGAATCATCTTTTGACTTTCCATAAAGCTAACAGAATGAAAAACACACATAAAAATCCCTGTTGAAAAAACATCTGCCCAGACATGATATACAAGGCAAAAGTGATATTTACTGATAATGAAATACTAAGACAAATAATAACGGGGACTATATGTGTGCAGAACAAGGGAAAGAAGCTGAAGGAATACTGTATGTAGCAAGTAACCAAAGAACAAGTAGTTAAAATATTAAAAATATAAACTTACACTTCATCTAAATGATAGTGAAGTTGATACCTGGTGGATTTCCTTGAGGAGGGAATCATACAGATAGGATGGTACAGCTGATCACATCTTCTCTCTGGCCAGCACCCATCTCATCTCAGGTGTTAAGGGCATACTGAGGAACATCTCATCAGGTGACCTTTGCATCTAGGCAGGAGCTGTTGTCTCTTTGGAGATTTGATATATGTGATTTGATAACTGAGGTGTTCATAATCTGAAAGAAGTAGCTGCAACTCTTACTGAGCGATGTTAGAAACAACAAGCCGGCATTTCACAATTTTTTCAAAGGAGAATTGTGACTGAAGTCACAGAACTCAGCTGGCTAGCATTTATTTATACATTTATTAGCAGATAAAAGCATTCCTGATTTCTCTTGAAGCATGTGCGTTTATTCGTCCAATTCTTTTCTTCTTTTTAAACATCGCAGCCAGGCTCGCTCCTGAAAGAAGCTGACAGGGAGCTCCGAGCTTGCCCAAGGGCTTTCCACCAAGTGCCTCTCACCCCCTCCTTCATCCGAACTCGGGGGTGAATTATGGCAACAGCAGGTGAGGCAGTGTCTTTTCATTCCCTGAAAAGATGAAGGGAGGCTGATGTACTCCCCATATCAGCCTCTAATTACCTCTTGCAAGCTGGACAAGATGTTATTAGCAGCCATCTTTCAAGGCGCCCCTAGTGGCCCCCCCACCAAGGTAACTCTCAAGTATAATATAGTTGTCTAAAACAGCAAATTGGATTATATTTGTGTTTAACTCTTGCAGTCCTATTCTGTGATGTTTACTCAAGAGATGGGGAGAAATTAGATTCAGTTTGCATTTAAAGGTGCAACTATCAAATTCACATTCACCATAACACGGCCATCTTTCAAAATTTACACTTGTCCAAATTTTGTGATGTGGTTCTCCAACTAATGTTTTTAAAAATGTGTATATTAGGAGAAAGTGTGCATACAATGTATTACTGAAAATAACATGCAAAAATATTGGGGGAAATGCTTGAAAAATGTGTACATTAGTCAAAACTTCATACAAATATCTGTTTGTTAGGAGCAATGCTTAAAAATGAGGATTTTTTTAAATTGAAAATTAATGAAGCTGTCAACATTAGGTCCATTAATTTCCATAGGTCTACTCTGAATAAATCTTAGTTGAATACCACCCAAAGTCCTACTGCTCACAATGACCAGGACAGAAGGTAGGAGATGGTTTTTCATTCTTTTTTGCTGCACCATCTCCAGACTGATGCAGCTGAGGGACACAAGGATCACAGGATCTGTCAAGCACTGGATCAGGGGATCTGTAGATCCAAAAGATCTGAACCAACAATGCCCTCTCTTGAATATTGTACTTTGGTACTTGCTTCTGGCTGCCACCAGCAGGAGAACCACCAGTGTCCTATGGGAGAGCCATCCCATCTGCTAGGCCAAAACCTGAGTCGCCCACTGTAGTAGAGGCACCAACACCACCACCAACAGTCTCCTCTACTACCAGAGAGTCCACAATGTACCTTCGTAATCCTCCCCAGCCATCAACATTGGGTGTGTGTTAGGACTACACTGTTACTAAAATCAATAAAAACAGTATTGTTCAAGCATTCTATTTTCTGTCACAGTGAGGTATGGCATATTCTTTCTGCAACCCGTATTTCTCCACACCCTTCATTTATTCTACTGATTACTCCCACTGCTGACACTTGTTCCACTGCCAGGGCTGACTCTCCTATAAGGCTGGGGGAGGGAGGTAGCTGCCTTGGGTGATGGAAGCCCAGGAGTTGATGCTCCTGTGGAGACCCCACCCACCCAACCACTCCACTGCTGGTGGAGAAACAGTAGTGGTGCTGGCTTCCAGAAAGATCTCATAAGATCTTGCCAGAACCCACTGGTGCTGCTGCTTTGTGGGCAACATGTTTCCATTTTGCCTCAGGTGGAGAAACAGGGTGTACCACCCCTGCCCACTGCTTTTGGGATTATGAATGGAGCCTGTCATATAAATTTTACGTGGCTCCTTTTGTCCTAGGATTGCAAACATTCATAGGTTAAAGAAAATAACAATTGGAGACTGAGATCCATGAAATGTCACATGTGAGGACAAACCTCTGGTCTCTGTCACCAAAATTATACAAATTAGTATTAGGAAAAAGATACTTCTTAAATTTAGGACTGAGGCGCGCTCATCCTTGAGGGAAGATGCTCAGAGGAAAGGTTAAATTCTCCATTATTGTCCTTAAATCAAATAGAATGTGACTCTAGACGTTTGAGTAAAGACAACTCAAGGTGCAACTGCTGATCAGATTTGTTCCAGTACTGTATCCATTAACGGCATTTGTATTTGGATGCCAGAGAGGAGACTGCAAGAATGATTGACAGTACTTCCCCAGTCATCCTTCACCCTTCCTACTTCCTATCTACCTTACCAGGTCATAATCAATGGTGGCCATATGCGGCAAGTAATAGGCATGAGGGATGCAAGAGGTCAGTGTCTTTGCAGCGTAGAGCTCAATGATATTATCTTCCCTGTGCAAAAAGTGGAAGCATTGGAGTCCAACTCCTACAACTTGACTGGATTGCTACAGAATCACTTGAACCAGGTAAGCAGCAGCTATATCACCATGGAGTAGTAGTTAAATGATGCAATGTTTGCGGTATTCAAATGCCTATAATTCCACAGTCATGGAGGATGATATATAAAGTGAAAGCCACCACAGAAGTCTACTTGGTTGGATTATGACAGGTCCTCAAGGACTACTGTAGTGCGTACGTATATTTATTCAGTTATACAAATATCTATATTCTGCTAATTCATTAAGAAATATCAAAGAGGTTTGCAACAATACATAAAACCATACAATCAAAACTAAGTAAAAAACTTATAATCAGATTACTATAGTGGAAAGATGTATCCTTAATTGCCTGCATAAGCCTGATGGAATAGAAAAGTTTTCAGCAGGCATTTAAAAGCTGAAACAGAAGATGCCTGTATCAGCTATCTCCAAAATACAATGAAAAACACCTATTTATCTCCCCCATTAATCACAACGACAACTTTGGCCAGCAGGAAATAATCAAGCAGGCATGATAGCTGCTCCCACAGAAGTCTACTTGTGACCATTGCAGCAGTCATGTTGGCAACAACGATGAGCATATTGGCGAAGTGGTGTGCACCCTGTCCCAGAAACATTTTAAATTATAAAAAGAGGAGCTATGCTGGATCAGGCCAAAGGCCCTTCTAGTCCAGCATCCTGTTCTCATTGTGGCCAGCCAGATGCCTGCGGAAAGCGCACAAGCACGACACAAGTGCGACAGCACTTTTCCCACGTGATTCCCAGCAACTGCTTCCAACAGTGATGAGAGAATGTAAACATTGTGGCCAGCAGTCACTGGTAGCTTTGTCCTTCATGAATTTGTCTCATCCTTTTTAGAAGCCATCCAAGTTGGTGACCATCACTATCTCTTGTGTTAGCAAATTCCACCGTTTAACTTTGTGCTGTGTGAAGAAATGCCTCCTACTGTTTGTCCTTGATCTTCCAACTTTCATCTTTGTTGGGTGACCCCGAGTTCTAGAATGATGAGAGAGGGAGAAAAAGGTCCCACCCTACTTCCTTTTTTTCTAAACTAAAAAGCCCCCAAACCTTTCCCCACAGTGGAGTTTCTTCAGTTCTCACTATATCTTTTCCATTCCTCAGCTGCCTCATAGGAGAGACATAAAGGATGCAGAGTCCACAAATATTCCACAGTACCTTCGCACAATGTATTTCATTTTTGGTACCAGGTCTTGTCTTGTCTTCATCATGAAGTATTGTAATTTAGAACAGATGAACATGAAAACACCCATATATGTACAACATGCAACAACTTTACTTAATCTTCTCTAACTGAGCAAGCTCACTGAGGGACTTGCTCTATAGATTCCGTTCATCATAAAGATACAGTAACATATATCATCAGGGGTGCATGCAAAGGGGGCTGCAGAATAGGAGAGAGGAGGCGGCATGGAAATGGAGTGGTCCGTGTACAAGGGAGAGTTGAAAAAAGGAGGAAGGAGGTGGTAGGGGAAAGGAAGTGACGGTGATAATGGTATGTGTGCAAAGGGGGCCTGCAGAACAGCAGGGAGGAGGAAATACAGAAATGAGGGTGGACTGTGTGCAAGAGGAAGTTGCGAAGGAGGAGGGAGGAAAAGGGGGCTTGCAGTAAAAATGGGCAGTGCAAAGTCTCATTTGAAAAATATATATATATTTCACAAATAAAATGCTTTTATCTGGTATTTTGCTTAATGTTTTCCATATTTGCAACTTTGTCTACTTCTGTTACATATTTCTTATAGCACCACATTGCTCAAAGTCATCATTATTCAAACTGAGCACTTCCTAAAAAAACCAAAGAGCTGTCATGGTGGCAGCTGTCCCAATGTTGCAGTCCATATGTTGTTGGACTACAACTTCCATCATCCATGACCATTAGCTAAGCCACCTGGGGATGGTGGGTTTTGTAGTCCAAGAATATCTGGGGACCCAAAGTTAAAGAACACTGACCTAGTGGGAGTGCAGATGGACTACTACTGAGGTATACAACCTTTGACTCCCTCTGTTTTGCTGCCTGCCTCATTTTCCTTTCAGTGCATTGGGTGCTCTATGAGGGAGAGGATTTATTGTCATCATTGATTCCTATGATGGTGCTTCTCGCTTTCCCCTTCATGAATAAGGGGAACTAAAGTGTGTGTGTGTGTGTGTGTGGCCAAGAGATGCAAGCATTCCTCAGGAGGAATCATAACTGTCCAAATATCTAACCTTTAAAAACATCACCTTTCTTTCCTTGTCCAATCTTACCCACCCAGTCCTCTGCATTAGGAGGAAATGTTTGACCACCTCTTGAAATCTCATCATCAAACCTGACACAAGGATTCCTGAGGTGGGGGTGGTATCCATTACCATTTGGGGGCTGGGCACCATTTTGAATCAAGAATGTGGATCAAAACATCACTATGGCATGACTTGGCCTGGTTGTTTTGTCAAACTTGGCGTGTGGGTTCCTGAAGAGGCGGTAGTGGACTTTGTCACCTTAGACACTAGACGCCATTTTTAATCAAAATAGTGGACTGATACCTCATTTTGGTGTGACATAGGTTCGACTGCCTCTTTGAGACATCATCCCTAAACTCTACACAAGTATTTCCAAGGTGGGAAGAGTGAGTGTGTACATTGATGTTTGGGTGCTGGGCACCATTTTGAATGAAAATTGTGAACCAAGACATTATTTTGGTGTTACTTGGCCCATTTTTGGCACAGGTTCAGTCATCTGTCGAGATCATAACGAAACGTTGCACAAGGGTTCCCAAGATGGGGGCAGCAATCTTTGGCAATGTTTGGATGCTGGATGCCAAGCCTGTGCAGAGCTTGTCTGAGACCCATGGCAGAGGTCACCAGTTGACTGCGAGGAATGAGGTATTATTGGCATGACAGTCCAGCAAACCCCTGCCCCGCCCCCCCCAGCCGGCTTAGCCCTCTGAGGCCCGGGGCAGGTATGCCTGGCTCCCCCCACTCTACAAAGGCTTCCTGGTCACCATCTTGAATCGTGATGGCAGACCAAAACATGACTTTGGCATGACTTCACCCAGTTTTTGGTGTGACATGTCTAAACTCACAAATTACACCATCTGTTTAAAAACAACAACAACAACAACAGGTTCCTAAAAATTCCCAGGCAGTGCCAGGCACCCCCTGCTAATAAAAGTGGGGGAACCATCTTAGTGATATTTTATATTAAATCCTGATGGGGTTGTGTGCCTTGTGTCTTACAACACATATCTTCCATCTAATAGATAAGAGCACAAGTTAGACATAATGGTCACAAGTTGTCTCTGCTTTGTTGCCTTTGCAGTAAGTTTCACTCACTGTAGGAAGCAGCATTGCCAGATCTCCAAGCCAAGTCACAATAAAGAGCTTCTCAGTCCTTTGAAGTTAGCTAACAGTTCAATAACTGTAAGCGACCCTAGGCCAGTGCATACTGTCTATGCTTCCATAGATAGCCAGGTTTCCCCTGCAATGAGTACCTATTGGCGCCGGGAACAGAAGAAACAGTGAGCTTCTTCTAAAAATATCCCATGCACACATAATGTGTAGGGAGTTCTCTCCATTCAAAACAGTGATTAGTAATGGACAATCAGTGTTCTGTTTAATAAATATAATGAAACCAGTAAGGAAGTATCAACAGAGTTTCTATGGAATCTACAGTGCAATCCTATACTCAGAAGGGAAGTGAGCCTTGCTGAGTTCAATGGACCTTACTCCCAGCTCAGGTAAATGTGAATGGTATGACATCCTTAGAATCCCAATATCTTTAAAGTTGACCAATCAGCTCTTTCCCCCATTAAATCTGGGCACCAAATTAACAAATGCATTCTATTCAGCTCAATATCCATTCTGTGTTTTTAATCATAACCTTGGCTGGCAGGGATGAGGGACTAACCTTCAGAAATAAGTTATGGACCTAGGTTTGCTTGGCATTCATGGAATTGCCATTATAATATGCAGTGCTTTTTTCTGGGGGAACGCAGGGGTACGCATACCCCTAAACATTTTGTGAATCTTTGTACTTTTGTCATTTACTGTTTTTATTTTTCCCAGTTTGAGATATAAAATGGTGATTTTCTTGAGTCAAAATGAGAGTACCCCTAAATGTTTTTTTAGGGGAGGGGAAGCACTGATAATATGTTTGCATGGTGTATAATAATTGCCTGAAATAGTGGGTTTTCATCATGACACATGTGGAGTACGGAGCCGATGTGATGTGTGAGGTGGATTCCATTTGATGCCTTTCCACTCAGAGAAGGCATCTGATAATGGAAGAGGAGTGGAGTTCATTTTCATCAATTCACTGTGTTCTAGAGGGTTCTTCAACCCCCCTGGAACTGATTCTTTGGGGGTACAGGGGGAATTAGCAAAAACTGTCATTTCCTCCTTCTCTATTGGGCACCATGGGTATCTCTCCCAGACCCAAAGCCCTTCCACGAGCACAGGTGCGCCAACTGAATCCTACCATGTGTATTTTTTGTTTTCTGGCCCACGTTTTTGTCCTTCAAGGCCTAGCAAGGAGGACTGGATCAGGGTAAAATCTGAGGCATTAAAATATTCCAATGTTCTTTGTTCGTTATTTCAAAATGTGGTCTTAACAGAGGCAGAAGAGGCACAAAGCACATGAAGACTTTTTGTAGCCCACTCACACATATTCTTATTTTATCTGATTGGGCCTAAACACCTCCTCAGAGGGGCACATCATTGTGCAAACAAAACTCAATTTGAAATGTTCATAACATCCAGTCCAATCCCAGCAATTTCCACTCTGGCTCATTCTACTACTTCCCCCAATGCCGTCCCTTTTATAAAGAGGGTTCAACAAAAACGTCCCAGACCAACTTAGCAAACCCTCTGAAACAATTAGGATGTTTTGGCTGCTCCTGTACCTCGCTGTGGCTTCCTTGGTGAGTATTTTGCCCAGTGAGGGAATGTGAACCAACTGGTGGAAGTGAGATAACCTAGGGTTGCCATTTTTCAAAAAGTAAAAATCAGGACACCCCGAAAATTGTTTGTTTGTTTTTTACAGAAATGCCCCAAACACATGATTTTTCGATTGACTTGCCTAAGATCCAGGACAAAGTGCTGCCTTTCAGAAATTCCCTCGGAGGTCAATTCTGCCTTTGAAATCCCTAGATAATCCCAACCCACCCTTCAAAATGTAGTACTTCCAGAAAGTGGCTTAATATTTTAAATGGGTTGTCCAGATATCACAAATGTAGTGGTGTGGTTTTTTTTTAATTTACCAGATTTTCCGTAGCAAGGATAAATCCAGATTGACTAGGAGGGAAATACAGGCTAACAATCTGATGCTGATGTACTGGGGATGCTGTGAAAATTATTCCATTCATGAATGAGGAACACTTACCTGTGATTCCTGCATAGCAGGGGTGGAATAAATGACCTTTGAAATCCCTTTCAAGTCTACAGTTCTACGACCCCCACAATAAACACCCACCTGGAAGCACCCCAAAAGCCCAAGACGTACGAGAAAACAAATGATTATTTCCCTTTGGCTTTGACACATCAAACAGGGTTTTAAATGCAATAATTCCTACTTGGAAATAATTTATACAGTGGTATAAAGAGCAGAAAACAATGCAAAGACTTGTGGGAGCAAAGAAGGCATGACATGGGTCTGGAGATTCTTGCATTTCATTCAATATTGTGAAACAATGTTTTTGTTCAGGAATCACATGAGACCATAGCTGTCAACTTACAGATTTGAAAATAAGGGACCAGCAGCCAAAATAAGGGACCTGCAATCTCACCAGGCACTCTTCCTGTCCTCCTGCAGTCTGTCCTATCTTCCTGTCTTCCTGTCCTCCTGCGGTCTGGTCAAACTCATGCTGGGTAGCTTCGAGAACACTGTCCAACCAACTTTGTAACCAGAGGTTCAACAGAATAGAATCTGAATCACATGCACCACAAGGCCTATGCAGCCTCAACTTAAGATGGCTCCCCGGCCTGGCTTTGCACTGCAAAGTTTGCAGCAGCACGTGCAACAAAATGGCGTCCAGCATTCAAAAACCTCCTCAGCTTGCATTAACTAGCCACACACAAGGCATGCAAGCTCCACCCCCCAGTCGTTCTTAGACTTCTTATTGGGTGAGCAACACAGCCAAGCAACACAGGTGGAGCCTCCCTCCTCCCTGGCCGGCAGGGAGGGAGAGAGAGGAGCTGCTTCCTTTGAAATTTAAGGGACATCATTTAAGGGACATTTAAGGGACATCCATCAATAAGGGACAGCAGCGGGACATGGCGCTGGAATAAGGGACTGTCCCTTCAAATAAGGGACACTTGACAGCTATGCATGAGACGCAACCAGAACTCAGTACTAAAGTGAGTTACTTAAGCTGCATGTATACCTTTAAAGCATTTTCTGCTTCTGGGCACTGTCCTTTACTCCTTGCAGAGTTACGATTCCCAGCAACCCTTAAAAAACTGCAGCATCTAGAATTCTTTGAGGGAAAGAATGTGCTTTGAATATAAAAGTGTAGTGGATATACTCCAGTGGGAAGGGAAGGGCAGGAGAGTAGAGTGTGAAGGGATTGTGGTTTAGCACCAGCAAGCGTAGATTGAAAGGAGTGGATTGAGGCTGTAGGAGAGCAATCAGCTCATAGGCCAAACGAACTACAGTGGCACCTCAGGTTAAGTACTTAATTTGTTCCAGAGGTCCGTACTTAACCTGAAACTGTTCTGAACCTGAAGCACCACTTTAGCTAATGGGGCCTCCCGCTGCCGCCGAGCCGCCAGAGCACGATTTCTGTTCTCATCCTGAAGCAAAGTTGAAATGAGTATGGGTTGCTCGTGCGTAAGTTGCCGCCTCTCCAGGCTTTGTTGCCTTGATAAACCTTTCCGTCTGGGCAGCCCTTCACTTCGTGGCTGCCTCAGTCACTAGCAGAATCCGTCAGTGGGCGTTTCTTAAATCTTTTCCAACATAAAAGTTGTTTGACACCCAGTCTCCTCCTACTCTCTCTGCGCGGAAGTCTTCTGCGCAGGGTGGGTGTGGGTAGCGGGGGACCAGTGCTCTCCCTGCTGGTGTCCGGTGAAGAGTCCTGGAGCCCTCTCGCCGATTCCCCCATCAGCCCCTCCTTATCCCTGGTGTAGCGCTGATTTGCTTCCCCATCTGCGGAGCTGCCTCTCTCCCTGCTGGGCCCTTCTCCAGCATCATTTGAGAGCCTTCCCTCCGCCTCTAGCTCCGATGTCAGTTCCCTGACACAAAGTTCTTAACCTGAAGCACTATTTCTGGGTTAGCGGAGTCTGTAACCTGAAGCGTATGTAACCTGAAGCGTATGTAACCTGAGGTACCACTGTAGAAGCTTTATTCTTTCAAATGGCAACTACCTAGACTCAGTACAATCTGTTGGAAGAGACTTTACCCAAAAAACACAATGTAGAAGGCTCAGTCTAGTGCTGAATGGGGAGTATTTGCTGGCTAAAGGATGTGGTGGGGAGGTTGCTGTTCTCAGGAAACTATCCTGACCTTAGTTGACTATCAGGTTATGAGAAAGGGCTAAATCAAGCGATGAAGCATCCCATTTGCCTTTCTGCATCCATCATCCCAGGTTGCTGCAGATCAGATCATCTGCCACGATGGACCAATAGCAAGTGATGACGAAAACAATAAATGTATCTGCAGCATAGAGCTCCCCGACACTACTTTTCCTTCACATCTGATGATTATCCTGGAAAACGCTTATAAGAACCTGAGTACTGTAGCAGGAACCCACCCCCCCAATCATTCAGTTTCTACAAACTTCACACACACTCACACACTACATACACTACGCTTCTGTTATAAATTCATAGAAAATCAACCATACATCGGATTTGCACGGTTCCACTTTTATTTACTCCATGAAGGAAGGTCTACAAAATGGGGAAGGTTTGATACAGGCCACCATAATCCCTTGAGCATACCAGCACATCCACAGGAGCCCTGCCCAGTTGCTATGCCAACCCTGATGGTCTCAGACAAAAGACCATCAACAACACAACGGACTGCATACACGAGTGGATTCAACACGGACTATAACAAAAGAACAGTGATTGGATCCCCCTCAGGGGGCAGGAAACTGCGACTACCTTTTGTCTTCTGAAAATGACTCATGGGGAGGGGGAGAAGGGAACCAGCCAGGTGACAGGACACTCAGGTTACCACCACCACCCCTCCCTCAACCCCTCCTTTCTGTGATGTATGCATGATGTTTCTGGGGGTGGGCTTGACCTACAGGATGGGAATTTCAAAAGTTTTTATAAGGCCTTGCACACCATTTTTCTGTGTCTTTCCTCTCTCCTGCAAGTGAGGGGAGCACCCTGTTGCAACAGTTCAATAAAGGCCAAGCCTACAGACTGCTGATTTGCTCCAATTTACTCTGGTTGGTGTCTTTACTTTTTGTCCAAGGGAGCCCTCGGATTTTTCCGGTAACAGTTCTATTTATGAAGAAGCGAGCAAGGTAAGGGGGCACACTTCAGCACATAGACAGCATGCCAAATATTTATTCCCTGCCTTGAATCACTAATGCTGTCTAGTTCTGATTGTTTCCAGCAGCTGAACAATATAACACAACACAATCAGTGACTACAGTATCATATGAGCACTGATCCAGAGCATATTTTCTACAGCGTTTATATTTGCTTACATGTAAGATTGGCTTGTTAAGAAATTGAACTGCATCCTTCTCATATTAATTCTTACAAGTCTGGCTGATGAAGAATTGATCAAGATTAGCTGATGAAGCATTGAACGAAACAGATTCGTTATCCGGAAACTCTGTTCTGGATATATTTGGTGACAGATTATGTATATATCAAACTTTTGAATTATTCTACCGCGACTGGTGAAGAAGATTTATGGACTTTGGTTGTAATTTCTGATCATTTGTATTAGTCTATAAATAGTGTTTAGTGCCATTGTTATTGGCCATCATGCCGTGTTATATTGTTCAGCTTGTCTATATTGCAACACAGGGGTCTGTTTACGGATTACTGTTTCCAGCAGCTGGCCACACTACACAGGGGAATGGTACTGGCGGGGTGTGTGTGTGTGTGACAGAATGTGGCTCACAGATCTTTCAAGGCATGTTAACCCTTCCTCCAAAGCACTGTTACTGGATAGCCCTGGTAAAATAGTCCACCACCACCCACTATAAACTAAATTTGTCAGTCACAGAAGTGCTCCGAGTTCTCCCGTCTCCACACCCCAATGTTTGTGAAAGTGCAAAGTTGAAGTCTACTCATTGTCTGGATACACCTTCAAAACTGAGTGATAAAAGAATGGTTGTTCCAGAGAAAAGGACAAGAATGGAAGCAACAATTGTAATGAAATGGTTGTTCATGATTTGTGGAAAGATGTTTTCAGTATCCTGCTAAGTGTGTGTCCTGCAAATTTCTCTAGGCTATGACACTCCAGACAGACTTGGCATCATTTAATGGTACCTTGGAGAAATTAACCGCAACAGTGCGTCAGGTTGAGATGGAAGGTATCAAGGATGAAGAAACTTATCAAGACTTCCTTGGAAAAATTAATCATACAAAGCGATGGGCTCGGGATCTGACTAATGCTCTAAGTGCAACTGGTGCGGGCATTACATCTTTAACTGAACAGGTAGGTACAAAATGTTTGGGAGCACAGCAGTTTGAATTGTGGTTGCACATTGTACTGAATACACCAAGAGTGGTGCTCCTGTTTGAGAGGATTCAAACCTGCTTTAGAAAGGGCATTTGGGGGACTGTTTGGGGCTCTTCAAGGAAACTTTTAAAATATTTCTGTGCAATGCTGAGTCCTCCATGGCTAGAGAGCTGCTTCAGGGAGCAGGAAAACATGGGATGAGAATTTTGCCTATTTTAATGCTTACCACTAGCATAAAGTCTCAAAAGAGGTTATTCCTTCCTTACCTCTCCTTGTTATTTTTTTTTAAAAAACAGACACTTTCAACATTCCATGGCTCATGGACCTAATTAAGAATGTTGTGAGCAAAGGCAAAAACCTCTGCTCCAAGGCATGTAAGATGGAGCCAAGCATCATTTTCATCAGGGATTTGGGGACTGGTAGTCGTACTAACTTAGAAGCACTAAGCCCATCCCTGAGCCAAAGGATGCTCTGCCAAGGCTCTTTGAGCACCTGCTGCCACAACCACTATCCTCTTTCCTGGCCTCAAAGGTGATTTCTTAGCAACTGAGGACAGGGATGTGAGGAGGGAGGCTGTGCAGAACACAAGTGCCTTCAAGCCTTTTGCAAGTGCTTGCACTGACTTCTTGCAGAAAACTTAAGCTCACAAAAGTGCAATCCTTTGGAATTCAAACAGTGAGATATTCATGCATCCCTAAACTTAATGACTAGATGCACCTAAGTCCTGTTCAAATGTTCTTCAAAAGTGGGTGAGAATAGCACATGGAGGGGAGGGGAGTTGGGGCCACGCACTCACATCTCCATCTACAGCATCCCCACTGCCCCTCCTCTGACATATGAATGAGGAGGTCTGGAAAGGGGACCTCAGTGGCTGAGCTTATCGTAGATCCTCCCTGCAATTGGAAAACCAGTAATAGCAGGTTTCCTGATCTCAAGGAGGATTCTTAGGCAACATCCACACCATACATTTGAAGCACATGGCTTCCCCCAGAGAATCCTAGGAAATGTGTTTTGTGAAAGGTACTGGGAACTGTAGCTCTGGGAGGTGTAAACTACAGTTCCCAGGACACTAACTGCCCAATTTCTGGTTGAAGCCAGAATTGGGCCTCTGATTGATCTCAGTGATGGGCTGAGATATAAGGGCTCAGGCAGGCCTTAAGATATCCTGGACCCAAGTTGTTCAGGGTTTTGAATTTTTGTGAAAACTGCAGGTTCTTTTCACACATAGTACATCTTTATTGTAAGATGCTTAGCTGGGGGGTAGGATCTGAGAAATAAAGGCATACCCCCTTAGCACTTCTGAGATATTTCCCAGCCATTCAGAAGCCTTGGAGAAGATTCAGCTATTAAGAAGTATCAGTCAGTGTCTCTGGGTCATAGAATTATAGAGTTGGAAGGGACCGCAAAAGTCATTTAGTTCAACTTCCTGCAATGCAGGATCTTTTTGCCCAATGTGGGCTTGAACTCATGTCCCAGAGATTAAGAGTCTCATGCTCAATCCATACAATAACAAGAGAGGTAATTGGTTACATCATCTCTCTCTCTCTCTCTCTCTCTCTCTCTCTCTGTGTGTGTGTGTGTGTGTGTGCATGCTTTAGCCTCTCTCATTCAATCACTCATGAAGCTGTCAAACACATCTACTACCACAACACACAGGGAGATGCTGCAGTAGAAAATTGCTTGGGGCTGTTCAATTAAACATGTGCTAATATGTTTCAGGTCTCCAATGTCTCCAGTATTGTGTGGGAACTAGAAAAGTTTGACGAGAACAATGTGTTGTTGACACATAGGGAAATAGCCACTCTCAAGAAACAACTGGCCGATTGCAAAGACTCTGTTACAAATCCCAATTCTGGCCTCTCTCCCTCTGGAAACTGGACTCCAGAGTTTGGCGAGTCCTACTGTGTGATTGTGGGCTGGAACTTCTCCTTACATTGGTTTGTCTATAAGCTACATTATCATCATCATCATTATCATCACCATTATCACCGTCACCAGTATTAATATTTATTTGTTGCTTTTTTCACAAAAGTGACTGAAAGCAGCTTGCGCTGTAAAAACCACCATTAAAAACTAATCTAAGAAAAAGAATAACATCACGGCATAAAATGCTCAGTGTATATAAAAGAGCAGATCCAAGTCAATATGCCCCACTAAAAATGTGAGTGGAAGAAGACACCACAAACATAGTTAAGTACTCTCCCAAATGAAGGGCCAAAAGCCTAGGAGAATTAAAAAAATGTTTTTGCCTGGGACCTAAAAGCAGATAACGAAACCTGGGGAAAGCACTCTACAAACAGGGAGCCACCACTGAGAAGGCTTGCTTCAGTCTGGACACCCCACAAACTTAACCCAGCTTCTTCTCATAACTGGCACATCCTCAGCGAGCTATTTGAGGCACCACCTGACCCAGGAAAATTTTATGGTCATTTAAGCCTTGAGCTCTTTCACTAGATCAGTTCTCAGCCTGTACCGGTAGAGATCAGGGTAAAAGGAATTTCCTAATAATTACTGGATTACCTCCCACTTAATAGTTCTTTATATTATAAAGAGGCCTGCAGAGCCCTTCTGGTGCCACAGGGTCCCCCTGCCATTTGACATTAGACTTGAAAGAAGCATTCTGTTGCACTTACTAATAGAATGTAGCATGTGCTTGTCCTTAGTGCTCACAGCAGTTCTCAGGTTTGCAAATGATCCCAAAAGGGATGATGACCACCTGCTTTAGTGAGAATTTTGGAAGGCAAACATGTAATGAGCAGCTGATCAATGACAGTACAGAGGAGGAATTGGGAAGCATTATGCAGAGAAAACACAGCAGGGCAGAGGAGTCTGGGTTGGCTGCCTGACCCGTTTTCTAAATGCAGTGGGATAAAACTTGGCAGAGCTTTTGAAACCAGCAGAATGCCTAACATGGTCACAGAAAACAAAGATGATTTAGTTACTTATCTTGTAAAATTTATGCACCTCTTGATTGTTAAAAAAACACAAAAAAACCCCTCAGAGCAGTTTGAAGGCGGAGAAAAACTTGTCAAGAGGAGCCACAAACAAAAGTAATTCCCTTTCTATTCCCTGGCAGGTAACTGTGACAACAAGGTGTTGATAAACGTTAGCAAGCCACTTATAGTGAAACTCAACTGGCGAGGTTTAAGCTGCAAATTCGGAGCTTGGGGAAAGGACTTTGCTGTTGGAAACAAGAATCCAGACGCATACTGGGTTGCCCCGCTCAACACAGACGAGCGTTTGTTGGAAACCTACCGCATCTACAACTATTCCGACCTGATGCTCTACAAAAACCAAATAGAGAAAAACCTTTCTCAATTTGTTGGGTTCACCTGGAACTACATCAACTGCGGGCAGGGAAGCGGAACTATTTTGTACAACGGCAGCTTCTATTACAACTGCTACAACTCCAGGAACCTGTGCAAGCTGGATGTGGCAACCAGTAAGGTCCACCGCAAGGCTGTCGAAGACGCTGTGTTCAACAACTGGTACTCTTATAGCGGAATCAATTGGCAGGACTTTGATTTCTCCGGGGATGAGAATGGACTGTGGCTCATTTACTCCACGACAAAAAACAAGGGGAAAATAATGATTGGGCAGCTGGATCCCAATACTCTGACAATAGTCAAGTCATGGCAAACCTCACTGTACAACCAGCACCTTCATGATCTGTGGGGTGATGTATGCCTTGATGCGGGTGAGTGAACACAATGAGAAGATCTTTTACAAATATGACACTAACACAGCCACAGAAGGCTCTATGGACATCATCCTGGAAAAGCTCACAGGCACACTGCAAAGCATAAGCTACAACCCCAATGACCACAAGCTATACATGTACAATGATGGCTACCTGGTCAGTTATGATGTGATATTCCGATGCGTACCCATTACAAAAGAGGAGCGTGGTCAGTGTGAAAGAGCCAGATACTTTTGCGATGGTCGGTAAAAACCACTTCAGCTCACGAGACTTTGCCTTAGCCTGAAAGTGAAACAAGGCCAGGCACGCACAACATTTACCTATTGGCAAATACATATTTTAAATGGCAAAAGTCTTGATTGTAAGGCCAGCAGACAGATTCTATCTTTAAAGGGTATAATTAAACAAGCCCTTTTCTTCACAGTGCAGTCAAGTGTCTACCTGTGTGAAGAGAACATGTCACAGGGTTGGCTGCTCTCACCATTGAACCTCCACTGCCTTTCCCTCGCACCAAATGATTCTGGCAGTAACAGGATTAGGGCTTTGGTGTGGAATCTGCTCTAGATCATGCCACTGAGTAACTAGGAGTTCATAAACAGCAGACATACACCCTGAAATCACCTTGCGTGTGTTGTGTTTGTGTGTGTCTGTCCCCTCCGCCTAGTTATGACACCTTTTGGGCCTCTCCTCAGGTGTTAACATTTGCCATCTGGAGGACATAAGTTCCACAACACCTGAGCTTCACATTTATTCATTTTCAAGAGTTGCATTGTAGGAGTTATGTTGGGTTGCTCTTTATTTTCTTTACAAAAAGGTGGCCTCACTGAGGTGGACATGTGGATGGGATCATCCTCATGATTATCTCATCCCGCCTAAACAAATCCATGCATGCAAACAACCCTTTTCCTGGGGAAGCCATATGCAAAGCAGTCTCGGGGTTTGTTCAACGTCAGGATATAAGAGCTTGCACGTTCTTAAGGGCTGCGTCCGGATCCGCCTTGTATAGCATGAAGTGGCCTTGGACTTGCGCGGCACTGATCCGATCAGAGGCAGACACGGCCTGTTTGGCAAACTCCTCGGCCGCAGCTGCTGGCTGGTCTGGGTAGAACCTCTGGAACATGCGCCCGAGCTGCCACTCTGAGCAGTACCCCACGTACTGCTTCAGGTCCACCCGGCCAGGGCGAACTAGGGCTGGATCGAGCCTGCAGGGAAAGAGGAGAAGACAAATGAGGCTCAGCAAATGCTCAGGTGGGAAATATGGTTCTCTATGCTACTCTCACTTGGGGTATCATCTCCTTGTTCTCTCTCCAACCCCAAGAAGATACAGGGCTAGGGGAATCTGCTCTCCCCTTTATTTTCTTGGAGCTACTCTCTAAAAGAATATAAAGTAACAGTGCCTTGTAATTTAACTCCACCCACGTCTTGCTGCACTCACCCATCATGCTCCTCTCTCTCCATATCTGCTGTGTCCCTGCCAAGTTACCCATCCCCTCCTACAATCTCAGAGGAGCCTGCATGGAACCAGGAACAGTAAACAAGGACAGAACCAAATCTTCAGCTTCTGTGTTAAATGCTGCAAACCAGCATGACCAAAGGAGGCAGAAGTCCATATGTATATATACCCCAGACCACTCCCTAGCAAGCATGACCCCAGCCTTACCCAAATTAAGTTTTAACTGGCTGACCCTGTCTGCTGAGCATTTGCTCTTCTACCCTGCACATGACTCCTTCAGCACCAGGCTACATGGCTGGCAGAGTCCTGTGCTTGTGGGAGAGGATGTGTCACAGGTCTTGGAGACTACAAAAGCCCCAAGATAAGATTCTCTTCCGTCTTCTCCTATAGTATCATCTTCTGGAACAGGAAGTGTGTCTTCATTCCTGCTGCGTTCCTCCTTTTTGTACTTAAAATAGTTACCAGCTGGTCTCCAGAAAGGTAGACTTTGCCTCATAAAGACAGCACTTCCAAGGGGTGGGACACAAACTGCCCTCCTCTGTTACTCACTGCAATCTCCTTCTTGACTGAGTTACAAGGAAGCTCATGGAGTTGCTTTGTATGAGCTAGGGATGAACGGATCAGTTTATTTGGGGTCCATGTCCAAAGTGTTACAGGTGTTAAGTCTGCTCTGTTGCTTTTCCACTTTAAAATCTGTATTTTTTTAATTTTAAAAATCCATACAAAAATTCGTATTTAAAAATGCAATTTATCATAAATGCATATTTAAATATTTAACAGGGCATGCATCTCTAAATGCATTTCCTCCTTAAAAAACAAATCTTAATGCATTTTGGGAGCCAAGGACTATATTGCAAAATTTGGAGGAGTGGGGAAGCTGAAGGATAATTGTGAATTCGTTTGGAAGGTACAAATTTGGCTAGCTTGCTTGAAAATGCAGACAAAACAAAACTCTCCTCCACCCCTAGCTTGTCTTCACCTCAAAAACACCAATGGAGACGTCTTAGGCACTGTGTTACTTGAGGAATCCTTGGTCCCACCAAGGGAAGTGAACCCTTTGGATTGAAGTGGCCTACCACCAAAGGGACTCCATTTGCAGGCTTCCTCCCAGCCACTGAGCAGTGAAGTAGGCTAATTTGCTGGAATACTGGCCCTTCCTGTGTGTGTGTGTGTGTGTAGCTGTTTCCCTGGCAAAACAACAGTCCTGCTCCTGTCTGTGTTTGGGCTACCAAGGGATTAAAAAACCTGCCTCAGGGGATCCCTAGCTTCTTCTCATGGCATGCTTTGGCACCAAATATGCGAGGGTTGCGTGGAATGGGTTGGGCGAGGTTATCATGGTGTTAGTGTCCTCACCACATGCCGGCCGGTGGTTTCAATGCGTCACCAGTGTGGGACTTCATTGGGAGTGATGTTGATGAAGGTGATGAAGGAATTTCTCTATGGGACTGTCAGTTGTTGCTACATTGTCTCCTTCCCCTCCCCCTTTCCCCTTCCTACTTCTGTTACAACAGTTTTGATTTAGTTGCTGGAGGAATGTAGAATCCTAAACCACTGTAGACTCCAGCCTATCAGCCACTACCTTCCTTGGGTGCCATTAAATGATCCTTCCCAAGCAAAAGGTTATCTTCTGCAGCTAACAACCTCTCTATCTGCCCCCATTTTCTGTGCAATGCTTCTGACCTGTCCACATAATTGGTGGTCATGAACACGATCCTTGCTTCGGAGGAAGCCACACCATCCAACGCGTTGAGAAGGCCACTGAAAGTCAGGCGTCCCATGCCTTGGTATGCGCTGGGGTCTGGAGGGAAACACAGCGGCACAGAGACAGCTCAGAGGGAGACACTATAGGTACAGTTGTGACCAAGGGCTGTCCAAATTCTGTCTAGGTTTATAGCCTTCCAGGGGAAGGGCAACAATCCCACTGTTGTGGTCTTATGTTACAGTAGTACCAGCTTTATGCTCCCTGCCTGATGTGCAGTGGCTTGCGAAATGTTCCTGACACACTGCTGTCCAAATAGATACATGAAGGGGTCAGAGAAAATCATGCCACCTGGTGGCAAAATGCAAGTCGATAGAAAGCAGGACAATAAACAGTCAGGAGCCTATGTCAAAAGAAGGCTGGCAAAAAGAAGTGCCTCTAGGATCTCTGCTGGCGAATCTCTTCCACAGTGCAAAAGCTGTAAACTTGTCCCCAAGCGCCTGTCTTGCTTCAAGTCTCTCTTTGTATATGGATAATTGATTTGGAATAGGTGTCACATTAAAGCCTGCATATAATTATTTATCATTATATTTATTCAATCTATTGGTAGCTTGCTACGTAAAAAGTATCGAAGTAACTCACAAAATTTTGAAGAAATAAAGCAAAAACAAAAAAAATACTCAATAAGAAGAAAAGAGAGCAATACATTACAATTAAAAAGAAACTGTACAAAAATCCAGAGAACAGACACAGTAAAGCAGTAGGGGGAAAAACTTGGCAGCAAAGCATATCATCCAGCAAATCATCACCATCTGTAAAATGCCTGAGTTAAGTTTTTACCTGGTGCCAAAAGAATTTTAATGATGGCCCCAGGAGGACCTCACGGTGAAGAGCATTCCACAAGTGGGGAGCCCTGACTGGAACGCTCTCTTCCTTGTCACCACACTCAAGATCTCCCTCAGAGTGGGCATTAGTAGGGGGATAAAAAATCGAAGGGTCTGGGTAGGTTCGTAAGGGAAGACATTTTCCAAAAGACATTGGTGTCCTGAGTTATTGACCCCTCTTTGTCAGCACCAGGTCACCAACCCGAATCCCATTGCAAAGTGCAGCTTGGAGGAAGGAGCTACTATTCAGCTCTCATTCCCCCCACTCTAAATGAACAGTTAGCTTGGGAAAGTTGCTGTGGTGCAGCACTTAATCAGGATGCCTCCACAGAGTTACAACACAGGGGTGATGAATGCTTGGTCCCAGCTCAGTCAGAGGCAGCAGAAAAGGGCAGCCTGGAACAAAAGAGTGGGGAGGCGCCATCTGCCTGTCACTCACTTTCGGCAGCAAGATCCCGGCTGACGAAAGCAGCGTCCACGTCTTCCAGGAGGATGATGCTCTGTTGAGGAGCTACGCTCAGGAGGTGGTTAAGACGATCATCAGAGAGGCTGCGGTCGCTCAGGCTCAGGAGACAGATGCTGTACTGAAGTTCTCCAGCAAGGGCTGTGCTGTGATAGACAGAGGACAATGCTTCCGCTGAAGAAAACTATGACAAAACCTTGTGCAAAGATAAACAGGGTAAGCTGGAGGGGAGTGATTCCTGACCAGGAGCTACACAAGGTGCCCAGGGAGGTACCCTCAGAGATTGTATCCATGGTCATCTCCTTTGAGAAAAGGGGTTTTTTTTGGAAGGAAAGCTGAGGACATGGTACTCACATGAAACTGCTCTTTCCACAACCTGGGGGCCCATACAGCAGGTATCCTCTCCGATAGGGGATTCCTACAGACAAAGAGGCTAGTCAAAAGGCAGAAAACGCAGCCTATTCCAACTTCTTATGAAATCTGAGCTACCATCATCACACCCTAGAATAAGAATGAGCTGATTGATGATGCCTTGAGCTCACTCCATAGTGGCCAATTCCAGTTGCTGAGAAAGAAATATATTGCACAGGGCCCTGACAGAGTACCCAATTTCCTGCCACCCTAAAGGTTTAGGGCATCCTGAACAAAAGCACTACTTTAACCCACTCGGCAAAGAGTTGATACAAAGTATTGTGGCAAATGCGAGAAACTTAGTAAACATTTGGTTTATCAGTACTTGGCTATGCAGAGACTAGCCAGGACAGTCTCTCTCGTATGAAAGTAAGGGGTAGTTTCTAATTCTCAAGGACTGGGACTATGCAGGGGCTGTTGTAGAGACTGCAATGAGGTTAGAAGAGGCTTCCCGCTGCACTCATAAGAAGAGAGAGGCATCATCACAGTTGGGAGTCCAAAGAAGGAAGAAGGCACAGGCAGGTTGGAAATGACAGGGATGCAGAAGGCAGCAGAGATGCCTTTGGGCACAATAGCACAGGGCATTGAGAATGATAATCTGGGCAAAAAAATGGGATATGCTGGCTCCGTCAGTGGCATCCCATGTGTCTTAATTTAGCTCATAAAGGAAAAGCTCAGGTTGTGAGGGTATCTGAATGTCACTCCCTGAAAAGTAAACTCACCTCGATCAATGTACCACTTGGGGTTACCAGTGAACTCTTTCACATCCTGCACAATTCTCTCGGACACTCCCTTCTCGAGCACTACAGAGGTGAGTGGACGCCGACGTCGTGGGAAACCAAATGGCCGCCATTCAGCCCCCATGGCTGTGTACATGACTGTCTTTCCTTCTTGCTGCCTCAGAGCCAATTCTTTGGCTGCAGAGAAAGGAACAAAGCTGAGGAAAGGCAGCTAACTGCACATCTGGATACAGATGGGAAGGAGGAAGAGGGAAATCGCCTGTCTGCTAAATATAACAAAGAAGCAAGGAAGCATCACCAAAGAGAATGTGTCAATTTGGAGGGTAGCCCCAGCTCTAAGTAGGGGTACTTAAGGAACTGGAGTTCTGTGAATTCTGATGCAGAGTGATATAATTTGTACCTCCTGGAATCAGGTGCAGAACAGAACATAACTAGCCATCAGACTTTGGCCTTCTCTAAATTTTGAAATACAGTTTTCGGTTCAAAAAATGCCCAAAGGCATGCAAAATGCATAATTTGGAATAAAATACATTTAGAAATCCATACCATGAGCTACAATCGTAGCTACTTCATAAAAATATATTTAGGTATGTATTTAAACATGATTTTTTGCATATTTATTTCTTTAAATTGCAGATTAATGCAGAAACAGGATGGAATGGACTTACTAAAGAACACATGTAAAACAAACCTGGGCCCAGAAATAGACTGATCTATTCATCCCTAGCGCCAACATCATCATTAAATGTATTACCCACCCTTGCCAGCCTACAACCAAGGAGTGCTATTGTACCTTCCTGCAGGATGTTGAAGAAAACTTCTCGGTTGCTACCGATTGCTGTGAAGGTGACAGATTCCCAGGGGGTGCCCGTATGCAGGTCAATCATTTGTTTCTCCCGGTTCCGTTCTATGCGGATCCACTTCCTTTTATACCTGGAAGAAGCAGGGAACATGTGAACAGGAACTGGTGGTGGGGAGACAACTGGACGAGCAAGCATGCAATATTCATGACCACCACTTCGTTATTAGCCTTGCAATACTTCTGCCCATCCCAAAGACATTCCATGGCCTCACTTACCAAATGAAATGGTTCCCAGGGCTGGGGATAAAGTCAAACTTGGTACTGATACGGCCACTCTCATGCTGCAGGTATGAGGTCTCCACGCTCAGGTGCTGGGTGTGCTTTGCATGGTGAGAGATCCAGCTCAGCAGCCAGTGGTAACTCTTGTCCTTGCTTGGCACCTCTAGGGTGATCATACAATGCCGCCTGAAAGCCACCAAGCCAAGCTGTGCCCCTTTACGGGCCAGGGCCAAGGCTGTACCTACACCCACCAGGCCAAAGCCTGCTCCGAAGTATGGATTGTCCTTCAGGGCCGAGACAAAGTCAGAAAAGGGCATTGTTGTGGGTGGGGAAATAACTCCAGTGCTAAAGAGCCATTCACAGCAGCATTTCTTCTAAACACCATAACAACACATGGAGAGGAAGAGAAAAAACCAACAAATTAATTATGAAGTTATGGGTGGCAATTATATTGGTTACCTAATTACTTCTTCCAGAAGACAAGCTTTATTGACAAATTCTCTTTAACCCAGGTGTGGGGAACTTTGACCCTCCAGATGTTGCTGAACTACAACACCTTCCCTGGCCATTGGCTATGCTTGCTGGGGCTGATGGGAGTTGGAGTTCAGCAACATCTGGAGAGCCAAAGTCTCACCACACCTGCTGTAGCCTCTTTCATGCTACCTTATTTTAGCAAAATAAATACCCTGGCAGATCCCTCCCCACTGGAAAACCAGAATACAAGTAATTATGCATACATACTCACGAATTCAGCTTCCTTCTCTATAGTAGTTTGAAAGATTGCAAAGCAAGGCTGCCGCCATTTTGGCTTGTGTAAAGAAAACTGGATATTCCCTAGCTTGCTTTTGTTGGTGTAATCTGGAAAAATTGGTGAAATTGCACTCTGTGCTTGGGCCGTGTCTTCAGCAGCCCATTCCCCATTCTGTTAAGTTAGCACACCGGCTTCACTGGGTGGCTTAAAATAGTCGAAGGCTAAATGCCTGGAGCGTCACTCGTTCATCTTCTCTTTCTCTAATGTGTGTATGTGCAAAGATGGGTATAAAGCCAAGGCTGCAGCAGCATTGGCAGGAGTATGAGGTATTCACTGAGAAGAGGCTTTGCTCAGTGCAAGGTACCAGCAGAGAAGCTGAAGGTTACATGCTGTGTGGTTCTGTATAGCATGCTGAGCTTGTTAGGATTCTTGCTCTATGCTTGCAGTCATGGGATTGTTTTATGTTACATGATGGTGTATGTTTTCATTCCACATTGTGGGAAGTGGCGGAGACAGAGCTAGCACGGTAAAGTTTTACTTCTAATTAGTCAAACCTTGGTTGTCGAACATAATCCATTCTGGAAGATCGTTCAACTTCCAAAAAGTTCGATAACCGACGTGTGGCTTCCGATTGGTTGCAAGAGCTTCTTGCACTCGAGCGGAAGCCGTGTCAGACGTTTGGGTTCCGAAAAACGTTCGAAAACCGGAGCATTTACTTTCAGGTTTTCAGCATTTGGAAGCTGAAACGTATGGTAACGGAGGTGTTTGGGAACCGAGATTTGACTGTATAGTAGAATAGTTCATGATGTACCAGCATCTCTTAAAAGTTTATGTAGCTAGGGTGTTTATGCTTATCTTAAACACAATAAACACTTTATACTTTGAATTGAACTGAATGGGGAAGGAGTCTTCTTAACCAGGAATTCTATCTGCTTTCTCCACATCATGCATAATTTTATATAACATGTTCCCCTTTACCTGTTTTTTTCCTGAACTAACGTCCCACCCCCACCATTGTAGCTTTTTATCATAGGGAAGTTGCTCAATTTGGACTGCCCTTTTCTAGCTCAAATGCTTAGGCATGCCCAATGAAGGTTTTGATTTCTTGGGCAGACCCCCTCCCCATGCCACCACAATCAAATTTTGAAAGCTCACTCAAAAGTAGCTTGTTGTGTGGCCCAGAAAGATAGTTATTTGAGAAACATAACTCAGCAACTAGTCACCACGCCAAATACATGGGCGCCAAATAGTAGATCAATCATGTTTTGCCGCTCATATTCACTTTGAATTTCTTCTGTTTGTGAGTTAGCATTTTGTCTGCTCTGTGGAGCTTGATGTTTATTTCCAATAACATTTGTGGAAATTAGAAACTGAACTGATGCTCTCTGAACAATTTCATTACTTGTGTGTGTGTGTTTTTTGGAAAGTCAGCCACAGCCCAAATGTTGGTTGCTGCTCTGGAAACATCTGCCTACCACGACTAGAGATAGGAAAATTTATAATACTTTTCTCCACACTTTTAAAAAGGGTACGATGCTGAGGAGGAAACCTCTCTATGGGGTTAAGTCCCATTGAGTCCAATGGAACTGACTCCCGGCTGAAATGATGCAGGGTCTCAGGCTCAATTTCCTGTCTCGAAAGGAGAATCGTCTGAACCCGCCGCCCTTTTCTCTTGCAGCACTTAATCGCCCCCATAGCATCAAGAAGGTCCTTTCCTTCGTGCCCCCTTCCACACGCCCGGCATAAAGGAACAACACCCGCAGAGTGGAACACGCTCTCCACGCATTAAAGACCTCACCTCCGGGTAGCGCCTCTCTTGCCTTGCTTTTCTCTATGGTTCTTTTGACCGGAAACAATTCTTTTCTCTACTCTATCGTCCCCCTAGATCTAGAGATATGAAAAGAGTTACAGTAAACTTATACTATAAATGTATAAACTTATAAATGTATATTAGCATAAATATCCTTTGATGATGATTCTCTACAAATGCATAATGACAGTTGTTTTGACATCTTCGGGGTGAATCTCTATCTTGCAGTAGCGACAAGAATTCGATCCTAAATCAGAAGTTACGATAAGGGTAGTGTGCAACTCTTACCTTTTTCTATCTCTACGATAACCCCCAGCTTCAGAAGGCGGAAGTTGGACCGAAGGCGGCATTTCCTGTGCTTATATGTGACAGCAGAGCGGACGCGTTTTCCGGCACTCTATGGTCCCTGAGGGAGCGTTACGTGTCTATATTTTTTCCTTCGCGGTCGCGCCAACCCAACCATTTGCCTGCCTGCCTGGGTTCTGGACTTGCGAGGTGAAAATTAACCCCGTTAAAGCGGTTACGGCAATCCCTGGAAGTCGCTCTGGAAAGCTTCCCTTTATGGTGCCGCCTCTGGTCCTGGAACGTCAGTCAGCAGTTACCATAGAGTTGCGGGGTGGGAGCGGGCTCTGGGCGGCACAAAGGGGGGAGGGGGATGAGTCTCGCTCTTCCTTCTGGGGGGGGGGGAGAAGTGAAAGGAAGAGCTTTTGTTTTGTTTTAATTGGGGAGGGGCTGTGGGGCTCCTCGTCGGCCTAGGAAAGCGGTGGGCAAGCAAGCCAAAGAGGGAAAAGGAAGGAGGTGCCCGGTGGTGAGTTGACTTGGGTGGGCCCACCAAGACACTCACAGCATAGCTGTCAACTTTTCCCTTTTCTTGCGAGGAATCCTATTCGGAATAAGGGAATTTCCCTTTAAAAAAGGGAAACGTTGACAGCTATGTCTCACAGGGGTGCAAGGAAGGCAAAAGGTGCTCCCAGAGACTCATTGGCCCCCTAATGCTGTCGTATGTGTGCTTTGTAATGGGGTTGGGGCGGGCGGGTCATGGCCTGAAAAGGAAGGGGCCCCCACAAGGCTAAGCTGAGCCCTGGAGTTGGTTACTGGCCATTCTGCCTCAGGCATCCTCGTTCATCCTTTTCCTTAAAATATCCGTGATTTTTTCTCACTTTCTCTTCCATTGCACCTCAGAGAGCAGTAAAGATGGCCCACGCCTGGCACTGGGAGCCTGAACGGCTGCAGAAGAAGCCCACCAGGAGGAGGAGAGGAAACCGGGTGTGTAAGTTCAGCCTCTTGTCTTAAAGCCCGCTTCACCACCCAGTCAGGTGGCTAGATTCCTGTAGGGCTGCTTTACCCCAGCTAGTTGGGATCACTTGCCAGCTGCTATCCAAAAACATGCAGGAGAGGGGGTGTGGTAAGATGTGTATAAAACGATGCATGGTGTAGAGAAGGCAAACAGAACCATGTTTTTCTCCTTCCCTCCTAATATTGGAGCCTGGGGTCATCTAACGGAGCTGAAGGATAGGAGATTCAGGATATACAGAAGGAAGGACTTCTTTATACAGTGTGTAATTAAGGTATGGAACTCACCGCCACAATATGTAGTGGTAGCCAGTAGCTCATGTTACTTTAAAAATTCACAGACAATAAGGCTATTAGTGGCTTCTAGGTGTGATGGCTATATTTTGTCTCTAGGTTCAGGGATATCATGTTTCTAAATATCGTTTACAGGGGAACAACAGTGGGCGAAAGTTTGGCAGAAGCTGACAGGACTTTTAATTCTAAATGGGCAGTGCCCTTCATTTTTTCTGGAAGTTTTGTTAATCGTAGAAATAACTATATCATCAAGCATACATGGCACTTGCATATCCAGCACGCTGTTACTTATGTTAATTTGGTCTGGAATCTTTCCTCTAAACAGTCTTGGGCATGATTATCTGCAGATGCATGCCAAAATGATTAGGTAACATATTTATGAGTTTTACTGTGTGCCAGTAGGCAGTTCTGTGTGCTGTACTTACAGGAAGCAAATTCAAACCCCCAAAATGTTTGTCCCAGTGTGAGTCTAATCCTGGAAATTAGCTTTTCATCCAGTTACAACTGCCCATCTCTGAGCCAGGTTTATCTGGAATGAGTGCAGTGGAGTTCAGCTGTATGTGAAACTATTACCAAGGTGTTTAGACTCCAAGCTTTGAAGAAAGAAATCTGGAGCGAGTGTTCCTATTGATTAAAGTACTGGGCTCTACACAGGAAGAATTAACATACCTTTACCAGCTAGAGTGAAAAAGAACAGCTTGGTATTATATATATAATCTAGTACAGGAAGAAGTCTGCAGGATTGTAGTTGCTAAAGCAGAACATTCTTCATATTGGTTCTGGGATGTAAAATGTTTTGCAATAATGGAGATGCTTTTAACTGAGCTAATAGAAGACAGTAGACTGTGCTGGCCGGTGGAAGTAGACTGGCAAAACCTCTTCAGGCTGTGAGGGTGGGCTGCAAATAACCCAATAAATTGCTCTCTTACCTAATGGTAGAGCAAGCCCCATTATGTTTTGACAGCCTAGATGCAGTGATAAAGACTATCAAAGTGTTTTCAGCTCTAAATTCTTCAGCGGTTTGCCTTAAGCCTCCATACAGTTGGGTTTTAGTCTATTCCAGAGTTGATTGTAAAAACCACTGACATAGCTGCATAAACTTTCATCTTTCCTCTGAGCTTCTCTTCTCCAGGAAAGTAAATCTGTGAATATCCTGAATTATCCTATCCTGAACCAAATACTGTCCTGTTGAGCTTTCTACTTAAGCAGACATAGTTGCCAACTCCAATAGCTGCCTAATACTAACAAAGCTAACAGTTAATATTGGGCATTACAAAACCACCCCATACTCATTTATTTTGAAAAACTTAATCCTTGGTTGCTTCTCTTCAGGAAAGCAATGGTACCATTTTCTTGCTATGTTTTTAACAGGAGCTGTACCCCACTTTATGTCATGGTGCAAGGCTACACTGAGGAGTGAATGACAATGAGCACGGGAGCAGTTACAACGGAACCTGTGGGAGGAGACAAGATGAACGCACTATGCCAGGAGCTCTTGCTACCCGGCTCAACAGATGCAGGAAATGAGAACAACCATGGCATCTCCAGTGAGAACTTAGTGGTGGGACAAAGCTTGCTTTTAACAGAGGCTTCTGTGGTAGGAACAGAAACTGCTGGTGTTGAAATATTTGTAGAAGCCGTGACTAGCAGCATGTCCCTCAGCAATCCTGGCAGCACTACAGGTATGTTGTGCCCTGATAGGTCTTCGTAACCATGTAAGAATGAACCACTTTGTCACTGTCATCTTTTAGTGTGAGAGGTTTCTGTCATGTAGCATTTGTATTCTAAAGGAGCAGCAGAAAGAAGCCTTAGGATCTTAGGTATGGTACAAAAGGCCAAGAGACCTGTGAAAGAGTAGCCTGGCTTTTCTGCACCTGATGTTGTGTTCTGTAATTGTAAGTTGCTTTGAGACATTTTAAGTAGTCAGCAGCGAATAAATGCAAGAAATAATGAAGCTAAGGTTTGTACATCTGTTATCTGGGAGAAGGGATACCTGCCACATTCTGTTATCTGCTCTAGGAGTGGAGGGAATGGAGATTGTGTTCTGATTGGGGTTCCTGGGTCCTTGTTATTATCAATTGTCCAGCAAGTCACCAAGATATGACTGTGGCTAGATTTGCTTGAGGCACTGTGAGCAGCTGAGATGAAAAAGGTGCAAGGTGTATTTGCCTAATAGGAGGAGGCAGGGATTTATTTTCATCGTATCTGATAGAATATTGCTGAGCTTACTGTGGATCTGTTTGCTGCACCTTCATAAGGCTGCTTAAAGGAGCTACCCTTCAATGTCATGGTGATAAGTATTGGACTAATGCCGTGGAATATAAGGACCAGAGGCCTTACTATGTTCTTTGAGGTCTACAGTTTTGCCTGCAGTGCCTCTGCCATACTCAATACAAATGACTGAACTATCTTTAGGACTAAGAAGCTAATGTCTTTATTAGGGCAAAGGGGCTAATACTGTGTGCCTCAACATCATCCTCTGCCCCTGTCTCTTTTAACAGCACAAGTGCTGAGGAGCATGAGGGGTATAGGAGATGGGAGAGAGCAGTCAAGAGCATAGGATTTGCAGGGTACCATATTTACAGCAAAGTAGGGTGGGACATGGGTGGGGCGGGTGGCGCTGTGGGTAAAACCTCAGTGCCTAGGACTTGCCGATCGTATGGTCGGCGGTTCGAATCCCCGCGGCGGGGTGAGCTCCCGTCTTTCGGTCCCAGCTCCTGCCCACCTAGCAGTTTGAAAGCACCCCTAAGTGCAAGTAGATAAATAGGTACCGCTTTATAGCGGGAAGGTAAACGGCGTTTCCGTGCGCTGCGCTGGTGCTGGCTCGCCAGAGCAGCTTCGTCACGCTGGCCACGTGACCCGGAGGTGTCTTCGGACAGCGCTGGCTCCTGGCCTCTTAAGTGAGATGGGCGCACAACCCTAGAGTCGGACACGACTGGCCCGTACGGGCAGGGGTACCTTTACCTTTTTAGGGTAGGACATTTAATGAAGGAGAAGACACCACTTACAGGGATGTTTAGATGGTGGCATGTGGGAAGGGGGCTTAGGTGTTGAGGAGTTGGAAGCTTACAAGGCAGTGATTGGCATAATAATAATAATAATAATAATAATAATAATAAATTTATTATTTATACCTTGCCCATCTGGCTGAGTTTCCCCAGCCACTCTGGGTGGCTCCCAATCAAGTGTTAAAAACAGTACAGCATTAAATATTAAAAACTTCCCTAAACAGGGCTGCCTTCAGATGTCTTTTAAAGATCCTTCAGATGTCTTTTACAGTGATCTTGTAAAGGAATTTAAGAGGCAAGATTCATATAGGTGGTACACACTGAGACAGGATAGTAAGAGACACAATTGAAAATTAAGTACTGGTCCTACCATTGCCCTCCTTCCAATCAAAACTGGTGATCTTTTCCTCTGAAAATGTTTGGGTGTGGTTCTAAACACCTGAAAAATGGAGAGTCCCCCGCTCCAACCCATTTGAATTGAATCCTGTGTTCTGATAACAGTTCTTATAGGTGACTCTCCACCTATATGCTGATGGCTGTGACAGAGCTTTGGAGAATCCTTGTCTGTAAGCTGACATAATTTTTAGTAATTTTTGCCTTGGACGAGATTTGAACTGAGGCATGAGGTAGGTGTGTGTGGATTTTTTTCTACCTTATCCTCAGCTGTTTTTTAAATATCTCCTTACAGAGGTCTTGGTCAAAGTTGTGGAGCTCTATTTCTGCGAACGGTGTGGGCAGAGCTTCTCTGACCCCGGCCTGCTTTCCCAGCATCAGTGCATTGAGCTTCCCAGAGGACAACTTGCAAGCATCCCTCAGCTTCAAGAGCTACCACTGGGCCTTACAAGCCAGAGCCTGGCTGTCTCTGGAGAGCAGTCAGCAGACCATGGAGCACAAGCGCAGGGCTTGCTGGATAGAAGCAGGCAGGACCCTGAATTCTGTACCGATCCCCTCTTGTGCCCTGTTTGCCAGGTGGAGTTTGCCTTGCCCACTGAGCTGAAGGAGCATTTCCGGGACCACCAAAAACCTACGGGTCCCCAGGTCTGCTTTGAGGAAGGCTGTCATTTCAGTTCGGAGGATCGCAAGCAACTCCGGGGGCACCTGCGGCACGTCCACCAGGTGTGCCCAGTCACCTGCACCTACCGTGGCTGCTCACTCTTGTTCCGAAGCCGAGAGGACATGGACCTACATCGTAGAAACCACTTCCCGTTTCACTGTAGGCGCTGTGACTTCATCAGCGGCAACACCAAGCAGTTTGGGCAGCACCGACACAGCCATCTGCAGGAGGCCACACAGCAGGATGTGGAGGCAGCGCTGGAGACGGGAGCAGTCGCTGAGAGCACTGAGCACAGCTTCACGGCCATAGTGGGGAAGCGGCTCGCCCATCATCTGCTTCTAACATCAGGTACTTGGGGCTGAGGAAGAGACTAGGGTGGGCAGAAGGGGGAATGCTTTGGAGTGATGCAAACCACCTACTTCTTAAAAACCCCACTGGATCCTAGGGGTCTCTTAACTCACTTTTGTGACAGCTTCCACTTCACTGCCTATGGCAGACAATGCCATAGGCAGAGGTAAAGGGGTGAAGCTCCATTAGTCAGCCGGCTTTGTGGAATGATATTTTTTGTGGATGTGGAAAATTATAGCATGAGAAGATGGTGGTAGATTCTGAATGGTGAACCATAGCTGGGAAAGGGATTTGAAATGGTGGGAAAGTTGGGGAAATGCGGTAGCCGAGAGCAGCTCTCCCTTTGAAAACACCCAAAGTTTAATCCTCTTCTTTGTCAAACCATGAAGGTCTTATTTCCACTTTTTATGTGTCTTACATTTAACCCTATTTTCTAGTTCCTGTTCTACTTCCCTTTTCCTGGTTCTCAATATGCATTTATTTGCATGTCATCATTTGTTCATCTCAAGCCTTTTCTCTATAAACAAATGGAGTTCCTGGTTTATGTTTCATTGTCTTTCCAAGGAAGGGAAGAACCACTGAGCAAGGCTGAGAATTGCTTGGAAGTTCAGAGTGGTTGGGATGTGACTGAAATGGAGCCTGGCCTGGGGGCACATGTTGGTAGCAGTCATGTGCCTCCTGAGGACTCAGGACCCAAGGAAGACACAGGGGATGAATTTCAGGAGGAGGAGGAGGAGGTGGTGGTGGTGGTGGAGAAGGAGAGCTTTGAGAAGAAAGCATCTTCTAAAAGAACAAAGGCTCAGCTGATCAAAGGTAGAGACTTGCATTCATTTGCGAGCAGTACAGTTTCTGGCATTTCTTAGAAAAGCTTTGCCAAACAGCAAATGCACAGGCATATTACAGCATGCCCTATATTTGAAAAGGGTCTGCCTGCCTGAACTGGTTGTTTTCTTTCCTGAGTTCAGAGACAAACTACTTCACACATTAGTTCCCACTTCTGCTTGGAAATCTATTCGTGATGCTTTCTTTTCTTTGGAGTGGGGTGGAGCATTGAATGCAATGGCTATTCTCCAGTGGGTGCTAACTGATTCCCAATTATCCCTAAATCTCCTAAGCTACTAGAAGCTCTTAAGCATAGGGTGGGGTTTTTAGATAAATTTTATATTTGTAAAAAAAAACCCTCTACTGTTATAGGCCGTAGCAATAATTTTTTATTGTAGGGTAGAGAGAACATGGGAAAAGATTGCAGTTCGGAGCAACTGTTATTGCTAGAGATGAGAGGCAGGCAAAATAGACTTCTGGAGCATGACCAAAGGCCCTTTTATTCATTCCTCTGCACTTAAGGCATGCTCCTCTCATTACAGAAGGTGCGGTTGAGGACTCCAAATACCTGTTCAAGACCCACATGTGTCCGGAGTGCAAGCGTTGCTTCAAGAAGCGGACTCACCTGGTGGAACACCTTCACCTCCACTTCCCTGACCCCAGGCTGCAGTGCCCAAACTGCCAGAAGTTCTTCACCAGCAAGAGCAAGCTGAAGATCCACATGATGCGTGAGAACGGGGAGAAAGCCCACCGCTGCCCGCTCTGCCACTACAGCTCTGTAGAGAAGAATGCCCTCAACAGGCACATGGCCAGCATGCACGAGGACATCTCCAACTTCTACTCGGACGTCTACTCCTGTCCTGTGTGCAAGGAGACATTCAAGCTCAGCCATGCCCTCAAGGAGCACCTGAAGACCCACAAGGCAGAGCCCAAGCAGCTGAGCTGCTTCCAGGCCGACTGCAGCTACTGCACCGAGGACCGTAAGGACTTCCTGCGGCACGTCAGGGAGGCGCACTACATCAAAGCGGTGGAGTGCAAGTACTATGCCTGCTCCCTGCTCTTCCCCACCGCGGAGGTCATGGAAGCGCATCGCAAGACGCACTACGCCTTCCACTGCCAGCAGTGCGACTTCATCTGCTCCAACAAGCACGTCTTCCGCAAGCATAAGAAGCAAGGCCACCCGGGGAGCGAGCAGCTCCAGTGCAGCTTCTGCCCCTTTGCCACATTCAACTCTGTAGAATTCCACGACCACGTGGGCAAGATGCACGCCAGTGAGAAGATCCACAAGTGCACCGAGTGCAACTTCGCCACAGCGCACAAGAGGGTCCTCATCCGCCACATGCTGCTCCACACAGGCAAGTTTGCTTCCCTGTATGGGGACTCCTAGGGAAGCTCTGGAACGTGTCAGCTTGTTTGCTTGTCCCCTTTGTCTCCTGCTGTCTCATAGTGCTCTGAACGGCAGGCCTGTAGTCCTAATTTTCTCAGACTTAACTTGCCTCACAGGTTTTTTTCGGGAGAGGTGGGAGCTGAGGTGGGAACTACAGGTGCCACTTCGTGCTCCTTAGAGGAAAGGTGTGGAATAATGAAATTCATACGTTCTAAACTTGAAAGGAAACTCCTTCCAGACCTCTACTTTGATCATTGTGATGAAGGGAGACTTAAAACTTAGATATAGATTGAGCACCCACAGGTTAGACTTGTTCTTCTTGTACAAAATCCTGGCCTTCTGGGGCCCCCTTCATGCAGGTTCTGCCCCCCACACCTCTTGTTGAAAGACCTAGATTCTGTACTGGAAAAGGATTGAGATTCTTTAGTAAAATTTAGGCAGATTTGCCAGATTTCCAAACTTTAGTCTGACAGAATTTCAGTTCTGGTTGTAGAGTTCAACAGTCTTCAGTATAAAGTTAGATTCCCTGACTAGACTTTTGTTGGGGTTTGCAATTTTGGCAGCCCATTCCCCATTTTAGTTGCAATTTCCCACCAGCCTTTCCTTTTCCCAACTAGCAGCCTTGGATGCAGCTGGGTGAAGGTGCTTAGGGCACTGTTGCATTTACTGGCCCACCCTAACCTCCCAACAAGCCCCTCCAGATCAGGAAGGTCTGGCAAGCAAAGGGCAGGAACGTGGAGAAGGACTTTCCAGTTTGTGACCCTGCATAGCGAAGGCACTTGCCATGGTGATGCAGCGGCCAAGCAGCCCTAGCCTTCCTCCCCACTTTGGAGTGAGAAAAGGGCAGGGATTGCTGCTTCGCCAATGGGATCATTGCCACTCACCTCTACACTTGCACTGTGGGAAGGCATCCTTGTTGCTTGTTAATGCTTACTTGAGGGCAGTGCCACACATGGTTGAAACCTGGGCGGCATCCATATGCAGGGACAGTATAGCAATATGCTGTGGGAAGGAAGTGCTACTGTTTATTTTGGGGTTCTTTTGTGGGGCAGTGCAAAGTAGGGCCTCATTTTAAATTGAAAATCTGCTGCCCCCAAGGGGCACTGCGGGCAGGACTGTCAATCCACAGCTTCCAGTTTGCTCTGTGACTTTAGGAGAGAAGCCTCACAAATGCCAGCTGTGTGACTTCACTTGCCGAGACGTGAGCTACCTTTCCAAGCATATGCTGACCCACTCTGACGACAAGAACTACATGTGCACCGAGTGTGGCTATGTGACAAAGTGGAAGCACTACCTGAACGTTCACATGCGGAAGCACACGGGAGATCTGAGGTACTGAGAGACCCCCTTCCCCTTCCCCTGGCTTGTTTCCTGTATCAGGAAGTAATCCGTATGCAGAGCAGAGGCCTTTCTCCTTTCACGGCCTTGACCCACTCTTGTTTGTGTGCAACCAGGTATCAGTGTAACCAGTGTTCCTACCGCTGCCACCGGGCCGACCAGCTGAGCAGCCACAAGCTGCGCCACCAGGGCAAGTCCTTGATCTGCGAGGTGTGTGGCTTTGCTTGCAAGCGCAAGTATGAGCTCCAGAAGCACATGCAGGCGAAGCACTCTCAGAACTACCAGTCCCCCGTCTTCCAGTGTCAGTACTGCAGCTACCAGACCAAATACAAGCAAGCCCTGCTCAACCACGAGAACTGCAAGCACACCAAGCAGAGGGAGTTCCGTTGCGCCCTGTGCCCTTACCGCACCTTCAGCAATACCAGCCTTTTCTTCCACAAGCGCAAGGTCCACGGCTATGTGCCCGGTGACAAGGGCTGGCAGGAGAACTATGCCAGCAAGGAGCTGGAGGTCACCTCGACGGAGGTGCTGCTCAGTTACAACCTGGCCATGACCCTCCATGCTGAGCCCAGCCCCTCCCTCCCCAGGAGGCATGACAAAACCAAGGCCCTTGTTTCAGAGGTCCAGGAGGAGGATGGCCCCCAGGAGACTTTCATCATGTCTCTCTTTGGGAGTGAAGGCAATGCTGAGACCGGGAGAGAGGAAGTGGTGGGAGAGCAAGACCATAGTAAGACAGATGCAGCCCCTTCAGAGGAACTCTCAACCAAAGCCTTTCCTAAGGGCTCAGGGGAATCAGGCAGTATTGGGAAGCCCCTTCCGACTTGCACACTGCATCTGGAGACCCTATGCAGCTCTGACCCAGAGCAGCTGGTTGAGGAGATGCCTGCAACAATGCCAGACAGTGGGGAGGCCCTGAATTGTAAGGAGGCGGAATCAGCCTATGAAGCATTAAGTTCCAAGGACTCCCTCCTCCTGGAGGACAGCGAATCTGCTCTCGACGACATCCCTGACTTTGAGGAGGAGGCAGAGGTCCATGAGGATAGAGAGATGGAGCTGGAGAAAGGTGCTGGGTCAAGGACTGTTGAAGAGAACAAAGAAGATGCTCAGCAGGATCTGGGGGACAGTAAGGGTGATGGGCGGGACTCTGAACTTCAGCAGGCACCACCCAGCCCTGAGCAGGGATTGGGGTGCAAAGAACCCAGTATACAGGAAGCTTGGGCAAAGGGGTCAAAGCAAGATTCTCTTCAACCTGTTACAGGCCATGAGACTCTCCTTGCCCCGGAAGATATGCTTCCTCCCTCTGAAGAAGGCTCCGATTCAGAATCTGTGCTGAAAGCTCTAAGGAGGCAGGACAAGGAGCAAGCAGAAACCCTGGTCCTGGAAGGCAGGGTGCAGATGTTGGTGGTTCAGTCCGAGAGCCGCGTCTTCAAGTGTGAGAAATGCTCTTACATCACCAGGAAGGAGAAGTCAATGCTGGTGCATTGCAAAGCTGGCTGTCAGGGCAGGAAATTCCCCTTGGTGTGCCAGGAGTGTGGGGCCATTTTCAAGCAGCAGAGAGGCCTGAATACCCACCTCCTTAAGAAATGTCCGGCGCTCGTGAAGAAGACTGGCGGGAAAGCAGCCTGCTTAGACCAGCCTGCTGCGGTACAGCCCAATGGCAAGAGCCTGGAAATAGCGGAGGCTAAGAAGAATGGGACAGGAGCCCCGGACGAGGAGGTGAGCAAGCTTCAAAAGGCTTCCTGGGATGCAGAACCGAGGCCTGTGAATGCTGAGTCTACAGCCGCTGTCCTTCCCAACACACAGTCCTTGGCCATCAGTTTGCAAGAGAAGCCATCTCAGGATGTCCCTGAAACCATGGTAGAAGAACAGTTGCCAGGAGCTACCGCTGACACAGCTAGCAATCCCTTGGAGAAATACTATGTGGAGCAGAGCAAGTTCCACTGCAAAGCCTGCTCTTTTGCCTGTTCGCGGGTGTCCACCATCCGCTCCCATGTAGAGGATGGCTGCCGTGGCTTAGAGCAGTTCTGCTGCCCGTTGTGCTCTAAGCCGTTCCGTTCCAAGAGGGCCGTTAAGATCCACCAGTTGGAGGGGCACATTGAAGCTCATCCCACCCGGCTGCTGGAAAGGACCAAGCGCACGGCGGACTCAGAGGGCGGAGATCAGCAAGCAAATGGACAAATCATCTGTAAGGATATGGGTCGGGCCAATGAGCCAGCAGGAGCAAGCTGTCCCCGCCCTGTGGCCACACACAAGAAGCGGCACTTCTCCTGCCCCTCCTGCCCCTTCACATGCCACCAGGAGCGTGCCCTGAAGACCCACAAGAAGCGGGGCTGCCTGAAGCTGGGCGAGTTCCGCTGCACGCTGTGCCCCTTCACCTCCAAGGCCGCGGCAGCGCTCCGACTGCACCGCAAGCTCCACCGCAAGTACTACAGCAGCCGGCCGCAGCTGGCCTGCCGCCAGTGCGACTTCACCTGCAAGCAGGTGCGCTGCCTGCGCCAGCACGTGCGCATCAAGCACGAGGGCGAGAAGCCCCACAAGTGCCCTTACTGCGAGTTCAGCACCACCCGGCGCTACCGGCTGGATGCCCACCAGTCCTTGCACACGGGCGTGGGCCGCATCGCCTGCCCCACCTGCGGCCAGACTTTTGGCACCAACTCCAAGCTGCGCATCCACCGCCTGCGGGTCCACGAGAAGAAGCCCACCCACTTCTGCCCGCTCTGCGACTACAGCGGCTACATCCAGAACGACATCACCCGCCACGTCAACAGCTGCCACCAGGGGGAGCTGAACTTTGCCTGCGCCCACTGCCAAGCCCGCTTCAGCTCGGAGACGGCCCTCAAGCAGCATGCCCTGCGCCAGCACGAGGAGAAGGTCTCCTACGCCTGCCCTCGCTGCGCCTTCGTCTGCCACAGCGAGGCCACCCTCAAGTGCCATGTCCAGAAGCAGCACCCGCACCTGGAGTGCGCCACCTGCAAGGCCACGCTGGCCACCCGCGAGGAGCTGGAGGAGCACAAGAAGCTGCACTTCAGCCACCACTGCGACATCTGCAGCTACGCGGCCAAGGAGCGGCAGCAGCTGGTGAGCCACTACTTGGAGGCCCATGAGCCCCCCGCGGCCAGCGAGAGGCCGCTCAGGTGCTCCTTCTGCGACTTCGGCTGCTGCCACCAGCTGGTCCTGGACCACCACGTGAAGGGCCACGGTGGCACCCGCATCTACAAGTGCTCCGACTGCGAGTACGCCACCAAGAACAAGCAGAAGATCACGTGGCACATCCGCATCCACACTGGGGAGAAGCCTTACAAGTGCCACCTGTGCCAGTACGCCTGCGCTGATCCTTCACGCCTCAAGGTGAGAGCCATCCATGCTCGGGATGATGGTTAATAATGATTGCCTTGCCTGATTTGTCCACTCCCTGCCCAATATGTACCTATCTGTTTTCCCTTTCGGAGGGACTTAACTTTAGCTTCATTTGTTCTGGTTTTAACTTCCTGTTATAAGATTTAATTGCCACCAGTGGAGGCAAAACCTATCCAGTAATTGTCTAATACGATGACCTTTCAGTGACAGACCATATGAAACATCAGTTGCTATCTGGGGTTTTTTTTTCAGCCCAGCTAGACTGGCTGCTTCCAGTCTGTGATTCTGATCTCTTCCTCCTCTCTTGAAATCTTACAACTCTGTCTTATGCTTCAGCCAGTCTTGCCCCTCTCCTGCATGCATTTTGAAAGGCGGAAATGAAAAACAAAAACAAAAAACAAAACTAAGGAGTGCCTCAGATGCGGTGTGTTAAGTCTGGCCTTTGTTACTGTGACTTTTCAGTGCCTTACTCTCCGTAGTATTCCCTCTCTGTCCTCATGCAAGAGGACTATCATCCAAGTTGCCTGCTAGGACCACTGGTCCACTGGGTGAATTATTTATTTCAGTTTATCTCCTGCCCTTCCTCCCAAAGGAGCCCAGGGTACCTGTTGATACATTTGCTTCACTGTTTAGTCTTCCTTGTTTCCTGGGTTCATAATAATGTTCCAATCAAGTAACTGGATTAAACCACTTGTGAGGTTGGTGTCCCACATGTGTGACCCCCCCCCCCCGGTTTGTCTCCCTCTCTCTGCCCAGTATCACATGCGCATACACAAGGAGGAGAGGAAGTACCTTTGCCCGGAATGCGGCTACAAGTGCAAGTGGGTGAATCAACTGAAGTACCACATGACAAAGCATACAGGCAAGTGCTTCACTGGAATATGGAGGTCTGGGAACTTAGGAGCTAGAAAGGGCAGCCTCTGTTCCTCTTGGGGGGATAAAGCCTTGCAGGGCCATGTGTTTTGTTCACATGATGTGAAGAGCAGAACCTCTTGTAGCCTTCCAAAAGCTGTATGCAGAGGCAAACAGTTGGCATGGTCCAGATTTGATAGCTATTTCTTTCATCACAATTGGACTTATAAGAGTAGGCACGGTGATCTGTAGATTCTTGAAGAAATGTGGCAGCAGTCTGTTCTGTGAAGAACTAGACAGAATATTGTCCCTTGTGAGATGGTGCTGGTCCACCAGTGCATCTGTTTTGGGTGGGGATATCAGAGTAAAGAACTGACTGTAGCTTTTGGAAGTGTTTGTACGCATCAATTTTTGAAATACGTATCTCACCGCAGGCATTCCTTACATGCTAACAAGTTTAGCCCATACCAGTTTCATGCCTGTGCCTGGGAGCAATTGTTGGACCCTTGCAGGCTGAATGGCACTCTTGCTTTCATTGTTCCATCTCCAATCCTTCTGGTTAATAATGCACTGAATGCCACACTGATGAAACTTGGGCCGTGCTTAGAGTATACCCATTGAAATCAACAGGCTTAAGTTAGCCATGTCCATTGATTTAATAGGTCTGCTCTGAGTCTGATACAACCGCTTATTTCCATTTGAGAGCATTTCTGCCTAGTAGCATTTGGGTTGCTGAAGGAGTTTTCATTAGAATTTGGGGTATTTTTGTAGCCATAGTTCAAGGCCAACATATGAGGCTGCAGTACTGGGTGGAGATTTGGGGACACTCCTTTCACCAGGGCATGCACCTTCCTGCAGAACATGGACGAGCGGCACTGTTGAGGTGGAAGACACATGGGCTGTGGCTTGGTTTTGATGGTCTGGCATCTCCCACCTGCTTCCAGTGTGTTGCTCTGTGCTTTCTACACAGGGATCAAGCCATATCAGTGTGACGAGTGCGAGTACTGCACCAACCGTGCCGATGCCCTGCGCATCCACAAGGAGACGCGCCACCGCGAGGCCCGCTCTTTCATCTGCGAGCAGTGCGGGAAGGCCTTTAAGACTCGCTTCCTCCTCAAGACGCACCTGAAGAAGCACAGCGAGGAAAAGCCGTACGTCTGCAACGTCTGCTACCGGGGTTTCCGGTGGGCAGCCGGCTTGCGGCATCACTATCTGACGCACACCAACGAGCACCCTTTCTTCTGCCGCTACTGCAGCTACAAAGCCAAGCAGAAGTTCCAAGTGATCAAGCATCTGCAGAGGCACCACCCTGAGCAGGGCGGGACGGAGGGGGATCTCAGCAAAGGGGTGGGCAAGGACCCTAGTACGCTTCCTGTCCACCTGCATGATGCTCAGCTGGAGATTCCCCCCTCCAAGCACCCAGAGGTGATCGAGGCCCAGGTGTCACCACATGGCTAAGTCAAACCTGGGGGAAAATGGACTTTGCACATTGAGACGACACTTTGCTGTGGTTTCCATGAACTGGAAGTGGGTGGAAGCCCTCAGCCTGGAAGCACAAGATGTGCCCATCCAAGCTGTTTCAAGCCCGCTAGGGCAAACACTGGCCTCTCTAGGTCAGGCGTACGCCATTGTGTATGTTTTATAGTCATATCTGTACATGGGATGTAAAATATGTGACTGTATAAAAGGGATCTCCAGCTTTCTTTGCAATTTTCATGGTGTTGAATTCTTTGCTTTGCCCAATAGGGCAGTCAAGGTGAAGGGTGAGTGCTGGGAGAATCAATACTTTATAGAAGTTGGGAGGGAGGATGGAGCCTGGCTTCTGAAGAAGGGTCTTGGTATGAGAATAGTTACTCATAAGGTCCCATGTTTTCTAATAAGTCTGCACTATTGGGAAATGGTCTTCCCTGCTGAAAGTTGCATCCAAGGACCTCAGGACAGAGCTTTGTGATGCACAAAGTACATTTTTGTGCTACCAGCCTTCTGCCTGATGCATTTAAAAATGAAGTTACTCCTTTCATATCCACCTGGACTTAACCATCCAGGAGTCCTTTACCTTTACCGTTTTTTACCCCAGACATTTGTGTTACTGTGGAATGATGTTCATTTTAATCAGACAGTGCTAATTTGCAAGAGCTGCTTTCTGCTTGCAGGAATTTCAAAATTAGCATGGAAGGTCTTGTACATACTTCTTGCCAGTGGCTTTAGTGGGAGAGGCTTGGCATTTTCTTCATTTCCTCTAGGGAGTGCAGGGACACATGTCAATCTTACTTGGAAGTAATCAGTTTGTTCCAGCTTGCAAATGATGAGAGCATTTGATAAAGCCTCTTTATGACGGGCCAGGAGCACTTAGCAGGTTGCTGTCTTGGAAACTCTTATGACAAAGTGAGTTTATAGCTGCACTTAATTGATTTTTGACATCGTAGTACTGTGCCGCAAGCCTTTCTGGGCAGCTTTACTAAACTAAGCCTTGCCTTTCAGGTTCACGTACTTCCCACCCCTGCAGTGTTTCCTATGAAGATTGTTCATGACGTGTGTGTTCGCTTTTGCTGAAAGGCAAGTTAGGTGCTGAGGCTGCAGAACACTGAGTGTTGTAAAAAATTTTGAGCAATAAGGTCATGGCATACTTGTCCACTTTTTAAATTTTATGTGTGTTTACTAACTCTACTGTCCACTGTGATATGCACAGATCAGACACTCACCCATTCTTTATTTCCCCATAAATGAAGTGCTTGAGACCAGAAATATTCATTCTGGGTAACAGAACTGGCACCAGGACCTGGAGTCATCCTTTGCCTCCTAGTTTGAGCTGCTACTCCAAGAGCTGTGTTTTGAGTGTGAGTGTGTGATGCGCAAAAAGAGAGGCTCCCTCTTGTTCCTGTATATGCATATGGTTGCTGTGAATGAAAGATGTCCTCTTCTTTGGAAACTCAGCTAAGCCCAGTCTTCCTCATTTTATGGTAAACTCCAGGGGTTTGTGTTTTCTCTTTTTCTGTAGCCCACAACATTTATGAAAGGCTTTGCAGCTTTAATTATGTCATGGAATGGATGTCTTCTAACAGAAAATTGAGTAGGTACTGCCATTTCCTAAGAATTGCAAATTTAAGGTGGATTTCTACTGCTGTGGTAGTCTTAAACATTGCTTTTTTGTTCCTACATGCTCATGTTTTGCTTGTGGATTTCTCATTTCTCATGGGAAATGGGATGCTGGACAACATAGGACTTTTTTGCTTCTTTTCTATAGCTCTTCATTTGCCCCTGTGTTTTAATCTTTATTCCCAACCTTCAATTAGCCAAAATCTAAATTGTGCAATGAAACGAAGCCGTGAAAATGTGCATAAATTACCCCATGACAGAATTGTATGTCTCCTCAGCTCCCCGCTTTGCAGTGTTTGAAACTCCCAGCATTCTAGGCACATTTTGCAACAGGGAATTTCAGACCATTTTTAACTTGTCTTTTTATTATTTTGATAAAACCAATTTGCATATGTAGGGTCTCGGCCCTTTACAAAGGAGGCAGTATTTGGGAAGTAAATGACATTCCATGCATTGCTATAGATATTTTTAGACATATATTGCATCTGTAAACATACCTGAGTTAAACAAAGATGTACAAGTAGGAGGGTTGTGGCTAGGGAACAAGACAAGCTGACTGAATGCATAGGCATGCTGTAAACAGGCAAGCTAGCTTGCAGGTAACTGTGTCACATCCGTCACAGCCAAAGTGCTGTTTCCACATGAATTAGGTTTCTGTTCTGTGAGACTCTAGCCCAAGGGCAGCCAACATGGCACTTTCCAGATATAGTTGAACAACATCTCCCATCATCATCAGCAGATAGCATGTTCAGTGGCCAGGTATGCTAGGAGTTGGAGTCCAGCATTGAGGGCATCATGCTGACTATCCCTGATCTGGGACTGGCAAAGTCCAACTGGCCTCCAGTGGGGTGCATACAGGGTGTACTTCAAATGATGAGGGACTACAACTCCCATCATCCCTGGTCAACCTGGCTAATGGTAAAGGATAATGGGAGTTGTAATTCAGCAGCCACCACATTGGCTGCCTCACTGCTCTAGCCCATTTAGACTTAAGATGGAGGCAGCTTTTATAGTATCAAATTCCTCTTCTCTTGGCTACCTTAGAGTTGCGGTGAATTATCCTGTCTTTTGATTTTTCAACCAGCAGGCCTCTGTAGTTCTATCTGCTATTTCTGCTTCCCAGCAAAAATCATTCCACACAAAAGGGTTGCCTTTCAGAGGCAGAAGCCTGTGGCTGCTATGTGGAAGTTGTACATGCACTATTTTGTGTGACTGGATAATTTAACAACTGAAATTGCTAGAGCACAAAAGCACTGGGGTATACCTACTGCAAGATCAGACTAAATAGTAAGGAGCTGAGCCTTGGCTATAGGGGCAAGCAACCTTGTTGTTTTGCCTTGGTAATGGACTGGATGAGAGCAAACAAACTGAAGCTTAATCCACCTAAGACTGAAGCACTGTTAGTGGGTGATTCCCTAGACTGGATGGATGGGAGGTTCTTGATGGGGTTACACTGCCTCTGAAGGAGCAGATACATAGCTTGGGGGTACTTCAGGGTCCTTTGCTGTCGCTTGAGGCTGAGGTAGCCTGAGCAACCCAGAATGCCTTCCATCAGCTTGGACTGATGGCCCTACCCCTATGCCCCTATCTGGGCAGGGATAGGCTAACTTCTGTCATCTATGCTCTGATAACCTATAGGTTAGTTTATTGCAACGCATTATATGTAGGGCTGCCTCTGAAGATGGTTCGGAAACTTTAGCTGATGCAGGATTTGGCAGCCAGGTTGCTCACTGGGGCAAAACAGGTTGAGCATATTACATCAATCCTGGCTTGACTGCACTGGCTGCCAATTAGTTTCCAGGCCCAATTCTAAGTGCTGGTTTTGACCTATAAAGCCCTAAACGGCTGAAGACTGCAATACCTCAAGGACTGCCCCTCCCCACATGAACCTACCCAAACAATGTGATCATAATCTGAGGCCTTTCTTTGTGTGCCTCCACAAGAGGTCAATAGGGTGTCAACATAAGAACAGGCGTTTTCTGTGGTGGCTCCCTGTTTGTGAAATGCTCTCCCCAGGGAAGGCCACCTGGAACCTAGGTGCCAGGTGAAAACATTTCTCTTCAACCAGGCATTCAAGTGATTAACATTCTGTAGCCTTTTAAATGTATTTGTGGGAGGGGAGTTAATGGTTTGCTTTTGTTTATGTTTTATTATGCAGTTTGTATTCTCATTTTGTATTTTTCTATTGTGAACTGCCCTGGGATTTTTGGATGAAGGGCGGGATACAAAATTAATTAATAATAACAGTAATAAGAATTGTGCCACTGGGTACATTTTTTGAGGAAGTGCTGCGGGTACCAGTCACAAAATGGCTACTGTAGGAATGTGGCATAACAGAAAATGACTACCACATGACTAAGAGAACAGACAAGGAGGACCACAAATGGTACAGATAGCCCAGCCCCCCCCCCCAATCATTAGGGGGAGGAGGACACCAAAAGCATGTACAATCCTGGTATCTAATGAAATAGGGTTGAACAAGAAGCTCAAACAGTCTCTTGCACATTATGGATTTTTGAGATGTTTGCTGAGACCTTTTTTTGAGCACCATAGGAACTAGTTGATGCACTGTCACCTGTGGGTTCTGTGTTGGTGACCATTGTTCTCATCACATTTTTGTGGAGCTAGCATCTTAATTGCATCAGAAAAAAGGCGTTACGTTTATGGAGGCTTTGAGAATACCAAGGCATTCCTGCTGTGGAAGAATTCTTACTGAGGAGTCAGTTGTATGAATATTGTTAGTGCTTTTTCTGATGCAGAAAAAGACAAGCTCATCTATAAGAATCTTATCACTTCCTACTTGGAGTTGATTTAGAGGATGATTCGAGTCTAGCCAACATCTTTCTATATAAAGGCAGAATTAGACTGTCAGAGCTCCTTGGCCAACACATACTTGACAGGAAGCCAATGGTTATTGAGCTGAGAAAAGGAGTTGTTGGCATTCCTTCTATCTTTATGGCAGTCTTCAAGGAATCAGTGGGATAAGTCCTTTCTACTCTTTCCCTGAGGGCTGATAATCATAGGCACACACTGTACATCATTTGATGGCTTCTACCTAGCTGTGCAAACTGCCTCCGTTGGAAAGTATTGTTAGCGGCTCTGTGGAAGGCTTTCCATGTGCGATGTCAGTTTCCCAGATGCATGTTGTCAAATGTTTGCTAAGCGATGCAACATCCATATATACAAGCACCCTATTAGCTGCTAACTGGGTGGTGGTAACGGGAGGGCTACAGCTAGGAGATGAGGAAGGGAAAATCTTGCCGTATCTCAGTACCATTCAGATTGGGCAAGGGGAATAAATAGAGCAGGGCTTCCCCTTTCTCATGCAATCTGCAAGGAAAAACAGCAGGTGGTCCAACAGCTTAGCTTCTTCCTGTCTCTTTTGCTCAGTTAGAAAGAGATGCTGCCACAAGAGTCCTTTCTCTCTTCTCTTGGTTATTGCCAAATCTTGTCAGGAGCATCCAGGAAAAGCTTGATCAGCCACCTTCTGATGTTACTTTAAAGGTGGCTAGCAGACTGGACCTACTTCTGGGCCCAGATCAGGAGAGTTGCCCTTGAAGACATGTGGAAAAACAAAGCCCTTTGGAAAGACTTGATGGTTGGCTGACGTTATTGAAAGAAATTCACTCTTCCTTTTGAATATCGTTAAGTCTGCTTTCGGGTAGGTCCCATTCGCGGCTGCAGTAGCCTATCCTACCCTTTTTGCACAACGGAGGTAGATTTTAAAACTGAACCATACGAGTGGACAGATATAGTTGGAGGGTCTGGGAACTGTGCAAATCACAATAGTTTAAATTATTTCTTTAAAAAAATAGCAGCAAAATGATACAAAACTGTTGGGTTGGGTTTTTGTTTTGAAAAAATAATAATAATATATATATACAGTAGTGCAAAGTAACTTTTCAGTCCAGTGCTGTGTAGGAACAAGAGAGGCAGGCAGATGGAGTGGGGTATGGCATCCATTCTTAAGACAATTCTTGTCCCCTTCCCTCCCCCTCCACCCACATTCTCCAACCTAAATAGGGCAGAGAGGGAAGAGCTGCATTTGGAGACACAGTTGCTTTAGTCACTCTCTGTTGACAACTCCCTGATTCGGATATGGACAAATAGGGAGGCTGGTGGGATCCCTGTCCCATCCTTGGAAAGAAGGTGGATGTGGCGGTATCCTGCATGGGAGACAAAAACAAAAGAGCCACGCACAGTGTTTGAAGCTGCCTTGTGTTGAGTTAGGCCAAGGGTAACCAACCATGTTCTTGGGCTCAAGCTGCCATTAGCCCCAGCCAGCATGGCCAATGGCCAGGGATTGTGGGAGCTGTACTTCAACAACACCTGTAGAGTCCCATGCTTGCTATCCCTGAGTTAAACTACTGGTCCATCCAGCCCAACTCTGCCTACTATAACCAGCAGAGCCCTGGTGGGATCCTAAAAAAACACACAAACCAGTGCTCATCTGCATGCATAGCCTGTGCTCTCCTGCTGAGTTCTAGATAATGATACAGGCAGGGATATGGGCGTAGCCAAGGGGGGATCGGGGGGGGGGCAGCCACTGCCCCCCAATCCACAAAAAAATATTGAAAAGCATTGAAAGTACTTAGTTGATTGAGGCTCCTGGCTACACCCATGGGCAGAGAGCACATTTGTCTCTAGAGTCAGCTTTTCCTGGCTGTCTCTCGAATTTCCTCTGAATGGTTACAAATTCTGGGTTTCTCTCATTCCTTTGAGTAGATTTGATGTTTTATATATTCTGCTTGTCCTGCAGCAGATGCATTTCATAGAATCATAGAATCATAGAGTTGGAAGAGACCACAAGGGCCATCGAGTCCAACCCCCTGCCAATCAGGAAACACCATCAGAGCACTCCTGACATATGGTTGTCAAGCCTCTGCTTAAAGACCTCCAAAGAAGGAGACTCCACCACACTCCTTGGCAGCAAATTCCACTGTCGAACAGCTCTTACTGTCAGGAAGTTCTTCCTAATGTTTAGGTGGAATCTTCTTTCTTGTAGTTTGGATCCATTGCTCCGTGTCCGCTTCTCTAGAGCAGCAGAAAACAACCTTTCTCCCTCCTCTATGTGACATCCTTTTATATATTTGAACATGGCTATCATATCACCCCTTAACCTCCTCTTCTCCAGGCTAAACAGGCCCAGCTCCCTTAGCTGTTCCTCATAAGGCATCGTTTCCAGGCCTTTGGCCATTTTGGTTGCCCTCCTCTGGACACGTTCCAGTTTGTCAGTGTCCTTCTTTAACTGTGGTGCCCAGAACTGGACACAGTACTCCAGGTGAGGTCTGACCAGAGCAGAATACAGTGGCACTATTACTTCCCTTGATCTAGATGCTGTACTCCTATTGATGCAGCCCAGAATTGCATTGGCTTTTTTAGCTGCCGCGGTTGATCCCAGCTACAGCCTGTAGAAGTGTGTATTCTAGCACCATTTATTCGGTTGATCCCAGCTGCAGCCTGTAGAAGTGTGCATTCTAGCACCAATACAGGGCACAGTATTTCTCTTCTCCACTAGATGGAGGCAACATGAGCTCCCTCCCTCCCCCTACAAAAAATAAAAATAAAAGTATGTACACAGGATGGGAATGCAAAACTCTGCAGTGTGATCTAGGAGCAGCTACAAGTATGGTAATAAGTAATCCAAATACTAAGAAAGCAAATCCATTGATTCTGAGGATGGAATCATACATAGTTGTCCCCCTCCCCGCCATCCTGCAAAGTGAGTTGTACTTCTCATGGGGGAGAGTTAATTTGTGGGTTGTGATAAACGTCAGGCCTGCTTTAGGATTAAAAGTAAAAAAAAAAAAAAAGAATTCAGGGAGCAGCTGTATAGGTTTAAAAGGGCAGCAGCTTTAACTGCATCTCAATCAAACTGATTGATTGAATCCAGACTTACAATGCACTCCTAATTCCACTTACCTGGGTAAGCCTCACTGAACTCAGTGGGATTTACTTCTGAGAAGACATGGTTAGAAGGGCCCTGGTAGTCATTAAGGGCTCCTCCACACTTCCACTTGTCTTGTGCCTGGAAAATGGGTCCAAGCAGCTATTCCTTTGCCCCACTGCTTTCCCCTGGAAAACCTGCTCTTTACTGCTGAATTGGGACAAATGGCAATTCAACGAAAACCTGATTACTGTTTGGTTCCATTTAGCAGTAAACCACAGGTTTCTCCAGGGGAAAGTGGCAGGGCAAACAGAGGTGTGGATGAGCCCAGAGTCTGGATCTCATCCTATGTACTTTTGTGTTGTGCTGTGGTCATAATATCCATGTGCTGATTTACTGAGTTGTTACAGTCTCTGTTGAAGGGGGTAACTTAGTCTGCCTTCCTTATGTACACAAATAACAGTCTCTGGCTAACCTTGACTGACCTGCCAGGGATGCATTCGTCTCCTGATCTTGGTAGCAAACTGGCACAAGATATTCATACCCCACAGGGCTAAGAGGGAGATGCTCACCTGCTTTGACACTAGTAAGAGGTAGAGTGTACTGTCCCACAAAGTCATTCCGAGATGCCTTGTCATAATCCTCCACCACAAAGCGCAGAAGTGCCAGCTCTGGTACCCAAACCTGGAACTGAAAGGCCTCATTCCATTGTGGGTTAAAACCTATCCAGGGATATTAAAGCGAAAAGAGGGTGTTGCCACATCACGTGATCTGTATGTGTGTCCCAGCCTCTCTCCATCTTCACCTCCATAAAATCTCACACAACTTCCTTCTGCATTGCTGCTTCTGAGATTCCTAAACTGCTCTGGTCAGTTTATTGTCTAACCTCAAAAACACCTGCCCTCTTTGCATCACTTTTCTACCACTCTGAATGGTCCATCTGGGCTTTTAGCGTTTTCAATGCCCCAGGAAAAAAGAGAGAAGATGCCTTTAAGTGGGAAACCAATGTCCCCACTGTGGAAGGACATGTGGATCCAGAATTGGTCTCCACAGTCACTTATGGACTCATTGTTAAAACTATGTTTATGGAAGACAATCTTACTCAGCTACGAGTGGTCGCCAAAGAAGATGGAAGAAGTTATGCATATACTATTGTGGGACCTTGGTGGAGAATTTACCTTTTTGCAAAGTTCAACTTCCTTTTCAAAACGACTATGCAAATTTCTAGCCTGCCAGGGTGCAGAGGAAAATATGAAAATGTAATGGAGAATGGACACATGTTAGTCATAAGGTGAAGCTTCACTTACGTCAATGGGACAAATCGGCTGCAACTCATTTTATTTGTTTTATTTTAATGTATTTATGGGCTGCTCTTTAGGTAAGATATTTCAAATTGGCTAAAATAATAAATACAATACATAAGAACAGCATAAGAACATTAGCACATACCAATCCACTGTTTTCAAAGAGGCTTAGTCATACAACTAACATTTGCTGGATTGTGCCCAGTGTGGTAGGCCACAGACATGGAAACCCAAGGCTTCCAAAGGTGGCTCATATGCCCTACACATGAGTTATTTGCTGCTTTGGGGCTCCATGTCCCCCTAATAAATCCTTCCCCTGTTATCTGTTTCCACCTCTGCTGCTTCCTTGTACTTCACCACCCCAGCTCTTCCCAAAATCAAAAAATCACAATTTAAAATCATGCCTGACATGCCTAGCATTTTAAGGACATTCATTCCCATGGAAGAATTTGGGTTTTTAAAAATGTAGAATCTGAGTTCCTTTGGTGCAGATAACACCAGGATATTCATTCATTCATCCTTAAGTAATTAAGAATGAGGGGCATCCGTGTTGACACATGCATGAGGTCCACATAAAACCCCATCTCAGCAGTTCTTTACAATGACCAAGAGAATTGCCTCACCGTTATCATCAATATATTTGGTCTCCTGCTTGGCACTATCAGCAGGGATCCCATGAATTTCCACCCGCACTAGTGGATCGATGATGGAGCCTTCTTTGCTGTTGGGCATCTTGGGGAGTTGCTGCCCACTAATGATCTGGAAGAGAAGATTATGGTGAGCATAGAAGAGCAGTCAAGTCCATATGTGCAAACAGCAATGTGTCAGCAGCTGCACCCTGCAACTCACGCAGCTCAAAACAGTGACAAAGGAAGTTGGTCACTATGGCATACAAAGGATTTGGAACAACACCCTGCCTGCTTGATACAGTGGTACATTGGTTTTCGAATGTAATCTGCTCCGGAAGACCGTTCGAGTTCCAAAACATTCAAAGACCGGAAACTCAAAACGGAAGCCTCAAAATGGAAAACTCAATTGGGAAAACTCAAAACGGAAGCTGTGTGGCATGTTCAACTTCCAAAAAGTGCTCAAAAACCGAAGCATTTACTTCCGGGTTTACAGCGTTTGAAAACCAAAACGTTCGTCAAGTTCGAAAACTGATGTACCACTTTATCCCAAACTCAGCTTTCCCAACAGAAGTTTATTTTTGACTCAACCAGGTATGGGAAAACTTTGGCCCTCCAGATATGGCTGACCTACAACTCTCATCAACCCCAAGAAGCATGGCCAGTGGCCATGTTAGTTCAGCAACATGAGAGTCAAATATTCCCCACATCTGCAGTAGGATAGTAGCACTGAGTAGCTATTAAAAGATAGCAGGGTAGATAAAGCCTCTCTCTAGGTCGGACAGAAATTTTCCAAGATGGGGGCCACATTCTCTCATGGACATCTGGAAGCTTCTTATTCCAATAAGTTATTCTCTAAAATCCCAAGAGCCCTGTTAGGTTAAGGTATGGGCAACAAACTCACACAGTACCTTAATGGCTATGCTCAGGGGGCTACCATTCTCCCTGCTTTGGGGGTTCTCAGGACTGAAGGCTGTCTCTGGGTCTTTCATGAAGCTCGGCTTTAACACGTAGCCACAGCGGCCATTTTTACTGAAGAGCCCATCGCACAAGTCCATCTCTGTACCAGCCGTTTGAAAATTCAAGGCCACTGAGAGGAGGAGGAGGAGGAGGAGGAGGAGGAGGAGGAAGAGGAGGAGGAGGAGGAGGAGGAGACAGGAATCTTTCAGACCAGCAGCAATTGGAGGCAAATGAGAGAGCAGTCTTCTAGCTCTTGCTAGCTTCTTCCATGCAAGGCATCTTAGAAATACAAATTAAAGCCCAAACTGCACATTGTGGAGAGAGGGCCATCAACCCACATCTCCCTAATAATGGGGATAAAACACATGACATATCATTGTCTTAGTGTTTCCCTCCCTACACCCACTTTCACTGGCTGCTGCTTATCCCATTTCTGGATCTCTATCTTCCCTCAGTTCCTGCCTTTCAAATCTGCATTTGCAAGCTTGAAGAAAGCTGAGGAAGCCAACATTCAGAAGAGTTGGGGAAAAACCCTTCCCCCATATAAGAACAGCCATGCTGTAAAGCCCAGTTTTGACCGCTAAGGCTTGGCAATAGCAGAACAAATAACAACTATTTATATAAAGCACCACTTTGAACACTCTGAAGCACACTGCATATTTATTTTACATCTTGCCTTTCTGCCATCATATAACCCAGTGTGGCATACATATGGCTCCCAGACAGTCACCCCCAGACCTGCAGTGTCGTAACCTTATGTGCCTTCAGATGCTGGGATCAGGTTTACTTACAATATCCAAGGGTGGAACAGCTTGCTACTTCAGCAAAGTTCGCTGAGACACAAATGCAGGAGGGGATTTCCAGGAGAGGATCAGTGTAGTAGGAGTGGTTAACCCTTCCCTAGATTGCCATCTTGCCAAAAATACGGTACTCCCTGGCATATGACAACTTGTCCCCCTCCCAGGAAGCAGGATTCTGAGGCTAGGCAAATGAAGGGGAGGCAGCATTTGTGGGAATAAGTGGATAAATAGAGCCCTGCTGGCTCAAACTAAAGGCCTGTTTAGTCAGCCTCCTGTTTCCCACAATGGTCAATAAGATGTGCAAGTGTGCGCTCTCTGTCTCTCTGTGTCTGTGTCTGCGTCTCCCTCTCATTCCCCAGTGACTGCTAGTCAGAGGAAATCTGCTGCTGATTCTCAGGTAGCAGTCAGACATTATGACTCATAGCCATCAATAGCCTTATCCCCCAGCAGTTTGTCTAATCTCCCTTTTAAAAGCCATCTAAAGCCCCATCTGCACTTAAAGCAGTATCGCGCCACTTTAGTCCTGGCTTCCTACACACACAATCCTGCAGTCTGTTCAAGGTGCCAAGAGATGCCAGGAGAATCTATTCCCCTCACAATCCCCAAAGTTCCTGGGGAAGAGGGTCTGATGGTTAGACCACTCTGGGAGCTGCAGCTCTGAAAAACACACACACAAGGGTGACTTCCTCACCCACCCACCCCTTAAATCCTTCTGGGGCTGGCATACCCAGCTGGCACCCCACATTCCACATCGCCTGGGGGTTGTAATTGGAGGAGTCCGTCCGCAGACCGCTGGGGAAGATGCGTGTCAGCTGCCAGGCATTATGGCGGATGAAGTCATTTCCTGCAGGAGGTAGTTAGCACACCAAAAGTTTAGAAATCTGGTATTTGGGGAACCCCCTCTCCAGTTATTAGTGCTTGGAGAATGTGACCCTCTGCAACTAAGTGGGGTGTGTGTGTCAGAGAAACAGTTTGCATCCAGTTTACCTAAAATGTAGACAGAGAACGTGGAATTTCTAGCTGGTTAGTTGGAATTAGGGTGCACACCCCACCCCAATGCGTGTGTAGGTCTTCACAAACTGCTTTCTGGGAATTTGATGCAGAATTAGAGCGGCTTTGCTGCCTGCTTACAAGAGGTTGTTTGCTTCCGCTATGCTGTGCTGGTATGTTCTCTGACCCAAAGGAAACTGAATCAGGGAGGGCTGCCTCTGACTTTCTGACTGCTTGGCAATATGGGGCAAATCATTAACATCTTAGTGTATGTTGGGGAGGAGTCAGAGGAGTCAGAGGCCCGTCAATGCACGTTCCTAATGTCTTGCCTGCTGGCTGCCTCCATCCCCGGTTTCTCACCAGCCTCTCGGATGAGCTTGCGGGCCTTGGATTCAGCAAAGGAGGACATCTCATAAGACTTGTAGTGGCTGCGGGAGTGCTGGAAGCTGTGAAAGGGCACGCTCTTGCAGTAGACAATGCAGTCAGAAAGCTCCTGGGAGAGGGACTGTTTGGCCTTCTGCAAAGAACGTGAGACCAACTTGTAAATGATGACCATGTGTACTGCAGACACGGGAGTAAGATTGAGTCCCACACCTGCTAAAAATAGAATCAAAATATTAGGCTTTGTGGGGGGAAGGCTCCTTTTCCCTTTAACTGGTGAGGGGCAGGTAGAGTTTTGGCCCCGGGAACTTTACCTGTCTTTTGTTAGGAGTCATACCTCAGCAGGGAGCCTATGGGCTTTGCATCCCTGGCATTTCCAATTTTTAAAAAGACTAATTTAAAACCCTGCCTGGGAGCTTGGAGAGAGCTGCTAGTCAGAGAACCCAACAGACCAGTGGTTTGACTCACATAAAAAGGCAGCTTCACATATTCCTGCAATAGAAGAGGAGCCCCCTTTTGCTCCTGAGAAAGAGCCACCAACTCCAAATGATTCAAAGGCAGTGTAAGAAAGTTTGCTTTCTCTCCACATCAGGGTTTCCGGGTTTCCCAGTAGAATCAATGTAGCTCATATTCTATCAAAAACTAACCTGTATGTGTGTATTGTCATCAGTCACTCCTGCTTTTGAGGGCAGGTACCTCCCACATGTCGGTATCTGGCAGGTGAGGTTCAAGTGCATATTGCTCTACCACACTAGTGCAACAATTTTTTAAAGCAAACAAACCCCGGACTTTTAGCAGTTGGGGAAATGATGGGGAAATGCTTTGAAATTGAGGGATGAGCAAACGATTAATGGGAAGATGTATCAACACTTGGCTGGCAAATTGTTGCATAACCTCCCCACAAACACATTATAATGAATGCTCATAAAGACTGGACGTACCTTAACTGCTATGTGAACTTTGTGCAGGCAACTCCAGGATGGATCCTCAAAACATAGCTGCCACTACCTCTAAAGAGCCAACTAACCAGGGTTTCCATGTACCTTCTCTTTCTTCTTGTCTTCATTGCGTAGGACTTCTTCCTCTGCCTCTGGTCCCTCTTCCTCCTCCTCCTCCTCTTCCCGCTCAGGCGGCTCATTCAGATGCCCATTCAAATAATCCTCCAGGTGTCCAATCTTCTTCCCTTTCAGGATGATCTTGCCCTTCAGTTCCTGCATGAGGACACAGGGTGGGTCATATCAGGGCAGACATGGTGGTGCTTTGAGTTCAGGCGATGGGGAAGGGCCTCTAGCAACACCAGCTGAGCCAGGCTGTCCTGTAAAACTCTGCCTTTCTCCACAAGTATGACAGCCTCTTAAATATTCTCACAGCAAACATCCTGCTCAGTTAAAGGTCCCCTGATGCCATTTTACTCAATCTTTCACCATGATTTTAACAAAGTGTTCCAATACTTCTCTCTCCAATACCTCTGCTCCTCCAGTGCTCCTTTCTGCCTTTAATTCTCTTCTTGAAGTTCCCCTTAGTGGTTCTGACAAAAAATGCTTTAATTCCCACAATAGCTACTTTGGAACCACCTCCAGTCCCTTCATCTGCCTTAACCTTCACCCCTCACTTCTGGTTCCTCCCCTTCCTATGGCCATCATTTTAATACTTCAGACTAATACATAAAAGAATTTGGGTCACCTGAGTGTTAACATAACAGTCCTAGGATTGCAATCAAGCTCTGTAAGCCCAGGTTAAGGAAAGACAATTGACAACACCATGTCCCCACCTCTGGTGAAGGCAACTGCACTGGGACACCACCATCTATGGTGGTGGTGAGGAGCTGCTCTCCCAGAATCCCCTTCAGCTGCTGGGCCATGATGTCCTGCTGCTCTATGCTGCAGTGGTTCTCAAGAGACAGGATAATGGGGTATTTAGAAACCTGGGAGAATGGAGACATAAGAAGTTAGAGGCAGTAATAGCCCTAAAGTGTGGGAGGTTGAAGGTGGAGTCTGATGACATAATGAGGGGAATGGAACGGTTTGAGGGATAGCGAGCCACCTTTAACTCAGGATTCCTGGAGACCAGACAAGTAGGATAGAGGGAAATGAAGCCACTGCTAGGATGTGGCAAAACTATGGAACCACAGACATTTGAAACCACAAGTAGGAAAGATGGTGTGCCCTATTTAAATCTAAAAAAGGGAGGGGTTTGGAGACAACTGGAACTAAAATTAGGCTCTCACAACTTTGATGTTCTGTCTGGAGGATGGGGGAATTGAATCAAAAGCAACACCTTGAATTTGGCTGGATAACTAATCAGCAGCCTTCACAATTCCACCCTACTGACCCCATCCCTTGTGTCAGAAAAGTCCAACCTACCCGGAAGGCATATTTATCGAGGGTTGTCACAACTTCCCGGAAGGGGATCTTAGAGGTGAAGGTATGGCCGTGGTAGACAATGGGCTCCCCATTAGGTCCATCCCAGCAGTCCACCTCTAGGCATCGGCAGCCCCGCTTCAGAGCCCTGCAGAGGAAAAGAAGGCAATTCACGAGCCCTTCCTAGCCTCTCGGTTTGTGAGCAGCACCCTTTCCTGCTAGCTTGAAACATGGGGGTGGGGGAATCACTTTTTACAATGCCGAATCCTTTGAGGCAAAAAGGCTCTCACGTCATACTTTGCCTGTGATTGCCTGAAACCAGCAATGGTTGCACCAGGCATTTCCCCACTTTGGGGGCATTCAAGCTCAGTGCTTGAATATTAAACTGGAGGGGGTGAAGACTGAGGTAATATAAAAGGAGAGGTTTGAGTGGGTCCCTGAGATACAGGGTGAGATCCCAGCTTCCTTCCAACTTCATCACTGAAATGACAGGTGCACACACCAGCAAATCAAAGAATATCAAATGCTGGGCCACCTACTAGTTTTCCCTTCTCGCCAGGGTTCAGCTGGGGTAGTGTTTGTTTTTTTAAGTGCTGCATGAATTTTCATGCATTTTATCCATTTATTAATCACCTTATTATTTCAAAATGGGGACTTCTGAAACTACAAAACTGCTCCAGGGATTGAAGGGTCTTGGCAACATTACAGCAATGGGTGCAGAAGCCAGTCAGCACTATATTCTACTTGAAACTTGCGGAACCATTTTTCAGAGGAAATAATACGTAGCATTTCCAGCTCAGCCCCTCCACTCTGTACACATTACATCCGTCTTCACTCTAACATTGTGGATAACATGAAAATGTGGGTACCTTTTTGTGAGCCCATAATTCACACTTTTCAAAACAATACACAAACTGAAACATAGTGCTTCTTTGAAATTCACATATCTCTGAATTTTGCAGTGCAGTTCTCCAACCATGTAATGTGTACAAAAATGTAAAGTAAGCATAAAAACGCATATGTTCATGAAAATAGCACACCAAGATGCATTATAGTAAGGAAAGTTGCTTTGCAAAAAGTTAGATTAGGCAAAATTGTATACAAAATGTATATTGGAAGAAATCATCACTAAAATGCTGATAGATTTTCATGAAGACACTTAAAAAACAAACAAATGCAAACTGATGTGGAAATATGATCTGGAACTGAACATAAAAAAGAGGAATTGGGAGAAATTGACAGATCTATGCATGAGGTTCACCAGTGTGTGAAGCAATTCCAGTCAATGTTTTATAAAAAGCTGAGGAGATCTGGGGACCAGGCCTTGAGATGCAGATTTCTCGTAGGCTTTTCATGTATTTGAGTTTGCTTAACTTGTATTTGAGTTTGCTCTATATCAAGTGGTTTGGTCACCAAGCTTTGCGTAAAGAGCACATCTTACAGAGGTCATAATTGTGAAAGGTATCTTGTGAGTGGCTTTGTTATGGAAGTGAGTCAACTGCCTTTCGATTGCGATCACCTGATATATCCCTCCACGCTGCTTTGTCCTCTCAGCTGGTCCTCCATCAGGTATGTGTTGTGGGAGGAGGAGATAAAGTAATGGCAGAGGGGCTGAGACATATCCTGAAAGACCGTCCTGTGCTCAGGGTTGAAGATGGAGCCATCGGGTGAGCAGAGATACATGAGGAACCCATCAATGCTCAGGATGTGGCGAGCCTTGGCTGTGGGAAGAGAGAGCCAGTTGGAGAACAATACTGAGGAGGAATTAGCCTCTGAAAAAAACAAAAGACACTGAACTGGACAAAGCCCGTGAAAGAGGAGCCTTTGGAGTGCTGGGGGAAAGCATCAGTTTCTATGGCAATAGGTGTCATGAAACTGATACAGGTGGTGATAAGTGCTTTGTGGAGATCTAGTGGGACAAGAGAGACACACAGATACCCTCTCCCCCTCAATGCCTGGGAGCTCCTATTCTGAGAGAGGATTTGGCACTATTTGAGGGCCAACCTGTGCTGGCACTTGTCCAGGTTGTGGGCCCGCCAGCTCTCCCCCCTCCTCCACCCCCATCCCGCCAACCTGTCTCAGACGGCTCATATCTGTCAATCATTTCCATGGCGAGCTCATCAATGCCAGCCCCCTCCATCTGCTCCTGTTGCAAGAAGTCCACAAACTCCAACAGTGTCAGCTTTTTGCCATCCTCGGAGTACTCCTGGAACAACTCGAGCACCTCGTCCCGCTGAGTCAGTGCTTTGTAGAAGAGCACAAACTCCTCCCCCTCCAGTGTACCTGTCTCTGATTTGTCGGCCATCTGCAAGGAATGGAAGGGTCTCTGACCAAGGGGGTCCTTTGTGCAGAAAGGAGAACATTGCGATAAAAGCAATGGGGTGAGGCAGAGCCAGCCAGTGTGAGGCCGTCTAGATGGCTTGGACTACAACTCCAACCTGTCAGCTTGGCCAGTGGTTGAAGGATGGTGATGGGAGTTTGTAGTCTGCAACATCTGGAGGATACCACATTGGCTACACAGAGCATACAGGACCAGAGGTTTACTCATGAGGATTCTTGAGATACACCGCTGCTGCTGCTGCTGCTGCTGCTGCTACAGCACTAAATGTGCCCTAGCTGATGCACAGTACATCATAGCCATGTGGTCCTTGCCCAAGGAGCTTTAAACTACCATAAAATGACTAGATGGAGGCAGGAGTAGTAAAGGGTCAGGGATTAAATGAAGAGTGTGGGTAGGATGGGGGGCAGCTTCTGGATCTGGGATGATCCACCACTGCTCTTGCCAGTGTCTATTGTCAGCCCCCACTGGGATCAACATGGTAGAGATACTTGAGGATGCCATAAGATGTCTCTGCAGGTGACCTGCAGTGATTTCTGTACTATATCACTGAGTTTGACTAGACAACAGACAACACACAGAGATGGGCAAGGAGCCACAGCCAGGTGGATGATGCTTTGACGGAGAGATATAATGACACTGGACAACAGAATAGCCAGGTTTGGGGGCACAGCGTGTAAGCAAAGAAAAACAGAAGTGAATATATGTGCACTAGAGTGTATCATGGGTGGAAATGAGGTGCTGTAGTCTTTTGAAGAGCAAGCTCAGGGATTTCCCTATGCAACCCAGTACCGTATCTTCCCCACCAAAGCACCCAAATTTACTTGGAAGAGCCGGAAGGCATGGTCTTCATTCATAGCCACGTTCATCATCCTGAGCAAGTGCTGCACCTCCTTGAAATTCATACGTCCATCCTTGTCCTTATCAGCTTTCATGAACCAGTCACAGATCCATGTGCAGCCCAAGACATGGGTCAAGGAAAACAGTCTCATAGTGGCCAAGCAAAGCTAAGTCTTCAAAACTAGCCATAGCGCAAAAGAACACTCTAGTGTTGCTCAGCCAAGATGCTTCGAGAAACGTGTGTGTGGACTCCTCATCAGCCTAATCCCTAGAATTTGGCAACTATTAACAATTGCATCTTGTTTAATTTTCATAAGACTAAGCCCTTCATTCAAAATGTTACCTATTTATTGGCCAATTCATTTATGTATTATTCTCCATTTAAAATCACAGAGTAGTTAACAGCAGAAATCAATAAAATACTACAACTTGCACCACCTTCCCCCCCCCATACATTCTATTCAGAATCTGTTATTTGCAGTTTTGCATGACTTCAAGTAGTGTTTATAAAGAGAGGAAGAGCCAGAACCAAAGCAGACTGGAAAAATGGGCAGTTCAGGCAAGATATGGCTGGGTAGTAGTGAAGAAAGGTAGGTTCATTGCAGGAGGAGGGACACGGTGTGACTGCAGAAGTAATGAATTGATAGGGAAGCACCACAGAAGAGATAGTGGAGACAGCTGAAGCTGTGAAGGACAGGAGAGAAAGAGATCTAAGTGTCAGCAATTGAAGACAGGAAATTACCTTATCTCAGGTCAGACCCTCTGGCACTCTAGTTCAGGATCATTTACATGGGCTGAAAGCAGCTGTCCAGGATTTAAGGCAGGAGTATTTGCTAGCGCTACCTGGAGACACCAGAAATTGAACCCAGTATTTCTGCGTGCAAAGCTTGTGCTCTGCTACCAAGCTACAGTTGATATCAACCTCATATTTGATATGAATCGTGGGTCGTATCTCCAGCATAGGAGAACAAATACAAAGTTGAGCTCTTGAGGTTAGCTTTTACAGGCATGGAAATGGACAGTCAATAATTCAACATAAGGATATTGATCCATCTTCTCCTTCTGGTCCATGTTAGTGACAATCTCCACAAGGCGCCGCAGGCCTTGGATCCAGCACTGAGCTTCCTCCTCTGAGCTGGCAATTAGGTCTAGATTGTTACGGCGCCCATGGAAGACGACCGTGAAGCAGCATTCGGCTGGGAACTCCTCCGCTAGACTTTGCAGGACCTCCGACTGGTGTCCCTCACGCACAGTCTCCACATCACTCACTGAGACTTGGGAGAGAGGGATAACAGCCAAGAAACATCAGCCTTCATGCAAAGGTTAGAGCTTAAGGTACAAAATTAGACCCTTGCTTCTTAGGTTGGGCCCCACACAAAACAGCATCAGCATCATTACCTAGCATTTATCTATTCACATATTCAGCTTCTTTAATCTGTCTGTCTATTCACCCAACTCTTTACTAGAGGTTCTATCCAAAGCAGCACTACGTGAAGATGCCATCAGCACAAGGATTTCAGCTTGTGCAGTGGGACCCTCTCCACTTCTTCTCCCCCTGTGCATGCTCCCTAAATACGTTCTAGGGGTTTTCCCCCAACCCTCTGGAACTGATTTTGTGGGGCGCAGGACCCACATTGGGAGGAGCAGTGGGGTGTGTCCTGTTGCACAAGTGGAAATCCTTGCACTGATGAGATGTGGTAATGGGCTTAACCGTCCAGGGGTCCTTTACTTTTGCCTTAGTTGAACATAGAAGTAAGAGCATAGAAATCTGCCTTATAGTGAGTCAGATCATTGATCCATTTAGGCCTGTATTGCCCATATTGGCTCGTCAGGATTTCAGACGGGGTCTTTTCCCAGTCCAGTTTAGAGATGCTGGGGATTGACCCTAGGATTTTCTGTGTCAAAGGCAGATTTTTCTGTCACTGAACTATAAGCCCTTCCTATCCTGTCCTGAGCTACTGTGCTGTCACAGAGTTTTGACCTCCGCAGATCACAGGGGAAGAGATGAAAAAGCATTTTATTGGATCAATTAATGTTGGGACATAATGTACATCCAGCATAAACTGATGGCGGAAGACATCTCAAAGGCAGTTGTGGACAAGATAGTTTCACCCAGTGGACCATTAGCCTGGAGAAGTTCCAGCAGCAGGGTGAGCCTTCACAGAATCTCCAAGAGAAAATTAAACATCTCTGTGGATGACAGAATGAAAACATCCAGTACTAGAACAGATTATGCAATAGACAGAGGGAAGATGCACAACTTCCAGCACTCAAGATGAATCCAAATATAGTATATTCTCTTCCAGCCAAACATATTTTAGTGACCAAGGTGGAAAATCTAAATTGCACCACATGCACAAAAACTTCAATTAAATTAGCTGGCAATTTGATGTTCAATACCTGCTGCCTGAGGTCATCACCTCACTTATCTTTGTGACAGGATCAGTCCCGCTTCAAGTGTCACCATATATGAAAGTCAGGCTCAGTACACCATGCCCAGTGCTCTTTTAGTTTTTAGATAGGCACATCTAAAATGCCCCTTGCAAGACATTCAGAACATAACATGCACATATGCAGATGCAAATGCACACAAACATTTCCCTTTGTAGTACACATTGTGATGATCTGTTGCTGGATATCAGATGATGACAGGGACTTGCAAGTAGGTATTGGCAACAGCTGGATGGAGAAGAAGTGTGTGTGCTTTTGTGTGTGTGTGTGTGTGTGTGCGCATGCACACACACACACATACGAAAGAAAGAGAAGTCATATTAGATGTCAGACATGACTTGCAGTTTTAATAAGTACATAAGCAGCAGTATGTTGAACCAAAGGTAAAATGTTCTGGAAGGCATGCAAACACCATCTTGGTAGTTGAGATAACCCTAAACTAACTGGTAGTTGTTGCAAGAATGAGCTCATGTGTGTTTACATCCACTTGCTTTGATGTATACTAAGTGGCTTGCGTCGATGCTATGTTTATCTGTGAACCTTGGGATGCTGGGCTCTAGCCCCTGAGAGGGGAGAAGCCTTGGATAGCTGCCACCATGGCCTCACTGGCCAGGTGTGATGGGAGCTTCTGAGTAAACTGATGTATGTTGCTTTGTACATAAAGGATGTCTACATGTTTGCTTGGGTGCGGACAAGCCATCGCCTTGCTGCAGTGTCCATTCTGCATCTGTAAAGGCTGGGAGATCTGGCAGGCTGATTTGCTGTAAGTCTACACCTTCTTTTAATAAAGCACTAGAACTGATCACTCTGGCATTTTTTGACATCCTTCTTTGGTATCCCTGCAACCAACCACTCCCACAAGATTTTCTTTCAGCTGGTGGATCAGGATGAGCAGTTCTTGCCAAGAGACTGAAGGTGGGCCTGAGGGTCAGATCCAATTGTATTGTTCCCAGAACATCCTGTTGGCACCCCATGACATCAAGAGTCAGAGTTTTTACACCCCAGTCTGAAATTCAGTCTAAATTTGCATCTAAATTAGCATTTATGTTATGGGCCTGTTCCCTGAATCTCTTAAATACCTAGCAGTACTCCTGTTCCCCGGTGGAAGTCTGCTGCAGCCCAGCACTTTTAAAAAATCAAGCTAAGTAGTCTTTTGGCTTGGAATTGTGTGATTTTTGCATTCTGATCTCTTCCAATGACTGGTGTTGCCAGACTGTCATTAAACAGTTTCATGTGGGGGCTTCTGCAATCTGGACATGCTCCAACCCTTATGAAAGGATCCCCACATTATGCTATATGCTTGCCTGAAAGTGCAAACTCAAAGACAAGGTGACATGGAAACCAGCCTTGCTAACCACCATTCAGAGCAGGGAGTGGAACTCACAGGCAGACTTGGCTTTGCCAGACATCTTGGATTTGTACCAGACGGTCATGCAGTCATCCTGCAGCATGAAGTACCGGGGTTTCTTCCAGTTCTTGGACTTCACCTTGCGCATCATTGTCCCCTGTTGCATCTGCTCCAGGTTCTCATCCAGCTGAAGGCCTGAGCAGGAGATTGAGGGGACGCATTTCACATCAGAGAGTGAGTGAGGGCCACTGCCCACCCGGGATGGGGAACACAAGGAATATTTGTTTGTGTTTAAGCATACAGATAAGGAACAGAAACTGAGCCTATAGAGATGGGATGCCAAATTCAAGATAGAAAGACCCAGCTTCTGGAGGAAACATTATGCTCTGAATGAAACAGCCATTCCATAGCATCCTTCTAAGCAGCCTGCTCCAAACTGGTTCCCTTTGGTTGTTGTTGGACTACAACTCCCATCATCCCTGTCCATTGGAGATGGAGTCCAACAACATCTGGAAGGCACCAGGTTGGGAAAGGCTGCTGTAGGGCAAACATATTGATTCTACATTCAGATCTCCTTTTTGCTTCCAGCAACAGCAGTCCAACCTGCCAGGTCCCCTATATGTCTCCCTTGGACCTGGAGGGTGTGTGGGATGTATTATTACTAGAGCAGTCAAGTACAACATTTTCCTTTTGTCTAGAATGGACACACAGAGGGATGTGGCTCCAGACAGGGAGGACTTCCTGTCATACCTGCTCTGGAGCTTCCTCCCCCTGTGTGTGACCAGGTAGATGGGCATGAGTGACCCTAGCTGACCAGATAAAAGGGCTGGTCATGCAACCATCTCACTCTTACCCTCTTACTCTTGCTGGCTCTTAGCCAGCACATGGCTCAACCCACATAGGATGGAGCCCATAAGCAGAAAGTCTAAGATGTAGCTCAGACTTCTTTTCACTGTAACCACAGGATACAGCCTGCCTTCAGATTACTACTGTGAACTGAATGTGAGTAAAACTTTATTCTTACTTTTAATGAAGACTCTGTTGTGTTGTTATTATTTTAAGAGGGAAATAAAGGGGAAACTTACCAGGAACAATCCAGACTGGACAAGCCAGACTGGATTGCTTAATTAAAGGATTCTAACGAATCATCAACTTGCTTCTGTTAAGTCGCAAAAGCAATGTTGCTCTGCTGTTTACTCACTAGAGTGAGTGAGGAGGGATAATATCAAAACAATATATTCTCTCCTACCTTTCTTAACATTCCCACAGGGAGAGGATGAGCAAGTGAGCAAGCACCACTGATGGCTGCAAGGGCTGTCACTGGGGGAAGATCTGTGGATGGCATCTTGCCGAAGGCCACCCAAAACCTGGAGGTAGCAATCTAGAGGTTCCCTAGAAACTCAAGAGAATACTCACGGACACTGTAGAGAACGGAAGTCATGGTTCTTCTTCCCGTGGGTTGGCACAACAATCACCTAGAACACAAGAGGGTCAATTGGTTTCAGAATTGCCATATCCCGTAATTTGACCTAGTACTTTCTGAAGACTCAGTATCTGATTTATTTTCTGATGTTTTGCATAAGCAATTCTAGTCCCACAATCATACAGAAGTGCCTTTTTATCCTTAATCGCCTTATCAGTCCTTTGATAGAAGTCACAAAAATATCTTAAGGTCAAGAAATTATATCTGGTAAAAAAAAGGGGGGGGGGGTTATTTGTTGCTGATGCTAGGATTTATTTCCACAACCTCTTAGCATTACCATTAGCAATGATAAAAAGATATGTTCTCTCTTCATAGCACTTCAGGAAAATATCAGAATAAGCACCCTCATTTTGATGCAGTTTTCTCTCAGACATGGAGCCGCTGTGTACTTATCTGTGTGGTTCCACATATGTCTTCATACTTGCAATGATGTATCTTTTAGAAAATTTCCATTAAATTTCATGGTACATCCTGGTTGATCCGTCTTAATGCTCAATGTAATACAAAAAAATCTGGGATAATGATTTCTTAGGTTTGTCCACTAAGACTTGTTCTAACTGGGTCAGTGATCAAAGGTTTCTTTACTTTGCTAACCCATTAATACAAAAAGTGCCTGGTTTCAAAATACTGGGAGAGGGAGAGAGAGTGACAGGCCAAAGCACCACCAGTGACCAATCAGATGCCTATATTGGAAGCCCACAAGCAGGAACTTCCCCTCCATCCACCAAGTTTTTATTAGGACTGCAGCACACAAAGAGAGAAGGTTTAACCTTTTCCTCCACAGCTACAATTTTAATTAAAATAGCCCTCAACCACAGCAATTAGCTTTTGGGGGGGGGGAATTGCTCCACTAGGGCACCTTCTGTCTGAATCTCAGCTGGAAACATGACCAGCTCTCTTTCAATGCAGAAAACCTTCCCAACCCTATCAGAAAGAGATTTTTACTGGCCACTGGATGAATGGCCTGCTTTAACATCTGTAGTTTTAAAAATGGGCAGCACATTTACCTATTTAACCCCTTTCAAACTCCAAAGCAATTTAGAGAAGGAGAATGCTATCCTTTTTACAAAGGCTTTCTTTTTTGCAAATTCCAAACAGGTGGCTATGCTAGTCTGAGGGCAGCAAAATAAGAGTCTTGTGGCTGCTTAAAAACTAACACATTTATAATGGCATAAGCTCTTGTGGACCACAGTCTACTTCCATCACATGCATCCATGAAAACTCATGCCATAACTCTTCTTTCTTTCTTTCTTTCTTTCTTTCTTTCTTTCTTTCCTCTGTCTCTGTCTCTGTCTCTGTCTCTGTCTCAAAAAATGCACTTCTCAGTCCCCCAAGCGACAGAATGTTCCAGGACAGTCTTTCATGGGGTCTGTTTCCTTGTGAGGAGTGAATAACTGGAGGCACAAAAAAACCAAAATGCTAATTTAAAAGTACAGCAGGACAATTGGCAAACACGCAAGGAATACTAATTCCCAGAACAGCACCAGTCCACCAAAGCAACAGCATCGGCCCAAAATTACTCCATAACAGCCAGTGGCAAAATCCCTTTTCTCTTGCTAAATACAAAGCTGAAAATTTGTTTTTTTCAGGCCCTACAGAGCAAAACATAACCCAAATCCCTGTAGCTGGAAGTAGTCACCAGCCATCAAGGGCCATTGAAGTAAGTGCTTTCCGCCATCAAGCACTACAACAGCCTGGAAAAAAACCCAGTTATGCATATGTAAAGAGTTCATTTGAGAAGCTGAAAGGTACTTCAAACAAAGGATAGTGTCTAGAGAGGGCACACATTTGAGCGATCTTAACAGTTGCCTGGGATGTAGGGAAGGAGATGATCCAAGGAATACATGAAAGCAAATTTTCCATCAAAACAATGAACTGGGAAAACCAAATGCTTTACCCTGGAGTTGGGGGTGAAAATAAAATAAAATTCTTCAGCTGCTGAATAGACAACAGAGAGCAATTGGGAAGGATCTCAGTCATGGCAGAAAGCTCTGGTTATTTGCTTTTCCTATATAATTTGGCAAAGTGCATGTCCAATCATTCCAATAATGTACCACTTCATTAAATTAGACTGAGGAACAGGCTTCCTGCAGTATCTTTCATTAAGGTAATCAAGGAACTGCAGAATCAAAAAGACTAGCTGTGTTAGTTTGGTAGAGCACAAACAGCAAAGTGTTTTGTGGCTCCTTCAAGGCCAACACATTTACTAGCCTTTGTGCACCAGAGTCTGCTTTTGTCAGAAGCCTGAAGGGTAATCCTGAGACGTAAGACCATCCTGTGACCTCTGGAACTGGCCTGAGACCTCTAGGTATAGGGCGGTATATAAATTCAATAAATAATCATCATCCTCATCCTGAATTAGCAAGTGTACTCTGGGAAGAAGAGATGTACAGGAGTGAGTTCAGACAGAAGTGAAATGCAAAAAGAACAGGCAGTAATGTTTACCTGAAAGCAAAATAGTTACAGTGTCCAATTAACAAGGCAGTACTGGTAGTAAGACTAATGTTTTGTCATTGATGAACCCATGTAGTGTGATGTCAAAACAAAATCAAGCCTACAATCTGGATTCAGAGACTTCCGGTCAGTGCCAGCAGCAATGGCGGACCTCCTTTGAAGTTCGGAGGGGGTAGCCCAGCGGGAGATCGGGTCCTGTGCGCTCCGGCGAAGCGGGGACCCTTAGAAATCGCAGGCGCGGACGCCTGCGAACGTGGAGGCTCGGCAGGCACCCTGAAGCGCCCCCCCCAACCTGAAAGGAAGCCTTTTTGAGGCTTCGGAAGGGAGCGGGGGAGAGAAGCGCGGTGCTGCGAGCGGATCGCTGCTCCCACTGAGCGAAGCCGCGTTGCCGTTGCTGGAGAGCGCTGACTTATTCCTGGGATATTCGGACTCAAAAACTAACCGTGAGTAGAAGAATTGGACAAAAGAGCAGGATTTGGATTAATTTGGAACTTTGGCAAAAAAGCGGAAAAGTTTAAAGTTTTTTAAAAAAATGGCTGAATTGGCTACCGCGGTGGAAGCGTAAACAGGAAGTCGGCTTCACTGCATTGTATAAAGAACAAAGCAAAGAGATTTGGAGCTAAACGTGGAGAGCTGAATTGAAATAAGTGTATTCTTCTGACCTGAGGACTTTGGAGGGATCTACCCTTAGGAGAGTTAAGGGAAAGACTTTTGATTTTATAGGATCGTTTAAATTGAAAGATTAAATGAGTGATCTGTCACTCAGCTGTCAAAGCTGTCAAAGTGGCTAAAGCTGTTTGCTGGCTGCAAAGGAGATACATAGTGGCCAATTTTACTGGGAAAAGACTGGAAAAGACTGGAAAGTTATATTGTGGCTTTTACTTTGGACTCTTTTTTTCCTCTTACTTAGTATCTCTCCCTTGTTGTTCTAAAAGACAGTAACTTGCTAGGTGGCAACAGTGTCCATCTAGTGGGACTTTCTGTAATTGCAGGAAAGGAAAGGAATTTTCCAATTATAAACAGGAAGAGCGGACGTGGGAAAGTAACTTGACCTTCACTCTGTTATGGCTGATGGTTTTAAGGACCAGTCAACCTTGAGATCAGGGAAACCTTGGACACATAGAAGGCAATCATCTGCTGGTTTGCCTACACCGGCAACACAATCTAAGTCTGGTGGAATGTCTGAGGAACTTTTAGCCAGTGCTCTGTCTAAGATTAATGATTCAATACAGCAGCTATCTACAAAAGTGGGGGAGACGAACAGGAAGGTGGAAGAGACCAATCAGAAAGTGGATATTGCAAACAAGAAAATTGACCTAAATACAGAAACATTAGGTAATTTGGAGAAAAAAGTAAACAGCAATACGGAATCTATTCAGAAACTGCTGCAAGACTCAAAGTCTATACAGGAAAAAACTGCTGCTGTAGAGTTCAAATTGGGGCAGTTGGAAACTGAAAAAGTACCAGACTTACAGAAAGAGATCGCAGAACATAAGTTAACGTTATCTATGATAGACCTCAAAGACAAACAAACGAATCTTAGAATCAGAGCGGTTCCTGAGTTGGAGAAAGGTACTTTGATAGACTTTTTGACACAAGAATTTCTGGACTTTTGGAAATCGGAATTGAAACAAGAGGACTTTAAGATCGTGAGGGCCTTTCGACTGGGGAAAGGAGGAAGAAAGATTAAAATAAGGGACTGTTTGATTACTCTTCGATCTAAGGAAGAAAGGGACAAAATTTTGGGTTTACATTACGAAAAACCCTTGACAATTATACAATCAAAAGTTGAAATTTTTAAAGATATACCAAAACATCTTCTTGATTTAAGAAAGGACTTTGGAGACCTGGTGGACTTGTTGAGAAAAAATAAAATTCTCTTTAGGTGGGAATTTCCCCAAGGTCTATCCTTTAGCTTTAAAGGAAGAAAGACCAAGATCAGATCAGTGGAGGAAAAGAACAAGTTTCTGAGTGCATACGAAGAAGACCTACTGAAAGGATTGGGAAAAGACATCGCGATACCGGACAAGAGTCTGCAAAAAAAAGGGAAACCAACGCCACCGACAGACATAGACAACCTTCTTGGGGCTGCTGGAGGAGAAGGAGAGTAGTCACAAAATGACACTACAAATTTTAAGCTGGAATATTAATGGTCTAAATTCGTCGGCTAAAAGGGGAAGAGTATTTCATACTGTCAGGGGTTCAGGGAGAGAGGGACAGGGTAGGCAGGAGATGGAGAGCGATGGGGAGGAATTCCAAGCCAGCGAGGAAGAGGATGACAATGACTCAAGAGATTCCATGAGTCTTTCCAGCGAATCAGAGGATTCCCAGAAGGGGCGCCGGTGGTTAAGGCCAGGGAGCCCCAGGAGGGACGTGTCAGGAGCAGGGGGCCAGCGGAGGATCCCAAAGTGGCAGCTGGGCGTCAGGACCAGCCTCCCCACCAGAGTGCAGCGAAGGGGGTGGAGTTTCCAGTGTGTCAGAGGAAGCAGCTCCGGGAGCAGAGAAAGGAGGGAGGTCAGAGCAAGCCGCCCTTCCGGAAGGGCGGGGAGCAGTGAAGGGAGTAGTGTAACTGTCAAAAGGAAAGTTAGAGGTTTGGCGCGCGCGCCTAGTTCAAATGTAGAGGCGCGCGGAAGTACAGGGAGCCCGGAGGAGGGGCCAGGTCCCAAAGCCCGCAGGAGGGGGGAAGAGCAGTCTGGGGATTCAGCGTCAGAGGAATCCAGAAGGGCGCAACCCCAGCGGGCAGAAGGACCCTGCGGAAAAGGAAGGAGAGAAAGAGGTGGAGCAGCGCAAGTCTCTTAAATTGGTGCAGGGAGGGACTGACTCAGAGGGGACTTCAGCGGTCTAGCGTAAGAGACGTAAGGCTGCGCGCCTAGGATGTCAAGCAAACCATGAACTGCAATAAACACCTTTGTATATAAGAAGACATAGGCGTTGGTCTTTTGTGAGCTGAGACTTGAGGCAGCCTTGACACATACATTGAAAAAAGAACATTTGGACTTGATCTGTTTACAAGAGACTCATGTGACAAGGCTACATCGGAAAATCTTGATAAATAAAAGATTGGGAGAGGAATTTGTTTCATCGGACAATGTTAAAAAAAGAGGGGTAGTACTTTATGCGAAGGAAAGCCTGTCACCAAAATTTATATTTAAAGATGATCAAGGAAGATATATAGCAATTGAAATTCAATTCCAAGGACAGAAATTCTTGATATTAGGTGTATACGCACCAAATGAGGGAAAATCAGAATTCTTCAAGAAATTGCATGAAACTCTCCTGGACTATTTGGATTACAATATTATTTTGATGGGAGACATGAATGGAGTAGTGTCTACAAATATGGACAAAGCCCAAAGACAAACAGTGACAAAAGATGGAAGATTACCAAAGACATTTTTTGAAATGACTGATAATATGGATCTTGTGGATATTTGGCGAACAAAGAACCCCTTGGAAAGAGAAGGAACCTTCTTCTCTGAAGCAAATATGACATGGACAAGAATAGACCAATCTGGATAACTAGAGGACTGGCTCCTAAAATTAAAAAGCGGTGATTTGCCCGAAAATCTGCTCTGATCACAATCCAGTAAAGATTGAAATGATATCAACGCCAATTGGGGCCTTTAGATGGAGGATGAATGACTCCTTATTCAGGAATGAGGAAATTATTAAAAAGGCTCAAAAAATTTGAGAGACTATTTTGAAATAAATTTGAATACTACGACAGAAAAAAGAGTGATTTGGGATGCCAGTAAAGCGGTGATGAGAGGATTCTTGATACAACAAAACGCAATTAGGAAAAGATATCAAAATGAGAAGAGAGAAAAAATCTTGGAGAAAATAAAGGATGGAGAAAAAAGATTGAGAGCGAAACCGAACTCACAGGAGATTTTAAAAGAGATAAAGCTATACCAAGTACAGTATATGAATTTGATGAATCAGGAGATAGAATGGAAGATTAAACAGATGAAACAAAAGACTTTCGAATCGGCAAATAAATGTGGGAAGTTACTGGCCTGGCAAATGAAAAAAGACAAAAGCTGAATACAATCACGAACTTGGTTGTAGAAGGAAAGAATATACAGAACCCTGGAGAGATTCGGAAGTGCTTTCAGAATTATTTCAAACAGTTATATACGCAGGAGACTCAGAAAGATCTAGACATTGACCGATTTTTGGAAAATAATGGATTACAAAAAATATCTCAAGACAGTAAATCAACATTAAATTCGACTATATCTGACCAAGAAGTGGAAGGAGCCATTCAGAATATGAAATTGGGCAAATCTCCAGGGCCGGATGGATTAACTGCAAAGTACTACAAAACTTTGAAAGAATGGTTATTGCAACCGTTGAAAGAACTTTGTAATGAAATACTACGGGGAGGAAAAGCACCCGAGTCGTGGAAAGAAGCGTACATTACACTTATACCAAAAACCGAAGGGAGAAGACACAGTTGAAGAACTACCATCCCATATCCCTGTTAAATGTGGATTACAAAATTTTTGCTGAAATTATGGCTAAGAGATTAAAAAACGTATTGGTAAAAGAGATTCATAAAGACCAGGCGGGCTTTCTGCCTGGGAGACATTTGTCAGACAACACTAGGAACATCATTAACATTTTGGAAAAATTGCAAGTCAATATTAATACTAAAGCTGTTTTAATATTTGCAGATGCAGAGAAAGCATTTGATAATATTTCTTGGAGTTTTATGAAGAAAAATCTGCAGGGGATGGGGGTAGGCCAAAGTTTCGAAAATGGTATAGGTGCAATTTATTCGGAACAAAAAGCTAAGCTTATTGTGAATAATGTAGTTACAGAAGAATTTAAGATAGAGAAAGGAACAAGACAGGGCTGCCCAATCTCCCCATTGCTTTTTCTATCAGTCCTCGAGGTTTTGCTCAATATGATTAGAAAAGACCAATTGGTTAAAGGTATACAACTCGGAGCTAAACAGTACAAATTGAAAGCTTTTGCTGATGATTTAGTTTTGACAGTACAGGAGCCAGAAGCTAGTACAAAAGGGTGTTACAATTAATACAAGAATTTGGTCAAGTAGCTGGTTTTAAATTAAACAAGATGAAAACCAAGGTATTAGAGAAAAATCTTACAGAGATAGAGAAGGAGAGGTTTCAGAAAGAGACAGGATTAACAATTGTTAACAAAGTGAAATATTTAGGGGTGAATATGACTGCCAAAAATGTGAATCTGTTTAAAGATAATTATGAAAAATGTTGGTCAGAGGTGAAGAAGGATTTAGAAATATGGTCAAAATTGAAGTTATCATTGCTTGGCCGAATTGCTGCGATAAAGATGAATGTATTGCCTAGAATGTTGTTTTTGTTTCAAACACTACAAATTGTGGATAAAATGGACTGTTTCAAGAGGTGGCAAAGAGATATTTCTAAATTTATCTGGCAGGGCAAAAAGCCCAGAATAAAATTCAAGATATTAACAGATGCAAAGGAAAGAGGGGGATTTGCCCTGCCAGATCTTAAACTTTACTATGAATCAGCCGCTTTTTGTTGGCTGAAAGATTGGCTACTTCTTGAAAATGTGGACATTTTAGATTTAGAAGGTTTCGATAATGTGTTTGGGTGGTGTCAGGGAACTGCCATCGGACGGAAGGGAGGTGAAAGGGCTCACACAGGTTGGGAGAGACGCAGCAGCTGAAGAGGAAACCAACAGGGAGGTGAAAGGGCTCACACAGGTTGGGAGAGACGCAGCAGCTGATGAGGGAACCAGCAGGGGGAGGGAGCTGAGCTGGAGGGATGGCTCAGAGACACTTCCAGCGAAAACAGTGGAGAGGTTTCAGGACCTCCTGTAAGAACACCCACTCCTCGCCGGAAACTGTCACGCAGAGATTCCAGAAGACGTGTTTCCGTTAAGGAGCTTTTATGTTGGAAGCGATTACGAAAGCAACCACTGTCGGAATCTGCTAGTGACTAGAGTAGCCATGTCTGAGGGGATACGATTTTACGCACAAGCAGCTCATCATCCCATCACAGCATTCCGACAGTCTTTGAAAGCAGCTTGTGCAGGAGAAGGTATCATGAGCAACCCAGCCGGAACCGGAGAAGCAGGAGCTGGAGCGGGTCCAAGCCTGGAAGAAAGGTACCAGATGTTGGAGGTCCAGCTAGCGATGCAGACGGCGAGGCTTGAGGAGAGGAGGGCTCAGGATGCAGACAAAAGGGGAAAGCCACCCAGTTCGCCAGAAAGGTACCAGGATTGGTGCAGAAGTTTGGGGAGCCCAAAAACTATCATGGTTTTCGGACAGAAATGCAATATGCCCTCAATCTGCAGTTTGATGAATTCCCTGACGAGGAATCACGAGTGGCTTTCGTGATTGAGCATCTTGAAAAGGGGCGAGAGACTGGGTTAGACCCCTGATGGCAGCGAATAGTGACGTCTTAAAAGACACGATGAAGTTCTTTCGCGCCATGGATCTGATGTTTTCCGCGATATTGAAAAGGGAGTGGTGCGCAGACAGTTAATGGGTTGCAAACAGGGGAGCCGATCTGTCCGTGAGTACTGGACTGAGTTCACCATGCTTGTTCACAGATTGGGGTGGGACTTATCGGCGGAACCCATTCAAATGCTCTTTGAAGAAGGGCTTTCTTCGGCTGTGAAAGACGAACTTTCCCGGGCGCCCAGGGCGGAGTCTATGGACCAGCTGACCAAATCAGCACTGGCCATAGGAGCGCGCCAGGAGGCGAGAGCATTGGAGAGGCGGGAAGGGAAGGGGAACGTTGGAAGGAGTTCTGCATTCCAGACATTCCAGAGCCAACTTTCCCACCGGCAGAGCCGATGGAAATCGGAACAGCGCGCGCGCGCAGTTTCAAAGCCCAGTGAGGGGGCAAAGAAGGAGGGAAAAGGCGCCCGGAAATGCTATCTCTGCCAACAGCCAGGTCACTTTGCCAGAGTCTGCCCCCAGAGGAAAGAATGGCAAGGGATGGTAGGGGCTGTGGATGGAAGAGAGGAAAATATACCGGAGCAAGTAAAAGCCAACGCCTGGCTGCCACTGTCAGGGCACAGCAGCCAGGCCAAAGAGCAGTGAGAGTGCCCACGCCAGAACCTCCTAAACCCGCCCTAGTGATAGAAGTGACGCTAGAGCTGCCAAACGGACACCCTCTAAAGATAAAGGCGCTGTTGGACTCAGGCAGCTCCTGCAATTTCATGAGCAAAGAGTTTGCAGCTGAACACCAGATACAGACAATCCCTTTAAGCAGCCCCCTGCAGGTGACCACGATCGATGGCAGGGAGCTGTTGGGTGGAGAAGTCAGCTTGCAGACCGTCCCAATGATAATGAAGGTAGCAAGGCACACCGAACTGATAGCTTTTAATGTGGCCACCTTGGGAGGAGCTCCCATTATATTGGGGATGAGCTGGCTAGCGTTACATGATCCGCTGGTGGGCTGGCATCAGAGAGTGGTTTCTTTTGGTTCAGCACATTGCTTAGAACACTGCAAAGAGGGAAAGGGTTTGGCAGGGGTCCAAGCCACCCTAGCAGGGACTGAAGTAACAGAGAACGTGAAGGTACCACGACAATATGCAGATCTCCGTGACGTCTTCAGCGAAAGGGAAGCTGACCAACTACCCCCGCATAGACCCTTTGACTGTCAAATCAACTTACTCCCTGGAGCACAGCTCCCTGTAGGCAAGCTGTACGCCATGTCAGACAGAGAGATGCAGGAGTTAAGAGAGTTCATTGACAAGAACCTGAAGAGAGGGTTCATCAGAGAGTCCAGGGCGGTGGGGAGCAGCCCAGTGTTTTTGTGGATAAGAAAAACACGAACAAGCCGAGGCTGGTGTGTGACTTCAGGGCCTTAAATGCAGTGTCAGAACCAGTAGCCTTCCCTATGCCCAGGATTGACGACATTTTGACAAGGGTGCGGAAGGGAAAGATTTTTACAAAGCTGGACCTAAGGGGGGCGTACAACCTGGTACGAATAAGGAAGGGGGGTGAATGGAAAACCACTATGTTCACCCCTTTAGGGGCATTTGAATATTTGGTTATGCCCTTCGGCCTCCAAGCAGGCTCCGCAACCTTTCAATCGTTTATGAACCACGTCCTGGGGCCTTTGCTTTACAAGAATTGTGTGGCCTTTTAGACGACGTGTTGGTGTATTCTGAGAATGAGGAGCAGCATGTGAGAGACGTCAGAGAAGTGTTGAGCAGGCTGCAAGCCAACCAGCTGTGGGTGAAACTGGAGAAGTGTCAGTTTCATACCAAGGAGGTGGAATTCCTGGGGTATCGCCTGTCAGACAAGGGATTGGCCATGGATCCCGGCAAGGTCCAGGCTGTGCTGGAATGGAAAGCACCCAAAACAAAGAAGGATGTGCAGAGGTTCCTAGGATTTGGGAACTTCTATCGTAAGTTCATCCGAAACTTTGCCCACCTGACGGCGCCCATTACGGACTGTCTCAGCAGTAAGAAGAAGTTCGTGTGGACTGAGGAGGCGGAGCGAGCATTTGAGGAACTAAAAGGGCCTTCGCCTCGGAACAACAACTCCTGCATGTGGATTTACAAAAACCGATGAGAGTGGAAACTGACGCATCAGACAGAGCGATTGGGGCGGTGCTTCTGCAGCCAGGCAAGAAGGGGTCAGAGTGGAGACCGTGTGCCTTTTTTCGCGAAAGCTGAACAAATCCGAGAGGAACTACACGGTGTATGACCGAGAACTACTAGCCATTCATGAGGCGTTCCGGAGATGGAGGCACCTGCTAATTGGCGCACAACATAAGGTGCAAGTGTGCACTGACCACAAGAACCTAGAGTATTGGAGGACGGCACGAGTGCTCAACCAACGGCAAGTGAGATGGGCCCAGGAGTTCTCCAAATTTAACTTTGAGATTAGTTACGTGCCAGGCCCAGAGAACATTAGGGCGGACGCTCTCTCACGCAAACCTGAATATTTGGAGGGGAGGGGCACCCGAAGAGAGACATGTCATTCCAGAAGACCGCTGGGTGTGTGGGGCGGCATTGGTGGGACAAAGAGAACTGGTAGAGGAAACAGAGAATGATGAATACGCCCAGAATAAGCTCAGAGGTCTTAGGGGTGATGGAGAGGAACCAGGGGTTTCGAGGAAAGAAATGGAGCTTTGTATTACAAAGGGGCACTGTATATCCCTGAAGGAGAGTTAAGGGGAGGGTACTCAAGCAGTTGCACGACAGCCCTACGGCGGGGCATTTTGGACAACACAAAACCATGTGGTTGGTCACCAGGGAATTTTGGTGGCCTAAGGTGAGGGAAGATGTACGTGAGTATGTAAGAGGGTGCGAGCAATGCCAGCGAGCCAAAGGGGAAAGGCGGGCGCCGGCGGGGCTGTTAGAACCCTTACCAACCCCAGAACGACCTTGGGAGGCAGTGTCGATAGATTTTATGACTGATCTGCCGAAGTCCAAAGGGAAAACAGCCATCATGGTGGTGGTAGACCTACTAACAAAGATGTGCCACTTTGTAGCTTGCTCGCATGCAGTCACGGCGGAAGAGACAGCGAAGTTATTTGTAGAAAACATTTTTAGGTTGCACGGGGTGCCATTGAGGGTGGTCTCAGACCGAGGAAAACAATTTACTTCCAGGTTCTGGAGGAAGCTCATGAGCTTACTGCAGGTGGAGGTCAATTTTTCGACTGCCCGGCACCCTGAAACCAACGGGCAGGCGGAAAGAGCAAACGGTGTCCTCCAGCAATACCTGAGGTGTTATGTCAATGACAGAGAGAATGACTGGGTAGAAAAGTTGGCGCTGGCGGAATTTGCCTACAACAATGCCGAGAATGTGTCCACAGGGATGAGCCCCTTCTTGGCTAATTATGGGTGTCATCCCAGGGCTTTCCCAGGGGAGAGGGGAGAGATGGAGCGTCCCGGCAGCCGAGCATTTTGTGGAAGAAATGGAAGCAATCCATCGTCAGCTCCAACTCAACTTAGAAAGGGCGAAGGAAGAATACAAGAGGCAGGCAGACAAGAACCGAAGGGAAGGTGAAACCATAAGGGTGGGAGATAGGGTGTGGCTGTCAACCCAAGGGTTGCCGTTCAAAGGAGGTTGTAAGAAATTAAGACCCAGGAGGTTGGGTCCCTTTGAGGTCATTCAACAGGTCAACCCAGTGGCTTTCAGGCTCCGGTTACCCAACCACATGAAACTGCACCCAGTATTTCACAGGTCGTTACTGTCACCGTACGAAGGGGACGAGAAGGGCTGGCCACTCGGGGACCGGTCGTAGAAGAAAGAGAATGCAGCAGCCATGTGGCAGAAATCCTCGACGCCAGGTGGAAGGGGGATCAGGTGGAGTATTTGGTAGCGTGGGAAGGAGAACCGGAGTCAGAAAACACTTGGGTAATGGCTGAAGATATCAATGACGAGGTATTGATAGAAACGTTCCATCAAAGGTTCCCAAGGAAACCTCAGCCTGTAGAGAGGTTCCGGAGGGAATACTTTGGGACCACTGATGAAGGGGAGGAGTTGGAAGGATTCCCGGACTCGGAAGGGGAAGGGAGATGGACTCTGAGGAGGAGGTGTACTTCGAGACCAGGAACCGCAACAGGTTGAGAGAAGTGTTCGAGACATCGGAAGATGAAGGAAGTTCATTCCGGGGTTTTGCCTCCTCACCGCCCGTAGAGGAGGGCGAGAGGGGGTGAAGGGGGCCCTGGAGGGGAGGTGGATGTCAGGGAACTGCCATCGGACGGAAGGGAGGTGAAAGGGCTCACACAGGTTGGGAGAGACGCAGCAGCTGAAGAGGAAACCAACAGGGAGGTGAAAGGGCTCACACAGGTTGGGAGAGACGCAGCAGCTGATGAGGGAACCAGCAGGGGAGAGGAGCTGAGCTGGAGGGATGGCTCAGAGACACTTCCAGCGAAAACAGTGGAGAGGTTTCAGGACCTCCTGTAAGAACACCCACTCCTCGCCGGAAACTGTCACGCAGAGATTCCAGAAGACGTGTTTCCGTTAAGGAGCTTTTATGTTGGAAGCGATTACGAAAGCAACCACTGTCGGAATCTGCTAGTGACTAGAGTAGCCATGTCTGAGGGGCTCTGTCACAGACAGAGGTTTGTGGACTTGAACAAACTCTGAGGGGATACGATTTTACGCACAAGCAGCTCATCATCCCATCACAGGTGGCATGCATATTTATGGTATGACAAAGTTAAAGCGCATAAGGCCTTCAAGAATCATATTGTCAGGAAAGCATTATTCAATGTTTGGGTGAGATATAAGGATTTGTTGGAAAGCAAAACACCAAGGTGGCTGTCACCAATGGAGGCTAAGGCTTTGAAAAAAACAAACATGGAGACAAATTGGCCAAAATATTGCGAAATTTTAGAACAAGTTGGAGATAAATTAAAATTGCAGAGCTTCGACAAATTAAAAACTAAAGTTCGAGATTGGCTGCATTATTATCAAATAAGGGAGGTTTTTAACTTAGATAAAAAGATAGGTTTCCAGGAGGAAAAATCTAAACTGGAAACGGAATTGTTAGAACCTAAAACTAAAAATTTGTCAAGAATGTATAATCTGCTGTTGAAATGGAATACACAGGATGAAACGGTTAAATCTGCTATGATTAAATGGGCGCAAGATGTGGGGCATAATATTATGTTTGCTGACTGGGAACGGTTATGGACCACAGGTATGAAATTTACGGCCTGTAACGCCTTAAGAGAAAACATAATGAAAATGATATACAGGTGGTACTTAACCCCAGTCAAGCTAGCAAAAATCTATCATCTGCCTGATAATAAATGTTGGAAATGTAAAGAAAATGAAGGTACTTTTTCCACCTTTGGTGGACGTGCCCAAAGATCAAGGCCTTCTGGGAAATGATATATAATGAACTAAAAAGGTATTGAAATATACTTTCTTGAAGAAACCAGAGGCCTTCCTCTTGGGCATGGTCGGCCAATTGGTGCGAAGGGAAGACAGGAATTTCTTTATGTATGCGACAGCAGCGGCAAGAATACTCATTGGGAAATACTGGAAGACACAAGAATTGCCTACCCGAGAAGAATGGCAGAGAAAAGTGATAGACTATATGGAACTGGCTGAGATGACCGGCAGAATACGAGATCAAGAAGAAGGGTCGATGGAAGAAGATTGGAAAAAATTTAAAACATATCTTCAGAAATACTGTAATATAAAAGAATGTTAGAAAAGGTTGGAGAAGAACATTAGACCGTATTGGCAGACAGAGTATAATGGAATAAGTAAATATGTAGTGTAAAATAAAAATAGAGGAGAATATTTTTGAATGTTAAATTAAGTAAATGAAAAGAAGGTTAGAAGGGTTTGCTGGAGATACGATTTAAATTAGAATACAAAGCAGAGAAGTGAGAGGAAGTCTTGGAAATAAGTAAATGGGAAAATGATCTTAATGGTTAAATTTGATTTTTTGTTATTTTTGTATTGTGATTTTTTGTCTTTTGTATTTTTTTCTGTATCGTGTGTTGTTCATTTTTTTCTTGTAGGGTGTATGTGATCTGTTTTTCTTTTTTTTTTGCTTTTTTCTTCCTATGTAATTTTAAAATTGGAATAAATATTCTTTAAAAAAAACAAAAAACAATCTGGATTCAAGCCGCACGTGGCTTGAATTAATTGCCTGATAAATTGTAATTCAGCAGTTTCCTGGCAGAATTTCGTTTTGAAGTCCATGTTCATACTTTATCCCAGCTTGATGCCGCTTTTGCTTATTATTGGCATTTCAAGAAAGGATGAGAAGTGGGCGGGGACTGCGTCTCTGGAAATAAATTTGACCCTTGCTGGTGACCCCTCTTTAAATGCTGAACCTTTCTCCTCCTAATGTACCTAGGAGGCGTTTTTTTGTATCCTCTCAAAAATGGGCTCTTAGGCAAACAAGGTACACTGGGGTATCAAAATTATGGGTGTGCATTTAATGGAACGAAGCAGCTGACTTCTGGGAAGAGGTAAAAGTCTGTAGAACATGCAGTCCTTTCCCCTGCATGACGGCGAAAGGCAAATGCAATGCTTTGCCATGAGAAATCATCATCTCCATGCATAAGCTCATTCTTTCCCATTGCAAAGCCAATCTGTCTTCCCCAAGGAGATGGCTATCCAGAGAGAAAGGACAGAAAAGGATATGAACCTTGAAGAAAGCCCCTGAACATGCGATCTTTGTGCAATGTGACAGCTGTGAGCTGACGCTGACCTTGAAACAGCTCAAGCAACAAATTATAGACCATGTCAGGAATTGCAAGTAGCACCCTAGGAGCACACTGGCCGACAAAAGTAGGTTAAATTAATGTTAGTTTCTCTTCTTATTTTCCCATGCTTATTTTCCCAAGGTGCTTTGTAATCATTACTCTTAATAATTTACATAACACTTTTCATGTACAAAAGTGTACCACAGTATTTTAAATTTATTGGTTCTCTCCTCCCCCAGTAATTTGAACTTGATAATAATGATAATGATAATAAGAGGTATTATCTGAAAGAGCATCCCACCTATTGACTGGGACCAGTGCTTAAAAATAAATAAATTAAATAGCCTATCCATGAGAGCTGGTGGGGTATAGTGGTTACAATCTCAGATTTAGGTGGCGGAAACCTGAGTTGAAATCAGTGCTCAGCCACAAAGCTTACCAGGTGACCTCGGGTCAATCTGTCTCTCAGCCTAGCCTAAGCTCACAAGGTTGTCGTGAGAATAAATGTGGTTTGGGGTGAGGGGAGAAAGAGCAGTGTATACTGCCTCTTAGCTCTTTGAAGGAAAAAAATAATGTTTAAAATCTGATACGCAGAACCCATTTCCACACACTCCTTTTTAAAAATCACATCTCTTTGATAGGGAAAAGGTTTCCCACCATGTGCTAAGCCAGGGTAGCCAATGTGATACCCCTCCAGGTGTTATCGAACCACAACTCCCACTATCTCTATCCTTCGGCCAGACTGGCTGAGGCTTATAGAAATTGTAGTCCCCAACACCTAGAGAGCACCACAACTAACAGCATCAACATCTGCAGAGCACTAACACTGTTCTAAGGCTTCCATTGGTAGCACGTAAGAGACAGGGTGATACTTTTAAGGAACCAGGATATCTGTGCCACTATTCAGCTTTTCTTACAAATCTGGCTAGATGTAGCCTCATGCAGAAGACTCATACAGTAGATTGTTCACCCTCTCTCTCTTTTGGAAAGCAAATAAAATAAAACTTAAGAACAGGCACACAAAGCGGAACAGATCCAGGTGGAAGGGAGAGAGTTCTGTTGCAAATGACATCACAAACAATGGCAAACACATCCATAACACTCACATAACAACATTCCACGCAGCAATAGCATCAGACATGCTATCAGGGTTTGAGGGTGATAACCATGTACACACTGTATTGAGCTCCTTGGAGAAGAGGTATAAATGTAATAATAAATGCACTGCATTTTCTCAGGCACAAAGCAGCATACTTCAGATGCTCAGAAAAACAATGTAACACCACAACACAAGCACTACCTTTAGGGCAGATATGTAGATTGTGTGCTAGATTTGGGAAGCACATATCTTATACTGCATAAAAACGATTGTGCAGAAGATCCCTGAGGAATAAGTATTTCCTCCAAAGCCACTGCATAAGTCTGTGTCTAAGGTGGGTTCTAGGATTCAACACTCTGCATAAAAGTGTGAAGGAGCCCCACTTTTGCTATATTCATTCTCCCATTGTGACCTCTGGAAATTGTCACACTGTGGTGTTGTTTTCCTCCAGAAGAAATCGCCTTGCTTGAAAAACCTATTGGGTTGAATGCAATATATCTTATCTGGAAATAATGGCTCCTGTGCAGCAAAGGTTAAAGGTAAAGGTAAAGGGACCCCTGACCGTTAGGTCCAGTCGCAGATGACTCTGGGGTTGCGGCGCTCATCTCACTTTATTGGCTGAGGGAGCCGTTGCACAGCTTCCGGATCATGTGGCCAGCATGACTAAGCTGCTTCTGGCGAACCAGAGCAGTGCACAGAAACGCTGTTTACCTTCCTGCCAGAGTGGTACCTATTTATCTACTTGCACTTTGACATGCTTTCAAACTGCTAGGTTGGCAGGAGCAGGGACCAAGCAATGGGAACTCACCCCGTTGCGGGGATACAAACCGCCGACCTTCTGATTGGCAAGCCCCTAGGCTCTGTGTTTTGGCCACAGCACCACCACTAAATCTTGTTGGAGTCAATGAAATAAGTTAATCCTAGCTCTGTACCTGGAATACTGGGATGTCTACAGGTATATGCATAGTCAGTCATCAGTGTTCACCATCCATCAAGGATGGAAACCTCCACCCAAATTATGCATCGGAAAATGCCTTTGTACCCTACTATCCATGTAAAGCAAACTTTGATTCAGCAAAAGCTCAAAATACCTTCCTCTCCCCCCTTCCCTCTGTCCCAAGAAATGTTCTTCCTTAGATGATCAAACCTTTAAGAGTTTTCTCCTCTAAGCTGCCAGTGTCTAGATTCAGGTTGCTCCATGCTATCTATGTCAATAGTCAATCCTCCTCTCTTTATAATAAACCACATATTCTTCAAATCCAACATCAGGTTTATTCCTAACTCACCCTTGTATTGCCCCATGGCATGCTGTGACTCAAACTAGCTAAAAACCCAAACATGTGTTCCGGCTGCGCACATGTAATCACAGACATGTGTGGACGAGGACATGCAGTAACAATCCAGGTTTATACCACAGTTTATTTCACACTGTCATCAGTAATGGATATTCCTAGGATCTGGACCTCAGTTGCCTGTGATCTGGAAGTGATTGATGAAAATGAAATTCTATTGCAGCCCAGAGCTGATAAACATTTCATCTGCAGTACTCAGAATAATAGCCATTAGAGGATTCCAAAACTGTAATGCTCCTGGCAAGACTATGTATATGCTGAGCTTCTTGGATAGTAGCCATTTGATAACCGTATGTTCTTTACATTCATCTGGTCTGGGGGGATTTAACCTTGCAATCACCAATGGTCTTTGCCATTACTGTAAATGTCATTACAACAACTGTTAAGAGGCTTCTAAGGACAAATGTTTTAGTTGCTTAAACCCTGCATCTTATCATCACGCACCACACCATTTGTAAAGGAACAAGGTTGCTAGAGATGGAAGAATATTCAGGAAAATCCTATGGGCTTTTTTAAAAATCAGAGGGATCTGTTGTCCCTCTTAAAAACAAAAAAAAATCTGATCCAGCAAGTGAGTGAGTGCTTCCTTCCACCACAAAATGTTTCTCAGGCTTACACTTGTATTTGTTTAATTGTGAAATGAATGTGTTAAATCCATGAAAAGCACATTCATTTAAGCTACATTTCATTATCATGTTGTTTTTTAAGTGGATACATTTGCAACTCTCTCACACCACAATCCTGTAAGACATTTTGGTGGTTCAGAAGCTCCTCAGTTCTGTGGGATTTAAGCATAACGGCACTCTCGATCCACAACAGATCTGTAGAATGTTGCTTTGTGTTTTCATCTGTTTTCAGATTATTACTGGTTTTTATTTTTATTTTGTTTTAAATAGTTTTATGCTTTTCATCGATAACTTTAATGTTTTATTTGCTTTGTAAACTGCTTTGAGGTTTGTTTGTTTGTTTGTTTGTTTGTTTTTACAATCAAGCAGTGTATATATTTTATGAAATGAATCAATAAACTCTCTCTGAATATCAGCCATATATAAAAATGTATGGTTATTAAGATCCACCACCAGACCCACTGCTACTGTGTTTACTGGAGTAATAGGGCTCCCGTGCCTTTAGCAGTTGTTTGGATAAATGGATTTTACTATCATTTCACAGTGCTGCATGAGCAAGGAGGACTACACTTGCCAAAAATTCCTTCTAAAATGCAATGCGTGAAGGTACAGGAGCCCTGTGCTCCTTTTGCATCTCATCAGCCTAGCGGCATTCCACATCACAAAGGCGATCCAGGCAAAGCAGTCCGTCTTGCCTAGGCAACCTGGAGGGAATTGGACTAGACAGTTGACTCAGCTTTTTCATGCATTAGCAGCAAGCTCACCAATTACATGTCCAAGTCTGGTTCTTGGAAGTTCTGGTGCTCTTAGTTTTGCACCGTTCAGTCCCTTTTCAAAACCCTGAGCTCTCTCTCCCGCTCTTCTCAATCTAATCACCTCCCTTGTGCAGTTTATTGATGCATCATTCATGTTACTAAGCATGTGGTTATGTTGCCTAAGGCTTCTCTGTGCCATTTGCATGTGTGTTTTCCCCAAGTACGTTCTCTTGTACACTGACACTTGCTATCAGGAATGGGCTGCTTTGCTGTGAGACAGAAGCTGACACACACAGTAGCGGGCCTTAGGGCATAGTGCTGTGAAAAGGATCCAAAATAGCTAGTGGGGGATGAAAACCTTTGTGAAGATGGACGAAGTCCAAAGAGATTAACGCTGAAAAGATGGTGAATCCCAGCCTTTGCCCTGAGGCCAACATAGTGCGATTTCTGAACAAGACAGCTTTATTAGTGTAAGGTTTCAGTTTTTTACCCTGGTCAGGGATCTGGCACGTGTATATTTTTGTCAGTGTAGACAATACTGAGTTAGATGAAACAATGATCTGATTCAGTGTAAGGCACTAAGGAGGCTTCCTAGTGTGGTGCCCCATTGCTGGTGTTGAACTGAGATTCAAATGCCACTCTCATCAGCTTCTGTACATGAAACAGGAGGTGCTACAGTGGTACCTTGGGTTAAGAACTTAATTCGTTCTGATGTCTGTTCTTAACCTGAAACTGTTCTTAACCTGAGGTACCACTTTAGCTAATGGGGCCTCCCGCTGCCGCCGCCACGCGATTTCTGTTCTCATCCTGAAGCAAAGTTCTTAACCCGAGGTACTATTTCTGGGTTAGCGGAGTCTGTAACCTGAAGCGTCTGTAACCCGAGGTACCACTGTACCTTGTTCTTGCCTCAGGCAGCAAAATGCCTTGGGTTGGGTCAGCTTGCCAAGGATGCTCCCTGTTATCTGGTACCTGTTCCTGGTACAACAGTGAGACTATTTTGTCTCTAACTTTACATTTGGGGAGATGTTGGAGATACTTTTTAGATGTTATTAGTTTGTACCCATAGGCACTAGAGTGGTCTTGCCTAGTGGTTAAGAGCAGTAGATTCATAATCTGGGGAACCGGGTTCGCGTCTCCGCTTCTCCACATGCACCTGCTGGGTGACCTTGGGCTAGTCACGCTTCTCTGAAGTCTCTCAGCCCCACTCACCTCACAGAGTGTTTGTTGTGGGGGAGGAAGGGAAAGGAGAACGTTAGCCGCTTTGAGACTCCTTTGGGTAGTGATAAAGCGGGATATCAAATCCAAACTCTTCTTCCCTCTCCCTGTTCTCTGCAAATCAAATGAGGGAAGCAGGAGAGCCCATCTCTAGCGAAGGTTGGTGGGGGGAACATTTGGCTCTCCAATTGTTGCTGATCTAGGACTCCCATCTGCCCTAGCAAGCATGGCTAATGGCCAGGGATGGTGGGAAATGTATTTCAGAAACAACTGGAGGGCCAAAGGTTCCCCACACCAGTTCTCGTGCATGTACATGGGCATAAACAGGAAAATGCTTCCATTTCCTCTCTCCCCCAATAACCAAAGCTCAAATATGTTTCTGAATGTGTCTAAGTATTATTATAGTGGCCATTTTGCAGCAATTACAGTGTAATCAACGCAACCATTGTAAGAGCAAACTATTAAACATTCCTAAGGGGATGATCAGTATACTAACATGCTCTGCTTCAGAATTTATTGCAGGACAAAAATAGCAGCTATTGTGGAATAAACAAATACAAGATTTAACAGCTAGCAAAAGAGTCTGTAGCAATACATAATGACTGGAGTGCAGGGAATTGTTAGGCTGATGTGGTCACATAAGTAGCTGTAATCAGTGCTTTTTTCCGGCCGGAACTTGCTGGCACCTCTCAGGTGGGCAACATTGCTGTTATAAGAGTACAAAGGACATGTTCATGGCAAGTTCCGTACCTGTTTTTCTAGAAAAATAGCATTGGGTGTAATAAATGTGCAAGTATCTAGAACAGGAATGAGTAACCTGTGGCCCTGAGGATGTTGTTGGAGTATACTGATTTTGTTTGTGACACTGATCCCAGCCGGTCTACGAGCCACACCTGCAAAGGCAGAATTAGGAGCTCACTTTAAACTCCCCAACTGTTCCTTTGTAGCCACATCCTTATGACAACATCACACATGACATCAGGTATGGAACAGGTGGGTGTGGTTTGGGGAAAACAGCTTTGTGGACCAAATTGGGACTTGTGCTAGGCCAACTTAGAACCATAGGCTAGAGATTCCCTTCTACTGGACTATAAGGTTCATCATCTTCAACAGGTTATCATTCTCTTGTTTAAAACATAAGGAAACCCACGCTGGACCTGATCCAAGCTTCACCTAGGTCACATTCACACCATACATATGAAGTACTATGATACCACTTTAAACAGTCACGGTGTCCCCCAAAGAACCTTGGGAGCTGTAGTTTATTAAGGATGCTGAGAGCAGTTAGGAGACATTTATTCCACTCACAGAGCAACAGTTCCCAGAGTTCCCTGGTAAGAAGGATTGACTTAGAAACAGAATCCAGTGACCCTTTACTGTGCTGAAATTGCACAATAACTCTGGACCTCATAGCTGAAGGGCTCTTTTAGATGTCAAATATGGTGAGCCACATCAAAATGTGGAAAGCCATTTTGACATTTCCCCAGAGTGGTTTGAGAGGACAGTAAGGTGTACTGCAGTGAAATAGTAGAATTATCTGCCAGGCAAGAGAGGGGTGGGAAGGAAGGAAGGAAGGAAGGAAGGAAGGAAGGAAGGAAGGAAGGAATTATCTATTTTTTTGTGATGAAAGAGACAACAAAATTATTAAATACAGAGTCCCAAACCAAATTGAGCTGCCTTGCAGGATTCACTTTGTGACACCAAGTTTGCCTTGTCTCAAATGTGCCTTGCTTCAGGCTTTCCCAGAAGCTGAAAGCAACGTATCCTGGATTGAACTGCAGGGCTTATATTTAATTCCTCTGAGGTCTGGCACAGTAATGCAATCTCCTGTCTCAATCCTGCAGGAGCGAGCAACACACCTCCTCCCCTTTGCATACACAAGAAAGGAAGGGGGACTCATCATTTGATTTCACATGCTGGGCTGCATGGATTGTGAAAGCAGGAGGCCCAGGGTGCCTAGACACACAGGCGTATTAACAGCACGTACTACTGCCTCAGTATAATGCAAAAAAGCAGGCTGTGCTTCTTGATCTTTTGATGTAGAGAGAACAGCTTCTCCCAGGGCTGGGTCAAGACATTCCACTGTCTAAGGCAAAGGGTGAGATGGCAGCCTCTTTCATTCCATTTACAGAAGCTGACAAGACTGGGAGTTGAATCTCATGTCAGCACTGGTGATGGGCCATCCTCCACTGCATCTAAGGGCATCAGGCTTGCCTAAAGGGTGCACAGATAGACCAGTCCTCCAGCACCTCACTGCACACCAGCATTTGCCATATGAAATGGCAGCCTCACTCTACCTAATGGTAGCGCCGGCCCCAACATCTCCTATCTTCTGCCTTTTTGCTGTTTTGCTTAACGTCCTATCTGATGAAGACTTGTGATGAACCCCAAGGCCTGCTAGTTATTTTGTTAACAGCTTCCAAAGGCAGAGTCTGTCAGGATTGTATATTTTCAAGGGATCCATCTGAGGATTAATAGTTTGATGCAGCAAAAGCAACAGTCTTGTAGCATCTGAAAGACTAATGCATTTATTCTGGCAGAAGCACTTGTGGACTAGATACAACACATTTGCTTAAGTCACAATAAACTGACTAGCTTTTCAGGTACAGCAAGATTGTTGCTGTTGTTTTTTGTGATGTTTTAGTTAGTTTCAAGTGGCACTAGCAGGAAGCAAAGATGGACATTGGGTGAATGCATAGTAATATTGTCATTTAAAAGCAACAACCAACATTTCAATGTTATGTGTATGCCAACAGGAGTATAAATGAAGAAGAGCTTGCAGGATAGATGAATACGTGTCACCTGGAGGCTCTTTGCAAGAGGGGATCTAGGGGCTTGCCTAATAGAACAGCCTCACAGTAACCTCATGCCCAGTTTTGCAAGATCTCCAAGTAGTGATGAAATTGTTCCCTTGCCTTAACAGCCATAGCTGTGCCTGATCCACAGTGGAACTCCGGTACACCCAAAACAAGAACTTTTAGTACCAGAGACAGAAAGAGATGGAAAAGTGCTCAGGGGCGTTTTGGTGTTCCTTACAGCCTTATTCTGCTGCTCAGCAGTCACACTGACCATAAATCTCTGTTTCTAAACAGATGCAAAAAAAATCTGCTTTTGGATCAGGGTTCAGATCCCACCTCTTGACAACTCATTGGCATGTCATTACACAATCTTAGTCCTGTGTCCTTAAAATGGGGGTGGGGGAACAATGACCCTATCTCTCAGAGTTGCTGCTAGGATGCAAACTTACTAGAAAGTAGATCCTACTTAAATCAATGAGGCTTACTTCTGAGTAAGCATAGAAAAAGTCATCTTGAAATCTGAAAGACTGTAAAGCACTTTGTACATTAAAAGAAAACAAAAGTACCCTTGGCCTCATTGGTCTCCACACCCCACCCTTCTTTCCCAAAGTATTTTCTTGCCTCTTTTTAAAGCTTTTTCAAGCTCCTTCTTCTTATCTCCTCACATTTTTCTTCTTCAGGAAAATCTAGCCATTCTCATTTCATTTCTCACAGCACCCATCCCTCAGACTCATTATATTTCCCCATCCTAATTCCGTCCTGCTTTTATTTATTATTCACAGATATGACAAAAGCCAGGAGGAAGATTTACTGACCCTTAAGCGGCAGCCAGCAGAACAAACTGCAGCATTTTAAAAATGCCAGCTTTCCTTTATAAAACTCTCAGGGATTTAATCTCTCTCCCGAAACATTTGCCCTTTCCAAGGCAGCTTTCCAGGGATGGGGACTCAGGCTCATTTCTGAATTTAGTGGAACACCATACAAATGCATGCATGAACCCCCAGAATCAAAAATGCACATCGGAACAAAAGCAGAGTTGAGGTGGCAAATGCCTTCTCAAAGGCTTTGCTGCCGTATGTGCCTTGTGGCTGTCAAGTGCCGTGATCAGCAATTAATTTAATTTGCTCTGTCCCCTTGCGGCTTGCTTCAGTGCTTCACCCTGTTTCATGTCCTGGTACCCAGATGTCTGGGATTTTCTTATAATAAACAACCCACCACTGCCTGATGCAAAATAGCTTCGGCTTTGTTCTGTTCAGTTTTGCCTTCAACAGTCAAGAATCCAAGAAAGAAAGAAAGTTAATTCTAACTACTACGTTTGAGCACAGATGCTCGACATCCTGCCTGAGCATCACCCACACATGCTCCAAGTAAACATGCACACATTTCTCATCTCCATGCGAGCCCTCGGTGAGCTTTAGAGCTCATATCAAGAGTGACACCTATTCACATGCGTGCTCGTGAGCTCACATCTGATCAATAACTCACTCCACTCAAGGCTTTCATTTATCAGAACCCATTTGCAGGACTATCTGTGCCTCAGCCAGGGAATGGGAGAAAACAGCCATACCTCTGAACCCACACAGAGTGCTTTTTCCTTGCCACCAAGTAACCACAACAAAATCCTGTGCATCCTGAATTAGGCTTGAAGCTGTCCATGGTAGATGGTATCATTTCTGTGCACACCAGAGTAATGTTGTTTCTCATTTTAAAAATATAGCACACACTCGTGGCTTGTCTTTGAGTGCTTGTTCCTCCTTCCCTCGCTGCCTCTCTGTTTCCAGTGAGCACTGCAGCAAAATGTCCCAGTTTCCCCTAGTTGCACCAAGTCCTTGCAATACAGCTCTCTTACCAGTAGACAGAAGATCCCTGGGTTGGAACAAGGCCCCTGTTTCAAAGTGTCTCCAGGTCTTGGAGTGGCATGGCGGCGGCGGAGGCAGATCCTGCTCCGGGTTCCCCGACTACTCTGCCTTACCACCTCATGCTGTTGGCACACAGGACTGCTACTGACGCAGCAGCTGAGCTTGCACGAAGGAAAAGGAAAAATGATCTCACAGCAGTTCAGCCCTGCCCAGTCCTTTGCCTCTTCACTTAAAGGCACAGAGCTAGAGGCTTACTTGTCACCCCGCCACCTGGCAAAGCTGATCAGCCTTGGCTCAGAGTTGAAGGAGACAAAAATAGCCACTCTGACAGTTACAGCATTTGGATGAATACATATAACTATGCATAAATATCAATACCTATGTATAAATATCTATACATATGGATGCATCTAATCAGGCAGGTGTTCAGTCCAGTATGGGGCACCTCCAGAGTGCCACTGTTTTATGGGAGAGATTCACATGCATCCTGGGAAATTTAAGTGCACATAGTTAAAGCGGGTTAATGTGTTGTGCCGCTCCAGCGCGACTTAACACTGACCTTTTCCTGAGGTTAGGAACGTGACCAGGGAAAGGCATTGAAAAGGGTGGGATGAATGAATGACTAACTGGAAGATGTATAAACACGTGGCAAGCAAATTAGGATGGATGCTCATTGTTATATAGCCTCCCAGCAAACAAATCAGAACAAATACTCAGTAAAGACCAAATGTCATCTAACCTCCATGCAAGCTTTGTGCAAGTGAATCAGGATGGAGGCTGAACAAGCAGGTCATCTGGTGGAGTTCTTAGTTCTTAGTTCTTGTGAAGCATTCCACACGCACACACACACACTTTATTGGTTTTTTTAACATATCATTTCCAACAGTCATATATCTTTTCATCTTATACAATATTTTAGACTTCCATCAACACCTCTGATGATTTTTTGTTCTTTATCACTTATTCTGTATTTCTTAATTTCACCATTACTCTTAATTGTCATTAACTAATAATTCTCCTCATAGTCTTCCTTGCAATATTTCGAATAATCCTCCTTACAAAACTTCTTGCAGTCCTACTAGTGTAATCTGTTCAGTACAATTACTTTCCAAATAGTTCGTATATTTACTTGTCTTCTAAGAATCTCTGATCCCGCAGGTTTCTAATCCTTCCAGTTAATTTATCAAGTTCTGCATAGTCCATCAATTTCATCCTCCATTCTTCTTTCGTCGGCAATTCTTCTTGCTTCCATTTTTGTGCCAATAATATTCTTGCTGCCGTCATTTCATATAAAAACAACTTACAATCCTGTATGTTAATCTCATCACCTACAATGCCAAGTAAAAATGCTTCTGGTTTCTTAACAAATGTATATTCCTGCCCATATTACCCTATTCTTGTTAGCTCTGCCACCACTTTAGAATTACCGAGGGGCAGTGAATTAGCAAATGCAGAGGGCATTTGAGAATACAGGGACTAAGCAATTTAGTTCTGCCCTGAGCGATAAGTCATTTTAGAGTTGCATATATTAAGATGCATAGTTATTTGTAAATGCATTAAATAAACAATAAGCAACCAGTCTTTCCTACTGAAGATTTCTAGACCGTCAAATTAATGGGAATGTTCCTTGAGGAAGCCTATACCAAAGGCCTCCAACGTGAAGATTAATGCTCACCTCCAGTGCTTTCCTTCATGAATAACAGAGCCTTGAGTATCCCTGTTCACATGTTGAATTTCAGTATTGTTATATGCCACCCCAGCCTCTCAGTGGTGTTAGATTCCAGGGGTCCAGGCATTTACCCAGGGTCTGTGTTTCCTTTCGAAACAAGGCACAGGAGGGACTTGGTGTCTTTATGATATATGGTTTATTTATACGTATATACAATCTGAGCAGAGTATTTACATCCCAAGAGGGTCCTGTTTCTTCCATTGCTGCAGCTTCAGACTCTCTCTGTAGCATCAAGCAGACTGCTTGACCACTGACCATACTGGCTGGGGCAGATGGGAATTGGAGTCAACTGTTGGGGAGTGTAGGGAGAGGGAGGAGAGAAGGACAACGGTTCCCCCACCCCAGAAGCATAAATCCTTAGGCTGATGAAGTGTTGGCTTAGTGCTACATTGCATTCCACCCCCAAAATATTGGTGACCTACTGCAAATAACCCAACCATCTACCACTCTACCCTCTGCCTGCCTTACCTTCTATAAAGGTAAGATGACAAATTACTTGCCCAAGCCTGACTCAGCTTTCTGCAGTGCTGCCCAAGTCCAACACACACACACACACATACACACACGTGAGGAGAGAGAACACACTACACCACACTCACCTGTGGTAGTTGCAATGGATTTCTAAATCCCTGCCCTATCCACCGGCAAAGTATAGGTAGGCCTGTTGAACCATAGGACCAGTTCCAAGACCACATTAGGGTGATACCTTTATTAGGGCAACCAAAGGAGTTTTTCTATTATCTGTAAACAGAAAAAACCCAGCTGTTTTGTAAATTTGTCTGCATCCTTAGGCAAACCACACAGGTTCCTTGCTATGCAGAAAACAGCAATAAAGAGAAACTTGCTTTACTGAATAGCTGGAGGGTTCTGAGCTGTTTGGCGGTGGTATCCTAAACTGGAGGAATAGGATTTTGCACCACCTGAAGATGGGGCTAGGCTCTCTGAGGCAACATATTGTTTCCAAAGACTGAGAGGCAAACATTGTTATGCTTCTTTTCCCCAGTAGACCAGGTGTGGGAAGCCTTGGGCCCCCCAGCTGTTGCTGAATTACAACTGCCATCAGTCTCGGCAAGTATGGCAAAGAGGCAAAGATGATGGGAGATTGGGAGGCGTTGCTGCTCAGGGAAAGGAGAGGAAAGGCAACCCCATTTTGTGATATATTTATTGCATTGCATTGTATTAATTGGTCACTTTTTTCCTTCAAAAAATGAAAGTGACTTTCCCCCCACTGCATTTCTCTTTTAAAGTGAGCCTCACATAACAGCTGCTCTCTGGAGGATTGTATCCAACTTCTACAGCCACAGGATGCATTTTCAGATATAATGTGTCAGATATAATGATGCAGCTCAAATGTCTCTGAGAGACCTCTGAGCTAATAATCATACGCTCAGCCCTCATATCCATAATCACCTTTATTCAGCTTGTGACAGTAGTGACACCTTTGTGGTAAGTTTGCTTTAAGTGGTCTATTACTTGTTATAAAGTTGTAACGTCTCACTATAAAAACATTTATGGAAAGTGCATGCCTCAGGTATGTGAGATCTAAAAGATCTCTTGCAATCTGAAAACTGAGTACTGTACCATTTAATATAATTCTTAAATAAATATTAGCTAGTGGAAATATACTTATTCTTATTGTTTTTGTGAAAACCTCTTAAGAGTTTTATTATTTTAAGCAGTATAATTTTTTGAAAACTAAATATTAATACTCAATTTATTAGTACTAATTTTAATGAGGGCGTGTGTGTGCTTTGCAGTGTATAAATGATTGTACCACACAGAAGGATCTGATCCAAGCAGAGTAACCTTACTGGGCCATTGCTAGTACAATGGGGCTTCCCCACCTCTCCTCCCCACCGTTGCTACTCAGATTATTGTTTAGGACTATGAGGAGACACCGCTCTCAGCATTTGAATTGTGGCTTTGATTTAAAGATTTGTCAGCATGGGATGTAAGCACTTATTGCTCAAGACTGTACAAGCCCATTAAGAGTGTGTGTGAATCATCATTCTCCAAGATATTTGTTTGCTGCATAGCTCATGCATGTAGTTTTAATATGCATGTTGGAAGTTGACTTGAGTACAATCCAGTATATACAGTAATCTGGTATTGGGAACATGGGGAAATGCCTATTGTCTTTCTCTGCAACACAACCCTCTGTATAAAGGTGTCCCAGTTTTATCTATGCCATCTGAAGTCTGCATGTTATAAAGGTGTCCCAGTTTTATCTATGCCATCTGAATTCTGCGTGTCTGCCTTTGATAAGGAGATAGCCTTGTGCTGTGAGCCAGGGCAGTCTTAGGGCTTTAGAAGGCATTTTTTGCAGCAGTCAAGAATTAAGGGTCCATTTTTGTGAGTATGGAACAACTGCCTCAAATCAAACCCCATTGTCTTTTTTATTGTTCAGTTGCAGTTCAAGAGATAGGTGACAGACAGCTACAATGATTCCGAATAGCTTGAGACATTATACACAACACACTGCTCTGGTCTGAAATCTGAGCGTCCTGATGACTGCTTTGTTACTTGTGGTACTTTGAAAAGCTAGCTGGGAACAGAAACTCACAAGCTTTCCAGGGAGTTTCATGAGCCTCATGACAAAGCTCACTACAGATATGCAATTCCCAAGGGGCATGGAAACACCCTCTGCTGCCCATGGCAGCTGCTTTTAGACCAATCGGAAAGCTACTTGATCAAATACCATCCATTAATTATAAAGGGCGAGTCTGTAACTCAAGAGGGGGAAAGCTTGGTGCCAGGGAACAGGAGGGGAAGGTAACACAGCCAACCTGGTTACTTGCACACTTAGGATCTTCTCTTTCCCTAATCTCTGACACGGAGCTTAATTGGAGTCAGGACTCACCTCTAGAATCAGTTTTCTACCTAAGGGTTTTTTAAATAGAAATAATTGGACTGCCTCCGAGCATGAAGATTATTCCCATATTATAAAAGGTGGATACCAGCTAAGAGATGAGATGTGCTTTGAGCATATTTTAGAAATTAAGAACTGATCACATCCATTGTAGTTTTGGAAGCATGACCTATTCAAGAAGGCAACTAGGAAGGCACTGTAACTAGGCAGTTTTGTACATGTATATGTAATATATGACCTTATCACCAAGATGTGGCCTTTCCCCTAAAGTTCCATACTTGCTTTTGGATGCTAGTGGGCAATTTTTATGACTTGCAATACCTTTGCTCAGTTCAGGATGTAGTGTCACTTGGATAATGCATTCATAAAATTGTAGTACTATTTTTGAGAGTGAAAGGAAAAGCAAAATAAAGGTTATTAAGAGCTTTCTAAATTCATGTGCTATTAATGCATTAAGAAACAAATACACAGTGGTTGCTGCAACAGATCACCCATGTATCTATTAAAAAAGAACAAAGTAAATACTGGGCCGAAGCCAACATTGTGTGAGCAGAAGGCTGTTTGGCTTGTACATGGGCAGTGTTGGATACAATCCATTGAAAATTAATTAGCAAATGTTATGAGAAATCTTTGCAGTCAGCTGTGATAAACAGAGCACATGTTGTGAACACATGTATGCACCCAGTTTATGTCATACAGTTTTAAGATGACAATCCAGAACCTTAACATCAATGGACATTTTGCCAGTGGCTAGAGTGGGATGTGACTGTACCTTTACTTTGGAAACATATTTCATTCCAGCCTGCTGTCCCCTTAAGCACTGGAATCCCAACTCTCGTAGTGCCTTACACTATGAGAAGAATTAAGCTTTCGGCAGCACCCACTGCTGTTGTATTAACTGAACATTTCATTGCTATTCTTGGTAACGAAGAGGACAAGATTCTTAGGTCTTGGCCAGGTGCCTGCAGAAGCGATTCAGTGGCAAGACAGAACCCAGAACAGAACAGATGATCCATGAAATGCCATTCTGATTGGAACAAATGCAGCTCGCTGGCCAGGATACAGTCTACAAGCCCATGGGTATTGTATTCCATAGTTCTGCAAGGCAAGGGCATAATGTGGTGGTACAGTGTTAGAACCAGATTTGGACCCAGGAGACCAGGGTTCAAATCCCCACCCAGCCATGATGCTTACTGGCTGACCTGAGCCAGTCTCAGAGTCTCTCAGCCTAACCTACCTTGCAGGGTTGTTGCGAGGATATAATGGAGATGGGGGAGGAAAATGTATGCTACCCTCAAGCTTCTTGGAGGAAAGGTGGGATATAAATGCACTAATCATAAAATTATTTTTTTATTATGCTGAATTCTATTTATTTTAGCATATTGAAGATTCAGGTAACATTTTTATACAGATCACCAATCTTCTTTGAATTGCCTAGTCATAAATTAACATACCAAAAAGGCCATATTGTAAGAGATGTATTTAAGAGTACACTTGTTGTTTCTCTTACACCCTTCCTAATCTATATATCTTGCTCTGAACGTTAAGGATGCTCAGAACAGATCACATGGGAAGCCAGAAGTAGCTCTCAAGTAGACATTATTACACTGGCCAATATCTGCTCATCTTTAACAATGGCACTTCATACCTTCCCAGCTATTCACTTTTATGTCTTTCTCAGATCACACTGGTCTATCTTCTGCAAACCAGAACATTCAAATTATTTAAAGATCTTGCTAAAAGTATGCCATACTTCATGTCTGTGATGCAGTGAAGAATATTTTATTGTACTCTTTTTGTCACCTGCTTAAAACATTTTTTAAGGCAAACCTATCCAGACATGTAGTTGTTTTGATCTCTTTTGCTGTTCATTTTAATTATTTTTAAATGTTTTCAATGGTTTTAAATTTATTGATAATTTTAATATTTCTTGAAAACCACTTAGGGGTTTTATTGCACTCAAATGATATATATATTTTGTTAAAAAAATGACTATGCTCTTGAACCATGGTTCTCAAAATAAAGCAGAGTTGCTAAGCAGAAACATGTGGCTCCACCTTCGTTTACCAATATAGGCTATATGTGCCCCCCCCACAGGTTGTGAACTGCTACCCAGCATAGTGACACTCACTCCAACCCAACAGCTAAGGGCTCTCTGGGCAAAAAGCACAGCTCTCTCAACTGGAGGGAAATGCTATATTGCCCAGTGATAAAAGGCTTTGAGAGGACATTTTTGGTAATGTCTACAACCCTCCCTGCCATTCTTCCAAGCCATTATTTTAAGTCAAAGAGGATCCAGATTCATTTGGCTTATTTTTTATTCAAGTTACAAAACAGAAAGCAGTTGGTAAAGTCCACTCAAGGCAGGGATGGATAAAACAAGGCTGTTATAAAACGGAGCCGCTGTAAGAGCAAAAGCAGTCCATGGAGAGGGAAGAGTTAAGACACCCTTGGCATGGCATGGCCAGCCATCAGCAAAGAAAAGAGAGGAAACGGAAGATAGGTTCCTACCCAAAACAGCAGCAGGTGCTGAGGCCAAGGGATCTGGCAAGGGACCAGAAGCCACCTGCTCCCAGCCTTGTTGTGCAACTGACAAACAGCTTGGATGATTTCCCCCTCCCTCCCCTTCTTTTTGTTTGCTTCTCTCATTTAGAGGGCAGGGGAGAAGATGTCTCTGCTGACTGCTTAATAGCTCCTCATCCATCGCAGATGCCAACAAACAGGAGCAGGTTCAAGGTGATAAATTGGATGCACTTAGCCTGGTAGCAGGGGAAGGATAAGATAAAGAGCATGAGAGCCCTTGCGTTTTGCAGCCATTATGCTTTCCAGCACTAGCCAGCAAGGCTGAAATACCTGCAGCCTTTACCGACTGCCTGAAATAGCTCTTGGTCCCTGTCTGTTTTGTTCACACTTAAGAGTTAACCCTACCCTACCCAGAGGCATGGGCTGCTACAAAGTGGAAGGCCACATGGCTTGCCGGCCATGGCATCCATGCAACAACTTTCTCCTCTGGCACAGTTTGAATGCTGAAGGAATGTTTTGGTGGCATTCTGGATCTTACTGACTAGGTGGTGGAGGATCATCCATAGAACATTTGACACTGGTTCAAATACAGTCACAGAGGCAGGGACTGTTCTAATGTGTGGCCAAAGGAATGGAGTCCAGGAAGTCTCTGCCTTCTGACATACCAGGAACAATCCTTTAAGAACCTGTGGATATACTATGTTATCACCCCTCTCCCAATCCCCCCGAGATTGGGCTTCAGCCCCAAAGGCTGAACTTTTTTTTTTAAAGGATCAGTGGGGCTCCTCTTACGAAAGCGCAATTCCCAGTTGGGAAAAGGGAAACAGGCCTCCTCTGCTTAGAGCTAGATTCAGCTCAAAAGGTACGCCTAAGAGGGTCAAATGATCAGACCAACCTTTATTGAACTTACATGTAAACACTGAATAACAAAGAAACTGAGGAATACTTCCCAAGCCTGCCACACTGAACCAGAAAGGTAGATACGCCATTGGTAGCAGCACGGCCCAGCTTGGTACTCAACTGATCATCGCAACAAAGCCCACACCCTAAAAGAGGGCTTCTCTGTCCCAACTGTGTTTGCTGGTGTCATAATCCTCAGAGGCATGGTGAGACGTTGCTATAGAAAGGGCCTGCAGTCCAGGTAGCTACTGACAGTCCAAGGAGCTGCCCAACCATGCCTGACAGGATCTGGAAGAGGTCATTGGTTCCTGGCTCTCTGTAAACCTGAGCTGTTTCCTCCTGGGTTCTGCCACCTCCTTGGCTGTCACTGCGGAGGAAGGGGGATGCCCCTGGGGTCGGTGACTTGGCCTTCCTGCAGATTCTTGACCAGCTGTGCCAGCCAACGCTTGGTGGTAGTATCGTCTTTCAGAACCTGGGCAAAGGTGGTGTCTTTCAGCTGGTCAGGAAGGCACTGCCTGAGGGCTTCCCGTGCCCTACATCAGGAGACAAGAAAGAGGGGGGCCAACAAATAAACTCACATGGACAAGAGGGGAGCAAGCCCCCCTCTTGAATACTTAAGGCTACAATTGCTGTATCAGAAGCACTTTGTATCAAAAGCATCTACACATACCTGCAGGGTACAACCATATTCTTTATACCAGGGGTGGCTAAACTGTGGCACCACAGACATTTGCTGGACTACAACTCACAGCATCCCTGACCACTGGCTATGCTAACTGGCACTGATGGAGGTTGGAGTCCAATGACATTTGGAGGCCACAGGATAGTCACTTCAACTCCATACGCTATCCTGCATCTTCTCCACCCTGATCAATGGAGTCAGAATGTGACTTATGAAGGAAGATTAATGACTTGTCTGATGTTAGGTATCCAGAGCAGTCAAGCACATGATGACTGCTGGCTGGCTTAATAAACACAGACATTTTTGCAGTTAGAGATTGAAGGGGAAAAGATTATAAACTCTCTCATAATTACTATCAATACATGTTCCTGAACAGTGGGAAGACTCTGGTGCTAAAATAAGTTTGCTTAAATAAGTATAATCTTAATGATCTTGCTCCAGTCTTCAGAATCTTGATGAGGCGGTCAGAAGAAACTACTTGGACTTTAAGCTCCTGGCATTTATTGTAAGAATTGCCAGGTTATGCTTGATTTGCTCTGGAGATACAGAAGGAGCTGGACCCCCATCCTGGCACTGCAAAGTGCAACTGTCCCTGGTTCTGCAGCACAACACCAACCTGCACCCCACCCCTATCAAGAGATCCCAAGAAACTTCTAAGGTGTCTACCTTGGATTATCAGAAAGGCGGAGGTAACAACGGACCACATGTTTCAGCAGCCTGGCAGAAGGCTCCTTGGAAAGCTGCAGGACCATTTTACCCTGGTTTAAAAACAGAGAATTTAGAACAAGGACATTTGCTGGTTAAGTATGTATAACAGCATTTGTTCACATTTATCCCTTGTTACCTTTTGCTACTCCTCATCCCCACCCTAGTTTAATTTAGACTGTAAAGTATAAGCTTCTAAAAAGCAAGGCAAATGTCTGGAAAGCTAATTCTGTCTCTAATATGTCTCACCCCACGAAACACTGTCAAGCATTAGCAGTGACTTGCTCCTTAGGTGTTGGAGAACCAGTCTCCTCAAAAATGGGAGTGCTTTCACATAGCCATAACACCATGAACTGTGTTGCTATGTAATGCTCTGGCATATTTCTTCCTTGAGATTAGGAGTATGAAGAGGTGGCCCTGTTGTTATGATTAGACGTGACTACTATAAAGATCCAAATTACATTCACTACACTTTCCACCAAAGAGCATTTAGCTCCCCTAAATGCAGGAGCAATGCTGAGTTACCAAGCCCTTTACAATCAAAGCCACATACCAATATCATTGCAACGTGAGAAAATCGTTCGTAAGTCTGACAGATATAAGCCAACCCCGTATCATCCAATAAGATCTTTTGTAGAATAAAAGTAGCAACCTGAAAGACAGAAGAGATAGGGTTGAACAAACGCTTGAATTGCAGACTGTGCAGGATTAGGGTGGGATGTCGCATTACCAAAAACTCAGCGAAGTCGGAAGCTTGTTGGGAGAAGACCTATGAGAAGAGATTTTGCCCACTATGAAACCAAATAAAAACCTCATATAGCACTGACAAGAGGAGAAGCAGGTACTGCAATTATCTATCTTGGTGCTAGCAACTAAAATTTTATTGATCCTGTTGACCTGAGGAAGAAACCTGCTTAAATTTTGCAGACAAATGGTGACAGGTTGGTGGCTAGCTAAAATTAATAACCTAATGAAGAGTGACAGATGCATAAAGGTGTGACTAGGAATAAACTGACTCGTGAGTGTGACATAAAAGATGCTAAGGATCTTGAGAAGCACACAGGCACCACCTGCAGGCTTCTCAAATAACTGATACTGGGACGGCACTTACACAATAATAGATCCTTTTCATACTGTTGCTGGAAAAAGTACAGCAGAGTTGCAGCAAGAAATGAGTACAAAAGCACCTTGGGCGAGAAACTGCACAAAAAGAGAATAAATGTCCTATCCAGCTTTCCTCTCATAATAGTGTTTTGAAAGAGGCAGCCAATCACGACAATTTGAAGTGGGTACATCTGCAATCACTCCTCAGAGAGAAACAGCCAGCTAACCTCAGATGGAGAAGTCTGCTGCATGCAGGAACATGATGCATTGGAAAGTAAAGAGAAAACAGTCAAGAAACTAGAACCACTTCATTACACTAAAAGCAATACCGTTTTGGAAAGTTCGCTGCCAGACTCCATGATGCGTAAGCACAAAGGGATAATTTCCGTTGTCAGTAAGAAGTTGATTACTTCTTGCTCATCTGTCTTCACCAGGGCCCCTTTGAAATACAAGCAAAAAACCCAAACTGCTTCATATAACTTTGCAAAGGCCTAACAGAAACATGCATATAGGAAACAATCAGGGCTAACAGAAAATCAGTGCAGTCTGGAGAAGAAGTGGGAAATTACTGGATAAGCACATGGTTGAGCTCCCAAGAACCAAGGAGCAAATACTAAGGATTATTATTTTATTGAAGCAGCAGCCTTTTAACCTTTCCTCCACCAATCACAAATTCCTCTTTTAGCCAATGAAATATCTAAAGCCTTTTACACTCTTACCTATAGAACAGCAAGTCCATCTGTCATGCTTGCCAAGGCAAGTACAGCACTACCTTGTGACAAGTATGACAAGCAGCCAGTCATGCTTTCCATTGTGGAGCTGCAGCGGTGGGTAGAGATTGCTCTGACAGTTGTGCTGTGATCCCTGCCTTCTCTCCAGCTCCAAGGTTCAGAGGAAAAGTGCGAGTTGTTGGACAGTGGCATGGCTGAATGTTACTGCTGCAAGATGCTCTGCGCATCTTACAATTGTGGTATCCAACTGGCTGCTCTTCTTACTGGTCCTCCACTCACAAAAGACAGATGGGGGAGGGGCACTGTTCTGCAATGGTGCTAGGATGCTTTTAAGCAGTGGTACTCAAGCCAGAATACTCTCCTTGTGTGTGGTTTACCAGGTAGAATGGGTGTGAGGGGGGGTTGGCAAGTACAAGTCTTGGATTGTCCAGCAAAGTTAATCATGAAGACCAGTGAACATAATACATTCAACTTTTTTAACTCATTGGGTTCAATCACCCAAAGAGATGCTGCTATGATCTTTATAGAGCTGCTAGCCCTGTCAGCTAGCTAGGAGCCCATGCAGCTGCTTCTGCATTGGCTGGCTATGTGGCTTCTCAATGCCAATAAAAAGGCAGTTTGTTGCATGCTGCACCAAATAAAGCTTCCTGAAAAACTTCTGGTGTGGTCCATGAGGTTACAATACACAGTTGCAAGTACTAACCACTAGATCTATGAGCACATTGAAGTTGTGTACAGTATTTGATTGGATAGATAGGGTGCGCATCAGTAATGATCCCTTCAGTGTTCTAGGACTCCCAGCCCTGCTAGTTCCATCTTTCCCTAAGGTAATTTGGGAGAATGAGGCTGGAAATTTGTCATTCACCTGAGGATCACAGGGTGATTTACAATATAAAAACACAAATATACATAACTTTGAATTGGGCCCAGGACTGGTGTACTTCCCAGAATCCCAGGTGCTAACAACAGTAAAGAGGAACAACATGGAAATTATTTCTAGTCTGCTACATGATTCTCTATTTCTCTGGAATGTTAGAATTCCCTCTTTTAAAATGCATGGCTAAGTCTCAGAAGAGTTCAAATCAGATCAAAACCCTTTTCTGACCTACAAACTGATGAGGACTTACCATTCCCAGCATCAGTCACTTACCAATTACTCCAAGACTTGTGAGTCGTAGGTACTCGAAGGGCCGAGTCTTGCTGACAGTGTGCAAGAAGGGATACAAGAAGAGAGGGATGTGAGCAGCAAGGAAGGCTGACCTAGACAAAGGAAGAAAAAAGCATTTAGAATGTATCTTCTGGATATTTGCTTACACAGAGTTACTTTGTGAAGGCTAGAGAACTGAATTAGGACCTCACCTTTAGAAAGAGAAGAAATATGAGGAAATATGCCTGTAAAACTAGTTTTCTTACTGACAAACTGACCGGTAAGACAGGCAGCTTGACTGTTTTATTCACCGAGTTGGCTCAAGTCACTAATGCACTCTAAAAACAGTGTAAAAACCAGCAAGTTACAGATACCATGTGCTTCTAATGTATGGTGTGGCTGTGACTGAGAATATAGTTCTGTTGACGTACAGAGCCCTGCAGATAAAGAGGCTTGGCGGAAGCATATTTTCTCTAGTCTGGACATATACCACACTAACCAAAAGTTATTTTTTCCAGAGATCCAATACACCCGAGTATATTAACCTTGTTTCTGGATGCGATGCAACACACTGTAGAAGTGCCAGAGCATTGCAGACTCTGTTGGACTGATGAGCTGTCAAAGTTGGTGGATTTATAGATGGATAGATATTTACAATTTCCTATGAAAGAAAGAAGACAGGAAATATTTGTGTGAAAATTCTTCCACACATTTAAGTACTCCAATATTCAGAGCCAAAATCCTCCCACTAATTACTTGTGATTGATTAATGTCTCAGTTTGATAGAATTTCTGCCCCCACACTAACAACTAGCTACAAAAGCTGTAACATATTAGACAAGAACTAAAATACATATGCTCCAATAAGATGTCCTTACTTGGGTGGCTCAAGTTCTTCATTGCCATCTTCTATTGTCCCAAACTTTTATTAGGTCAAGAGACAGAATTTCAAAACCCTCAGTATCTCAAGATTTTCAGAAAGACATCTAGCAGATTGCTTGCAAGAGTCTAGCAAGCTATTTCAGTTAAAAGTAATATGCTACCCACCTGTAAGAGAGCTGCAATTGTACCAAAAGAGTGCCACAACATTGGTGCGAGATCAGGGACAGACTCTCGCTTTTTACTCAGCTCCAACAGTGCATTCTCACGAGTCTCTGGGCTGGAAAGCTCATTGATCCACTGATAAATCTTCTCTCGATCAACCTGAGCCAGTGCCGTTGGCACAGGCTTTAAAGGAAGACAAAAGGTTCAAGTCAAGGCCTTTGGTCCCAAGTCAAAGAAGTATAAACAGTAATACAACCTTGTACAAAACTTCAAGGGTGATCAGGAGTGATTAGTAGACACTTCCAAGTAAACATAGTTGAGATTAAGTGCCACATATTTTAGTGGGACTTGCTTCTAGCCAAGGCACAGTAACAGCACAGGGGAAGGAATATGTCACAGCAGGGGGGGAAAAGTTGCTGGATGATAGTTCCATTGGTTTGTGTGTACTCACTGCAGCTGTGCAATCATTTTACTATACTGTAGCAGCTGAGTTATTAAAATCATCATTGTTAAATATAATAATAAATAAGTAAACAAAGTCGTTTGGGCACCAAACAAAAATAATATAGCACTTTAAAAATGACTGTCAACAAAACTGGTTAATACAGCACAAAAGGCTACAAATCCATGACAACAAAAACAAAGCAGAGAATCAATACCAATTCAACTTCAGCAACTATCATAAAGCAGTGGACCATAAAAGCCTTCCATGCTCAAGATCTTGAGATATAGTCCCTCTCTCATAGCCACCACTCTTTATCTCGGTCTGCTCCAGATTAATTAATCCAAAACACTTCTGTGTATGGCTCTGTCTCTGCCCATTGCTGCTGATACTTCTCCCTCCCTCAATACCTGACAGAAAAAAGGTTGCCCACTCCTGCTTCAGGGGGGTGCAAAGTGATGATTAAAGTTAATAAATGATCCAATGCATCCAATGAGGAGTAGTCCAAAGCATTGCACACCTTTTCATCAGCTGTGCAAAAAATCCCTTGTTCAAAACTCTAGGGCTGCTCCACAGCAAATGAATCCTCAGTGCTTTATGTCTGCTTTGTTAACACATTCCTTCTATTATGGGACTTTGCTTTCTTTTGGGACTTTATTAAAGGCCCAACATCTCTTACCCAGAAAACTATTAGTGAAATAATTGTGTTTAAAATGGCTCATAGTGTCACCATGTTGAACAGTTAGCTGCAGTCACAGAACAATAGATTCAGGGACAAATACAGGAGTGGAAAGTTGCAGGAAAGAAAGGCTGATAACACCCCATGATCCAACTGTGGCAGTTCAACACGAAGATCAGAGCCTGTAAATATGCTTTATCCGAGCAGCAGCACAAGAGACGAGCTTAACTTTCCATTACTTACAGAAATTCAGGCAACCACAGTAATAAAAAATTGAATATAAGCGACCTTTTTCAGGATAATTGCTACAGTATTGCTTTTGTAAGCTAGACATTTCTAGTCACTTACTATTTCACTTGCCTTAAAGCATATGAAGGTACTTTGCAAAGGAAATTATTTTTATAGCCCTTCAAGAGGCCTCATTTCATAATTACCTTCATGGTAAATGGAAAGATCTTTAAAATCATTTTTCCAGTGACAGATGCTGTAGTGGTGTGCCTACCCTATCCATTAAATATCCACAGTTCCAGAACGTCAGCATGAACTTGATAAAAATAAACGCACTAATTAGACTAAAGTCTGCTATTAAGACTGTCAAGACCTGAAAAAGTCAAGTGTTCACCATTTGAAGTAGCAGATTCACTTAAAACTACAGTAAGTATAATACAAGTAAGAAAATGCCTAAATATTATGTCAGACAGAAGTACTGCTTGTTAGTGGAGCTAGCACAAATTCTGTTTCACCTGAGTGAACTGTCAAAGACCAGAACTAGGTGAGACAGAGCTGCCACAAAAATCAGCAAACCTGTGTGAAGTTCTCTCTACCCTCCTACATAACATGATCAGCGATATGTATTGCAATATTATTCTATCCAAAGGTAGTCACACTCAGGGCAGACACATTAAGGTTAGTGGACATGGCTAACTTAGGCTCATAATTTTCAGTGGGTCTACTGAGTAGAACGTAGCTGGATACAATTCATTACATGTTTATTATTTTATTAATTTTATTTATTTAATTTCTATACCGTATTTCAATTTCTGTTAAATATAGAAAAGATAAGGAGGGTTTTAGGATGAACCTGCAGTTTTTAGAAGCAATTCCATGTTCTTCGTTATGTACAGTTTCACCCAAAGTTGATATAGTGTTTACTATATATGTTGAAAGCTGCCCAGAGTGGCTGGGACAGCCCAATCAGATGGGCAGGGTACAACTAATTAAATTGGTATTATTATTACTACTACTAATGGTGATTTTTACTGGGCAAAACCCATAAATACCTACTGAGCCAGAAGAGACAAACTACCTAAGTCAGCCTAGCAAAATAAATCAAGCTACTTACATGTCTCTACATAGCAAGCAGCCTTAAGAGTATTAAACTCAAAGCATACAAGCAAGTGCTCAAACTGAATCATTCTGGATTCATTCCCCTACTAGTGTCTAGAAAGGAAATGTTGCACGGCAAGTCCTGTGAAGATGCTGCAAAAGGGTACCTAGTTCTCTAATATGGGGTTACTTTTATTGATAATTGCAATATTTACAAACACAAACCAGAACACTAAACAAACTTATTATACACAGATACATACACCTCTCAACTTAGTTTACAAAAAAAAATAAATACAAACTAAACATACAGACATAAATCTTGACTTCCACCTATATGTTGCTTCCTTTGTTTCTTTTCTTCTTTTCGCTGTTATCAGTATTATTTTTGACTATCTCATCTTATACCAATTTCTTCTTAATTTTTTACTCTAAGTTTCACCCATTGCATATTGATATATTAATACCAGAACAATGTTTTTGGATGTATTCCTTCACACAAGTCCACTCCTCTATTAGTTTTTGGTCTGATTGGCCTCTTACTACTGCTGTAAGTCTTGCTGATTCTATATATTCACAAAATCTTATTTGCCATTCTCTTATTGAGGGAGTTTTTTCTCCCTTTCAATTTTTTGCTATAATCATTCTGGCCGCAGCGGTTGCATATATGAAAACTTTTTTCCTAATGGCAGGAATGTCAGTCAATATAATTCCCAAGAGGTACGCTACTAACCAAGTTATTTTACTTCCCGCTATCATCACCACTTGTCTCATTACAAGCAACGCACACAAGCCACGCCACTGTTAAATTAAAACATGAATGAATGTCCCACGTGGAATTTTTGCATTTTAAGGCTGCGATCGTAAACACCGAGAGAAAAACCAAATTCAACTCAGTGTGGGGCTTACTTTCATGCAAGCGCGGTTATAAAACGACTTCCCAGACAACAGATGAAAGAGAAGTAAACCCTGTTTTGTGGCGGCACATTATTGCAGACGTGAAACTCTAGACGACAGAAGCCCGGCAAGCCTTGCTGAGAGGCGCTTGAATGAGAGTGGTCGGGGTGCGCCTGTCAGGATACGTGTCTGTCTATATGCATCTGCATCCAGCCTCTCGAGCCACCTTTTTATCCAGCAGCATTGAGCCATGGGCAATTAGGAACCCGCATAGATTAGCATATGGAAAACGCACACAAGAGACGCCTGGCTCATGCAAGAGCACCTGAAGGGAGAAGCCTGCGGAGAAGCTCCCTCTGCCTTCCCTTAGAGGACAGCAAAGGCCGCCGCCTCGCGCAGGAGGAAAGGCCGTTAGCAGACGCCCGTTCCTTAGGAGGGCAATTTGGCGGGAAAATAGAGCCCCGCTCCGTTCTGTGCCCCCCTCCCCATATCTCTCCGACCAATGAGGAGAGAGAGAGGGAGAGAGAAGGGGGAGGGTGCCTCTCACGCTTCTCAGCCAAGGCCCTCGTCGCCCTGCGTGGAAACGGCAAGCGACTTACCGCGGCCGTTGCCAAACTGTGCATGGTCGGAACTTCTGCGCGAAGTAGAGCTCAGGAGGCCTCTTCTACTTCAGCCGCCGCCATCATGGATCGAAGCAGAGGTCGCCGCCTCTTCCTCCTCCTCCTCCTCCTGGCTCTGCCGCCGCCGCTGCTGCTGCTACCGCCGCGACCTCTGACCTCTCTCTGGGCCTCAGCGGTAGGCCCAAGGAGACTGGCCGGGCGCATGCGCCATGCTATCTTTGGGCGAACTTAAAAAAAAAAGCACGAGTTTGCGCGTGCGCAGAAGTTACGAGCGTCGTCGTCACTTCTCGAGTAAAAGTTGCTTCTTTCGCTAAGGCTTGTCGACGGCGGAGAAAGCCAGCCAGCCGTCGCCGTGATGACGTAGGGATTCCCCCCTCGTCGCTCCTCTTCCTCCCCCCTCCTCCCGTCGCGCAGTTGTTGTTTTTTTCTTTTTGCGTGCTGCGTGCTTGCGTCAGGCGGACCGTGGCGCGGCTGATCTGGTTCCCGCCATCTGCCCTTTTCACTAAGCTAAGAGGAGGCCGGGCCGCGGTGGGTCGAGCCAGGCCAGGCCGGCGCCGGAGCTAAAGTGGAGAATAACCCCGAAGTAGGAAGGAAGGAAGCGGCAGCGGCGGCGGCGGCAGCACCAGGGAGACAACGTCCAGGCCGGGACTGGTCTGTGAGGAAGCGGGAGGTGGAAGGGAAAGCCGCCGCCCGCCATCGCCGGTGAGTGCGCCCGGGCAGTGGCGGTGGGTCTTGGGGCTTCCTCGGAGCGGCTGACTGCGGGCGAGGGCACGAGGGAGCCCTATTGGTACTCGCGGAGCAGGGAAGGGTCGGGGGGCGGCTGTGCGTGGGCGGCGGCCGGTCGGCCGTGGAGGCGGAGGTGGGGTCTCCGTAGCTGCTGAGGGGGGGGGGGTCGTCGCGCCTCAGCGTCCCTCTCTCTCTCTCTCTCTCTTTCTCTTTCTCTCTCCCCCCCCCCCCGCGCCCTTGACCTTAGCCTGGCCCCTTTCGCTTCCTCAGGCCCAGCCGGCTGGCCGCTCTCCGACTACGGTGCGGCTGCTCCAAAGCTGACCCTCGGCCCTCCTCCCTCTGTTGCCTTCCCCCCGCTGGTTTAGCTGCCTCTCCCAGGCGTGCCCAAGGCCCCAAGACGTAGCGGCCGGTCGGGTAGCCAGCTAGCCAGATTACTAGCTTTGCCCCAGGCAGCACGTAGAGATAGGACGAGAGCTTCTTCTCGTGGGGAATTTCTGCCTGCCGGGCTGTTCGCAAACACGACAAAGGTTAAAAACAACGCAGCGTCGGCAACTAGCGCCGTCCTCTTCTTTGGTTGCTTTCCCGCTCCTGCTCTGTTCCTCCTGGGATTGTTCACGTCTCTCTTCTGAAATGTAGACTTGGCTGGTTTTAACTTTGTCCCGCTGATCAGAAATTTACTTGCAAGGGTCCAGCAGCCACTTTCCAAGTCAGTGTACCAGGTGCTGTACAGTATTCAGGTGACTGGGTTCCTGCTTGCTTTTCACTGAAAGCATTCACAAATGCAACAGAGTTTGGTTAGGAAATGATAGTAGGGGCACAGATCTCCATTAGGGCTCCACCATGTCTTTCACCACCGTTTCTTTGTTTGCCTTGAACTCTTTGCTGAGGTGATATATGTGTTGAAAATCCACCCAACATTCTTTACTGTTGCCCTTTCAAGTACACTGTTTGGCCCTAAACAGTTGTTGTAGATTATGATATGTATGGAACAAGTGGTTCCTATTTTGTGGAAATAGGCTGGGCTGAAAACTTCAGTGTCTCTTGTACCTGTTAAAATAATGGATTGTAATGCTGTTATATTTAGAACATTAAGGCTCCTGATTGTCTTTTTGAATGCTGTGTAGGCACTTTTTGTGGATAGTTCTAGTGCGTTTAAGGATTTACACTCCATTTTTTTCGGTATGTGCTCACTTATTGTGCAGTTTTGTACATGCCTGCTCTGAAGTAAGTCCCACTGAATTCAGTGATGCTTACTCCTAAGTAAGGATTGCAGAGTTAATTTTTCATTTTTATTTGTTAAATACACACATCAGGTTTTATGGTCCCAGAAGGCTCTCAAAGTAACTTGCAGAATTTACAATAAAATAAAATGCTAAAGAAACAACTGTTTATAGTACATGCTGATATACTCAAATTCTAATAATGAACCAGACAAGCAAGAAGACAGGACTTGGCTCATGCCTACTGTTCCTTTAACATATTTTCACTGAACTTCATGTAGTTGGGTTTCAACTTGGATGACTAAACATCTGGAAGATGTCCCCCCCCCCCCGAAATTGGGGGTACACCCCTAACTTTTAGGGAACTGTCATCATTGAATTTTAAAACATTAATAGTATTTATAGGGCAGTCACATTTGTGCAACAAGGAATCAGCTCAGTTTTTGCAGCTTGAGAGCATGCAGTGGTTTTAACCACCATGGCGTATGGCTAGTAGGGAGTGGTGAATGCATCATTGCATCAGGAGAAATTTGCATCATTGCATCAGGAGAAATTTCCCACTGCCTTGAAGGATGCAATGGCATGACCCCTGTAAAAGCCCTCCCTGGACTCCTTGTCAGTCACAAACCTTTCTGGGCAAGATGCCTGAGAGGGGGGTGGCCACTCAGCTGCAAATGCTCATGAAAGAGACTGGTTATCTTGATCACTTTTAGTCTGGTTTCAGACCTTGTTTGGGACTAAAATTGCTTTGGTCACCCTGATAGACTACCTCTGGAAGTGAGGCAGAGTAGTGTGACCTTGTTGAGTCTGCTGGATTTCTCAGTGGCTTTGGTTTAGTGGAGGATATGATTTTGCACTGGCTGTACTTCAACTTATGGGACAGTACTAGAAAGGTGCAGTGTTAGAAACTAAGATATGAAAGCCAGGAGCTAAATGGCACCTTAAACCTAGGTTATGGGTGCAACAACAGAATGTCAGGCAAGCTTTTTTAAAAACAAGAAAACAAAACTGAAAATGAATGAACTGCAGCTAAAATATTATGTTCATTTTTCACATGGTCTTGTCCTTCCCCTCCCCACCCGCTAATTATTAGCGTGTCTCTTCTCCAGTCTTCAGAGAGTAGCTGGAAGTGGGAAGGCAGAAAAAGTTCCTCCTTTCCTTCCACTCTGCAGTTTTAATCTGAAATCTTAGGCGCAGTGCTGTGCCCAGAGCTCAGAAACTTCTCACGCCAATGAAATTTCCTGTTGCAAAATGTGCCTAGAACAATGGGAGTTTCGAACACTGGAGGGGTGGTATTGCAATACGTTGCTCATCCGCATGGAAGTTAATCCATGGAGTTCTTCAGGGAATTGAGTGCCACCAATATGTGGATGACTTTGAGCTTTACTTACATTAGTCAGTTGAGGTTGCAAGTTCTGGACCCATTGCCTGTAATGGGCTAGGTGAGGGCAAACTGAATTGAAGTTGAATCCTGCTAAGACATGAGATGCTGTGGCTTGTTGGTTCCAGGAAGTGGGGGAATTACCTCTTGATGGGATTTCTACTGCCCTTGAAGGAGCCGGTGCATTGACTGGGTATACCCTGGATACAAATCTCTCACTGGAGGCAGAGGTATCTTCAATGGCACAGAGTGCCTTTGCTCAGCTGCAGTTGATGCAGCAAATACAACCAAAGGACAGCTTGGCCACAGTGATTACGGTAGCAGTGTGACCAGCTGTACATGGAAACTTGAAGAGTTCCCAAGTTTCCCTAGAAACATGTTGGTCCGTATGCCTGTCGCATTAACTTCAGCAGTGGCTAAAATGTGGGTGGTGCTAGTAAACTGACAAGTGTTATCAAGTTTAATTCCATACTCTCTTGTGTCTTTTTTTGTGTGTGATACCTGTTCTCAATTACCTACTTTGATTTTTTTAAAAAAAGACTTAAGTAACGTGGAGCAGATTTAATAATCTTTGGGAGACCAATACTCATATTTCAAAAAGAGTCCATGCACACTGAGTACATATCCTGAAAGATGGGATAACTATCTGTAAAAATAATATAGCTCTTTGATTTAAAACAGTTGCTCAGTTTTGAAGATGGTTATTGAGAAGCTGCTAACTTTGTTCTTTTCTTTCTTTTCTTTTCTTTCTTTTATTGCCCCCCCCCCCCCGTTCTTTTCTTCTAAAACAGGATTTGTGTTTAAAAGCAAACTTCATTATTTTCATAGACTAGTTGTATGAAAACATGGCTCCACTGAAATTACGTGGGACTATTCGCTTGCGCAGCATACAGACTGGGACTACAAAATGGAAAGAAGGGACATTCGAAATAGTTGATAAGGATAGCAAAGTGACTCTGGCGGTTCACTACAATGCTGGAGGAATGCCAAAGATATTTCAGGTACCTCAGAATCTCAAAGGCCTTTTGTTTTGAAGTTGTACAGGAGCTGTATGCCTCTGAACAACTGTCCTTTTAAAGTCCATTTAGCTGTCACTTGAACTTTCCTTAGAGACTTATTCTTTTTTCTGCTTTCTAGAACACTGATCCTACTGTATTGCACTGTGAATTATTGAGGTGTACTGTTCAATGTACAGTGGTACCTCGGGTTACATACGCTTCAGGTTACATACGCTTCAGGTTACAGACTCCACTACCCCAGAAATAGTACCTCGGGTTAAGAACTTTGCTTCAGGATGAGAACAGAAATCGTTCTCTGGCGGAGCGGCGGCAACAGGAGGCCCCATTAGCTAAAGTAGTGCTTCAGGTTAAGAACAGTTTCAGGTTAAGAACGGGCCTCCGGAACGAATTAAGTACTTAACCTGAGGTACCACTGTGCTCGTAGAGCAAGGATGATTTTAAAAAACAACAACTAAACCTTGGGAGAAAATAATACCTAGATGTTTCATTATTTAGTTATTTAGAATATTTTAATCCTATTTTTGTGGCTCCAAGAGGCCCTCAAACTGGCTTACAAAAGATTTTCAATGAGATAAAACATTTTGGGTATTAGGATACTACTGGCACTGGTAATAAAGAAAAGTTTATTTGTTGTCTGTTTCATTTTCTGCTGGTTATAGTATTGAAAATTCTTAATGTAGATTCATTGTTAGATTATTCTTCTGTATACACTCTTCCCATAATTAGCTGTGAGTCATAGTGGCATTTTAGATTCATGGGGATTTTGTATCCAAGGCTACAGTCTTATCACACTAATCTGGGAGTAAGCCCCAATGGCCACAGTAGCTCCTGCATAAGATTTCACTTCATGTCTAGCTGGCTGCTGGTGCACAGCTCATCTCTTTTCTTCTATTTACAACGTTTATATGTAGTCTAGTCTGGAAAGATAACCAGCATTGCTGCTATTGCTTTTGGGGGGAAGAAATTCTAGAGACGAAAACAAATTTATTATGGTTTAAAAGTCCTTCATAAATGGAAACTAAATTTTTCTTTAGTAAGTGTTTTTTGTTATATTCACTATCCTTAATATGTACATATAAGTGTTGCAAAATTGAAAAGAGGAGCTGAGGGAATTGTTTTTAAAAGTGTACTGAGTAGGAATTGTTTACAGTGTGGGATAACATATGAACATGCATAGTCTTTGTCAGTGTGAAGCATATTTAAATGCATCTTTCTTAGTATGGAAATATGTATCTTTTAAACTATGCATATGATACTTACTGTTTTACAGCTAAACCATAATATAAAAAATGTGACTGTGCGACCAAGTAGAGGGAAACTGTGTTCCTTGATTATATCATTAAAGGATACTAGTTACCTGACAGTGGATAAAATATCACCTAAGGATGCAGAGGAAATGAAGCAGTTTCTGGAAGCTGTTCAAAATGGAGTTCATACAGGTTAGTGTTAATTATAGATTTGGAGTGTGGGGAAATGACTTCACTACTTGTTTAGGCTAAAATCAACTTTTATAAACAAAGTCTACTGTTAGTGAAAAAATAAAATGCTAGTAAAACTTATTGTAAATACATTTAAAAATCATAAAATGGTGTATTTTTGTTGTAGCTGTGAAATCATCCCAAGGGTCTGGCAGTTTTGGTGTTCTGGGCAGTAGAACCACACAGAAGGATTCTAATAGGCAATTCCCATATATTGAAAACCAGGTATTTTAATCTGTTTCTTTCTTTTCTTATGCTCCTATTTCTATATCTGCTGTATACAATAAATATTATCTGTCCACATATTTAGTAGTGATAAATGGGGAAAAATTGAATTTGTGTATTTAATAATCTTTAATATCTCCTGATAAATTTCATTCCAGAATAAAACAGCCTGTGGGCATTCCCACCAGATATGGAAAAAGTCCCTTTATTCCCACGGGTTGATGATTTCACTGATCTCAAAGGTTAAAACTATCTTATACAGAATACAGTAACTTTGCTTCCCGTCCTTCTGCCCCAAATTGTTGCACCTAAGAGAGATTAGGCAGAACCTTCTTGGTGTCTGTAGGGAAGAACAAAAGACTTTATTATTTCATTCATCTATTCAGGGAAGACATTTCTAAGTTCACCTTCAGTAGGTGGGTCTGTCAGCCTTGGCTACCAGTTTTGACTTCTTCCAATCCCAGAAGGTCTCTTGTCCTGCTCAGTGTGGGGAGTAGCCATATTGGTGGCCTTTGACACATATGCTTTCCTTTTCAGATCAATTTAGAATGTCACACGGGACACATTTGGGGCAATTGTTTCTAAATTTTGTCTTCGAACTGGGAGGAGACAGCCCCCCTGCCCACCAAGAGTGGAGATAGGAAGTTTAGTGTAGCCCTTCGTCTGGAGACTGATGGGTGGAGTCACTCGCAGGAAGCTCTCCCATCTCCAAGGAGAAGGAACACTCACGATAAGTTCAAGGTTCCGTTTCAGGCCACTGTTCTTAAAGAATATATATTGCTTCTGACTCTGTAGCACTTGTAGTCTAGTCTGCCAAATAAAGGAATAGTAGTTAGAGGCCGATTGAGACTAAATCTGAATACCACACCTGTATCTTAACTTTATTTGGACGGTAAGGAGGTGCCTCCTAAGATCTTGTTCTTCAAACTGTTCTACTATTCTTTTTGCTTTTCATTTACAATATTCAACCCGGCCAAAGAGGATTTCTGATGTGAGGTGGTTACATACAGCCAGGCATCTGGTTAGCCTACACAGGTAATCTAGCAGGTTCACAGTCCATTTGGGATCCTATGCGTGAATCAGTGACTGCAGCGAAGTCTGTCATCATGGCTACTTGAAATATGGCTACTGCAGTAAAATTATGGCAGCTGCTTATAAATTCTGTATGAAAGTGCCAGTTACTACAGATGTAATCCATATACAGTGTTTGCTGGGTTGCCAGGTGGCCTGCTGATAGCATATGTGCCACTGACTCTCTGAAATGGGTCCATGATTTGAAATACAGTATGCTGTACTGATCACAGTGTTTATGATTCTCATAGACTCCTTCAAAAAAGGGGATTGTAGAAAATAAAGATGAAACTCAACTTCGTAAGGTGCTTGGCAACCCAGGAAGGGCATCCATTAAGAATTCTTCAGTAACTGGAACGCCTGGCTACCGAGTTACCATTTCTAGTCCTTCCGCTGCTTCAACACCTCACAGAACAGGGCTGTTGGAAAACCGGTATGAAAATAAACTTTTAAGGCACTGCAGCCTTTGATATGCATTCATTAAAACATGAATAGCTTTGAACATAGTATTAGTAAACTGCTTTTCCATGTCTTTATTAACACTTTGGAAAAGGTACTAAAAGCTTTAACTAAACTAGCTGGGAGGCAGTTAACCATTTTTACATTTTATGATAAGGCTTATGGAGGTTGCATGAGAATGTGAGTTGGGCCCGCATTGTTTCCCTGTTGACTAAAGGATTTCTCTCTCCCCCCCCCCCAATAAACAGTGAAAGAAGGAAAAGGACACCACCTACCTCCGAGATGAATGAAGATTACCCAAAAGAGAATGATTCATCAACGTATGTTGTTATGGTTCTTACTTTTTATTCCCCTCCCCCCACATTAATTCTGTTGAAAGAAACTCCTTAGTCTCTCTTCACTCTTATTTCATAATGCCTTGCAAACATGAAGCACTTGAAAATAATGCCTTGCAAACATGAAGCACTTGAAAATTGTAAGGATTCAGAAATATGGAATGTTGTATGTTTTTAGTTTGGTATGCCAGTTAAAAATGTTCTTCATAGTTGCCCTTCATGGTGATTACTGAATGAGTGATTTGAATCTAATGGTCTTTTATAATTTTACTATTAAAATGTAAGTCTAGATTATTATTTTTTAGCATCAGTGAGTGTAGTTATGGTATTTTTAACAAGATGTATTGCTGTGGTTGCCAGTGGAATCAGTGGCATCCTTGAGGACTTCCCCTGAGGCCCACAAAGTCTTTGTACCTTCTCCTCACTCCTGCAAACTATATAGAGCTTAAAATGAAGTTAGAAGAGCAACACCCTTTCCTTTCCTTTTAATTTAAGCTCTCTGGCTTTTCAAAGTTCTGAAGAGGCACCTAAGCAACTGAACAGAAAGAAGAGTGACTGAGTAGGATAAAGGGAGTGTTCTGTGAGACGGGAGGGAAACCATAACCAGAGGGGAGGCAGGAATATGAGTTGAAGAGAGCACAAATGGGAAGAGTGCTGTTGCAGTCAGGTCCTTTTTGTGGACTTCTTGGAAGCATTTTCTTGGCCACTGTGAGACCAGAATGCTGGACCAGATGGATCATCGTTCTCATCCAGCAACACTTCCTATGCTTTTAAGTTCTAGATGGGAAGAAGAAAGTGGGATCCTATATGAGTCAGGAGGGAGAGCATGCCAAAGAGAAAAAGAATGGACGTTAGAAGTAATGTGTGTGCACACACACAAGTTGGATCTACAAAAATGATTCTCTTGAAATTGTTTTATGATTTTTCAGGAGTCCCCCAAACCACAGGTATCTGTGTCCATTCACTAAAACATAAAAAGCATGTTGCAGATACGTTGCAAAAATGTGGCTCAGAGGCACAGATCCTTATAAATCATTATAATTTTTACAATGTATCTCCTCAAAATTACAATCATATCATAGGTCACCTTAGTGTCCAGGGGTGTGTTTCGTTTTTCGCTATCATATCCTATACACAAATCATAAATGTCTATGCCTTGGGTCATTATTTTTGTGGTGCTAGCAGTTTCTGGATTTTTGACTTTGGTTTTAGTTTTTAATTATTGTGTGCTCTCCCATTGTAAGCTGCAATTTGATGCTTTTTTTGGTAAAACCATGCAAATTCAAGAGGATCCGTTTTAGTTCCACTAGATCTGACTTACTCAGACCCTACAGAAAAGCAAAAGTGTGCTTGTACACACTGTCTGTCTGAGGGAGTGGTGGGGAGACAAGTGAGCAGATAGGCTGGTGCACCCAACACCCTCTCAAAATTCCATATGGGCCCCCAAAATTTGACAGTCCCCGAATAGTATACAGTGGTACCTCCGGTTATGAACTTACAGTGGTGCCCCACAAGACGAATGCCTCGCAAGACGGAAAACCCGCTAGACGAAAGGGTTTTCCGTTTTTGAGTTGCTTCGCAGGACGAATTTCCCTATGGGCTTGCTTCGCAAGACGAAAATGTCTTGCGAGTCTTGAGATTTTCCCCGCTTTCCCCCTTTATCTAAGCCGCTAAGCCTTTAATAGCCTTTTAGCAGCTAATCCGCTAAGCCGATAAGCCTTTAATAGCCGCTAAACCGCTAATAGCGCTAATCCGTTAAGCCGCTAATAGGGTTGCTTCGCAAGACGAAAAAACCGCTAGACGAAGACACTCGCGGAACGGATTAATTTCGTCTTGCGAGGCACCACTGTAATTTGTTCTGGAGCTCTGTTCTTAAGCCGAAACCGTTCTTAACATGAGGCGTGCTTTTACTAATGGGGCCTCTCACTGGTGCTGCGCCACTGGCGCACGACTTCCGCTCGCATTCCGGGGCAAAGTTCACAACTAGGGGCATCTACTTCCGGGTTAGCGGAGCTCGTTACCCGAAGCATTCGTAAGGTGGACGATACGTAACCCGAGGTTCCACTGTACCAGAGATTTTAGGGAACTTGTAATGGTGGTTAATAAATGTAAACCAAGGGAAGTGGTGTACAATATTGTTTTACATAACTTATTTAAAGTTATATGGGTTTATCTGCAGCAATAACAAAGCCATGACTGATCCAGCACGGAAATTCTTATATAGCAGCAGGGAAAAACAGATGAGCTTGAAACAGACTGAGGAGAATAGAACATCAGGTAAAAAAATGATACTGTTTTTGACCATCTTGTACAATGGCCAACTAGTTAAAACTAAACACATTTTGTTTTTATTTTGAAAACTGAGCTTCTAAAAGTCCCTGTATAATGAAATTATCTTTGTTCTCACTTGAGGAACATTAGAAGGGCAAAAATTAAAATGTAAACCATATGCTTGAGGATAGCTGAAAGCAAGGAAGTCCAAATGAGAGTTTTATCTTGATAATTGTTTAAATGGGGGATTAGGAGGAGGAGAGAGTGCTACGATTGCATATTACAGAAATGAGTCTGCAATTTTTTTCTGACTTCCCACTGACTTTCCTTATTATTCCACCATGGTGATCAATAAATTAATTCCCCCTGGAGATAGTAACTAAATTAGACATTCCGTACTTACATTGAAATTTAGGAGATAGCATTTTAAATTTATTTTGATAAACAATGCACTGTGTCTTTTCAGTAAAAAGTAAGGCTAAAGTTGACTGTTCCAGGAGTAATTATAATATCATCACTCAGTAGATGTTTGCTGGAAACTATGTTGGGGAAAGACATGCTTCTTTCTTCTTCTGGCTTTGAATCTGAAGTTTCCAGATTAGCAAAGCAACCCTAATAGTCTACATTGTGCCTCCACATATAATATAAAAGCACATATGTCCTGTCTTGGAGGGTTTTAAAATACTTTGTGTGTAATATAGTTACACAAACACCCACTTATATTGCATAAAACTAAGCTTTCTGGCGATTAAGTGAAGCCATGACGTAGCTTATAAATCTCATTGCTGTAGCCAAGGCATAGAGTTTTGAGACGTGATAAGGGCAAAAGATTCCCAAGGTTCATATGATGTGAAATATCTGTATTTTGCCTAGCAGATATATCCACTGCAGTATTTTATAGCAGGAATGAAGCCTTTGGCAGAAACTAATCACAGTTTAATTGTTGCATCTCCGTTGAAATGTTGACTGTTGGACAGTTGTATAGTTTACTTTCTAAGACAGTTCTTACAGAAATTGATTTCTTTTTCCTTTTAAGGAGTTTTGCCTTTACAATCCTCTTCATTTTATGGAAGCAGATCATCTTCAAAGGATTATTCAGCTGGCAGTTCTAATTTGGACAGGTGAGTACAGCATTCCTTAGCTATTTTCTTTCAAATTCTTGGTCATTGGAGTGCTCCATTCATCAAATGGTGTAATTCGTTCATGAAAACAGCTTCTTATGTTACTCTTAGCACCATTTCAAAAGTTTTCTGCACAGGAGTAAGCAAATCATAAAATGCTGGGTGCTGTGCTAATTGAATACATCTAGGTGATATAAGAGCGCATGCCGTGTCCTGTATAAATGGGTAAATACACACATGCAGATCAGCCTGAAACTAGTCAGCAAGACATTTTGGCAGACCTTTGTACCCAAGCAAAAAACCCTGTGGCTCTTGGGTTATTGCATCTTCCTCATCTACTAGCTGCGACCAGGGAAGCTCCTTTTCTACAGTGACAGAAAACCTCTTGGTTGTTTAGTATGTACAAGACTAGAGTACCTAATGGTGCATATGGCTTATGGCTGCCATCTAATGCCTTGTCCAAAAGGTAGTAATCAGCCACTACAGTCAGGGAAAACCTTTATGTTAAGCTTTCTTGGGTAGAGTAATACTGATTATAGTCTACAGAAATGTGCACAAAGGAAAACTTGGAATGGGTGGCCATAATTTAGCTAGGAGGAGATTAGAGCAGGGGTGGTAACCTGTGGCCTGCCAAAGGTGCAGCAATAAAACTGCTAGTACATTTGCAAAGCTAAGCAAGGTCCAGTATAGTTTCAGATTGGATGCGGGGGGGGGGGGAGCGTGTTGAGATTCTTGCATTGTAGGGGATTGGACTAGATGACCCTTAGGGTCTCTTCCAGCTCTACAATTCTTTGATTCTATGACTACAACTCCCTTCAGCCTCATCCAGTATGACCAGTAATCACATCCATGGGTTAAAGAGATAGAAAGCAGGTATTACTTTTGCTAAGACTGGTCTAGCCTGCTTCATTTACAACTGTGCTACAACTGTGTATTATGCTTCAAACTCCCATGCCTGTGGGTTATTCAGCATGCTAGACAAATTTTATTTCTGCTCATCTTCTGCTGGAGTATGTTTAGCTCTGTGAGCAATAATGGAAGTATTCGTATTTTAAGTGTTTGGGGAACAGATGGCATTTATTTATTGGGGGGGTATTGTTTTTTGTTTCATTATGTATTTTGTATTCTTCTGTTATGAACCACCTTGGGATCTGTGGATGAAGGGCGGTATACATATATCATCATCATCATCATAATTTTATTTCACAATGCTTTATTCCAAAAGTGTGATCTTCAAGTGTAAAGTATTTTTAAGGAGAACTTGTTATACATATTTAAAAACCATGCAAGTTGAAAAATGAATTTAGAATTCTTTTTACTTCTACTTCCAGCAGGTTTATCTATAACAGGGAACTGGAAATGTGTTGCTCTTTAGTGGGGTCTGTGACTAATACTCAGAGGAGTCTTTGTAGGCTGTATAAATGTGATTCATAATCACATATGGCCCTTCTGTGGATGCAAAGCATCCTATGTGTGTGAGAGGAAGAGGAAGAGGAAGAATGAACAAACATTTTGGGAGGCTGACCACCTTGTGATAACTTCCTTTTGACGCATCCCCATTCGAAGCATCCTCAATGCTCATGGAATATGACTGCTGCTATATCACTGGTGGCAGTAGCTGGCATTGTTATTCTTGAGATGGATTTGGTGGCTATTTATCCATCTCGCCTTATAGGACTAATCTGTTGAATCAGACTCCTTCTGCGAAAAGAAGCTTGGGCTTTCTCTCTCAGCCAGCCCCTCTCTCTGTTAAAAAAATGAGACCTAACCAGGATTACATGGGATGGAACAAGCCACGTGTCCCCCTTTCCACTCACCCACAGCAGCAACTGCAAGGGTAAGTTTTTAGATTTTCAGTATCTGTGTGTGGGCACACTGTGTGTGCTCAGTTTAGGTATTGGTTACATAGAAACAAATCCAACTTGTCAGCTTTTTCTACAACTAGATATCCTTCCAGCACCATATCTCCACGTCTTCATTTTAAAAAACTATTATTCTTTGTGTTTGTGCTGTGTGTTTAACATTAAGTTAGAGTCCCTTTGAGCAGGGGCTGCCACTTATGTTCACGCAAACTCAGTATTTAACAATTTAATAGCTTTGTAGATTATTAAGACGGTGAGCAAGGGCGGACCAGAGTTACCACATTTTTCCGTGTTTAAGACTAGGTTTTTTTCCTTTAAAATAATGTCAAAAATTAGGGGGCGTCATATACACGGATACATCTCCCCCCATTTTCTTAAATCTGAGTCTCCCCAATCTTATACATGGGGGCGTTTTATAGACAGAAAAATACGGTACTTACATTCTTACAACATTCCCTGTTTTACAAGTAGGGTTTTGAATGTATTTCCATCGTCCTAAATCTTTTCCTCTTCTATTTCCTTTTTTACCTCTTCGTCTGCAAATTAAACATGTGAAGTAATGATTCCTTGTATTGAGGATTGCCCATCAGGTTTCTAGAAAAGATCTGTGATAATAAGGAATCTCAGTGTGTGACAAATCTATTAGTTCCCCCTCTTCTGCATTCCTTGCATGGTTTGTTTCAAGAGCCTTTTTGTAAAAAAGAAAATATTTTTTTTGTTATGTTTAAAGAAAATTAATAATATCTTCAGATGGATTTGTCACAAGCATCTTATGGGTAGTTTGAATGACAGTTTATAAGATCATGCTTATAGACCTTACAAGTACAGGTCTACTACTTAAGAAGCCTAAATGGAATCTGGGATCTAATTGGCTCTTATCTATAAACATCATACAAAGGTTTGTTTAGAAATCTTTCCACACTCTGTTGTGTAATGTTATGATTGTTATTCATTGCATACTCCAAGCAGACAGACTCCTCCTCCTAATCAGTGTGTGTATGCATGTGTGTGCACACTGTAGTCCATAGGTAGGCAAACTAAGGCCCGGGGGCCGGATCTGGCCCAATCGCCTTCTAAATCCGGCCCGCGTATGGTCCAGGAATCAGCGTCTCTTACATGAGTAGAATGTGTCCTTTTATTTAAAATGCATCTCTGGGTTATTTGTGGGGCATAGGAATTCGTTCATAATTTTTTCTCCAAAATAAAGTCTGGCCCCCCACAAGGTCTGAGGGACAGTGGACCGGTCCCCTGCTGAAAAAGCTTGCTGACCTTCTGTAGTCAGTGTAAAATATCTGTGTTGGAAATGTTCCAATGTAACAACTGTGTCACCTTGTGCTTCTTCACAGGTTTACAAACTTGGGGAATACCTGTTACATGAATGCTATTTTACAATCTCTATTTTCAATTCAATCATTTGCTAATGATCTTTTGAAACAAAATATCCCATGGAAAAAAGTTCCAAACAATGCACTTATTAGGTAAGCACCAGCTTTGTGAGTTAAGTAAACATTTTTTCCTAGTACAGCTTCAAAAGAAGCATTCAGATTTGGCGTGCTATTTGTAACTGTTCTTGCATATATTTTTGATAAAGTTCTATATTTTCTAAGGTTGCTGCTTTTATTACTGCAGTTCCTCATTTATTGAGCCTCTGCTCTTTCCTCTTTCTTTGCTATGGTAATGAATAGATGTGTGCATTGTATTGAAAAAGTTTTGCAAGCACAGTAAATGGATGCTTAGAAAAACAGTAAGTCATAAGTTTCCTGGTTATGTGGAGAGGGGCATACCAAAGTTTGAATAATTAATACATTCCTATAAAAAGGGTATTGAGCCAGTCGTTTTTTTACTGCTCATACAAGATCCTGCTAATAAGCATAACATATTTTATGTGAGTTGATTTTAAAATACATGCAATATAATGGGAAGGAGTGTGAACAAATTTCTAAGGGTATGTTAATTTTGCAGATATTTTTAGCATTAAACAATGCCTAACTTGCTTTTTGACATTTAAATGTCACTGCATTAATTTGTCCAGGCGCTTTACCCATCTACTTGCTAAAAAAGATGTTTGTAGCCCTGAAGTAAAGAAAGACCTACTTAAGAAGGTGAAAAATGCAATTTCAGCTACTGCAGAGAGATTCTCTGGTTACATGCAAAATGTAAGTATTTCGCTTTCTAGCAGCTGAAGTATTTTAAGGAGTGATGTGACCAACTATGGAAATATTGATGCAAAAAGAGTTGCATAAAATTGTACAATTTCCCACTGAAAAATACCCTTTAAGCATGAGATGCATTTGGTCCCGTGTCTGTATATACATAATGTGTGTTTTGGTTTAGTAAAATGTTTAGTTTATTATTATTTTTTGCATTCTTTTTTTCCTTTAGCCTCTCTCTTAATTTACTTTTGTTTGGTTAAATTTAGATCTTTTTTTCTGTTTTGTTGTTTTTCACCTTAAATAAACAAAGTTGTGATTACGTATTGGGGGAAATGAAAACCACAAGTACCCAGAGCTAGTAAGGAGGAGAATTTTAGGTTTTATTAAAACTATGTTTTAAAACTTAGTTATTTGGGATATTTGTAATTCAAATTGAACTGAATATGTGGATTCTGGTATGAATGTATTGTTTGGGACCTCACCCTCTTTAAGAAATTGAGGGATTAAGAAACCAATATAAATTTGGTTTATATATAAGATACATTTAAATAAATGTGTGAATGGGTCTTGAAAGTCACTATTCTAAGGAAATGTATACATGTTTTTAGGATGCTCATGAATTCTTAAGTCAGTGCTTGGATCAGCTGAAGGAGGATGTGGAGAAGCTGAACAAAACTTGGAAGACTGAGCCAATATCTGGTGAAGACAGCTCTCTAGGACGTATATCTGATGACTTGTCAGCCACCAGAGTGTACACATGCCCAGTAATTGCAAACTTAGAATTTGAAGTTCAACATTCTATCATATGTAAAATGTAAGTATTTTAACAGTTTTCCCCCCTTGTTTCATTGTTCTACGCTTCTGTCTCCTCCTTTCCTTTTCCTCTGCTCCCCCAAAATCTGCTCCAGAAGTCAGGGTGGGTGGGAAGAGGAATTCCATCACATCCATTGGGGTGGTGCTGGATCTCATGCCTAGAGAGCTATACCATCTATGCTGCTGTCATGTAATACCCATTACTACTAGGCATTCCCTTTGTAATTCTAGCTCTTTTGCCCCAAATGATAAATACTTTTCTACTTTTCTCCCACCCTTCTTTTGTAATGTTAAAAACAACTACTTCATTTTAATAAGTGCTACTGTTGTCAAAGAAGTTGCAGTTTGGACCTCTTTTTGATATCCTGTTCTATTTTTTAATGTTTATTTTGGTTTTTATAATATTAAATAAAGTAACTACAAAATACAGCAATATAGAATTCCTATTAATATAAATTACATGTTTCATTGCTTCAATTACATATCCTCTTCTATCTTTGGTAGTTAATTCAGTGAGACTATTTCTCTTACCTCTTCCACTAAATATATGCCAAAATATGTATTTATTTATTCTACATGGTTTTTTACAGACTGGTATTACATCTTTTATGTAATGCTTATTCTTAAGATATCTGAGTATGACTCATATACTCAGAAATTTGGATATATTTATGAGTTACTAATACAACTTGTAATGAATAGGGAATATGTGGGTAGACTAAAATACACAAGGACATTTTTTTTTCAATGCAGGTGCGGTGAAACAGTCACCAAACGGGAGCAGTTTAATGACCTTTCAATTGACTTTCCAAGAAGAAAAAAACTTCATCCGTCTCGATCTATCCAAGATTCCTTGGACCTCTTTTTTAGGGTATGCAATATACAAGGCTTTTTAATATCATTCAGCGTATCTTTGATTAACAGATCCTCCCCCCTCATCTCACCATCAAAGTGTCTGAATACTTCTTGCTATCCATTCTTTTCTTCATGCAAAGCTAAGGATGAATGCATAGATTTGCATGGGTTCCCCATCAGCTCTAAGTGAAGACCTATGTCCTTTGTAGGAATCACTGTTTGGTCAGGTGTGGTGCTGGCATTAGTTGAACAAGACTCAAAATATTACAGAAGCCCAAGCTTCTGCAGCAATAATCTGTTCCATATGTTATGATTTATTTAAATATTTATAAGCCACAATTTTCATAAAAGTACAACATGATAGTATATACCACATACAAAGTTGCAATAAGATCAGTAAAAGCATTAATAAAAACTGCTAGGGTGAAAGAAATCTGCATTTTGAAGGCCTGTCTGAATAGCACAGTTTTCAGGAAACACCTAAAAGTAGGCTGGGATGATTCCTGACAAGTCTAGCAAGGAAATCCATAGGGCCTGCCACATTAAAATCTTGGTTCCTAGTAAAGGCCAACTGAATCACAGGGGCATGGGGAGCCACCAGAAGTGCCCATCAGAGGATCTCAGTGATCCAGGTAGAGCACGAGGAACTGGATGGTTTTTAAGTTACTTTGAGTCTAAGTAATTTAGGCCTTTGTGAATTATGCACGGAGATGGGGAGTGGAATGAGAGAGAGAGAGTCAATGAAAATTGGTATATAAATCTACCTTTGACACTGGGTGGCCAAGTACAGGAGAAGTTGCCTTTGGTTAGGAATATTAGAATCATTTGTCCAGTTTTTGTGTTTGAATCTCGGATAAGCGACACTTCTCCAAGTATATTGTAGTACTTACTTTGGACAATAGCGCAGAGAACACATATTGAGAAGAAATAACTTTATTATTCTACACTGCTCAGCTTTGACCCCACACTTGGCAAGGCTACCTTTCCAAAACTAAGCTTATTTGTCTCACTGTTATTCTAATTATTTATTGAATTTATATACCTCCCTATACCCGGGGGTCTCAGGGTGGTTCACAGAATAGTTGGAACCTTCAAGGCAACTTATGTAACCATTTAGAGACCAGTAGCAAAATTCTAACCAACAATATCTAACACATATGCTTATCAGACCTCATCAGTATCTAGTCACATTAATGAATCCTTTGCTGCAGTCATGTGCACATTTACCTGGGAGTAAACCCCTTTCAAAGCAGAGCAACTGCTGAATGAAGATGCATGGGTTTGTACTGATTGATAGAACAAAACACTTCTTTCAGTGCTGCCATACTGTTGGGTTTAGTCATATATCTGAGCTGATTATAGTTCCCATAAAGCTGGAGTCCACAGGGTAGCCTCTGCGCTAGACAGACACCAGCCTCCCGCAGAGCACTATAATCAATGTGAACCATACAATTTATTTGTCAATTGCATTCTGAAATAGAAAGTGGGTCTCTGCACTTCTGAGATAGACAGTTACCTGTTCCTAAAATAAGGTTTGATAGATTACAATCCTTGTATTGCATTCATTGTTTGTATTATGTCTCTTAGGCAGAGGAGATAGAATATTCTTGCGAGAAATGCAATGGAAAATCTGCTCTTGTTACACACAAATTCAGTCGGTTTCCCAGGTAGGTATATGGTCTTGGTACAAAATTGTATGAAAATACTAGTAACTTTCAGGATATATAGAAGATGAACAAAATGAATGATGGGTAAAAGTTTAATATTGGTTTAAAAGTGGCTGCCTTGCTCGATTGTAAATGTAGAACAAAATAATGTTAGCCCTGAAAATAGGAGTTCAGTAGATGGCCTTGAGGATGCTTTATAGCATCCCTGTTTGACAGAAGGGACTTGCAGCTGCAGAATTCTCATTCTAACAAAAATTGTGGCATACTTTGATGCTAGATGAAAAACTATATATTCTCATGACCTTTCCCACCCACACAGTTTTATTACGTATTGATAGCAAGCTGGGGAAAGAGACCAGGTCTCTGTGTTGTGGGAGAAGTATTCTGTCTGGGAATAAACAACTCCTTTGTATCTTTGTTAAAAAGACATTTATGAAGTTTCCAACTGTTTTTGTGTCTTGAAGGGTCTTGATTCTTCACCTGAAACGGTACAGCTTCAATGTGGCACACTCCCTCAATCACAAAGTTGGACAGCAAGTGGTTATACCAAGATTTTTAACCCTGCAGTCACACTGTACAGAAAGCACAAGGTCCCCACTTAATCTGGGGTGGAGTGCACAGTCAGCAATGTAAGCTACGCCTTTTATTCCTCCTTTACCTACAAGCCTACAAACATCTTTGAAAAACTTCATGATAGATACTTTTCTTTAGGAAAAGGTTGTGATCATTTCCTTTTTATATTGCGTTTGACCAACTTGATCTTAGAGGTTTGACTCAGTTGTCCTGTTCTGCAGGTCGTTCTCGCTGGTCTGTGACTTCTAGGGCATAACAAGGAACTTGAATAAAGTTAATTGAGGGTGCTAGTGGGGGATTGCTTAAGAATGAGGATAACTATAAAGTGTACATTTGGAAAAATGAGTTAGACAGGAACAGGCTTCAGCAGTGCCCTACTGAGAACCATTGCAAAAAGTGTAAAGGGATAAGGTATTTTAACATATATTTTGTAGCATTGTATTGTTAATCCAGTGCAAAGGTTTCTTGTCACATTTTTTTAAAGATATAGACTAGAGTTTGGGGTCACCGTCAGAATGGTCATGCATAGTTGGCTTTCAAATGTCATACAGTAAACACCTGCTTTTGTTTTAATTAGCTCTCGACCACTGAAAGTATCCCAAATGGTGAATTCCTGTTCTGCCAGCATTTTCACGCCCTGTCGGTAAGTAACAGGTTTACATGGCTATGGAACCTGCAGTGAATAAGTATACAAAAACAACCCTGATTCTCCTCACTTTTTTATTGTACATCCTTGCTTTTATAATCAGATTAATTCTGTGTGGGGATTAGCGAGCAGGCTGAAGCATGTTGGACATTTGGTAGCTATATTTTCTCCACTTGGTTAAATTGTAGATAAAAGTAATATTTTACTGCTGTAGCTGTTTCAAGCTAAGACCCTGTCTGAAGCAATCCCAATTGTCTGACAAATTGTTTCTCCTCTCTGTGGGAATGAGCCATGTTCCTCTTCGCCCCTCCCAAATGCACCTGGCTTCAGCAAAACATTTTGGTTTCTTAATGCACAGTTTTCCAAGCCGACTGACCCAGCTCATTTCATATTCATAATGACAATTGAAAAGGATGTGTCATGTATTTTATATGGGTTACACTGAAATAGTAAATTTTAGCATGAAGCATTCTATGAGCAGATCCACACCGTACACCTAAAGCATGTTTACTGCGCATGGCTTCCCCCAACAATCCTGGGAACTGTAGTTTGTTAAGGGTGTTTGGACTTTTAGCTCTGTTTGTGAGGGAGGAATTACAGTGGATTCTTTGGGGAAGGTCATTTGCTTTACACGTATGATGTGGATTTGCCCTGTGTATATTATATCCGAACCAGTTCAAAATTGCTGAGCTGGTTACCAAACCATTTTTTAAAAAGTTGTTGAGTGACCACCATCAACCATTAGTGACTTGGAAAATGCCATTGAACCAGACGGAAGTTTGTAATCTTGGTGCTCAAGAGCTGCAGGAATACTAATCCTTACCTTGTGCAGAACATTCTAAATGTGGATTAAGAAATTTTTAGTATCTTATTGTTAAGGGTCGATGTTACCTGAATTGTAGAATTGCTGTAGGTTGGTGGATTTATTTGAATTCGTGTATTAAAACTGTATAGCTGTTATGTGAAACCTCCTTTTTTAACCTGATGTTATTTGTCCCTTCAAAGGTAAGGAATAAAGGTTCTGTGTTTACTTTTCAGAAAGTACTCGTTCAAGTTTAAATGTCCTAATCTAAGCACCCTGGATTCAGACAGTGAAGATGAACCGCTGAAACGTCCCGTTGCAAACAGCCAAAAACAATGTGATTTCCAAAGCAGGGAACAGCAACGAGAAGAACTAGAGAAAGTAAGGAGAGGGTTAGGGGCAGGGGAAGCAAACACGCTCTGTGACCTGTCTTCCCCAATCTAGTACTCTGTTACCTGTCTTCCCCAATCTAGTGCTCTTCATATACTTTGGGCCACAACTTCCATCGGCCCCAGCCAATATAGCCTAGTTGGGGGAGCTAGAAGTTGGAATACAAAACAACTAGAGGACATCAGATTGAGGAAAGCTGCTTTATTGCCCATAAGCAAAGCTGATGATTGAGAAGACAGGAATAGGGAAAAGTGTGCTCTTGTTCTGCCTGTCTCTGTGTGGGTGTGCACAACTGTGAAAAGCTATGGCGGGTGCCAGCCCAGTTGGAAACAAATGGCATTAAAGCCTGAAGAGGAATGAACAATCCAGGTCCATAAAACGTGGTTCACATTGCCAGACATCTCATTGCTGGTACTTTCTGGCTCTTTTACACATTCTTCTTTTCATCTTGATCTGCTTTGTGTGGAGAGATTTTCAAACATTTGAAGTGGCTCGTGGACTGGTGTAAATACTAGAGTAGTTCCAAATAGCCATAAGTTGGTGTGGACATGCACTGAAAAGATACACTGCAGTGTATGCAGCAATGCATCAGGTGGTAACAAATGGAGAAGCCCTTCTCAGGGCGTAACTGTGCCTCTTCAGTCCTGAAAACCCGACACTTGTAGATCTGGTGATCAGAGACAGTTTTGGCTCTCAAGAAAATGTCGCACTAGTTTTGTGAGTGGTTAGCTCAGCCTCTGTGGTAGTCATACATACCCAAACCATTGTGCCTTTATCACCTGCAGGGTTCAAAGAAAATCAAAACAGAGAGTGATAAGGCTTCAGAGCCAACAAATGCTGGCTTTGATGGAATGAGTGAGGAGGAACTTCTAGCAGCAGTCCTGGAAATCAGTAAGAGGGAAACATCACTGTCGCTGAGCCATGATGAAGACAAGCCCACAAATAGTCCAGACACTGGCTTTGGAGATGATGAGCTGCAGGAATTGCCAGATCATATGGAACCTATGGATGTGGAGAAGCCCAAAGCACTTGCAGAGCCAGGTAAAAGTAACATTTCAAACAGTTTTTTTAAAATAATATCATTTTTCTACATTTCGAAATCATTTTACAAACTTTAAAATATCCAATGACTTCCCTTCTTCTCCTTCCATGGTTCATATTATATATAATACTTTCCTGCATATTTTACTATAACCATTCAAATCAATTTTCCACTTTTACATTGATCAAATATTGTTTGTTGAATTTATCTTCATGCTGCCAGCGTTTTCAGCTGTGTACAATTATTTTCCATATATTCAGTAAACATTTTCCACTCTTCTTTAAATAAAATCCTTTATTATTTTATTCACATAATATACATTCTTTACAGCAAACAACTCCAAAATAAGCAGACAACCTTTCTAAAAAAAAATTTAACTGCTCATCCATGTTTTTGACCAACATTTTAGTTTTGTCTGAATTTATTTTAAACCTGCCACTTGTCCAAACCTTTTAATTTCTTCTAGCGGTTTGGGAACGCTCTCCAATGGTTGTTTCAATGTTAACACCACATCATCAGCGAATGCCCTTAATTTATAGACTCTACATCCCACTTCAATACCTTTCATTTCTCCTTATATTCTCAAGCAGTATTTCTGACATCAAGATAAATAACAATGGAGATAGGGGACAACTTTGTCTGGTTCTTTTTCTTACTTGACATTTGTCTGAGAGAATATTATTTACTAATATGATGAGAGTTACCTGTAGCTCCATAAATCTATTCTGTTCTCTGGAGCAGATTTGGGGAGGGCACAGGGAGAGGAAGTAGAAGGTTTTTTTTATGCAAACACAAATCCTTGCAGTAACAGAACCATTTTGGATACTGTCCTATGTTGATCTTTTTACATGTAAAAATATGGCTATCCATTTTAAGTTCCACTTTTATTATAAAAATAAGCATAGGTTACTTAACTGTGTTGGCTTATAATTGGAAAGGGAAAAGAAGACACAAAGAAGACAACCCATGTGGAGAATCATGCAAAAATTGTCTTCTATTTCTCTTCATTCTTAGAAACTTAATGTAAAAATAAAAAATGGGAATACCAAATTAAATCAGAAGTCCAGAAAGGCAAAATTTAGGGCGAGCTTGGTTTCTCATGCTGCATATTTCAGGCACATAGGTGCAAATAATCTTTGCTCAGTGTGATTTTTTTTTAAAGGTGTACAATAAAATACTTAATACTACTCATTTTTAAAGGCTTGATCAAGTGGGAAAACGTTCTTCACTGCAGAAAACACTCCCCCCCCTTGACAGAATTCATCCTGAAATACCAGTAGATGTCACTCTGCTCCTGAGACTTGAGTAGAATGAAAAGGACTTAGCTGGTGACCACCAAGAAAAGTTCCCCCTGCAACTGCTGCTAAAAACAAAATTAAAGCATCAACGTGGTATTTTTGTTTCCATAGGTTTTGCCAACTTCCCTGAGATAACTAAAGATTTTGATGAGAATAAGGAAAATAAAACTCCGGAAGGCACTCAAGGGGAGGTTGATTGGCTGCAACAGTATGACATGGAGCGAGAAAGAGAGGAACAGGAGCTACAGCAGGCTTTGGCTCAGAGCCTCCAAGAACAAGTAAGAGCCAATGCTCTTTCACAAGCACTTGGAAATCAAAACAGCCAACCAGAGATTCCTTCTCTGGTGATAGGAAATCACAGGGAACAGTTAGTGTCTCCTTTAAGAAGACGTATAAGAGGGGTTATTTTAGCCTGCTCCATAACATGGTACAAGAGACCTTTGTTTACTAATCTTTGGCGGGGGGTGGGGAGCATTGAAGAGCTTTTGTAAAGTTGGATTTGAAAGCTTTCATGAATACTTTCAAATTGATGAGCTGAATAGGCACAGTAGTGTTTAGGGAAACTTTTAATGTTTGATTCATTACTGTATTTTAATATTTTATTGGAAGTCGCCCACAGTGGCTGTGGAAGCACAGCCAGATGGGCAGGATATAAATAATAAATTATTATTATTATTATTATAGTCATTGGGAATTATTGTGAATTATGAGGGGAAATACCCTAAAAATAAAAGGGTTTGTCTTATAACTGCCCTGATTGAAGTAAGTGAGAGGGCTTTTGGGGAATACAGAGCCACCTACCGATGAAATCTGTTTTTTGTTAAGCTGCAAGCACTGATACTCTTAGAATTCTTCTTAAATGCAGTAGATTTTTCCATTCTTCATTAATGGCTTGTGTCCTCATTTAGCTTTAGGCAGAGAGTAGCATACGCTTTGCTACATTGTGGGAAATTTTGTTCAAAACTATTGTGCTTTGCAAGCAGTTCACATTCATTTCAAGACTTTTCAAAAGAAAAGCTGTAGAGAGCTTGTTGTGGCACTTGGGGACTTGCTGTGTTGCATACCAAACTTGAGCAACTTAAACAACCTTTTAATTAAGGCTGGCCCTGTGGAACATTTGGGCTCTGGCTGGTCTCAAACGTGCCTGCACAGGGAATTAGGTTTGTTGCAGAAACTGGAGTTGCATAGTTCTCAGTGGCAGTAACAGAACCTATAAAAAGAACAGGAAGTGTCTCAGTGAACTAAGTTTGGTTCTCTACCCCAGCAGGAGGCGCGGGAACAAAAAGAAGATGATGACCTTAAACGAGCCACTGAATTAAGTCTGCAAGGTGAGATGTACAGGAGAAAATAGGGATGAGTTTTCATATCATTCCACAATTGCTCACAGTACTTGAAAGGAAGCTGGTATTTTGTTCTTTGCCTCATTTGTATTACTTTGTGCTCTAGTCCTTCCAGTTTAGGTTCAATATAAAAGCACATTCAGCTGGTAAACTCTGAAACACAACATGGAGATCAGTGGAATTGTTTTATTATTCTTTCTTTTTTTCCTCCCTTGAAATTCCTCATTTTCTGTCAGAGAATCCTCATTAAGTTCACATTCCAATTTCATTTTCTGCAAATTTTTGGCAGCAACTCTGCTTAAAAGCCTTTGTAAAATGTAAATGGTTTAAGCTCTCCCCCAAGTGAGTTTTCTTTGCCTTCCAATGAATACAACGGGGGAAAATGTGTTTGTTTGGTAGACAGTTATAGGACATAAAGGAATTGACTCATATCATTGCTGCATGAAAGCACAGATAGTTAAGAGATGCAAAGTACTGGTTTTCTACTGAAGGCTTTTGCTACTAGAGAGAGGTAGATACAATGCTGTTAGGATTTGTGGGCGTAGCAGAATGCTCTATAGGCAATCATAGCTTGTTTTCTGTGGTTCCTTCTCCCTTTCAGTTTGTTCTGCTGACCAACTGTACTGTGCCTTGTATGTAGGCTGATCTGTGATCCACCAATCCTGACCTGTCTTACCGAGTCAGTGGTAAAAATGTGAATGTCAAATTTCCAAATCTGTAAAACTTAACAACATGGGGTTTAATCCTGGTTTAGGTGATCTACAGCAAAAGCTATGACAAGTGGCATAACTTTCATTTGCAAGTAATTAACTCAAAGCAGAACTTTTTTATTTAGCAGTAAGCAGAGTTGGCTTCAGAGTATTATTATTGCGATGATGGTGGTGGTGGTGATAGTTCTGTGAAAACTAAAGCGGAAATGTTACAGAACCTCAAAGCTTAAAATTTCCCACTACTTAGAAAAAGTTGCATGTATTTTGCTCAGTCCAGCAACTATTAAATTTCTATATTTTGATCACTTCTTGCCATGAGCTAAGAGGCAAGATGCTAGCACACTAGTTGCATTCCACCTTTTAACTGGAGCAGCAACATTTGAGAGCAGTACCTCAATGAAGCCTTAAAAGGATGTTTCTTTGCATAAAATTGAAAATACAGAAACTATTTGCTGTGTGTATATAGAATATTTACTTGATGCCCATTATTACAGTGCTTTATTTAGCAAAGGAGAGGGAAATATTTTGGATAAATGGTGTGCTGGTATATTGTCAGTTTTGTGATATGCTTATGATCAAGGGTCTTACACAGTATCATTTTCATGGTGTTTAGAGTTTAACAGCTCTCTTCTGGACAGCCTTGGCTCTGATGAGGACTCTGGGAATGAGGATGTTCTGGACATGGAGTACTCAGAAGCAGAAGCTGAGGAATTGAAAAGAAATGCTGAGGTGATGGTCTGGGCTATTGGGAGTAGCTCCCATTTTATTACCATACGTGGAGTAAAAGCATATAGAAATGCTTACGGGGAGCTTTTCTGTTTTGATGGTTCAGGTTGTTTGGTATGATATCTTTAGCTATCTTTGAGACTGTTTGTAAAGTTCTCTCAGTGGGTGGTGTTTGAGACTTGGGTTCAAATGCCTGCCTCATCATTTGGATGAGTTACTCTTCCTCTTGGAGATGAGGGTGGAGAAATAGTGATTTCCCTTTAGGGAGAAGGATGGAGTGGGGGAAATGCACATCTTGATTTGTTGGCTAAGCAGGGGTGGGGGGACTTGTGGCCTTGTATAGATTGTTGAACTCCAGTTCCTATCAGCTCTAGCCAGCATGACCAGTGGTCAGAAACTAAGGGAGCTGTAGTGTAGCAATGTCTGGAGGACCACAGGCTCTGCATCCCTGGGTTAATTAAGCTGGTATTTCATGCAGCACAGTAATTACATTATTGGTAAGATAAGTTTCTTAATTGTGAAGTAATCATACAAGCACCTGTTTAGTATTATGTTGAAGTTTTGTTTTGTTTGTTTGCTGTATAAATTGAAAAGGTTATTTTTATACTCAAAGGAAAAGGTTTTACAAGCCCATCAACCTGCATTCCTAAAACCCAATTTTTAACATAGTGAAGTGTGACAGTAACTAGCCTTCCCTTTTAGAGAATGCAGGCAAACAATGATTTTTCCACTGTTCCTTCATACATCTTGAATATTGTTGTAGAGATGTTTGAGACAGTCTTCTTCCTCACAATTTTCTGGCTATTGTGCCTGTTGTATTCTGTTGATGTTTCAGAATAGTTTCTTTGTGCTGTCTCTCCCCCTGCTGGTTTACACATGCCCTCTAGGAAATCTTCCTGTTAGTGCATTGTAGGCTGTGACCTAGGTAACACCCAGTAAGGTCAGAGTTTCCGTACTGAGCCTTTTGGAGCTCTGCATTGGCACATTGATGGCATTCCAGTTTCTGGGGTTTTAACAATGATGAGAGCTAGTTCAAAAATGAGAGGAAGTTAAGGCTGTATGTTCTCTGCTCCTGAGTTACCCGTAAGCTTTGACCTGAGCAAATTAGCAATATCTCAAAAGGTTTGCTCCAGTGTTTGGCGCAATAAAGATTTTATGGTAGCTAAACCATAATCTACCTACCTTTCTCAGCCTGGTAGAAGAGCAAACTTAAACTAATAATTGACTTTTTCCTCAGACAGGAGAGCTGCCCAACTCCTATCGACTCATTAGTGTTGTCAGCCATATTGGAGACACTTCCTCCTCAGGTAAGGCAAACATCACTTCCTTGATAGCTCTGCTCTCTACAGGAAAAGTGTGTCTCTTGTGTTTTTTCAGCAACCAAAACCACAAGGGAAAAAGAAGAAGATTGTTAATATTTCATTTTGTGTGCGTGGGGGGAAAAATCAGTTTTCCCAGAACCAACAGGGTTGTTGCCTAAATTCAGCAATTCAGTTAAGCTCACTGAAGCCCATAGAAATAATTATCCAAGAGAAACCAGCTATTTTAAGTGGAATTCATCTTGCTAGTTTAAATCAATCATTTTCAAAATAGCAAAATGCAGTTTGTACTAGGGAGTGTTATTGTCTTTCAGTTTATTAATTAATAAACAAATTGGCTTGAAAATACTTCTGATACTTAATGTAGTCTGGAAGCTACAGTCTATGGTGTTCTAAGATTTTCTTTCTCTCTCTCCCCCATCATATTGAAGGTCACTATATTAGTGATGTGTATGACATTCGCAAGCAAGTATGGTTCACATACAATGACTTGGAAGTATCCAGAACTCAAGAAGCCTCTGTGCAGAGTGACAGAGACCGGAGTGGCTACATCTTCTTTTATATGCACAAGTAAATGTACTTTATGTGTCCTCCCCAAATGGTCCAATCCTTTTTTATTTGCATTTGCATTTCCTACCCCTGCTCTACAGCTTTGCTTCCCCATTAAAAGCTTTCCTTCTTCTTTGATGTGAACCTCTTTTGTGTTTCCCAGGGAGATATTTGATGAGTTGCTAGAAACGGAAAAGAATATGCAGCTGCCTTGCACGGAGGTGGGGAAGCCAGTTCGGCAGCCCATTTGAAAAACGTCGCTTTAACTGAGCACAAGTGATTTCTGAACTTTTGCCTGACATGCAAGAGCCACAAACCCCCGAGAACTCAGGGCGTAGTTGAGACAACCCCATGGAATAGGAGGAATGGACCACTTCACGCCTTCCTTTTGAATTTCAACCATGCAGCTAAGCTTCTTTTACCTGGAGTTTCCTTCTTATTCTTTTGTTTTAAATAGTCAAGAAATAATTGTGCCAGCAGCCATGGTGTTAATCAGGCCAGAGGATTTAATGGCTCCTTCAAAAACTCATAAAAGGATGGTGTGAGAAGCGACTTCGAGTTCGCCCATTTACCTCTCACAGGGAAACTGAGAAGATGCTACATATTGGGTGGTTTTCTATGCCTTCCCTACACGAGAGCAAAATAAGCAATAGTCTCAAATCTGGTAAATATTGTGTACATAACGTGAATTGGAAAGTGCTGAAGGCTGACTCAGCTAAAGGCTGACCCTGGCATTGCTGAAACTGGGACACCCATGGTCTTTAATACAGGATCACACAGATCCAGGAAACAAACTGTCGGTGCTTTGGAACCCATGGATTACATCTTCACATAGTTCACTTTCGTCCTTGTTTTTAAAGTTAAAATATATACTATATAAATATATATATATATAATTTTTAAAGTTTTTATTCTTTTTTGACTGTGTTCTTTTCTAAGTACTGCCGTTTGCAGAAAGGTTTTATTTCTCTGTGAGCATTTGTGTGTATAATCTGTATTAGTCTGTGTATATATATCTAGATATATATTAGCTGTGTTTCACTGAAGACTGTCCCGGTTTGGCAATGAGAGAGGCAGCTAACTGGAAGTGCAAGTCCTGGCTTTTGGCAGGCCTTTTTTTACCAGTGCCCAGCTAGTGCTAATCAGTAAATGAAGCACGAACGAGAGTTCTGTTTTCCCTGTGTTTGTGTTGGCTTTCAGCCCTGAAAAACTGCACGTGCTTGAAAGAGGGGTGTGTGTGTGTGTGTGTGTGTGTGTGTGTGTGTGTGTGATATCCCAGCTTTACTCTGTTGGGCAAGAGTTGTATGCCAACAGATGAAATATTAAAATGTACCTGGATTTATTCTAATTGTGTGGTAAGTGCAGTTAAATCAGTTGAAAAAATCAGAGAACTCTCAAAAGTGGTTATTTGATGTTTTCGAGACATTTCAGGGTGTAGATGTTAGGGTTTGGTTATTTAATAGTATTTGGATAACACTAAATTCATTTTGTAGCTTGTTTGACAAAAAGGACGAACAAGAAAAATACTATCTAGAATTAATTTGTTTCAGTTCCTCATTTTAATACTGGAAATTTATTCCAGTTTTTTCACTTTTGTGGCAATAAAATTGCTAATAATTGAGGTGCCTCTTGGTTTGCCCCTAACTCAGACTTTTCTTTTGAAAAGGTTAACAGGTGTTGAGAGGGTTGTCGTCCCCCCTTCTTGACAATTGTTTTTAATTACAATTAGAACTTCCTAAGAAATATAATCCTTTGACTAGAAGACACAAACCATGGGCATTAGTAGGCAACAGGTATTACCTGTTGTGGAAGGATTTCCCTGCCGGGCTTATAGAATTACAGGCTGTGTTAGGCAACTCTGAATGACATTTGCTGTGTCAAGGGTAGTAGTAGGGTAATAACTTTATCATTTGCTTGGCTAATCTGCCAAACCAAACAAAAGTTCTCCCAAGTCATACTGCCAAAAGCATAGTGTTTAAATTTATTCTATCATTGTGATTTTGCACTGTTGACGGTCAGAGTTATTTGAATGTGCTTTTTAGTAAGGAATAAGGGGTTTTTCTTGAGGTGTAAAAGAGGAGCCTCAAAATGAAATACTGTTCTGGAGTAAGGCTGTACATCTCTTCCTGATTCTGAGGTAGTGCTGTCCATCTCCTCCCCCCCCCCCCGAAACTCCCAGATAAATGCATTAAGTAGTTGTCATGACACCTACAGGTTCATATTGATAGCATGGTCAAGATAAATTAACTCCCATATTTACAGGCAAAACATTATAGGTAGGTGTCATAATAAGACAGTATAGAGCATCCAGGTTCAGGTGCAGAGTCATCAGAATTGTCAGGAATGTGGACTCATTAGAGCAATCATATGTTTTTGCTTCATCTAGTATTGAGAATGCAATTTAGCCAGAAGTGACTGTAAGCCAGTGATTATGTCAAGCTATGGCAACTTTCTAAATAGTTTTTTGCCCCCTAAGGTGAAATGTGCTGGCAAGGAAGGTACTATCTAGTGCTCCCTCTATATATGTAAATTTACATTTACATCCTTGTTGGCATTTGCAGTCCATTAAAATCTGTAGAATGTGTTGTGCGAGGGAGATTCTAAGCCCAATCAGTTTTTATTGTCTACTGTTTTAACATGAAGTGCTGAAACTGTGCAAGAGTGCTGAAACTGTGCAAGAGTTTAAGTTTGTACAGTTTTCTCAGCCATTCAGGATTACATTTAGAACCAAATTTTAAGTATGTGGTTTATAGGATCTTGTACTATAGGTAATCTTGAGAAATACAGAAACTTTGGGGACCTAAACAGCAGTGGCTTACTGCTGCTGTTTAGAATCCTGTTGCCTGCTAAAGGGAAGGTTTGTTTTTAGAGCAGTGTGATATGTAACTTTCTGAGACATTCTTGGTTTCAAAAGAAGGAAGCAACTAAACATGAGTTCACCCAATAGAATTTATAGTTTGGTTCATGCCTGCATATTTTAAACCTCACTTTTCTACATTTGCCCTATTTTTGCTGTATTTTTCTGCTATATTTACTTTTTGATAAAGAAAAATAGCCATATATGTGTTTGCACTAAGTAACTAAACTCTCCATAACCTCCACCCCTCCCCAACAAATCCTGTATATAGCTGGATTAATAAAATAGCTCAGGTCGTTTGCTAAAGAAAACTTTAGAAATCACCATGCACCTATTTTTTAATGAAGATTTTTCCTTATATAAAAAAAGCTTGTTCTTTCTAGCCATGGGCTAGAAATTGAAAACCTAAGCATGCAAATATAGGGCATTAGGCATCAGTGTTTCACTTAAAGTTAAATCTGTCCATCGGTTTTGCCCTCACTACTGGAAGATGAATGCTCAGTGTTTTATAAATGGAGTCTGTGGAAATAACCTTGAAGATACAGAGGATTCCAGTGATTTCTCTATTCTGGGCTCCCTGCCCCCTTCCACCACGGGGGAGTCAACAGCATAAGGTGTACTACTTGTTTCAGGCATGCAGGGTCTTTCAAGTGCTAGATGGGTTAACAAAACCTGCTTGCCCTGCAGCTAATTAAAGGCTGGATTAATTATAATTAAATACTATTTCATTGGAAATCCATGGAATTTTTCAGATCCCTGTGATGGGAGTTTGGGGTAAGATGCAGAGTTGAGTTTCTGTACAAGAATTGGTGTTCTTTTTGAACCAGTGTAACATGGGGAGTGAACAGTCTCGGAATGAAAATGAAGTGGGTGGGTTGTTGCCCCTATGCTACTTCCCAGTGTTAACCTACTTCTTTGCTCCCCTGCTTCTTTAATAAGTTATTCTCTAAAAACTTAGGGGGAGTGAGTGAGTTGGGGCGAGAGTTCTTGTCATGTGTGTTTGAGGCAGTTGTCTTGGGGATTTTTTTTTAATGTTGGGAGTCACTTTGTGTCCCTTGACACTTAATGTGGAGCAGCACTTTTCTGTGTTTTAGCAGACTTGTTTCTATGTATTCTTTACTAAATTCTGCCTTCTTTTCTTCCTCTTTAAATGATGTGTAGATTGATTTCAGAGAAATTAAACACTCTTCATTAATGCTGAATCTCGTTCCTTTTTTTATAAAAAAAGATGCAGGTGTCTTACAGCTTTGTTTAGCACAGAGTTACATTCCTCTCCTCCCTCTTCAGTGCATTGCACACCCTCAGAATATGCTTGAGAGGGTTGGATGGTTCTCAGTTTTCACTGCTGTTTATTGTTGTTGCAGTTGATACTCTAAATTTATGGCCTTCTATTTTTATGATTCTTCAAAACGTATTCCATTCCTTGGGGTTTGTATCCAACACAGCTGTTTCGTTAGTACAGCAGGCTTCCGCTTGCGTAATGGACTTTTCCCCTCCTCTCCCCTCTAGCCCCCCGTGAACCCTTAAAATCTACTCCAGAGGGTTGGAGGACTCTCAGAGCAGATTTTGAGAGCATATGGGGAGAGGAGAGGAAGGAGAAGTCCTGCTTGCATAAAGGCTTTTGCTACAATCCCTTGTGTTCTTGGCTTAGTTTCATTTTAAGCGTAAATCTATTAGAGAAGTTACGTTTCGAAAAGCCATTTTGATCCATAGAGGAAAGAAATGTGCATTAGAAAGCTGACTTTCTCAGAAAATCACCAGGCCACCAAATGTGCAGTTGTTCTTGCATTTCCCTTCAGAGAAATGAAGCACTACTTCTGCCAGTATGGAATAGGTATAAACCATTCTCTGAACAAAGTCTAGCTCCTTGAGACACATTAGCAACTGCCTGTGGAAAATCCATCCTAGTTCTGCTTTTGTCCTGTAAGGTAAGGTGTGGTAAGTTGCTTCTCAAGTGGGGGCAGATCCTCATTTTGAAGACCTATGTATCTGCATTATAAAATGCATATGGTAAGCCATATGGAATACTTTTCATTAAGGAAACTTCAGCTTGCTGTTCTACTCATTGCTTAAAGCCTGATAAATGGAAGTAACTGTAGTTGTTAGTCCTGTTGTCAGCATTTTCATGTGTGATTATTGAATAATGGGAATTTGCAGTCATGAATTTTCTACAAAATTTATTTGAATTGCCTATGATTAGCCCTAGCCCACTAAATGTGATCAAAAACCACACTTTGGTGTGCAGGCGAATTGGAATTCACTCTGCACTTCTGGGTTCAGAGAAAAACCATGGAAAGTGGTGTGTATGTAAAGAAACAATTTAAAATTGTGTGGAAATGTAGTTGCATCAATTCCTGTTTCACAGGGGCGGGGTAGGGGGACTCCTCCCTATAGTATAATACTGGGGTTGGTAAAACAAAACTGCAGAAATTTGTCAACACTGAGCATACATAATGTAGATCTTAGTGATGTCATTGCAGACATATTGGGGAAAACAATGTGGAAGTGCCAAAATTTATTCAGGAATTCAGAGAAGGGAAGATTAAGGGGGAAATGGAGTGATCAGCTACAAGACAGCCTGGTGTTGGTGACTCACTAGAATAAATCACTACCTTGTTTCCTAGGTGGAGAAAGATGATACTCAAGTGGGCAGACACAAGTTTAAAGGCTCCCTTTTCCTGCCTGGGCTGCCCTGTGTTTCTAGTAACTCAGAATTTGACCACCTGTAGGGTTAATGACTAAAATCCCCTTTGTTGCTGCATATAATCCAGTGGCAGAAAATGCTTGATTGTTCATTCTGGGACACTCCAAACAAACTTGGAATTATTTTTATTTTAAGTAAAAATATCCACTTTGAGGCAATGACAGCAGAAAGTTTACATTTTTAGAAAAGTCCTTTTTCCTTCTTGAGAGTCTGTTGCTTCCATTGAGGAAGGGCAGCAAAGTTTTGTCGGGACATTCCAAAGACAGCAAGAAAATCTTCATCTGATATGTAGTCCTATGGGATGGGGGGAAAGGGCAAGGATGAGAGAGAGCGCAAGTCCAGTCATAAAGGTAACACACTGTAGTGAAAACACTACGTCCAGATTTCCTGTGAGTATTTGGGGGCACAGCCTGATAACACTCAGACAAGATGGCATGCTCAGAAGAAGTCTAAGGAAACTGGAGATTGTTCTGTATTTTCCTCAAGTTGTTGCCACTTTATGCTGGTTCAGAATGAATGAACAGTGGGAGGTATTCAGCTAACTTTTTACACCAGTGCACAAATTAGCACTGGCACAAATTTTCTTCCTCCTCCTTCTCCCACACAATCTCCAAATCAGCTCTGGAGGATCGGGGGAACCACCAGAACACATATGGGGGGAACACATGGGGAAAAGAGGGAGGGAATGTTCCATCTCTCGCTCACAAATCCTTGTGCTGATGGTCTCCCAGCCTTAACACTATCTTGAATACAACCTAATATTAATTGGGGCAGATGGGGATGGCTATGGAAAGGAACTGTGCATATCAAATGCTTCAGCACATTAGCAAGCTTTTATTCCTACACCCATTAGATGTTTGTAGCCCTGATTTAGCATACAGTAGCCTATTCTGTATCTGGATTTGGTGATGTGAGATTAAGCTGTGCCAAGATCTGCATACACCACCACTTTGAGCTCTTTGGAGGAAAGGCAGGATATAAATGCAATAAATAAACACGAGAAATGTGAATGCAGCCCTGGGATCTCACCTCCTTCCTGCTGGGGTTTACATCGCTGGGTAGTTCCTCTGCAGACACATTCATCAATTTCTCCAGAGGGTAGGTTGACATTGAGATACTACCCAAGGTTGTGTTGGCAGTGAAAACTGTTTTTGCATCAAGGATTTCCTGAAAGAGAAATTGGAAGGGGGAATCCCCAAAGCTCAAATGTGTCTTGTATCTATTTAAACAAGAGTTGAGGCAAGGCTTTTTTTCAGCCTCAGCAGAATTCAGTTCCGGCACCTCTCAGGTGGGCGTCATTGCCATTATGGGAGAACTAGGGAGGTGTTCATGGTGAGTTCCAACACCTCTTTTTCTAGAAAAATAGCACTGAGTTGAGGGAAGGTAAATTGGCATTGTAAACTGAACTGTTTTAGATCAATAAATGCATTTATTGATCTAAAATGCAGTATTGTGTGTTCTGGTACACTTTGTAAGAAAGGAGTTTAAAAATTCTAGCGCCATCCAGAGGAATAAGAATGGTAGAGTTGGAAGGGACATGTTGGTCTGTTGCGGCAGAAATAGTCTAGTACACAATCACTTGTGCCATAATGCTCTTGTCTTTAAGGTGCTGCAAGAAGGTCAGTCGCTACAACATCAGAGGAACAGTGAGGGAGGTGGAGAGGGCATGCTGTGGGCAATGTTCTCTACAAGCAGTTAACCTCATCCTTAAAGAGGAATGCAACTCCGTTGCTCCTCAGCTGTTACCATACTTACTATCCCTCTAAAGGGAAGTTTTTCTGGAGTAAGTATTGCAGCCTTTTATACTGAAATAACTTTAAAAGAAGGCCTTACATCCCCCAATCAGATAGTACAGGCATGAAAAGCTACACAGCAGTTACTGCTATAAAATGAACTTGGGTCCTATTGTTCCTGGTTTCCTATGAATTAAATGGCAACTGTGCCACCTGCACTTGTATATGATCAAACACGTGTTCTCCCTGCTTTCTATCCCACTCTTCAGTAATACTTACAGAAGTGATCTGGCCAAGGTTGTCCTCATCTACAAGTTCAGCTTTTAACTCTTCATAGGATTTCTTCTCCTGCATGAAGATAGACCACAAAAACCCTGGGAGTTACCAGACTACCCACACACATGAACATTTTGATTTGACTGAAGGCTAGAGAGTTAAAATAGGATTCCTTAAAGAGAAGTCTGCTGAATCTTAAGCCTGGTAACCTATGTGCTCATCATCATTTGTGGATACAGACAGTCTGGATGTAGCTAGCTACACTTCAGCATGTCGAAAGTTCATGAGAGCTAATTCTGATGAAAATCTGTAGGTGGGGTGGGTAACGTGCTTCCAGCTCCCATCGTCTCCAGTCCACCTGGCCAAAGGTCAAGGATGATGGCAGCTGTAATCGAACAACATCTGGAAGGTTAGAGGAGAGCTCTAACAAGGCAGAGCAATTAGAGGGAAAGTAATGTTTTCTACACATTTCAAACATGTCTTTGAATTCACACGGGATTAACCTTTGTTGCACGACGTGGTGTTCTCAGCTGCCTTTTGTTAGACCTGAAAGAATAAGGGCCACTAGGTCACTTACTGTCCCTTTGAGGGGGTCCCATGCTAGGAACCAGCCAGTGAATGTCGGAGGCTCAAAGCCTTGCTTCACAATCACAATGGGAGTGTCAAGGTCACGTCCACCCGGGTGAGTTCGCAGGTACTCCTGCACCGTTACGGCTGCTGCCTCCTTCTCAGCCTCATTTGCATCTTTGCCGATCCAGAAGTAAACCTGGCCGGAGAAAAAGCTCTTATGAATGGAAGCGGACATGCAGCTCATGTGCTGGTAGCTGGATCAAAAGGGAGAAAGGTTCAGGGAATTCTGCCCTTGCGTTTGTGTTTGCCTGTGTATATCTCTCAACCGTAGACTTAAAGCTTTTGTGGCAGACCATAACCCCCTAAACCTTAGGGAACCTTAGCTAACAGTTTCTAGAGGGGTAGTGGTCATATTCATTTCTTACCCCAAAAACAACAAAATTGTGGCACTTTAAAGGCTAACCAGTTGGTTAAGACAAGGTTTCGTGGACTATAGTTCACATTATCAGCTGCATGGAGTGTTAATATAGCACAGTAATTATATCAGATGAGAAGTGTGTGTGCGCGAACAAAGCTGTAAAGAAATTCCAGCATGCAATATTAGCCATTAAAGTAAAATTCAATAGCATTATTACGGGGGGGGGGGATTCATTGCCAATGTGCTTCATTGAGCAGCAAATGCTTCCTCTCCCTATTCATTCTTTACCCCCCACCTCAGACCCACCTGGTCCCAGGCATCCAGTAGGAACACATCATCTTCTTCCAAGTCATCTTGAGTAAAATTTGTGATCTCCATGGCAAGGAAGCGCCCCGTCTTATTGGAGCACTGAAAGAGCCGAGGTGTGATGGCAATTGTTTCCTCCTGTAATCTGCACAAAAAGAGGGAGAGAGACAGGTCAGGTGGCAGGTCAGCTCCCTATTTGCACACAAGCACATGGAGAAAAAGCCATATATCCAGCTTTTCTACCAGGCCACATCAGATGCAGCCGTTCTCAACCTGTGGGTCCCCAGATGTTGTTGGACTACAACTCCCATCATCCTTGAGCTCTGGCCTTGGGGTGATGGGAGTTGTAGTTCAACATCATCTGGGAACCCACAGGTTGAGAAAGACTGGATTGGAGCAATCTAGAGTAGAGAAGCAGCCAGAAAGGGTGTGCGAGGGTTTCATTTCCCCCTGAAACTCCTTGCCACTTGCCTCTAAAATAACCACCCTCTGCAAGTGGATTTGGAGGGAGGGAAACTGACACTTGAGGTTTTCTCGCACATGCCTTAAAAAGCCACCAGAGTCTTCCGATTTTGAGTGGAGATGGAGGCTGTGGCTTCTTCCATCCAATTCAGACTTTGACATTAGGAGAGTAAGGATTGGCGTGTAAGAATGCATTGCCTAGGCAGGACCGGCCCTGCCATTAGCCAGTGTGAAGTAGCCGTTTCAGGCAATGGAGGCTGGGAGAGATGGCAACCACACTAAGAAAATTCAACTATGAACCCCCAAATTTGGAATCCTGTTCCAAACCTGTACCAAAGGTTTGCACGTCTTTTACAGCAAAATCCCAGCATTTTGCAGCACACCATAAACTGAGCAATTGATACATCAAACACAGGCTTCATGCTTTATATTAACTATGAACCACAAATCGGTGCCAAACTGGTGGAGTTCTAGCCCCCCTGAGTGGAAGCCTCAGTAGCAGCTATGCTGCCTTGTTGGTGGCCTGGGCTGGTTGGCTTCCTTGCCTCACAGTATTCTGCAACCAGCATGCCCTTGCCCAAGTGATCAGCTGTAAGGTAGTCAGCGGAGGCCATAAATTCTGGTAGCCATGGTGTGCACACATCTGCTGCTCTGATGATGTGATGCAGGCAGCTAGCACTGCCTCTGCAGAGCAGCACTTGCCCAGGTGCCAGATGTTACCTTTTGTTGTTGGCGTACTGGGACTTCCCGCCTAGCGCAATCCAGAACTCCGCAGGCTCCTGTCCTTCTGCGATCACTGCTTTCTCGGTCTTGGAGATCAGGTCAGCCACACTCCTGGCCATCTCCCTCTCATCCCCACTGCAACCCTGCAGGAAGGAAAACCAGACTGTGGTGTGGAGGTTGGGGGTTGGGTCAGCCTTTCAATTAACTAAATTCCACTCCCTCTTCCAAAGCTGAGGATGTTTGTTCTGGATCACACTTGCTAGTGCCCTCAGCCTCCAAATCACCCACCAGCTGTGCACTTCTCCCGGAAAGGATGCCTACCTTCCCATACCAGAGGTAGCAGCAACTCTGAGTCTTGAGGATAAAGACATCGTTGGAATTGAGGGAGGAGGCCCGGGGAGGCACCTCAAAGGCCTTGGTGTTGAATTCGTTGGTCCCATGCACCTGGAAAAGGCGGATGGTGGGCACTGGAGCTGTGCTGCCAGCTCGGGAGGTACCACCCTAGGTGTAAGGAGGAAGGGGAAAAAGAATTTAGACAGCTATGAGAGTCCAGGCATCACTCCAGGCTTCTAGGGCTTGGATACTACAAGAGCAAGAGAAATTATGCAAAATTCATGCACACTTTCTGAATGGGTGCTGTGTTGAGGAATTCCACAGCCTCTCAGCCATGCTTCTATAGAGCATGAGCATCACTGCACTCCAAAGCCCAGTGCATTGGTTATATCATCCCAAATAAAGGTCATAGGACTGCATGAAAGCAAGATCTATTCGTTAAGCCTCAACCCTCCCCCAGAGACATAAACTATTTTGTACAAGCTTTGTCCCATCCATTATTTCACCTTCCACTGCAGAACTATAGGAACTGGTCCCAAAAGGCCCCTTTCCTGACACAGATGAGGTCAGGTCACTCTGTGACTGACGCATTCTAGGTTCCCCTTTGCCTTGATAGCTTCCCGTTCCACAGTAGCCTTTTCCGCCACTGGAACTTAAACCCACTGCTCCTTGTCCTGTTCAGGGCATGGAACGAATGGGATATTTTCCCCTTCCCTTTCTGAAATCTGACAGGAGGGTCACATCCGCTCAATATACAAAGCACCACCACCAAAGGAAAAGGGATGAGGAAGCGGTAGAGTGCTCAACCACAAACAGCTTACAAAGTGGCAACAAGAATACAGCCTGTCATAAAACTCCCTTGAAGTGATATAACTCCAGATTAGGAAGCTTTGAGACCAAAAGACATGTGAAGTGGGAAAGATGTGTTTTGATCTCCCAGGGGGCTTTTAATATTATTATTTAAAGCCCCTCTGGGGTCTCAGATTTTGATCGGAGAAGTGCTGCTGGTGGAGCAAGTGTTCACTTCTCTGTGATTTTCCTAGTCTAAATTGCTCCCCCATCCCCAAAACTATGATTATCTCCACTGGGGGAGGGGAAACAAGGGAACCTGTATTGTGCCTGTTATTCCCCATCCCCCCAAAATACCTACTTGGATGCAAAACCTAAATCCCCCGTAGAACTATTGTTCTGATCAAAATTAGAGCCACCACTGGATACTCTAAAGTTCTCTTTGGATTTCCTGTTTCGTATCTGTTTTGCTCCCCATTGTACAGCTGGGAAATGGAAAGGGAGACAATATTAACCACTGAGTCTGTCCCTCTTGTGCTCACCGAATACACCACCATGCGTCCCTTGAAGATGGCCATAAGATGAGCAGGCTCCTTGCCCATGGTCACTCGCACCTGCACAGGTTCACCATTATACTGTTGGTCCAGAATGACAGCCTGGTAAGCAGAGGCAGTGATCTCGTCGGGACTGGCGTGGCGACCCTGGAAAGCAGCAACAGAGTAGGCTGACGTAAAAGTTCCGACTGTCTCTCAGCTACAATTCAATGGAGAGAGGACTTCAAAACTCATGACTGTGAACACAGCATCCTACAGCAGAATCCAGTGGCATCTTTAGGGTCCTGAAAACTTCAGACTCCTTTGGAAAGGCAAATTCCTAGTACTTGTTGTTGTTGTTGTTGTGAACATGCAAACGGTTTCAACAGCTCCTAGGTGACATGTGGAAGGTCTTTCTTCTCTCTCCATCTCCTTGGCCTATACTCTGCTTCCTTTGCCGTAATCCCTCCTGCCCACCTCCACCTGCTCACCTGCCAAATGTAGATCATGTAGTGCATTTTACTGGAGACTAGATATTTGTAGAGGATAAGGTAGCAGTCGCCGCTGTAGAAATGACCAAGCCAGCGACCCTCCACTGGTACCAGTTCCAAGTCCTCAATTCGCCAGACCTGTCAAGGCAAGTGGAACATGAGCAACAGGGTAGCAGTAGATGTTCAAGGGGTGGGCAGGGGTTGGTGGGTGGAGGTTTCCTCAGTATAGCCAGGAATATAGTGCTTGGCAAAGTTAGCTCGGTTAGCAGTTAGGTCCATCATAACTGGACACTGCAGATTCTGCAATAAAGAGTGAGATTTCCTGGGAGAAAACAGCAGGGCAAATGGAAGTGTGAGCAAGCCCCTAGAGTGGTGGTGTATATCTGAATTTCTCAACTGTGTACATTTGGGGTGATGGTGGAAGGAAATGTGGCACTGGATACAGAATTCAGCCTTCTAAAGATCTCGATTCTCATTTAAAACACCACCAAAGCATCACTTTTCAAGTCCTTATGGCTATGGTGATATGCTTCAACTTTACTGTGTGATGCCTTGTGAAGTCCCAGAGAAAGAAGTAGTGATGAAGATGGTCCTTAGTTCCTTACGTTCCTGCTGATATTGTTCTTACAGGGCCTGTGGTGAACCCAGGGCAAAGACCTTCCCCAGCCTACAATCCTAAGGAGCACTAAAGCATACCCCATAGCCCTACCAAAGTTATAATTGAATGGTATTAGATTTATATCCCACCCTTCCTCTCAAAAGTGTCCAGGGCCTTATGTTATGTGGCATTCATGCTGCTGTTCCCCAACTAGCCAAGTCACTGGCACTGGATATAATTTCGCAGCTTGTCATCCTTTTAGAAAGGCAAATTTGGACAGCTGTAACCAAGGAGATTTTCTGTCCTTTTGTCGCCACAGCTTCAAAAGGTGTGGCTAGTTTGGGGCTGGTCTTGCCAGATTTATTGCAGCTGCTCACCTTTAACTCCAGCTCTACTTTCATAATGCTAGCATGGCAATTCATTTTGCATATTTGCAGAGCTGAGGCCAAGAGGAAGCCTTTGAGATAGACCTGTCTTGTGCTCTTGTGTCTCACAACAGGTTATCCCACTAAACTCAAAGCCAAAAGGGGGTGGGGACTTGGGTGGGCCTGGTCCTTACCCAGGGCTTTTTCCCCCCAGCCGAAATTCTCCTGAGCTCAGTGCTGGCACCTCTCAGGGGGGCACCATTGCCATTACAAGAGAACAAATGAAGAGTTCATGGTGATTTTGGCACCTCTTTTTCTAGAAAAATGGCACTGTCCTCACCTCTACTTCTCCAGAGCCGTCATCCACCATCTTGTGCAGGGCAGCCATCTCCGGCTTGGCATGGAGAGTGGTGGCATCAAACTTCACTTGCTCTACTTTGGCTGTTGGGCAGCCAGGGAAGAAAGTAGGTAGGTTTGGTCTTAACCAGCACATCTGCGTTGAGGGACCGTGTGGCCCCAAGGATGGGCAGTTATAAGCTAAATAATAAACTTTGATGGGCTCGATGGAAACTGCATGTGTTATTCCTATAGGAAGGAGGCACCACCATGTATGGTTTCCACAGCAGAAAGCAGAGGATAGCAACCCACATGCTTATAAAACCCAACATTTGGGGTTCTGCTGAGAACTGCCCTGGGTTCGTCGGATGCAGGGCAGTATGCAAATTTTAACAACAACAGCAGCAACGACGTTTCATTCTAAAGCTGTGTTTGTTCATATACAACACAAACCCTCAGCAGCCCATGTCAAGGATGCTGCCAATATTAAGAAGGGGGTTCACAATAAATGCTTCCTTCAACCCACATTCAAGGCCACAGGTACCCAGTGTGCTGCTCTCCCATCATTCCTAACCATTACCAGCCATTCATCATGCACCTTGTGGATGACAGGAACTGGAATCCCACAACTGGAGGGGGCTATGTTGGTTACCACTGTACTAGACCTCCGTAGTGGGGGTTTTGTGTGTGTGTGTGTGTAAACAAGAATGAATCTGGCAGAACTTTAGCTCCAGAATTCCCAGAATGGTTTAACAACCAATTCCTCTTCCCAAAGGACTCTGGGAACTGCACCTCTGTGAGGGGAAGAGGGGTCACATAAAAACAACTCTAAGCAGCCTTAATGAACTATACTTCCCAGGATCCTCTGTGAAAAGCCATGACTCTTAAAGTGGTATAATAGTGTTTTTAAGGTATTGTGCAGATGTGGCCCATGTTAACTATGTACATAAGTGCATATTTAATTGTGGATTTTCAATTTTCTTTGCAAATTGAAATTGCGGGCTTTCAAATTTCTTTGCAAATTGATACGGAAACAGGAGAGAATGAATTGAGGAATGAACACAGAAACTGACGCAGAACAGACTGATTTGCCTTTTCACAAAAGAGACAGGCCAAAACAACATTATTTCCCACCTCTTCTTGTGGGGCCCATACCTGTCAGAAGCAGCTTCTAAACCATCAGCTCCACTAAGTTGATCAGGCTTCAGCACTTACCTATTTTCCCAACTGTGTTGGTCTTGCCAAAGCCAGTGCTTTGATGGGGGAGAGTCCATTTCTGAAAGAGCTGCCTAAAGACAGCGGATTCAGAACCGTCATTTTCAGTCTCCACACTGGTGCTGGGTGGGTAGTTCTTTGCCTTCATGTAACCCTGAGATGACAAAGAGAAGACCAGAACAGAGCAACTTTCACAACAAGGTGAGGAAGGACTCCACAGAGACTGTTTAATGAACAGAGCATATTTGGAAGTATCCTAGACTATCACCCTCAACAGCCCAGTGTTATCTCTTTAACAACTGGGGCCTGCAACAAAAAATGATAAGTGTATTCCTCGCCTACTATAACAGCAGTGCTCATGTACATGGTGCCAGCCAGCCAGCAATGCCCCTGGTAGAACGCTCCATTCCATCCCCCTGCCACCAGTTTTCTTTTTCAACTAACACTCAGCATTCTGTGGTTACTGAGCATGCTTGGTCCTCATTGGTCAGGATGATGTTGTTGGGTTTTTTTTTGGGGGGGGGGGAGTGTTGCCCCTTACATTTTGTTGGTTTTTAAAGCTCTATTTTGTTGATGGTAGCTTCCTCTTGCTTCTCATTAGCCCACTTTGGCTCTAGTCCTGTTGGCCCTCACCATCTGCTTTGGCTATTAGAGGGGCTAAAGACAGCTTTGGGTTCATCCAGGCTTTATGCACTTACATTAACTTAGGCTAAAAAGGAAACAATGTAGAACACAAACTAGCTTGAGCTTCAGTCTTTTGCACCCCTGATTTCTAGCGTAGCAATGCGAGACAGAATCGCTGCATTTTTAAACACTGTATATTCTTCAAACTGGAAAACGAAGGTCTAAAAAAAAGGCATGAGTTTGCTTGTTTTTTGCAAATGGTGTCCTGCTTAATAATATTCACCAAGAATTTACCGTAATTTATATGATTTATTGGGGCATTTGTCTGCATTGGTACAGTCATTTTTTCTGTTGACGGAACATTAAACAAAGGACTGGTAGAAGAATTCCTTCCCAGAATCTGCTATCCAACACCACGATTTTACTTTGCTTCATTATAAGGACTGTGATTAAATTATTTTTTTAAAAAACCTGTAAAGTTTTTTCTGTTTTATATACTTGCTTGCCTGATATCCTCCTCAAGCCTATGAAATGGATGAGGCTAAAAGGAGGACAGGCGGGTAGGCAGAAGGTAATATCCAAGCCCTGGTCCAAAATCCAGACAGAGAATCTAAAAGAGTTGGTAGTCATGTTAGTCAAGATCTGGAATCATGGAGCCAAAAATGGCTTTGATCCCTTGAAATGGCAGGAGAGAGAGTGGAGGCACTTTGTTCCAGTATCTCCAAGAAGTTCTGGAACATTGCAAAAGATCCTTGCCCAGATGTGAGACTGTATGGGCTCAGCTTTGCCTTATCCTCTCACTCACCAGGGCCCGTGTCATCGCTTGCCGCTTCTCCTCCTTGCTTGAATTCCTACCCTTCCACACAAAGATCTTCACACCACCTTGGTCCAAGATGAAGCAGTCCTGACAGGAGACAAAACAAAATCCAGTTGTTTCATTACAAAGAAGCTGTTTAGGCCAGTATAGCCCTCTTCCATTACCAGGCTCTCTCTTACAGCATAGGAGGGTAGCCAGTAATCCTCTAGATGTTGATGGACTCCAGCTCCCATCAACCTCAGCCACCATGGTCAGTGGTCAGGGATGATGGGCATTGTAGTCCAGCAACATCTGGAAGACCACAGTCTCATCATTTTAGACTCAAGCCATTCAGATTATAATTTGGGGTTGGAATGGCAATAGGCAGAACAGCTACAACTGTGTTAGATGACACTGGAATAACATATCCACTAGTCTTCCCTTCCCTCCAGCCCCCAACCTATGCTTTAAGCTTGTCATGGTGCAACCAATCCCCCAGGGATGAGTCTTACCTCATTCTTGAGAAGGTCCTGGGTGAGGGGCTGGATGGCAACTTCTTGGATAAGAAGGTTCCCTTCTATCTCAGAGACTCTGGGAGAGGAACACGAGGGTAGTCATGGTACCAGCTCTCCAAAGTGATGTTACTAGTCTACACTCTGGGATGAAGATCATGCAAAACTATAATGGTCTAAAAGCTAAAAATCAGGACTGGGCCTATTCAATATATGAAACCTTGCAGAATTCAGTTTTCTAGAGAACCTCACAGCCAGTTCAGTTAACATAAAAGTGGGGTTGAAAATAACAATGATAAATTACTCCTGCTTCTTTTTTTCTGTACTTCTCCTATGATATCTGAAGCAGAATGTCTGCATCTCACCTGCAGTGACATCACCGAACCCTAAATTGCCTCGGCGCATTCACACACTAATTTTAAAAAGGGGAGGAAGAGCCAGGAAACTAGGAGGATATTTTCTTACCTTCATGGTTACAAGGAAATATTTGAAAGTGGGGGCAGTGTTGGCCAAAACAGCCCAAAAGCCAAGGTGCCCAACTGTAGGGTCTCCTTCCCTTTTGAGATTTATTTCTAGTTTATTTTCTTTCCTTCATAGTTCCAGGCTCCTGCCCTATTCCTGATCTCCCCATTGTCCTCCCTCATACATCCCTTCTGGATGCGTTTTGCTGTCATAGTTCTTTCCAAATCATTTTGCACCCACAAGAAAAAACCCAAACACGACAAACAGAATTGTACTCATTAAGGAAGGTCACACAGGTGCTCTCAGGAGCAGTATTGATCCCAAGAACAGAATAAATGGAACATTTGCTTTCTTGACCAGCATGTGTACTTCCATCAGAGTCTTTCTTTCCCACATTCCCCTGTTCCTGCATCCATCAAAGAGATGCTTGCTCCTCTCTCCTGCAGCTGTGCATCTTTCCACACAACCTCTTTGCCTCACCGTAGTCCCCACTACCACACACCCAATGTCACTCACTGGTAGAGCTTGAGAGAAGATTTCAGCTTCTGGTCCACCACGGCGTCTGGGATGGCAGGCTGAATGTTCCTCTTCTCCCCCAGCACATACTCCATGATCTTCATGAGAATAGGAGATGCAGCTTCGTCCTCCCCATCCACCACACCTACCTGCGCTCGACCCCCACGTTCCCGGTCACGAATGTCCTTGGCTAGGGTCATCCCCTGCAGGAAACAGGTCACAACCACAAGCCAAGGTCAGGGGGTGGCAGGAGGAAGCCTGAATGGCATTAGAAGAATGAGAAAACCCACAAATAAGAGCATGGTGGGTGTGAACAAGAAACCCCATGCAGGATCAGGCCTAAGGCTTATCTAGTCCAGCATTCTAGTCTCACTTCAGCTATCCCCCAATTCATTTATTTCCCTTTTGTCTTAGCCAATTCAGACACAGAACTTAACACCTTGAAGCACCTTGTAGTCATGAATTATTCCTACCACCCTTCCTAGGAAGGGGAGATATACTAAAAAGAGGGAGATATACTAAAAAGAATGATGCCCAATGGCCATTTTAATACACTGAATTTATGAATGGCTGCTGAACTACATGGAACTATGAGCTGATCATCACAGAGTGAATCCATCAATGTAATATACCGTAATCCCAAGGCTATTAGGAAGGCCATTCAGTGTCTTTAGCATGTCCCACCGCTGGGTTGTTATATGATGTTGGTGGCTTTACTTGATCCTGATTCTCCCATTTCCTCCCAATCCATATTTTTTTTGGTCAGCAAAACAACCCTCCTTTTCTTATAATAGAAATGTTACATTTGAATTTCAAATGTCAGATGTCCCACCCAAGAAAGGACAGGCACCAAAATCCTTCTTCCTTGCACAACTCCCGTCTCCCCTGCTTCCACACTTCCACCACCCATGGCAGACTTTGCACCTTCAGTCGCTCCAGGCGGTTGCTCTCTGGACCGTTCCATTGGATGATGAGCTTCCCCAGGTCTAGCAGAAACACATCGCCCAAGTTGAAACTGCTCCAACTCAGCTCCACCTTTGCAAGAGGGGAAAAAAACAGCTGGTGGGAAAGCCTATGTGAGTTTACTGAAAGACAGTCATACCTGGATTCTATCAGTCTGGGGACCTCACACAAGATGATCCCTGTTGGATCAGGCCAAAAAACACATCTAGTTCTCATTATGGCCAACAAAATGCCCATGGAAAATCTGGGAACAGAGCAAGATATATGCACAAGCTAAGGAAGCTACAGATCAGGGCCTCAGATTGCAAAGGACCTCTAAATAAAAAAAATACATATTTATTTCATAGATAGATTGTTGGCTTGCGGTTTCTTGGTTTGTAAATATAAAAGTTATTTCCATTTCCACTGTCATTTCTATTAAAAGGACACCTATAGTAATACAGGTGTCAAAACAGGATGGGCCGCCCCTGCCAGCAGCACACTGCCTCCAACAGTGGAAGTAGAAACATAGCCATTGTGGCTTCAGTAGCCACTGATGACCTCATTAAAAGTGCATCTACTGTACTGCTCCAACAAGAGGTCAAAAGCACGGCAAAATGTTTGATTTTTGTAAGATCTGAGTGCGCCTTCCTGGGCTGCAACACTGTGATGAACCTTGTCTTCATGATCACCCACAAGTGTTCAAAGTGTGGTGAGCCAGTGTGGTGTAGTGGTTAAGAGCGGTAGTCTCGTAATCTGGGGAACCGGGTTCGTGTCTCCGCTCCTCCACATGCAGCTGCTGGGTGACCTTGGGCCAGTCACACTTCTTTGAAGTCTCTCAGCCCCACTCACCTCACAGAGCGTTTGTTGTGGGGGAGGAAGGGAAAGGAGAATGTTAGCCGCTTTGAGACTCCTGAAGGGGAGTGAAAGGCGGGATATCAAATCCAAACTCTTCTTCTTCTTCTTCAAAGACCCCGGTGTCTAGATCTGACAGTTTTACCAGGCTCTAAGCTACCCGCCCTGGCCAGCCTTTTCCCAACATTGCCAGCCCATCTTTGACCCACCTCTCCCGCCATCACATTCTTCTTGCCCTTGACGTGCAGCAGGCGTCGTACGTTGTACGTGTTGGTCTCCACGTGCTTCATGCCAGAAGCCACTCCACCCTTCTTATAGCTGCAGAGGAGAGGCAGGGTCAGGGTCTGGACTGTGGAGGAGAGCACCAACATTCCCAAACAGCTGAGTCTTCAGCTGCATACACACCGTGCATCTAAGGCACATATAAAGCACACAACATCCCCCAAGGAATCCTGGGAAGTGTAGATCGTTATGGGTGCTGGGCATTGCAGCTCTGTGAGGGGTAAATTACAGCTCCCAGGATTCTTAGGGGGAAGCCATGTGCTTTAAATATAGAGCGTGTATGCAGACCTCCCATAGAAGAAAGGGTTGACCTCTACCCAGTATGCCTAATAGAAGCATGGGGCAGAAGGGGGCGGGGGAAGACCTGCTGCCTTCTACAGCCACTCTGCTTTAGTTTTCCCAGAGCCTCTGATGTTAAGAACATTATGTTAGCTACAACACACATTTCAGGCCCTTAAATGGACAGACCTCTGTTCTATGTAGTGGGGTGGAGGGCAACCTTCTGCTGAGTGTTACATTCCCCTAAGTGTAATCTGCTGGGGGCTGCATATCAGCAGTGGGCATAGCTGAAGCCAAATGTGGGTTGGGACCCCCCTCCCACATTTCACCCCTCTTTGCCACTCGCATGAAACTAGGACTGAGGACCTCATGAAATTGGACCACAGGCTTCCAAGTTTCCTACCGCTGCTATAAGGTGCAACTTTAGACATTTTTTGTCCCCAAAGCAAAAACCCAAATGATGCCCTTTGCTTTGGAACCCATTTTAAAATTTTATTATATGTAGTCCTGGTTCAAACATAAGTTGACAAGCCCCGCATATCTTCAGGCTCCCATTCCTCTCCCCCCCCCCCCCGGCTCTCCTTCATATGCAAGGGGGAAAAGATTGAAAGCTTTAATTGTTGGTTTTGAACAAACCACAGTTTATGTCTGCAGTTGGGACATGATGGTTTATTCGCACTGTGGTTAGTTCAAACAAACCTAGATCAAAAACTACAGTTAGATCCTCATTTGAGCTCCCCAGCAGTAAGAATAAACAACAGTTTTCCAAGTTTAGAATAACATGAAACTATGGCTTATTCAAAACCAAAAAAGGAAGCTTTCATTAACCTCTTACATACAAGGAGCAGAGGGCAACATACAAGGCCAAGTCTCACTGTGGTTCTTTTTTAATGCTAAACAAGGAGCGGCAAATTTCTTTCAGCTGAAGTCTGAAGTTGGCCACCCCTCCAGTGACATGTGCCAGTGAGAAATGTGGTCAAAGCACACTTACCACACATACACACAGAGAGACCCATCATGCAAGCAGGGACATACACTCACATGCCGGCAGAGGGGAAGAGACACAGAGACACACATATATTCAGGAAGGCAGGCAGGCAAATTTACTCAGCAGATGGGGGTCACATAAGCAGGAAATCACACCCACACTTTCAAGTAGACAGTCACATACAATCCACAGAGGAAGGACAGGCAGGATTGCTAAACCATGGTTAGTGTCATGTCTTCTGAACCTGGCCAGACAGAGAAGAAAGGTAGGGCAATGGAACCCTCTCTGGAATCTGCCACTTTGAAACAACTACTTAGTAGTAAGGACAGCACTGTTTCTGTCCCTGTCTATTTTTGCTTTTGACCAGTTATCTCCAGTTCCTCCCAGCTGCCCCTTTTCCTCCAGCTGCTCACTTTAGGGAAATAGATTGCTTTGTGTTAGGCTGCCCACAGGGATTAGTCAAAATCTGCTGGGCTTCATTCCCCAGCACTATCACTGAACTGGCTCTAAGTCCTGTCCTCTCGGGACAGGGGTGGCGCTGTGGGTTAAACCACAGAGCCTAGGAACCGCCGATCAGAAGGTCGGTGGTTCAAATCCCTGCAACGGGGTGAGCTCCCGTTGCTCGGTCCCTGCTCCTGCCAACCTAGCAGTTCGAAAGCACGTCAAAGTGCAAGTAGATAAATAGGTACAACTGCGGCAAGAAGGTAAACAGAGTTTCCGTGCGCTGCTCTGGTTCGCTAGAAGCGGCTTAGTCATGCTGGCCACATGACCCAGAAGCTGTACGCCGGCTCCCTTGGCCAATAAAGCGAGATGAGCCCGCAACCCCAGAGTTGGTCACAACTGGACCTAATGGTCAGGGGTCCCTTTACCTTTACCTTACCTGTCCTCTCGTCCCATATGGCCCCATCCCACTAGTCTCCACCCAGATATCCAGATTTTTTATTTATTTCATGAGTTGTCAAGTACCTATAGGAAACACTGGAAGGGCTGATGTGTGTTTCTAAACACACAGTGGACATGTAGCGGAGGAGCCATTGCCAAATGAGACTACCTAGCATGTGTCTCTTAACACAGGTACAACACATAAAAATGTAAAGTGGCTCAAAGAATAAAAAGGTAAAGGTACCTCTGCCCATACGGGCCAGTCGTGTCTGACTCTGGGGTTGCGCGCCCATCTCGCTTAAGAGGCCGAGGGCCAGCGCTGTCCAAAGACACTTCCAGGTCACGTGGCCAGCGTGACAAGCTGCATCTGGCGAGCCAGTGCAGCACACGGAAACGCCGTTTACCTTCCCGCTAGTAAGCGGTCCCTATTTATCTACTTGCACTTTGACGTGCTTTCGAACTGCTAGGTTGGCAGGCGCTGGGACCGAGCAACGGGAGTGCACCCCGCCGCGGGGATTTGAACCGCTGACCTTCTGATCGGCAAGTCCTAGGTGCTGAGGTTTTACCCACAGCGCCACCCGTGTCCCTGGCTCAAAGAATAAGAAGCTGTAATTGCCTGGATCAGCCACCAGAAGGCAATAAGGAGCATTACGTACATTAGCCCCTGTTTGAAGTAGCTCCGGAAGGCGTCACTTTCGTAGCCCTGGACCTCACGATGCTGTACGGCTACTCCTCCCAGGTAGTCATCCATCTGGGTAGTGTAGATGGCAGCTGAGCCCTGCTCATCCTGAGATGATGAACTGCCCAGCCAGAAGTGGACGTCGTAGGTGAAGTTGTTCCCAGTCTTATGCGTCTAGTTGGAAAATTGAAGCTGGTTAGCAGGCCCACCAAAATTGCAGAGACCTCTCCGTCCCACGGCGCTCAGTCAATGCCACAATGATGGGCATTTTGATTCACACACTCAGCTCTCCAAGTCCAACTACTAGAAAGGGACATTGACTCAGATCTCTACTCTCAAACACAAAAGGGTTTCCTCATGCATGGGCGGATCAGTATCACTATCCTAGCCCCAGATCTGTGCTGAATGTAAAAGCAATGGGGAAAGTAGCTAATTCTAAAACAAAAGCAAAAACATTAAGAAACGTCATGCTGTGACATTTCAAGGCCAGAAAGCAAGCAGACATCTTTGAGGATGGAGCTGTTCTGTTCTCCTAGAAACCTTGCAATGTTTATCCTCCTTCTATAACATATATCATGCAGAGGAGCAGGGTTCTTGCAAGGAGTTCTGATTTGATCTACCCACTCAGTTCATTCATCTATCCAGGCCTTATCCTCATATCCAAACTGTATGGCATTATCCAGTTATCCAGAATACGTGCAGTACGACGATACAGGTGTTCACAAATAGTCAGGGCATGAGAACAGAGAAGGGTTGGGAATGGGAGGGTAGGATGTGAAATACTGTATTATTTATTGTTTTATATCGACCCTACCTTTTTACCAAAGCCAGCTTTCAAGGCAGCTTCCAATACACAGAAATGCAAGAACAGCAATTAAAAAAACATGAAAATAAGTGACTGTGTTGAAGCAGCTAATATAAAAACAGCTCTGAAATGAAGCAAGCTTTAAAATAGACCAGCAACAAAATAAAAAATACTTAGCATTTTATGTATCACTTGAGAATGAAGTGTACTTTATCTTGTTATCCCTGAGCTGAGAAGGAGTGACGCTTAAGCCCACCTTATTATAAGATCATGGCGGAATTGAGCTGGCGATGTTTTGATTCAGAGCTCCATGTCTTCTCTTACCTACCATGCGACATCAGCTCTCAAAAGGTATTTAAACCACTTGACTCTCCAACTAGGGTTGACGTAATAACTGGTCCTGTTTATTAAATCAATAAAGTAGGTAATTGTTTTAAAACCCCAAACTTGCCTTGCTTATGCTAATAGGTGATATTTGAGAGGTAAGCAAAGCCATTGCAACAGATGCTGAACAAATGAATACAGCAAACCCAGACATTTTTGGATGCACAAAGTGGCGTGAATCAAGGCCAGCTCAAGACCTTTTGTACCTAAGGCACCCCCTCCCCATTCGAGGTAAAGGTGCTAATTGGACTGGCAACTGAATATGACTTTAACGCTGGTCATGGGAGAGTGTTAGGGGAATGGCCATAGGGATAAAGCACCTGCTTTGCCTGCAAAAGGTCACAGGTTCAATCCCTGCCATCTTCAAGCAGGGATGGGAAAGATCCCTTGTTTGAAACCCTGGAGAGCCACTGCCAGTCAACATCAACAATATTTAGCTAGATGGACCATTGGTCTGACTCAATATAAAGCAGCTTCTTATGTCCTCTAACGCATCTAAGGCAGCAGACTACTGGTAGTTTAGAGGAGGCCAGGAAAGGAATAATTGCTGTCCTCTTACAGAAGAGAATGGTTAGTGAGGGGCAGAGGGGGTTGCTGCTGCTGTTCCCCAGTATCTGCTGCCTAAGATGTTCACTTTGCCCAATGGTAGGGCCAGCCCCGGTCTGAAGGCACATAACGCGGTCCTAATGCTGAAGACAGCCCATCTCTGGGAACTGCTCCTGACTTCAAAAATTAGGTATTAATGTTGTTGCTGCTGTTGTTAAAATCTAAGTAATAGCAACTTAGTGCGGCCTTTAGGGTGGTACTGTATACGTAAGTTTGACAGGACTGGAGTACATTTACTCCTAGCCACATAGGACCTTCCCTTGACGTATCCTTCTTTGACCTCATCATGCTCCATGGTGCACCTTCCATACTTTACATGAGGCAAGTTCCTGCTTTTTTCTTGGGCTGAGCCTCGTCCTTTTCGCCAGCTGTTTTGTCCCATCAAGCGTAGTGACACAAAGGCCTCCACCATTCTTAATTCCTCTTACCGAGAGAATTATATAAGCATCTCCTTCGTAGAAGTTCCCATATGTTTTCGGTGGAATAGGCACCATCTCCATATTCTGGAAGGGAAGGGGGGGGTAGAATTAGCTGGAATTATATACACTACTAAAGATCATCACACACCCTTGTGTTGTGTAAAGAGCATTCTTCCTGCCTTTATCTTCATTTTAAAACATTTGTCCTGCCTTCCTTTCTTCAATAGTCTATTTTTTACCAAGCCCCATCACCTTAATTTTTTTTAGTTTTGCCAAATCCCATCACCTCAGTCTTCTGAGGAAAGGCCATTGCTCAGGGTAGAACCACAGATGAAGAGAAACAATAATTATCAGGTTCAAAGAACAGGAGGGCAAGGGGGCAATTAACCCTATCCTCCCTGTTGCAGTCTTGATGAAAATCCGTCATCCAAAGCTGCATCCTATTTGCATTGGGAGGAAATCCCCCATTGGTGCCCAGCTTCTTTTGCCCCAGCTCAGCTGGTGGAGGCTTCCCAGTGCTTACAGCAGCTTCTGGATCAGGGAGTATTTGGGTTTGGGACCATGGCTGTAAGTGAAAGGATTAACCCCCTCTCCCCTTATGTGATCCTAATGCTGACCAGCCTCTCCCATAGCTGCTACTTTGTGCATATCAATTGCATTTATATAATTAATATCAATCTAGTCTGGCCCTCAGAATAGGAGATACAATACAAGGACTCTGCACCACTGAGCTGGGAGTCTAGAGCAGGGCTAGGAAACCTTTTGCAGCCTGAGGGCCACAGCAGTTGCCAGTTGTGGGCAGGGCCAGAGACAAAACCTGGGTGGAGCAACAAATTCGTTTTTTCCTTTGCTAGTTTCTACACACACACACACACACACACACACACACACACACACACACCCCGCCTTTCCTCCCCACCACGACAGGGACTGAAGGCTGCATATAGAACCACATACTCACACACCCCTTTGTATCCTCCACCCAGGCAAGGAAGCAGCATCATTCGAGTTCAAGAACACATTCCAGCCAGGCAAAAACATTCAGGGTGCAGAGCAGAACCAGTGAGGAGTGTGGCCCATGGAGAGTTCTGAGGCCAGGTAGAGAAGCCATTTGGCCCCCCAGGCCTGACATCCCCCCCCCACTCCTGATCTGTAGTGAATCGGGTTTCAGCTTCTCCTCTTCCTCCTTTGAAAGGCAGGAGATCCCAGGAGAAGGTGGAATCGTGGGAAGAGAGGAAACACACGCCTCCAAATGCTGGTCTCTTTCTCACCTTTATACTACCACATACCTAAACAAACACTCACCTCAATTCTCCATATCTGGAGTCCAGGTGTGGTTTTGTTCAGAGTCCTGGTCACTTTGGCACTAAGTTCTGCTGACATGGTGATGGTCAGTGTTTTGTGGGGAGATCTGCCCTTAGGAATGGGAAAGTTCATTAGCAATGCAGCCAGGTTACAAACAACCAACGTTTAAAAATTGCAGAAGAATGGTCTATGCTCGGACCCCAAACTTCACATCACTACTCCCCACCTCCACATTAATGTTGTTAAGAAAACCAGACTATTACTCCTTGCATTCATTCAGATCGCATTCCTAAAAGTGTGCTAAAGGGGGAAGTATTAAGATGGTTCACACTGCTGTGCTTTAGGACTTTGCTCAACCTGAGCTGCTAGATAACTCCTAGATCTAATTTCTCCTCACAAGAATTTAGAGTGGAACTAACAAGTTGGTAGCTAGTTTAAAGGAAACTAGACATTTTAACTACCATGCAGATGAACTGAGATCTTGTGATGTCTGTGTCAAAAGCCCAAGGGCTTTGCTTAAGTCAAACTAATTCAGCTCTTGCCAAAAGACTTGTTATTACAACGTTATTATTACCAAAAACATTGTTTGGGTTCACTCAAATGAAAGGTAAAGATTTTTACAGCTGGTGGGAAATCAGCCTTAAACCTGTGTCTCCTGAATGAGTAATTATGTATGTACACACATGCTTTCAACATTGCCAAGGATGTCACAGCTGATTTCCTTTAAGTTTATTTCCTATTTCCAGAAGAGAGAGTGAGACAGCAAGTGTGTAGGTGTAGGAACAGAAACATTGGAAGTTTCTGAGTAAGATATTTGGTCCATCTAGCTCAGTATTGTCAACATTGACTAGAAGCAGCTCTCTGAGCGACATGGAGATGGTGGGAACTGAGCCCGGGCCCTTCCCCAAAGAGTATGTGAGAGAACGGTTGAGGGAGAGAGGACATGAGCCCCAGCCCCCTTCATCCCCACAGTGAGTAGGATGGAGCCATGTGTCCTACTTTACACAGTAAAGAGTTATCATCTGAGGACAGGCCGGTCCAAGCCCAGTTTAAAGAGAAATAATCTCCAGAAGGGACAGCAGAATTGGACCTTGAAGTTGCCCATCCAAAGTGAGCACCTGGATGACAGACAGACTAAGCAGGCACACACAGGTCACCTGATCAAAGTTTTCTCCACTTTGGTGAGATGTACTTTATTTCAGTTTAAATTGTAGTAATGGTTTCTAAATTTGAACCTATGCACATGGATTAACCTATGCAAATCTTATGGAAATTGGTGCCCTGGGAAAACAATTTGCTGTGATTCAAACCTAAACCTGCCTCTCATAACAAAATACCTGCCCAGCTCTCCAGCTCCTCTTCACTTGAGCTCCAGGTGTTTCCCTAGTCAGCTAAGTTTGGCTTTTAAGGGGTGAAAAAGGCAGCAGTCGCTTTCCACAGACCAGCTCAGGATATTAGGGAGTGCAGTGCAGTCTAGCTGTCCAGCTCAGGCACGTAAATCATAATGTCTATAGAGGTGATGCACACCTGTAATTTCTCTGCCTGGTGCTAAAATTTGAATGCTTATAGGCAATTTATAGGCAGGCCTGTACGCACGCTGGCAGAAATGCAGAAAAGCCATTGGACATATCATTGGTCACAGAAGTCAGCTTCTTAAAGAATCTTAAGATTTGCTTAAGGGGAAAGCAGCTTTCAAAACCTTAAGATTGCAGATCTATGCTTGGAAGTATGATGGAAAAAATGCTATGAAGATTAAAAGTTAGAAAATGGACTGAATTAGATTTTTAAGGGTCATTGGGGAGGAGGACTTCTGTGTGGGTTCCTTGCTCCTCTTCATGATTAGCAAAAGCAAAATAAATTATGCAAAACAAAACAAAACCCAGCAGTTTGCATAATTCAGCTTTCATCAGAATTTGGGATATCTTGGTTCAAACCCTTTTTATTTTTTTAAGTGCTATGCATGCAGACAGCTCTGGATTTGAGAACTTGAGAAGGCTTGGAAAAGGGATTTCCATTTATCCCTTCACTCTACATCACTGCCACATATTTCACTTCCAGACAATGGGTTTTAAGATGAATGTGTTAAATTGGGCAATGAACATGAAACGTGATTTCAGGTTTGCAGGAAGGGGCCATAGCTCAATGGCAGCACACATGGCCAAATGCCTGGCAGCCTCCAGTTGGAATCTCAAAGAGTAGAGCCTAGAAAGACTTGCCTAAGACCAAGAATCCTTATGCTCTCTAGATGATGATGAGCTGCAGCTCCCATCAGCACCAGTCAGCATGGCCAGTGACCAAGGGTGATGGGAGGTGTAATCCAGCAACATCTGAAGGACCACAAGTTTCCAGTCCTGGTACAGCAAATACAGGACTAGATGGGCCAATAGTTTGATCAGGTATAAGGCAGATTTGTGTTTTTATCAATTAATTGATTGCATTTTTTAATCCCTGTTCCATTAAAAGGAGCTCAGAGGGATGTACAATAAAAGTTTAAAAACAACAGAATCCAGTCAAAATAATTGAAATACTCACACAAGTACGTCAACATTTAAAAAACCATAGCACAATCACAAAACCAGCATTAGAATCATAGAACTGTAGAATTGGAAGGGAACCCGAGGGTCATCTAGTCCAACCCCCTGCAGTGCAGGAATCCGTAGCAGTCCCTGGGTGGGCTTGAACCACCAACCTTCTGGTTAACAGCCAGACACAATTAGCATGCCTTCATTCTGCTAAGGCTTAAGTAAACAGATTAACACTTTTAAAAACCAGGAGAGGTCCTCTCTACCAGGAACAGGGGAGAAAATCAATTCGATTTGCATTTAAAACTGAACTGATCAGAATCACACTTTCTGAAATAATATGAGACGGAAACACCGCCACCCTTCAAAATCCACACTTTCCCAAATTTTGTAATGCAGTTCTCCAGCGTTTACCCAAACGTGTGCTAGGGGGAAATGAGCATAAAAATGAATATATTAGTGGAAATAAGATACAAGAAGGCATTACGTTAGGGGGAATTAGTTGCAAAAACAATGTGCACATTGGTGAAAACTGCATGTAAAAATGTGTTTCTTAGGAGAAATTCGCACAAAAATGCTGAATAATTTCCATGAGGATTTTTTTAAAAGCACAAATTGCTGCAGAAATGTGAAGAACCAAATTTAATTTCCCCATAAATGTTTCCACTTTCCCCCCTGGTCTTCACACCTCTAACCTCACGCAGTGTAGAGTCCATAGAAAATGAGTTCAGTCCAAGCAGGAGGCATAAGCATCATTTTTGCCTCAGGAGAAACCTTGAAATTGGGGTCCTGGACCCTAGCTTCACTATAAAGGCTCAGAACCTCTTCTCGCCCCTCAGAAACCTGAAATCATTTGACAAGAAAAGCCACCCAGACTAAGCGGGGGGGGGGGGGGGGAAGGAGGCTGCTTGCTATCTTCTCCTAGGATGGCTTTCTTCAAGCTGGTGCTCTCCTCGTCTTTTAGACTACAGCTGCCATCCACTTTCGCCTGCACATTCTGCTACCCCCAAAGATCTAGAAGGCACCAGCCTGGGGAAGGCTGCTCTGGGCAAGACAATGCTGGCATGAAGCTGAGGGCTAGAGCAAGGACAGATGGGAGTCCAAAGCAGGCCCTGGATCTCCCCGGAACCACCTCCTTACCTTTGCTGCGGTGTCTGTTTGGTGGGCACACAGCACCTTGGAGACGGACTGTGCCTGAACAGAGCAAGCAGCGGGGTGACCTTTGGACCCTCCTTCCCTCGGCACGGAATGCCATCGCCACCTGCCTTCGCCATATAAGGGCAATCGTGTCTAAGAACGGAAGAATGGCAGAGTGAGCCCAAGGTCCTTTGACACACGAGCATTGGCACACGAGCCTCATCTCACTCCCCATGTGTGCGCACACCTGAGCGGAAATTGCTGAAATGTCCAGGTGCATGGCAGTCCATGTCGGTTTAGTACATTTCAGCGAAGTTCATTAAAAAAGCTCACTTTCACTTTTTGAAATATAGCAACCCTAGCCCAACCTCCTACAATGCAGGAATCTCAACTAAAGCATCCATGACCACCTAACCTCTGCTTAAAACCCTCCAAGGAAAGAGAGTCGACAAATAGAAACATTGGAAGAAAGAACTGGGCAAACCTTTGCAGTTTTGATTCTTAAAAATGACAGCAAGTTTTGGCAACAAATTAAGATGCAGGTGGAAATATATCACAATCAATGCACCAGGCTTTTAGATGTGGGGGACGGGGGTAGGGGAATAGTGGGAAAGTATTATTAACAGTGAGCCAGCAATCCGTTGACTTTTTGAACTGCACCCTTCTTCTAAACACATTCTATCTTTTACCCTCAACATCAGTCAGCACCAACTGTCCATTCTGCAGGGGAGCATAGGGTGATCCTTGCACACAGTCATAAAAAAACCTGTAGGGTATGGCATGCTCATCTTAAATTAAATTGTCCTTCAGCCAGTTAATGTTGCACATTAAGATGCATTTATAATTCATATACATTCTGAAGAGTCATAATTAAATTTATTTTCATAATCATGTTTCATCTCCAATCAGAAGGCATGTGATTGGATATTCTGTGTGGATGAGTTCTCTTATAAAACTTAGGGAACTTCCAGACCACCTGTTTGGTGAACATTCATCCTTGCGTGGGAGATTGTATGACATGGCTAACTCCTCCTGACCCTGGTGAACTGGAACACACACAAAACATGGAATGGGCTCCCCAGCTTTGTACACATTACATAGCAGCCCATCTGGAAGTGCCCTTCTACTCCTGGCAGAAGCAATATCTTCCTTTGCAGCCACACCTAGCTCCGAAAGTCTCCCTCAGTCATCCTACGCTCTAACCATGCGATTAACAGCTGTCAGTGACCCCTTGAAGGGTCAAAGGCCTTCTCTTACTCTGGCAGTGATCTTTTTATGGCTCTGGGGAAACGCTCCATTTATCTTATCTCTGCTGTTGAGCTAGCAGAAATAAATCTCTCTCCAATACAACTCCTGCTGTCAACCGCTCATTCCTATCTCCCTAATTGACAATGTACTAGAAGGGAAGGAGTTTTAACAATTTTCAATCCACAGTTCAAGCCACGATCAAGGCAGCTTACAACATGGAAAAGAAAGGTTAACTACAACATAACAAAAGTAAAAGGTAAAGGGAGCCCTGACCATTAGGTCCAGTCGTGGACGACTATGGGGTTGCGGCGCTCATCTCACTTTATTGGCTGAGGGAGCCGGCGTACAGCTTCTGGGTCATGTGGCCAGCATGACTAAGCCGCTTCTGGTGAACCAGAGCAGCGCATGGAAATGCTGTTTACCTTCCCGCTGGAGCAGTACCTATTTATCTACTTGCACTTTGACGTGCTTTCAAACTGCTAGGTTGGCAGGAGAAGGGACCAAGCAACAGGAGCTCACCCTGTCACGGGGATTCGAACCACCAACCTTCTGATAGGCAAGCCCTAGGCTCTGTGGTTGTACCCACAGAGCCACCCACATCCCATAACAAAAGTAGTCATAAATAAATCTCAAGATCTAAAATAAAGATAAAAAAAACCAACAACACCCAAGAGCAACAATAACAATAACCTACCATCAAAAAAACCAAACAGCACCCCAACCCAAGACTCTGTATTTGCTTATAAGGAAATGCCAAGCGATAAGCGATCGATGGTGGAAACGATCAGGACTCTCATAAGCAATGCTCAGAACAGCATTGTAACTTAAAATAATTTCAGCCCTCTCTGGCCCAAACCAGCCCTGAAAGGGAAATCTACAATTAGGCTCTCCCATGGCTACTGTTTTGCTAACTGGCAACCCCACTGAGTGGTTCTGAAGATCAAGGACAAGGGTGTGGTGCCTGTTATCCTGTTGCTCCAGGACAGGGCATGTAACTCTTTCCTCGGTGTAAATTTCCCCCACCTCCCAAGCTGCTATGAGTGGGAGGGGCATGGGAAAGAGAGGAGCAGATGAGATTCGTGCATCTGCAGTGCTAATAGGTAGAGGGTGGGAGGAGGAAACAGCCTCTCCCAGAGCACAAAGTCCCAGTCTTCAAAGCAGCCACTGAAAATAAATCACCAGCACCACCGGACAGCAGAGTCACATTCAGAAAAGCACACTCTGGTAACCAGCAGCCTTGATTACCACAATGTGTTATATGTGGGGATGCCTTTGAATACATTTTAAGGAACTTCAGTTAGTTTAAATAAAGCAGCCATGCTGCTAACAGGCTCCTGTCCTAAGGAACATATCCTGCCCGTTTGGAAGTTGCTTCACTGGCTGCTTATTTGTTTCCATTGAGCTTCTTGTCAACTGCAGATTTCAACCCAGATCTTACTCCATGGTCAGCCCCACATTCTACCCCTGGCACCTCTCCAGCTCATTGAACTATTGCATCAGCCTAACGCAGACGAAAACATCATCTAGGCATCATTTGTAAGAACATGATTCCATGCAGGGCAAAGAGGAAGAATCTTATGGGACAGGTGACTGAATAGGCTTGCCATACTTCCGGGAAATCCTGGACGTGTCCTCTTTTGGGGGGCCAACATGCCCATCTGGGGGAATGTTTACATTTTAAAGGGAATGTCCGGAATTTTTGGGGTTTTTTTGTTTTGGGGAGGCAGGGGTGGCTTGGGCACAGGCACTCGGGCATGGGCTGTCTGATTTTTTTGCTCTTCAAGATATGGCAATCCTATGACTGAAACCTTTGGCCCTCTAGATGGTGCTGAAGTACAACTCCCATCATCCTTGGCCATTGGCCCTGCTTGCTGGGGCTGATGGGAGTTGTAGTTCAGCAACATCAGGATGGCTGAAGGTTTGCCACATCTGGTTACTGACAAGGTTACTGACAGGAAGGCCAGGATCTAGGATACTTGTGGGTGAGGGGAAGATGCTGGAGTGGTCTTATTTAGGAGAATACCAGTGGTTTCAGATGGGAAGAAAGTCTGTTCCCCATTACCTAGCTGATCCTCAGCAGCTTATTCAAATATTAACAAGCAATTTCCTACTTTTATTACTTTTATCGCTTGAGGTAAAACAAACAGTGTATGGAGAAGAGAAACCATTTATGATGTCGACTCTGCCCCTGGCCTGTGGACTATCATCTTTTGCAGTGCCTTGGAAGGATAAAGGAATTAGAGCATGTGTAGTAATCTTAGGGGGACGCGGGTGGCACTGTGGGTAAAAGCCTCCGCGCCTAGGGCTTGCCGATCGAAAGGTCGGCAGTTCGAATCCCCGTGACGGGGTGTGCTCCCGTTGCTCGGTCCCAGCGCCTGCCAACCTAGCAGTTCGAAAGCACCCCCTGGTGCAAGTAGATAAATAGGGACCGCTTACTGGTGGGAAGGTAAATGGCATTTCCGTGTACTGCGCTGGCTCGCCAGATGCGGCTTTGTCACGCTGGCCACGTGACCCGGAAGTGTCTCCGGACAGCGCTGGCCCCCGGCCTCTTGAGTGAGATGGGCGCACAACCCTAGAGTCTGTCAAGACTGGCCCGTACGGGCAGGGGTACCTTTACCTTTACCTAGTAATCTTAGGACACCCACACTAGAGACAGGATAAAATTTGAACTAAGATTTTTGGCTTATTAAAGGGACAGTGTGTACACGAGGGACTACTGATACTCACATTGGGGTCTTAAAAGTGTTGACTGTTTCCGAAGACTCAAGAGGCGCGGTTGCTGCCACTACCCTCTGCCACTACCTCAGCCAAATATTCCCACAACTCAGTCCGGCTGCTAGGGGCAATATATCTCTGTACCAAATCTTCTCCAGTTGTACCTCTGGCTGCTTGGACAGTTTAGCCAGTTTAGATATTTATTCAGGGCACCCTCTCAGACTAACTCAGCTAACCAGCTCCCTTCCTTCATCTTCTCTAGGTGAGTGTTGATAAAACACAGAGTATTAACATATATCGTAGGTCTCAATTGCTGCCTGGAGCTAATGGGAAATGGAGTGCAAGACCATCCAAAGGGCCACAGGTTTCCCACCTCTGCTTCAAGGCCCGAATTAACCCAACTATATTTCTTAAGCAATTACTGTTACTACAACTCCTGCTAGCAGTATTTTTTTAAAACAATTATGCAATAGCTCAGGAGTATGAATCATCAAACATCAGATAGTATCTTGGTTCCATAGGGATGCAGTCTCTATCCTTGAAGACAACCCTATCAGCCAACAACCTGGCAATTGCATCTACAGCTATGAATTGGCCTTTGTTACTCACAGTGCAGAACGCTACATTACAATGATCAATTGTGAATGGTAGGGGGAATATTTTTTGCCATTTAAACATTACTGCGTTAGTTTAACCCTTTTGCATTATAGTAAATGAATGCATCGTCTAGTTTCCTCATTCTGCTCATGCTTCTTAGACCTTTAGAATATATTCCTGCCTTGGGGGTGGGTGGGTGGGGGTGTTCCAGATAATGACTGTTGGGTCAAGCCTCCTCATTTAAGAAAATGGGTGATGGAGAAATCCCAGGGTGAAATGCTTTGCTGCATTTCCATTAATTTGAAGGCTGCACCTCCCTCAATCCATTGCAGAAAGTGCTGGAGCACAACTCTCAAATGGCATGCTGATGCTTCAGTGGCTACATTGAAGATATGGCATACCAGGGGTGCCAACTAGAATAACATATTGTGAGGGCCTAGGTAAGCCCCGCCCTGCATAAGCGATCACATGACATGGAGCACACACACCATTTGAATGACAATGCCCATCACCTTTGTGGGGGCCCAGACCTCTGAAATATTTTATTGCAGGGGTCAAAGCCCCCATGGCCCCTAGG